GTGTCTACTTCATCCATGGTCCTGGAGGCACAGGCAAGACCTTCCTCTACAACCTCATTGCCAAGGCCGTTCATGGCAGTGGCCAAGTTGTGTTTTGCACTGCCTCATCTGGAGTAGCAGCTATTCTTCTCCATGATGGTGCCACAGCTCATTCTACCTTCAAAATCCCACTCCTGATACATGAGGATTCCACCTGCAATATCCATCGTGATTCTCCATTAGGTGACATTCTCACTACTCAGACTGTGTTATGCATCTGGGATGAAGCCCCTATGCTGTCACATTATATACCTGAGGCTCTCGACAGGACTTTGCAGGGGTTACGCAACAATAATCGTCCATTTGGAGGTGTGACCATGGTGTTTGGAGGAGATTTCCAGCAAGTTCTGCCAGTCATCCCAAAAGGTTCAAGAGAAACAATTGTGGGTCAAACTGTTAGAACTGGGCGGATTTGGACAACTCCGGAGTGGAATCGGAGACTTAGCATGGAAGGACCTCGGCCTCAGCAACTCAGGTGGAGCGCTGTGCCATTGCTGGTTGTCCTGGGGGTCCCTAATTTCAGATCTAGCAGAGGGAAAGTCTCTTGGGGGGAATTCAGGTCGATTTTGGACTGAGGTTACAAGTTACTATGTACATTGTATATAAGGAGGGGTCCGGAATCAAAAGGAGCAAGGGTACTCCAAAAGGAGACAAAGGGAGCTGAAAGAGGGGACAACACCGAGGGTCAAGGGTTTGACTCAATGGTGTTTCCCAAAGGAGGAGTGAAGGGCCAAGGCCCAAGGAGGAAGGAAGGAGGTTGGGAGTGGGGAATGGCTAGCTGACTGAATAGAAAGGAAGCAGTAGCCCAAATAGGAATGAGGGAGAATAGCGGAACTGAATGGAGCAATGCAATAGTTGCAAGGTCCGACATAAGTCCGGAAAGTCCAAACTCGGAAGTTAAACTCCGGAATATTGGCAAAGGTAATTAAATGGAATGAGCTAACCAATACAATGGGTATAAGCGGAGGTGGGGTCAAAGTCCGAGGTCAGAGCTAAGACCGGAGGTTCCAGAGACGGAGACGTGAACGGGATTCCGGAGCGGAGGCCCGGAGTCGGGAGCATAGGTGTTGCATACTCGTCTGGAAGGTGTCAATGTTGGGGTCGGACACGGAATGTTCCGGAGTCGGACCGAAGGTGGTGTCAGAGCCAGAGGTGGGATAACCTCTTGGGAGTTGGCAAGGAGGAGGTGACGGAAGGGAAGTAGGACTCCGGAAGTCAGGTTTGGAGTTCTGGGAGCCCGGAGCGGAGGTCGGGATTGTATGGATATGACACAAACCCTCTGCAAATCTCCCATCTGGAGAAACCTCTTGGTCTTCCATTTGACACGGAATATGTGTTTGGAGAATGGGGCACTTCCTGAGGTCATCCAATTTGCTGCATGGCTCCTTGATCTGGGTCATGGATGCAACCAACACTCCCCAACTCATGTTCAACTTCCCCAATCCATGGTCATTTCAAGAGGTGCCACACTTGAAGACCTTATCACAGTTGTATATCCTGACATTGCCACTCCTAACCACCCAGATCAGTACTTTTCTGATCATATGATTCTTGCTCCACACAATGCTGATGTCCATGACATCAACAACCGGATCTTGGAGAGATTTCCAGGGGAGGAGACAATTTATCACTCTGCAGATTCTGCTATTGTTGAAGAGGGTGTTGATCATCCAGATCCAATCCACATGAGACAAATGCAAGTGCAGCATTATAGCGACGAATGTTTGTTCGAAACTCTCGGGCTTTGGTCTTGAATGCTTCCGATTCATTTGCAGAGTGAGAGTGCACAGTGAGGAGACGTTGGAGCAGTGGAGGTGGGGGATGTGAGTGAGGGAGTTGAACTTTTCCTTGCAGACAGCAAGACCCAAAACGTGGGTGATTGACTCGTGAATTTGCAAGTTTCTCCCTCTCCCAGTGCAAAGCACCACATTGGGGGCAATGAACATTCATTCCACCGAGATTGTCTGATGCAGTATGTATATTTGGACCCTCTTGATATGGGAGCCAATACTGCTGGACGACCTGATGATCTGGATGAAGGGGTACTGGGTTCCGGGTCACCGGGGTTAGGTAAGCGGAGTAGACGGGAATTACCGGCATACTTCCCATGCACATATGCGCAGCCAGCATAGGGTCCAGGGTCGTTGCTGATCCCTGACACAGGGACAGCTCCGAAAGCAGCAAGGTCCTGGCATGTGGGACTCAGTGGGACGAATAGCAGCTATGTGTAGCGGTGATCCTGTCGCAGGGTGAGCATCCCCAACCACTTAGTCTGAAGTGGGAATGTGAGAAGAAGGCTACTTCGGTGCTAAGAGCATGAGAATGGAGTGGAGCAGAGCGAGAGTTGTGAGATCATGAGAAGCGAGGTCATGAGCAAGAAGATCATGAGCCACAAGTCACAAGAGCACAAGAAGTCAATTCAGGTTGGCAACCTGTGTTGACCAGTTGAAGAATCCATCTTCACTGGTCAACTCCTTATATACATGAAAGCAGGCTAAGACATGCGAGATGAGACAGGAGAAACTGTCACAGCTGTGCATTCTGGCCCATTCCCTGCCCATCCCGATGCTGCCTGAACCCGTTCCCACTGCATGAGCGTGAGCCCCAACCCTCATCCCTATCCTCCTTGAGGACTCCCCACTCACTCCCCACTTGCCCATGGTTCCCCAATGCTAGACCGACTCCCCCGCTGCCACACCAACCTCCCCACCATGAGTCCACCCCCAGCACTGTGCCAAGTGTGACTAGGGGTCCAGGTGGATCGGATAGGATCAGATTAGGATCAGAAATCCCGGATTGGGACAACCTCCCAATGGCCAATCCGGATCCGCCGGATGAAAATCCCGGATGATCCTGAATGATCCTGGATAATCACATCTTAAGATTTCTTTGTATTTTAACATGTATTCCGATCATACAATAAATTTGGAAGCTATTCAAATGGGCTATTCATCAATGTAAAGTGTGTTGACACTGTGGGAAATAGTCCTGACACCCCTTTACACGGTGGTCAGCATGAGTACAGACATTGAGTCACCCCAAAAGACTCGTGTCCAAAAAAGTATTTTGCATTTTTCTCGATAATTTACTGGTCAATTTAGTCTCAAATTGTATATTCTGGAAGCTATTCAAATGGGCTATCCATTGGTGTAAAGTGTGTTGACACCATGGAAAACAGCCCTGACACCCCTCTGGACAGTGGCCAGCATTGTGCACAGACAGTGAGTTTGGACAGCCACAAGTATTTGCAGACTCGTGTCCAAAAAAGTATTTTGCATTTTTCTCGATAATTGATTGGTCAATTCACTCTCAAATTGTATATTCTGGAAGCTATTCAATAGGGCTATCCAACTATGTAAAGTGTGTGTGGACCGTGGGAAACAGTCTTGACACCCTTCTGGACAACAGCCAGCAATGTGCACGGACAATGAGTCAGGAGTTAAAATATCTCGGACTTTGCTACAATACAATAATTTTGGAGGCCCCCAAACCAATAAGGGGGCTGTTAGTTGCATGCTAGCAATGGGACTCCATCCCGGATCATCTAGGATCATCCCAGATGCCAATCCCGGATCAAGAATACATCCTGACCCCCAATCCTAATCCGGCATCCGGGATCGAAAATTCCGGATCATCTGGGATAATCCGATCCACCTGGAGCCCTAAGTGTGACTCCTCTACTCTGCCCACTTGGCCCTCACCGGGCCACTGTAAGGGATGGACAGGGATGGGATGATGCGCGCTTTGCGCGCATTTCATTTATTCATTTATTCTTTAATATTCTTCGTAATAAACAACTGTATATATATATAGTGTCCGGGGTCGGGGAAAGGGGCTTTGCTCTTCTCCTCCCCCCCTGTCGAATACTAGCTCCATACAGTCTACATTATCGACAGCCTGAGGATTGAGGAGTCACCAAGGCCGGCACCCCAACCGGCCTTACAGCCACTACCATTCCTGCACCTGACTCCAGCCCAACTCTGAGTCTGGCGCCGCTACAATACCATCACCGCTATCGCAGCCCTACGCTCCTTCCTTTATTTATCTGTTATTGTTCGTTTTGACCCTCGGTCATTGCCAGCCGCTGTGTGGCCAACCCTGCTCCTTGTTCCCTTTTGCTTCCGGACCCTTCGGCCTTCGGCCCGGGTCCGCTTCAATTCATTCTACCTTCACATATATATATCCTGTATACTACATTATAGTACTTTAGCTCTAATATCAATTTGACCATGACCTCCTAAGTCCTGACCCCAGCAAGGCAACCCCAGTGAGTCTGAAATGAGGGCCAAGAGACAGCTAGGGGGCACAGCACTCCTTTAGAGTTGCTGAGGCCAAATGCCCTGCCCTCAGGCCTTGTTCATGACATCATGGCCATCATGGCCTATAGTGGCCTGCAATGGCAACCCTCGGTGGTGACCCCAGACCAGTGTCTGTCAGGGCATGCCCTGACATGCCCCGCCTGACCCCCGCTCTGCCTCCCCGCTCTGCACCACGTCTTCCTTCTTTCCTCTTTCTTTCTTCTCTCTTTCCTCTTTCTTTCTTTCTCTCTCTTACATGGACCACCTTTCCTGCTGTTCAATATATCACTGGGGTGCATGCCCATTTCCCCTCCTGTATCTTACCATCCCTATATTGCCATCATTGCCGCTGCACTCACCCTGCACCCACAATGGACCCTCTCAGGATCCCCCACGGAGACACCTGGAGAGCCATGGCTGTGCATGAGGGTGACGTGGTGCACCCCACATGATTGACCCCACATGTATATAATAACAGCTGGAGTGGGAACCGAAGAGGTTTGTGACAATTTTATGGGGGTAGTGTTTTCAAATTTTTAAATTTTAAATTCAAGGTGCCTTCCATTAGTAAACAATTTAATATAAGTAATATAATTTGGACAACTCCGCAGCACCCTGCCGGTTGGGTGTCACGCGTCACAACGAGTTGCTGGCGGTTTACAGTCATTTGCTTCCAAAATGCACACTTTTCAGGCTTAGCACCTAGATAAGAATTTCGTATATATATAAAATTAATAAAAATTATCCAGGGAAAGACCGTCATCTCATCTCTGTGCAGGCAAATTTTGGGAAGAAAATATGGAGTTTCCATGGCGTTATAATGAATCTTCCAAGGGGGATGATTTTGAGGCATGACCTCTGAAGTGCACAGGTGTGGAAAAGGCCATTGCCCAAGTTGCTGATGTGTGCTATCATTGCTAATTATTGATCAGGCATATGAAACCACTGTACACACTGAATTGGGCCCCACATCTTGTTATTGTGCTTCCATGACCCACTTTCTGTTTTTATATGCTGCTGTCAGGATACCGAGCTGCTCGGAGCTAAGGTCAAGGGATCCAGTGGAAGTGGAGGTAAGACTAGGAAGGTCTGGGTCGGTCTCAATAGGAGAACCGCGAGGTGTGCTAGGCGACACAGGCTCCAGCTGAGCAGCGAGGAGAAATGAGAGAAGAAAGCTGGTCTTCCTACTCGCTACTCAGGGTGTAATATACTGTAGCCCACACACACAGCTAATCTACGAGGCACTGTACATACCAACAATCAATGATCCAGGTTTGTCTGGCTGTGTTGGATCATGGATCATGGAACGTGGATCTTGGAGTGGGATCAGATCATAAGGCTGTACAGGGATCATGGATCATGGAATCTGGGTGATCATAGATCATGGAATCAGATCATGATGGTAAGTAGGCTGGAAGTGGCCGGAAGTGGGTGTACTCTGACAGCTGCACTATGGTTGCTGTGACTTTATGCTGCATGTAGTGCCCATTTCAGATCAAATATGCTCAAAAAAGTATTTATCCACTCCCATTGGCACTTGTTCTCCTGTCCTTCTTCAACAATGCCACAAGTGGGGCTCAAGTACACTGTAGCATGGATCAATTGAATTGCTAATTTGCTAAAAATGCATATTTCTGTCGAAATTGTATCCGGTGCAACTACTGGACTTATCTGGAGCTCCAATTCAAATGGCTTCAAATCCAGGTCACGTGGCAAGGACATAAAATCATGGACAAGCCTGGTATCGAACCCAGGACCTCTAGCATGCATCCATACACTACTCGCCCTTGAGCCATGCCGGTATAGGCTGTTAAACTCTATACTATTGGGAACATATTATATTCTCCAACAATTTCAGTGTTTCCTGAAATAACCATGAAGCCAATGTAGTTAATATTCAGCATCTGTGAAGGCATTATCTAGTGGAATGTTATACAAAAAAATGGGAGTGAAATGGCCCAGTTGTGGTTGAGAAATTGCCAGTGTGTACATCAGAGGTGTGTGCATTTCAGAGGCAAATGACTGTATATCACGTGACAAGTCACGTGGCTGACTAAGCCAGTAGTTGGTCATGCGAGACCAGAGGTAAGCTAGGAAACTTTCTGATGATTTTGCTCAACGCATGTCTGTGCATATTTATACATACACGAAATGTATTACAATGATAATATACATAAAATAAACTGCTGTGCAAGCGCACGTATGCAAGCACAGACTCAACGTGAATTCTCTAGCGATTTCCCACAACAATCCAGAATGCCCTGGAAGGTTCCGGTGACTCGTGACTTCAACACCCTCCAAAGGCCCAGATAATGATTGTCCAAGGTGGGCCCTTCAATACAGTTATTCACCCCCAAATGAGACACATTTTACCAATCCGAAACCTGTTGTCGCAACACTCCATTAAAAAATCCCAAAAATTTGTAAAGTACAAAGATGTCAGAGACTGGAATGCTGTCAGAGACTGGGATATTGTTGGAGTCGGACAAACTGTCAGAAGATGGATAGAAGACGGATTGGGTTCTGTCTGAGTTGAGGTTGGAGGTGATGCAGAGGTCTGTTGGAGCGCACACACAGATATGCGGGCGGAAATGTGCAGCGCATCCGGAAGCGCTGTTCAAGGTTAGCAGAGTGGGATCGCAGCCTCAGTGACTCAGTGTCAGGGACAGCTCCGAGAGCGGCGAGGTCCCGGCGCGAGGGACTCGATGGGACAGATGTCGGCTATGCGTAGCGGCGGTCCCGTCGCGGGGTGAGCGTCCCCAACCACTTGGTCTGAAGTGGGAAGTTGGTTTATCATTAAAAGGAAGAAGCTATGGTACTTACCTGAAGTGGGAAGTTGAGAAGAAGGCTGCTTCTTCTGTTCCCACCCCAGGCGCTATTATATACATGCGGTCAGGGTCACGTGGAGGAGGCCACGTCATCTCCGTGCACAGCCGCACCTCCCCGGGTGTCTCCGCGGGAGATCCCGGAGGTGGCCGCTTGGTAGGCAGGAGTGCGCGTGGCGCATGCAGCGATCGGGGGAAAGGGGTTAGGTGTGTAGTGGTACATAGAGAAAAGGGAAATCGACCGTAGAATAAAAAGAGAGAGAAAGGGGAAAAGTGAGGAAAGAGACTCGGGGGGTGATATCGGGGGAGCGGAGTAGGGTAGTGCGGCGCGGGGTGCGGGGTCGGGCGGGTGTGCCCTGACATCACCCCCCCCTTAAGCCGCTTCGCCTCGAAGCGGCTGGGCGGTTCTCCTCTCTCCCTGGGGCGTGGGGGTGTGTTCGATGGAACTCCTCAACTAGGTTGGAGGCGTGGGTCAGGTGGTCGCGCGTGAGCCATTGGTTTTCCGAGTGTGGCCAGCCTGTATACTTTACCAGGTATCGGAGCTTTCGGCGTAGCCACTTAGAGTCCAGGATTTTCTCAACCTCATACTCCTCTTCTCCATCTACGAGGTCTGGGCCCGGGCGGGGGTCGGCGGGGCGTTCCGCGATTTCATCAGGGCGGTGCGGTCTGATGTTTGTCACGGATACAACTGGGTGGATCCCTCTTTGTCGGGTGGTGAGCCGGAGTTTGACGGCGGCGGGGGAGACGACTTTAACGATTGTGAAGGGGCCAGTCCATTTATGGTCCAGCTTCTTGGTTGGGCGATCGGTTGTGTAATTCTGGGTGCTGAGCCAGACCCGGTCGCCTTCTTGGTATGTAGGGGCCGCCTCGCGGTTCCGGTCATAGTAGCGGGCCATCTCGTCCGCTGCGTGCTCTAGCGCCGCCTTCGCCTCTTCCTGCATCTTCATCATCCTCGATGAGAAGGCGTCGGCGGCTTCTACCTCAGATGTGCGTGTGGGTTCTGTCCCCATCCTGGGGTGTTGGCCGGTATCGAGCTCAAAGGGGGTATGGTGGGTGGAGGAGTGGACGCGGTTGTTATAGGCGAACTCCGCTAGCGGGAGCCAGTCCGCCCAATCATCTTGGCGGTGATTGACAAATACCTGAAGGTAGGCTTCCACTTCTTGGTTTACTCGTTCCGTCTGCCCGTCCGTTTGGGGGTGATAAGGGGTTGAAGGGGTGAGCTTGATGCCGAGGAGGTCCGCGAGTTCTTTTGAGAAGCGTGAGACAAAGGCGCTCCCTCTGTCGCTGAGGATTTCCTCCGGGAGGCCATGGTGCTTCCAGACGTGTTCAAGGAAAAGCCGCGCGATTCCCGCAGAATCTACCGTCGTCACCGTTGGGATTGCGTGGATGCGTTTAGATAGGCGATCCACTACGACCAGCACGGCATTGTAACCCTTTGACTCGGGGAGTTCTCCGATCATGTCCACCGAGATCACTTGCCAGCGGCGAGCGGGGATCTTGTTCGGGATGAGCTTCCCCACTTTGCGGGAGGGGAAGGATTTGACGCGGTTACAGGTGTCACATCCTCGTACATACCGCCCGACATACTCCGCCATCCGTGGCCACCAGTAGTCGCGGGAGACGAGTTCCAGGGTTTTCCACCGTCCCGGGTGCCCCGTCGCCCGCGCGTCGTGGTGCAGCCGCACCAAGTCATGGCGGAGTTGCAGGTCTTTCGGCACGTATACTTTTCCTCTGTACAGAACCAGCTCTCCTTGTTTCTCCCATTCATCCGACCTCAGCGTGCCCTCTCCTAGTTCCCGCATCGCCTTTACCACTTTCTCATCCAGGTCCTTCGCCCTGCTGATCCTCTCGAGGATGGTCGTCCCTTCGCCTTCCACCGTGACCGCCTCCGCCGCACGGGCCTCGAACCAGGCGGGTTGGAGGAGGGTCAACCTGTCGTTGTCGTCCTTGCCTTTCGGGTGGTCAGCGCGGCGCGAGAGCGCATCGGGTTTTCCCATGAGTTTCCCTGGGCGGTGGATGAGGGTGAAGTGAAATTGGGAGAGGAAGAGTGACCACCGCGCTTGGCGGCGATTCAGTCGTTGCGCGGTGCGGAAGTACCCTAGGTTGCGGTGGTCGGAGTAAACTTCGACTTTCTCCTCCGCTCCTTGTAGGAAATGCCTCCACTCCTCGAGGGCACGTACGATCGCGAGCATCTCCTTATCATACACCTCGTAGTTACGCTCTATGTCCGTAAAACTCTTGGACATGAAGGCTACGGGGTGGAACTCTCCGTCTGTCTGGAGCTGGGATAGGACCGCGCCAGTCGCAAAGTTAGAGGCGTCGCACTCGAGTTTGAAGCGGCCCGTATCAGTGGGGAAGGCGAGGACCGGAGCGGAGGTGATGGCGTCTTTGAGGGCCTGGAAGGCATGGTTTTCATCAGGTCCCCAGGTCCATGACTTGGTTTTGCGGGTCAGCGCATGAAGGGGGTGGGCTGTCTCGGAAAAGTCTTTGATGAACCGGCGATAGAAGTTGACGAACCCCAAGAAGGACTGTACTTCCTTGACCTTGGTTGGGGTTGGCCAGTCAAGGACGCCGCGGACTTTCACGGGGTCCATCGTGACGCTTCCCTCGGAGATGATGAGGCCGAGGTACTCGATCCGCTTCCGCTCGAACTTGCATTTTTCCGGCTTCAAGAAGAGCCTCCGCTTCCACAGTGTCTCCAGGACTTCTCGGACGACCTTCCGGTGTTCCTCCAGGGTGGCTGTGAAGATTAAGATGTCATCCATGTAGCAGATGACAACCTCTCGGTCGATGAAGTCTCGGAGAATGTCGTTCATCATCGTCTGGAACGTCGCCGGGGAGTTACACAAGCCGAAGAACATGACGGTAGGCTCGAATAATCCCCGATTGGTCGAAAACGCCGCCTTCCACTCATCGCCATCTTTGATGCGGACGTTGTTAAATCCCCAGTGCAGGTCCAGCGCCGAGAAGTACTTAGCGTTTCGGAGGCGTGCGAGGACGTCCGAAATGAGTGGGAGGGGGTATGAGTTTTTGACCGTGATTTCGTTGAGCTTTCGGTAGTCCTGGACTAGGCGCAGAGATCCATCCTTCTTCTTGACAAAGAAGACTGGGGCTCCCATCGGGGATTTGGACGCCCGTATGTGCCCGTTCCGCAGGTTTTCACGCAGGAACTCGTCCAGCTCCTTCTGCTCTGGTCGTGACAGGGGGAAGGTCCTCCCTCTCGGGAGTTTGGCATCCGGCGCTAGGTCTATCGTGTGGTCCCAGGGCTTCCGTGGGGGTAGCTGGTCGAAGGCTTCTTTCGAGAACACGTCCCGGAAGTCCTGGTACTGTTCTGGGACTAGCGCCTCAAACGGCGCGGGTTCTACTTCTGGTCCGCGGGCTTCCTGGGCCATCCGCTGAGATGGCGTCGTGGTTGCTCTTAGTTCGTGTCCCCACCCTGGGGGGATAATGGCGGCGTAAATCCCGTCCCCAGGTTCCACTGTGGGGTCGGAGTCGGCATGTCCTCGTGCCGACTGGCAGGAGGATGGGCAGCGGGACATAGTGACCCTTTGCCGCGTCCAGTCTACCTCTGGGTTGTGGTGCAGCAGCCACGAGTGTCCGATGATGAGGGACTGTCGTCCGAGGTTTGCGACGGCGAAGCGAGCCCGCTCCGTGTGCCGTCCAAACGTCAGGAGTGCCTCTAGTTCCTCGGTTATAGCTCCATTCTCGTTTGGGGTGCCATCGACATTGCGGACGGGGATGGGTTGGGGGAGCGGGATCGTCTCAAGCCGGTGTTTTCTGACGAACTCGGGGCTTACGAAGTTCCCGGTGGCCCCCGAGTCTAGGAGGGCGGACGCAGAGACAGTGGCGAGGGAGGTCAGGGTAGTCAGCTTTACAGCTAGGTTGAGGGATCTGGGGGGTTGTTTGGACAGGACGTAGATAGCGGGTGGCGGGACCGCTACTTCAGGCGCCGTTGTAACGGGGATTTGCCGGTGTACCCTAAACGAGCCAAATCCCGCGATTCTACCACCCTCAGCAAGCACCTCACATCCATCACATGTAGCCTATATCCCCTCACGCTCTTTACGCACATTTCCTATTTTTCCTAATTTTTCTGATTCCATTTCTGATGTCTAGAGGCCGATGTTTCCATTTTCTTATTGTCATGTGATATTCTTTCCTATTTTGTCTATCGGACTCTTCCGTGACTGCTGTATAGTAGTAGAGAGTATCAGCACCACACTCTAGAGGACCAATATACCCCACTTCAGCCCTGACCCTCAGTGAGATCCTTATCCCCCCCTTCTTTCCTGTCGCGAGTCTAGTTGGATAGACCCGTTACAAAACTGGTGGTCCTTACAGGGGGGATAATCCACTTTGTCAGGTTTTCAATCACGCAAGTTCACGTCCTTCATTTGTTTGGAAACACCCTCGTTTTATTTGGATATCGACTATCTACACCGTTTGTTACCCTAAGAAGAGGAAGAAGTACAAGAAAGGATCTACAAGTCTACGGATCCACACATTCCACCCACACCTGCAAGACTTTGCAAGTTTCACATTTGTTTCTCCTGGCGGACCTCAAGACGAGGCACAGGGGATCGTGTTATTGTTAAAGTTGTTCACTCCTGGCGGATCTCACGAAGAGACACAGGAGTCCGTGTTTGTTATCAAGTTTTAGCGACGTGCTGCCCTTAAGCAAGTTTATCGCGATTGTCCCTCCTGGCGGATCTCACGACGAGGCACAGGGGGTCGGGTTTATTGCTCAAGTGGTTAACTCCTGGTGGATCTCACGAAGAGAGCACAGGAGCCGGCATTAGTTTCTCTGATTACCAAGTTTTGCAACGTGTTTTGGCAACGTGTTACCCCGTTTACCTCCATTTGACCCTCATTTTACGATTCCTCTCCTTGCCGGACGACAAGCGGCATAGAGAATCATCCAAGTATCATCAGAACAGGTCCTGAGTGACCCACACGATCATTTTCAAGTTTTACCTTTCTTTTAACCTTTCAAGATGGCTGCAAGTTCCGCCATTGCAGCGCCGACATTTTACGCGCCCATGCCGATGCCCCGCAGCCCAGATGCACCCCGATTCCGAGGCAGACGGATTGTCGAGTTCCTTAGCAAATACGAGTCACTGGCTGATGCAGCACTTTTCACGGAAGCCCAGAAATGCACCTTTTTGACCGCTTACTGCACTGACAAGGAAGTGAGGTTTGTTTCCACGCTGGACGGATTCGAGAACCCAGATTGGGTGTCGCTCAAGAAAGACCTGCTGGACTTTTATGGCGTTGACGAAGAACCCTTATTTTGCCTCAAGGATCTCCGCAAGTTCGTAGAAAAAGGTCGCAAGATGAAGACCTTTGATCACCTTGACCGATATCTGTGCAAGTTTGAAGCCATTTCCAAGTCCTTAGAGGCACAGGGTGCCCTCGCCGTTGTTGAGCGCGATGATTTGTTTTTCCGTGGATTTCCGTCGAAGTTTAGGCACAAGCTCAAGTTCGATCTGCAAGTTCAAAGTCTGTGGCTTGATTTGACTCAGCCCCCCAGTATGCATGAGGTTGTCGCAGCGGCAAGGGCCCTGCTACAAGATGCCCATGATCGCGAAAGAGCCAGTTCCTATTCATCAATGTCCGATGCGCAGACCAGTGTATATGTCGATTCACCAAAACTTTCAATGCGCTCCACAGTCCAGAATGATTTCGCGCCCGAGTTCGATGCCGAGACAAGTGCCAGCAGCTCAACACTAGACCAGATGGACCAGTACCAGCCTGAAGCCCGTGAAGCGCGGAGCGCCTATGAAATCAAGTCAATTGCTGTATCCGAAGATTACATGCCTGAGCCGAAGTCTGATGACGCAACAAACCTAGAGGCGAGTGCCTACGATAGCGCAAGTTACCCCAACGTGCTAGAGCTCAATGATCAAGAGCTAAGGCCTAGCGGCCTTGAACATGTCTCAGAATCCGCTGTTCTTGAAGAAGGCCAAGTCTGCCAGACCTTACAGCCGACTACAATCCACTTAGTGTGTTCAGACAAAGCCGGAGAGCCTCAGTCAATGGAGGCGATTGCATACTACAAATCCGATCTAGCCGACAGTGAAATAGTCAACGATGTCCTCGATTTCGACCCGCGTCCCGAGAACTCTTGCAAAACAATCCATGATGTTCCTAGCCCCGGTTTGGATTCGCGCCGCGATGACGAGAATCCCCATGAGACGGTTTATGAGAGCTTTGACCTGGACTCATATTTCGATGGTGATACTCCTTGCGAACCGGATTGTGACTATGATTCAGACTGGGAATCGTACATTGCGAAGTCTAAAGGCGCAGATCTGCTACATAGTATCGAGGTTCCAGTAGACTGTCTGATACTACCCAGCGACGACGGGAAAGCCTGTGAAACCATCCGCAATGTCCTCAATTCGCATTTGTACTATGACAATGAGAAGACTCATGAAAAGCGCACCAACGTCGCGGACCCGGACCTGTGTATCCAGTATGAAGACTCGTGTGGATCGATCTACGATGTCTTCAGCCTGAAGTCGTATCTTGATGATGAGGCCCCTTGCAAAACGGCTTTCAATGTCTTCGACTCGTTCGCATGGTTCGACGAAGAGATCTCCCGTGAAACTTCCCCTGACACTTCAGATGTGGACTCGAGCTTCGACGATATTGAGACCATGGACCCACCCCAGACAGGCGATCCAACGACACCCAAGGCACCTCGACCGCTGGATTTCTTACACACCGCGCCAGAGCACAATGATCGAGAGCTAAGGCCTGGCGACCTTGAACGTGTCTCGAAATCCGACATTTTCGCAGTATACCAGACCTCAGAACATGCAGCAATCGACCTTGTTTGCCGAGATGAAGTCGAGGCGCCTCAGTCAACGGAGGCAATCGGATACTACTATGGTGTGACCGAGACTGGAGAGCGCAGCAGCAGCGCCAAGTCCCCTGTTGAGCCCAGCGAAGGCAGATGTGAAGACACTAGTCCGGAGGCGACTCAGGCGAGAATTCAGAAATCAAGTGGCATTCCCTGTTGGTTCCCCAAGTATGAGTTCGACAACAGCGAAGTGGCTAAGCGAGTTAAGTTTTCGATGCATGAGTCCGGTGAAGGGTACGAGGATCTGCCCAAGAAGGATCCAGATAAGGTTGTAGGACACGAATCCAATCCCAATCGTGGTGAAGCGCCTGAGTACGTGAAGCCGCTTCCTATCACCCCCGAGTTCGAAGACAGTTATGGAGAACCGCCCACAAAAGACCCTGATAAGGGTATCAACGTGATCAAGTATTCGGGCGATGGCCTAGCCCGCGGATATGAGTCTAAGGTGACTCCAGAGGCCGAAAGTATACGAAATGTCAAGCCCCACAGTGACATCCTCGCGCTCAATATGCCGGAAGGCACCTACATCATTTGCGGCGATGAGATCGCCCTGTTCGAAATCAAACGCGAGTCTGAACCCAGCAGGAAGTCGGAAATAGCACGGGCCCTAGATTCAGCGCAAGAGCACAGTGAGCATAAACATAAAGAGCTAAGGCCTCCCGGCCTCAACGACAAGCTCAATTGTTGTTGTTCTACATTGTGTACCGAGTTCCGCCGCGATGTTTCCATGCTTAAGACGGTAGAGGGCACCTACGCCATTCAGGGTGACTTTGTGGTTCTCTTTGAAGACGCAGAGCACGAGGTCCAGTTCAGAGGCGAGCCTAACCTGGTGCAAATTGGCACTGAGCTCAAGGATAAAGAGCTACGGCCTCTCAGCTTCAGCGGTGTGTTCGGAAATTCCGACTCAGTGGATGACTATGCATGGGATTCTGGATGCGAATCCGACACCGGCTTTGATGCAGCACCCGAGGGCATTGGGTTGATTGATCCCCCTGAAGTCATTCTTACACGCGAGTTGAATCATGAAGAACGAGATTGTGATTTGATTGGCAAGCATGCTATCATACAAGGCGGAATCGACGCAGTGAAAAGCCCTACCTTCAAGAATGCCGTTACTGCTAGTCCTGGTATTAGAGCACCCAAGCATGCAAAAGCCCCATGTTTCCCTGGCGATGGTTCTGAATGCCGACCCGAGAAAGACCCTGACAAGGTCTCAAACGCGAATGAGTGTCCGGGCGATGGCCTAGCCCGAGAACAAGAGTCTGAGGAGACTCCAGAGGCCGAACGTTCGCGAGGTGTTGAGTCCCATGGTGACACCTTCGCGCTTGAGGGAGCTGATGGGACCATTCGAGTACTGGTCTTGGATTGCGAGTCTGGGCCCAAGCGCAGGATCAATTGCATGTCGAATACGGAGTCTTGGGCCGAAGTAAGCGAAATCAGCAATAGCCCATACAAGTCGGCGATGGGAGTGAAAATGAGGCGTACCATTGTGCCTAAACCTCTCGTTCGACCTGTAGTTCTCCCAGATGTAATGGCCACGATGGCACAGAGATGCGCGCAAGTTGATGGCAGAATGATAAGGATTGATGCCGATTGCTGGCTCGAGGTTGAGATGAACGCGATCTCCCATATTCCAGGACTTCTTGATCACCAGAGTGAAGCCGCAACGACGACAGAAAGGATCATAGAAAGTCTAGAGTGCCAAGGTATCCCTGAGGGTCCGAGTCTCATGTCGGGATTCAAAGGCGAAATGGAGCCAACTGCCGGCACCATGAGTGAGTGCGGAAGCCGAGTAACCAGTCACCTGGAGACATCATTGAGCCGAGAGGCCACGCATAAAGAGCTTAGGCCTCCTGTCCAATGCCAAAGTCCGCATGTGAGCTGTGCGATGTCAAAGCCATGTTCAGGGTCGAAGACTCGTAACAAGTTTGATGTTCGAGAACCCATTGCTCAGCCAGATGTTCTCGGCAGAGAAAGTAATCCCAGATGTCAGAGAAGAGCTCCGTGTGCACAGGATGATAGTCTAGACAGCCGGAGATGCCAGAAGAATGCGCTCATTGAGTCGAAATCCCGCGACCCTTACCCCAGCGCAGTCTCATGGGGTTGGTTTACTGAACGTGCGACATGTTCCTCAGTCGATTCTTTGCGAGCCCAGTGTCCAGAAGGTTCTGCTAGTCAGCACCATAGTCAGACCGCTCAGGTGTATGGCTATCAGGGATTCGTTAAGAAGTCAAAGACATCGCTCCCGAGGACAATTTGCGTTGTGTTGCGAAATGGAGGCGAGGCTGAGCATTGCCTTGAGCAGGGATACATGCCTTGCATTAGCGAATACGAGCCTAGAGTGCGGAGGAAGAAGCCTCCCTGATGTTGCCGGGTTGACGCGAATCTGGCAGTCCCAATCGCGCATCACATCAAGTTATTTATTTATGCAACATTCATGATTCATTCTTTCCAAACCCTCAGGATTTGTGGATTGGGGATGATGCTGCTGGTTTCATTTGGGATATCGTGAGGGACCACGATGGAGAGCTAGGCCTGTATGTAACGGGGATTTGCCGGTGTACCCTAAACGAGCCAAATCCCGCGATTCTACCACCCTCAGCAAGCACCTCACATCCATCACATGTAGCCTATATCCCCTCACGCTCTTTACGCACATTTCCTATTTTTCCTAATTTTTCTGATTCCATTTCTGATGTCTAGAGGCCGATGTTTCCATTTTCTTATTGTCATGTGATATTCTTTCCTATTTTGTCTATCGGACTCTTCCGTGACTGCTGTATAGTAGTAGAGAGTATCAGCACCACACTCTAGAGGACCAATATACCCCACTTCAGCCCTGACCCTCAGTGAGATCCTTATCCCCCCCTTCTTTCCTGTCGCGAGTCTAGTTGGATAGACCCGTTACACCGTGCTTGGCATTTCTCTGTCCTTACTGTTCGAGGACGCGGTTTTCCTCTTTTTCTTGGCGATGACTCGGTGGAATTTGGACATTGGCGCTGGTTTAAGCGCGTCACGGTATCTACATGAGCTAGTACTATCGCCTACAGGCGGCCGGGGCGCGTCCCTCACCGGTCGCCTTCTTGAAAATCCTCTTGGGCTTCTACCTCTTGCCCTTCTCCTCTATCTGTCTCTGTCCCTGGTTCATCCACCAATTGCCTCCTCAGCCCCTCCATGAGTGCCCTGAGGTCCTCCGGGTGCATCCGCCTGGCTCGGCGGGTTTTTGGCTGCGGGCAGTCTCGCGCGATGTGCCCCGGTGCGTTGCAGTTGTAGCAGAGGCCGCCTCGTCTTTGGTCTATCCTCGAGCGGTCGAGGTCCATAGGTTGCGGCCCTCCTCCCGCCACAGGGCGCGGTGCAGGAGGCGGCGGTGCGGCGGCAGGTTGGGGGCGCGGGGGTGCAGGGGGTAGACGGGCTTGTGGGAGGGTGGTAGGGAGTAGGGATCTCGCGGGTGGAAGCTGGGGCCTGGCTGGGGGAAGCGGGGTTGGGTTGCTTGGAAGCGTCGCCACTGGTTGTCAAGGAGGGTGGCCTCGCGTTTCCACTCGGCCCAGGTAGTCGGCATGGGGCGGAGGCGGTAGATGCTTTCTCGGAGTCGGGAGTTGATCGCCTGTTCAAAGCGGTCTACTAGCCCTACATCTCCTAGCCGCGAGGCGGGGCCGAGGATCTCGAACTCTTGGATGACCTTGTCCACAGAGTCGGCGCCTTGTTGCAAGGTGGCCAGCTTCTGCCTGGCCGTGGCTTTGCGGTTCGGGTCTTGAAACATGGCGTCGAGTTCCGTGTTGAACTCGTCCATGGTAAGCCCGGGGGAGCCCGTCGTCAGCAGCGCGATGGTACGCTGCGTTGCCCATGCTCCCGCAGTCCCTCCTTTCATGTAGGACAGGACAAAGAGGATCTGGGACAGGGCGTCAGGAAACTCCGCCACCCAAACGTGGAAGTAGATCCCGCATTCAGCCTTGAAGCGGTCAAGGTCTTTGGTTGCTCCAGAGAAGGGGGTGGGGGGGGCAACTTTAGGCGGTTTGGGTCTGGGGGCGGGTGCGGGCGCCACTGGGGGTTGGTTCTGGGTTTGGCTCTCTACAATAGCTTGGAGCTCTTGGAATCGGGACAGCAGCTCGTCATACTGCTCTTCGGTCACCATAGCGGGGGAGATGGGGGAGGCAGGGGAAATGAGGTTAAAGCCTTCTTCTGCTGTCAGGGACAGCTCCGAGAGCGGCGAGGTCCCGGCGCGAGGGACTCGATGGGACAGATGTCGGCTATGCGTAGCGGCGGTCCCGTCGCAGGGTGAGCGTCCCCGACCACTTGGTCTGAAGTGGGAAGTTGGTTTATCATTAAAAGGAAGAAGCTATGGTACTTACCTGAAGTGGGAAGTTGAGAAGAAGGCTGCTTCTTCTGTTCCCACCCCAGGCGCTATTATATACATGCGGTCAGGGTCACGTGGAGGAGGCCACGTCATCTCCGCGCACAGCCGCACCTCCCCGGGTGTCTCCGCGGGAGATCCCAGAGGTGGCCGCTCGGTAGGCAGGAGTGCACACAGCGCGTGCAGCGATCGGGGGAAAGGGGTTAGGTGTGTAGTGGTACATAGAGAAAAGGGAAATCAACCGTAGAATAAAAAGAGAGAGAAAGGGGAAAAGTGAGGAAAGAGACTCGGGGGGTGATATCGGGGGAGCGGAGTAGGGTAGTGCGGCGCGGGGTGCGGGGTCGGGCGGGTGTGCCCTGACACTCAGGTGGAGTGCTGTGCCCTGAGCTTGACGTTTGGGGGAGATCCCGTATTTACGGATTGACACTCACAGCAGACTTCAAACAAGACTTGCAGGCGGAGCGGACCTGTAGGAGGAGCGCAGACTCCACGAGCACGGACTCAGAGGGGGGGGAAGCCCCCTTTGCAGAAGGAGAGACTCAGACCAGACAGGGGGGGTACTCTAGTTGATTTCAGACTAAGGTCCCCAAAAGTATTTACAGGATATAAATAGGCAGGAGGGAAACACAGAAGGACCGGTCAGTCCGGCGTGGAAATAAGCGGGGATTGTCAAACTGAATGAAGGACAAGAGCCCGGGAAATGGGAGGCAATGAACTAAACAAAAGCAGATCAAGTGCCAATATTGGCAAGTTAAGCGAATGAATGGATGAACAATATAGGCACTCGGCAAGGAATGAATGGTATGCTGCCGAGTGACAAGATGGCCAGAGAAAAGCGGAGGTCAGCACGCGGCACCGATACAAGTCCGCAAATAAGCAGGGTCGGTGCGGTGCTGACACAAGTCCGCGAAGGGACATGGAAATCAGCATGGTGCTGACAAGTCTGCAACAGAGGGTGGTCCGTCAGTGCTGTCACAAACAAGGGCAGCATGATGGCCAGCAAGGTCGGAGGGGAGTGTTGGCCTGACCACAGGGTGTGGAGGGCAACCAGGAGTGGCAGAGGTCCAGAGGGTGTGGAGGTGGGCAGAGGTACAGATGCGGGTGGAGGTCCGGATGCAGGCAGAAGTCCAGATGCAGGTGGAGGTCTGGATGCAGTGCATGGTTGATAGGGCAGGGGGCCAGACATCGGATTGGGGGCTGGTTAGATTGGGTTTCGGGTCGGCGGATTTGCCTATCGGCATCGATTCGCTGCTGACAGAGCCCCAGGATTTGTTGGTCGTGACAGAAGAAAACAAACTTGTACCTATGAGTGCCGATAATATGGAGAATGTTCATCACAAAGTGAGTACGCAAGTAAGTATGAAATCAGGGTGTTCACCCCCCTATGAGACATGTGACATGGTGTGACATTGTGTTCAAGCGCTCATGCCGGACAGATGTTGCCCGCTTCCACTGATTGTCCTGCATCCTCCAGTGATGTGAAGGGCTTGTTTTGTTGAAGCTGTGGATAATTTTCGGCCATCCACTCCCTCATTCGGACCTCCAGTGGCTTTGGTGGTGCTTTTTGTTTGAGTGTGGCCAAGTGCGCTTTTTCTTCGTGCCAGCTCATTATTTCTGCCTTCTGTGAGTTGTTGAACACTTTCCACCTGTCAGGGCACGCCCGCCTGACCCCGCACTGCACCCCGCGCGCCATACTGCACTACTGTTAGAACGGGGCTGATACAGACGACTCCGGAGTGGAATCGGAGACTTAGCGTGGAGGGACCTTGGCCTCAGCGACTCAAGTGGAGCGCTGTGCCATTGCTGTTTGTCCATTTGGTCCTTAATTTCACAGTAGGTGAGCAGGAAGTCTCTAGGGGGCATTTCAGGTCGATTTCGGACTGAACCAAAACGAGTATGTACAAGTGCCGATATATATAATGGAAGGGGCAAAAGCACAAGGAAACAAAGTGGAACCGAATTGGAACGAAGATGTCCGAATGGGAACAAAGGGAAGAAGGAGCGGAGCGGTACCGAAGGTCATAAGGTAGGACCTGTGATACTTCCAAAAGGAGGTAGGGAGGGCAAGGCCCAGAGGGGCAGGAGGATGAGGAGAAGTGGGGATGATGACTAACTGGCTAGAATGGGAAGAAGCAGTAGTCCAAATAGGGATGAGGGGTAAACGCGAGAGATACATTACAAGCGGTGAAAGTGCCGAAGGCGATCTGCGAAGCTCGGGGGTTGTGGAGCTTACGGAGGTTATGGAGGCGGGGTTGAAAGTCCGAGGGATATTGGCAATGGTGTTTACGTAGTATGAGGTCACCAATGCAATGGACTAAGACCGAGGTGGAGCCAAAGTCCGAGGTCGGGACTATGACAGAGGCTCGGAGCGAAGGTACGAGCAGTGTCCAAGTAGGAAGTACGGGACAGCGGCGGAAGGTTGTAACTTGGCGGAAGGGTGGCGGAGGAGTACCAGAGGGAGGAGAGAGGGGAAAGGTAAGGGGGAAGGAGTGGCGGAGAGGAGGGTTGTCAGGTCCAAAGGTGAGTATCGGAGCGGACAGGGGAAGCGTAGGAGGGTGACGGGAGGGTGGAGGTTGGGCGAAGGAGGAGCGGAACAGGAGGGTGGAGAAGTAGTAGGAGGGTGGCAAGAGGGGCGATGTTCGGTCCGAGGTGAGTATCGGAGCGGATGGAGATAGGGTAGGAGAGGAAGGGAGGAGTAGAGGTGGCGTGGGAGGGTAGAAGGAGGTGTGTTGCCAGGAACGAAGGTGAGTATCGGAACAGCAGTGGTAGGTTATGACTCCGGAGGTGGAGAGGGTGGAGGTCCGGAAGTCGGGTCGGGGTCGGGTATGCACGGATATGACAACTACCCCGCTATCACTCCCCATCTCCCCTCCTCCACTTTCCTCTTTCTCTCTATCTCTATTTCTATTTCCATTCTACGGTCGATTTCCCATTCTCTATGTACCACTACATACTTAACCCCACCCCGATTGCCACACGCGCTGCGCACACTCCTGCCTACTGAGCGGCCACCTCTGTCACGGCCGTGCATTCCGGCCCGTTAGCCGCCCGTCCCGATGCCGCCCGAGCCTGTTACCGCTATGCGAGCGTGAGCGCGAGCCCCGACCTCAGCCCTATCCTCCCTGAGGGCTCCCTGCTCACTCCCCCACTTGCCCCTAGGCTCCCCTACACTTGGCCGACTCCCCCACAGCCACACCGACCTCCCTGCCCCGAGTCCGCCTCTGGTACCGACCTAGCGTGACTCCGCGACATCGCCTACTCCGCTATGATACCATTGCCGCTATCGCGGCCCTACACCCCTTCGTTTATTTATCTGTTATTGTTTGTTTTGACCCTCGGTCATTGCTGGCCGCGGTGCGGCCAACCCCGCTCTTTGTTCCTATTTGCTTCCGGACCCTTCGGCCTTCGGCCCGGGTCCGCTTCTATTCATTCCACCTTCATATATATATCCTGTATACTACATTATAGTACCTTAGCTCTAATATCAACTTGACCACGACCCCAAGCCCTGACCCCAACAAGGCAGCCCCAGTAAGTTCGAAATGAGGGCCAAGAGACAACTAGGGGGCACAGCACTCCCTTTAGAGTTGCTGAGGCCAAATGCCCTACCCTCGGGCCTTGTCTGAGGCATCGCGGCCATCGCGGCCCTTAGCGGTCCGCATCGGCGACCTTCGGTGCCCGACCCCGGATCAGTATCTAACAACCTCCAGGATCTCCCGCAGAGACACCCAGGGAGGTGCAGCTGTGTGCGGAGATGACGTGGCTTCCTCCACGTGACCCTAGCTGCATGTATATAATAGTGCCTGGGGTGGGAACAGAAGAAGCAGCCTTCTTCTCAATTTTCCACTTCAGACTAAGTGGGGGGGGACGCTCACCCCGCAATGGGATCGCCACTACACACAGCCGCTACTCGTCCCACCGAGTCCCACACGCAGGGACCTCGCCGCTTTCGGAGCTGTCCCTGACACCACCGCTCCTTAGCCTCTTCCTTCCATCATTCCAACTCTTGCTCATTTAATTTTCTCTGAGCACTGTAGGAGAAATAATATTCAAACAATAAAACAATGATCTATCAGAATAGTCAACGAACAGGTGACAAGTTCAGACGTTTAACAGATCTCATGATCTTTATGAGACTGGACAGACATTAGATCATTATAAATTATCTATACCCATGTAGTATGAGATTTAATCTACTACAATCATGACTAGAATCTGGCATAGGTGTAATATTCAAAGAATATAACCCTACAACAAGAAAATAGCACATAGATGGCAGAATAAGAAGGAACATTGGGAAAGAAATGTAAATATCTCGGGAACCAGTAAACTTTTGACTGTAATCTTTTTACCATCTGAAAGAACTGTTTCTTAACTTTATTTTCGGTTTTGTTTCATTCTAAAAGCTTCAAAACTGACGGAGATATCGCTCAAACGGCGAAACACCTTATAATTCATATATATTTATTTGCTAATTCTTACAAAAAGTAATGTGACTCAAGGGAAATATATTGGCGCCCGGAAGTCTGGCGGACCGAATACCATATGATAGAGTATTCCCCGGCGCGGGCGGACAGTTTTTGATCACATCAGAAGAGGAGAAAATGCTAAAAAACCGGATCTTGTATATTTTCCCATGATTCATCAAAACTTTTTGATTTTAAGCTCAAATAAATCGGAACAAAGGAATGATTGATGATCTGGATCTCGGATCATAAGCATGAAGTAATTCAGAAGTCTGCGGATCGGTTAATTAATTGGGAAGGCTCTAGAACATTAGTAATGATGCGGCTTCACAAAAAGGGGTCAATTAGAGAACAGTTCCTTTATAGCCGAATCATTTCTAAAAGATAACCATTTGTAATTAAGGCGGTGTAGAGCATAGCTTCAGCGCTACAAGATCCCGCTAAGATCGGCCCAAAAGACAAAGAAATGAATTACCTATTGCTGAGTCATGTCCTAAGTCCATTATTAAGCTTACACAGCCCAAGCCCCTATATCATTCTAGAACTATCTATAATACAAATGTAGCACATGTAACTAGTGCAAGGCGTGGGAGTAGAGAGGCCTCTGAAAAGCATAAAAGGCCGCCGCTTCTGCCCCCTCTCAAACCTCAGGTAGAAATAAAAGTTTAATTCTCCTCACCAGTGGTTGGTTCATTTGCTCCAAAAGATAAAAGCAAATATTAGTTGTTAGCTAATATAAAACTAACACGTCACTCTAAGCGTGAGTTAGGGTCAGTTAGACACAGCTGAACAAAAGTGTCATAGTGAGAATTAGTGAGAATTTGGTGGAGGGACTTCTTAATTGAATAATCTCTCAGCAATATTTGGTTATCACACCACAGGAGAAAAGTGAGCGATCCTGAACCTGCTAGATAACTAGCACGCACTCTAAGCGATAGAAAGAGCAGTTTGGTCACTCCTGTATTGAGTAACATTTATTGCGGAATTATTTTATTAGTAGTTTTCCTTCAGTAAATTATCAGGAAAATCATGTCCTACTGAAAAGTGGTATATCTAGGTGTAATATTGACTAGAAATCATAGTAAAGTCAATATAAAATTTTATCCATAGACGATCTATACGTCAGGTGAGATCGTTGGGGGGTGTTTATTGTTGTTTAGACAGTGAACAATCATATATTTGGCAACCAAAACACGGTCAGTACGCAAATCAGCACAAACTCTAATATCGTTATTGGATGTAGGAAACTGGTTACATAAGGTGATCCAGCTCCGCTCCTTCAGCGCGCTCTGCTTGGTCCCTCAAGAATCCATCATGTGTCACAACTTGGCCAAATGCCCCTTTAATGCGTCCACCATCCTCCTTCGACTTCTCTGCTTCTTCCCATGCTAAGAGCTGTGTCTGAGCTTTAGACACATACATTCCCCCTAATGCCAACTGGGCATTTGCTGCATCCACTGCATCAACGGCTCTCTCCACCAACACTTGGGCCTTCCGAAACTCATGCCGCATTTCTTGGTTTTCTTGCACTAATTCGAGGCAAGTCTTGGATCCTGAGTCGCAATTGTCTGCAAGATCCCATTTAATTGGGGGTAGATCACTAAGTTGGCCATATGCACGTTCAGGGAGTTTGAATGTTGAACGGAGAGGCGAGGAGGACACAATGGAATTTGTGGATGAAGAAAATGACATAATATGTTCTAGGTCATTGATGGCACGCTTCTTTGCTCAGGCATGAGCTGGGGGAAAGGTAAGAGTCTCATTGGGGCTGATGGTGGTATTCTCGGTGCTGAACATCGTACACCCGGTGCCAGAAGATTGTGGTGATGTGTGGAGATTGTGGGTTGGGATGTTTGTGATTTGAGAGACAGCAAGCAAGGTGCGATTGATGATTGGTCCATCACTTTCATCATCACTAACCTCATTGTCTGGAACATTACTTCCACCTGGGTACATTCTAACATCCTGCAAGTTGTCCATTGGTGAAGGTGTGCATTCCCATTGGTATTTATGAGACATCAGCTGACTGTGAAAGTGCATAATGCGCTTAACAGGTGAGGCCACAGGGAGAGGAAGATCTCCTTGGGTGGAATGTTCAATACTCGGTGCAAGTTGTTCTGGGTGGATGACACTTGGGTTGACTGGATAGACGCCAGTTACACGGAAGCTGGTGATAATGTGAGCTGTTAGATACTGATCCGGGGTCGGGCACCGAAGGTCGCCGATGCGGACCGCTAAGGGCCGCGATGGCTGCGATGCCTCAGACAAGGCCCGAGGGTAGGGCATTTGGCCTCAGCAACTCTAAAGGGAGTGCTGTGCCCCCTAGTTGTCTCTTGGCCCTCATTTCGAACTTACTGGGGCTGCCTTGTTGGGGTCAGGGCTTGGGGTCGTGGTCAAGTTGATATTAGAGCTAAGGTACTATAATGTAGTATACAGGATATATATATGAAGGTGGAATGAATAGAAGCGGACCCGGGCCGAAGGCCGAAGGGTCCGGAAGCAAATAGGAACAAAGAGCGGGGTTGGCCACACCGCGGCCGGCAATGACCGAGGGTCAAAACAAACAATAACAGATAAATAAACGAAGGGGTGTAGGGCCGCGATAGCGGCGATGGTATCATAGCGGAGTAGGCGATGTCGCGGAGTCACGCTAGGTCGGTACCAGAGGCGGACTCGGGGCAGGGAGGTCGGTGTGGCTGTAGGGGAGTCGTCCAGGTGCAGGGGAGCCTAGGGGCAAGCGGGGAAGTGAGCAGGGGGTCCTCAGGGAGGATAGGGCTGAGGTCGGGGCTCGCGCTCACGCTCGCATAGTGGTAACGGGCTCGGGCGGCATCGGGACGGGCGGCTAACGGGCCGGAATGCACGGCCGTGACATGAGCTGGGGTTATGGTGTCTGTCCATGCTTGACCGAAGACTGATAGAAATGAGGATTTGTTTAGCTTCCTTGGGTAGTTTCGTAAATTAAAAGCGTCACACTCCTTTGAGAAGCCCCGCTTTAAGAGGGAGAATATAACAACATCAAGCCCCTGGAGAACATGTGTTGTGTGTGCAGGATAACATATAGCAACAATGTTGTGGTTGCGTGCATATGTTATGAAGTCCAGACTGTAATGTGAGTTATGTCCATCCACTACCAGGAGATGGTAGCAGCCAGCAGCCTTGTGTTGTGTAGACTCGTTAAAGGTTTGAAGCCAGTCTAAGCCAATCTCATTGTCTGTCCACCCCTTTTCTGATACAGTGACTCTAGAACACAAAAATATGAACACACATTCCATGTAATGAATGGGTAACTTACATGGCCTGCAAAGGATTATCCTTCAACCACTTTGAATTAACATTCTGCCCCTTAAAAATAACAACTGGAGGCACTGAAGTGCCATCTGCACAGACAGTCACAATCACACTGACATTCTCGCGATTCCCATCGCGTTGAATGTGTGCCCTTTTTGTCATCCTGCATGCAAAGACCTTGACCCTTTCCCCAGTCCCAAAAGGGAAGCCACTCTCATCCATAGCATAGACATCCTCATGTCGGAAATTGAAATGATTATACTGAGCTTGTAATAGTTGGAACCAGTGTTGGACAGCTGTTGGATTTACAGCACCACCCCGAGTACTTTCGAGATTGGCACTCCACTTGGGTTGAAGTTGGTCTTTGTTGCATACTAAAAACCCATCAACCCAATTTTTGCCAAGCTTGGTGAGGGATGGGTGCCGTATCTGGGCAACTTCCAATGCATACTCAATTACACGACTGCGGGTTGCTGGGAATCCACGGTCAGACATAAGAAGAAGAAAGTCTACAAGTGTATCACTCTCCACCTGATTCAACCATGACTGGTTTATTGAGGCTTCAAGGCAACTTTTCCCACCATTGAGCCTCCACATGAATGTTGGATAGGACATTCGACAACTTGTCGATACTCCACAATTGGAAGCATGTTCCCAAGCACTGGCCGCTTTTTCACCCTTCTGCTTTGCGCATAGAATCTCAGTTCTGTATGAAGTCAGGGTTTTCTGCATGTGCAGCTCTGTTGCCTCAGCTGCAAGATGCCTACGGCGCTCTAAGGAGTCCGCATGCCAGGCCATTTGACAAAACAAGCAAGCAAGGCAATATCGGCTCCAGGAGAGGCAGGATTGGTGATTAACTTTTTGATTGTTTGGGTAACATGGATGAAAATTATGCTTCCAACTTAGGTTCCGTGTCTCATCAAAACAAACAAACCCTAACACAAATAACACTGGCCTTTTGCCCACTGCCTACATGGATGGCTGTTGGTGAGATGAAGACTGCAACATGAGGCTGTTGGAGAATAGATATCTGTTCCCATCAGTATAGAGTTTAACAGCCTATACCGGCACGGTCAAACAGGCAAGTTGTGTAATGGTAGCACACTGAGAGGTCCTGGTTTCGATGCCAGGCTTGTCCATGATTTTATGTCCTTGTCTTGTGACCTTAACTGTATCATTCAGTTGGATCTCACGGAGTAAGTCCCGTGGGGCAACGTGAAATTTCTTCAGAGGCCGGGGTGGTTAAGTTGCAAACATGGTGACTCTTCGCATTCAAGTTTCTCATGTTTCACCGATTTTTTCCTTTATTTCATGCCCACTTGACACCAAATTTGGTACATGAGTAGTCCTATCAACCACCTATATCCATGCCGAATCTCACCACATATGATAAAGAACTGAACAAGTTAGGTGATTGTTTCTCATTCGGGGGTGAATAACTGTAAAATTGAAAAGTTTATGAGTTCGCCAGATTTATTGTCTATGTATGTTTTCTCCTTTGGTTGACACAACTTCGGGATGCAGGCGCATCTGCGCGCACTGTAATTCCTACCAAGGTGCCAAATCTTACAGATCTTAGCACTAGCAGTCTATGTACGGCGCTTCGCACCAAACATTATCGCGCCAAACCCAATCGCCGCAGGCTGAGGCTTGTCCAACCAGATAGCAAATTCCCCTCCTGCCATCCGACGTAGTGAACGAGACGTTACCGACGAACCAGTACTGAAAGTTAACCGTAACATTATAGTCACAAACTGTGCCCTGAGCCGTCTCCCCGAGCAGAACACCGCCCCTGCCTTCCGAGCTGCCAGCAAGTACCGCTTCGCAGCTATTGTCTGTGGTGCAAACCTAAGTAAGAGCAAATTTCATTCCAGATTTCGGCTAGCCCTCACCTCCCGACGAAGGGGGAAAGGCCACAATTAGTTCGCGGCCATTGTAGGAAGTGATTGCGCCAACATGGAAATGAGCTGCGACAATGGGAAGTAAGGCAAGCGTGATGATGGCACTCCAGACTCTCATTTCAATTTTTGGCGAAGTGCGTACTGCTGCTGATAGCCAGTGCAGACGGCGTGAGGTAGCTATCTGCCTAGCGTGAATCAGAGAGTAGTCTAAGCCGTAGGTGCTTGGAAGACTGATGAAAAAAAGAAAAAGGAAATCCATCGGAAGTTATATAGCAGTTGAGGCATCTGAAAAGTGTATTGGTTGAGCAAGACATGACGACGCGCCGGTACGCACATCATGCCCATATCGGTTATGATATGATGCCTTTCGACCATATGCTAATTCTGTTATTACCTTAGCTAGTATACCGCCGTGCGGTTGCAATGACAATTAGTTTGGTTTCTCCATTATCCGAGTATCCCCGCTGAGTGCTTCATAACAACAAAGTGAAAATAATCTGCAGCCCAAAATGACGATAGACATACCGGAACTTCGTTGAGCTTGTCGACTCTCCCAGGAGTGGTTTATTTCCGTAACCAATGAGGGTTGCTGGTGACGCCGTTCAGGCTGCCGAGTATGCAGGCGACCAGCCTCTCAATGAATACTTGCCTATTACATTCCTTTTTCCCGAATTCCCGCCACTAGCGGGTCCCATAATTTTCCCTCCTCACTGAGCAAGATGTACATCCTCTAGGATCCCCCTTACAGGCCGGTATGGAAACTGGGTCTTTAAATCCATCTGATTCTAAAGCCCAAGTGCCTCAGGCCTCAGGGTTGTCGTTCCTGCCGAGGCGCGGCGTAGATCGTGAAAACCGTCTGTTGGTTGAGCAAGACATGACGACGTGCCGGTACGCATATCATGCCCATATATATCAGTTATGATATGACACCCCTTGATCATGCGCTACGTGTCTCACGGTTGACTACGTTCCACATGTAGCACTTACGCGCATCTCATTCCTTTATCACTTTTGTCTGATACCCTGTTATTATCTTAGCTACATACTTATACCGCCGTGCGGTTACAATGTCAATCAGTTCGGTTCCCCCGTTATCTGAGTGCCCCGGCTGACTGCTTCACAACAACACCGTCATCGACTAATTAGGTATTTGGATGTAACAACCAACAAGATCGTGAGTGCTACCGAGACGACAACAATATCTCTGCATAGCTGCATAGGATTTGCTAACTGCAATCCTGACTTCGCGAATCATTCAAAAAATCCCAAATATTGCAGAAATTACGGAATGTGAATGCGAATGCTCGTACATTCTAACAAAGTGTAGCTCCCAGGATGTTGTACTTGGCTACCCCTTAACGATACCACAAAACCTTTAGCATTGGCTCTTCAATGTGCGAGTCGTTTCCATCGGGTCCACAGCATCAATTGGTAGTTGATAGGTGGATCCGGGATCGGACGGAGTCATAGGAATCGGCGCTGCCACTGTCAGTTCCATGGAAACCAACAACCCCGCCTCGGATTTAATTTACGCGGACCGGGATCTGGAGCGTTGAGCCTTCTTAGTAAGCAGTCACGATGCCAATGTGTCATGACGCTCAGCGCTGATCAGATTAATATTGAATGGTCAACTTTGAGAGCGGCAATGTCCCCCTCTACTGTTCCATGTCATGAGGATCAATCAAATTGAACGATACATATCAAGGTCCTCTTGCAACTTGAGCAGTGCGTTCACTGGGCTAATAGGAGCGCCCAACGGAAGAAGTCACTGATATTGCGGCAGTGAGTTGTAGCGGTGGAGCAATTTATCTCCATGACAAAGGCTCAGCCCTTTGCAGCGTCGACATTTTTCCAGACACTCCTTGCAATATCTGAGAGTACACTCTTCACCCCATCCGAGGATTCCTCGCGTTCCGCGTCCTCAACATGTCCAACGATAGCACAGTCGCCGCCGGTACTCACCAAGCTAACAAGGGGCAGCTCGCCGAGGACTGGTATCCCCCAATCGGACGCCATGTTGTGGAATGGAGTTGTCGGTCCAAATATCTGATGCGCGTTTGAACACGATGGGCATACGAAATGTGACATATTTAGGACTACACCCAGTATCTAGAAGTGTGTTATCAGTGGGATGTTCGCTTTTCCACATAGGATCATAGTGAAAACTCACAGGGACGCCGACCTTTCGGAACATTGAAACACCTTTTGCTCATCAATCAGTGCCACATCTTGTGCTGTTGAGACAATAACGGCTCCTGCAATGCAACGCCCGATCAGAACATTTGTGCAGAGGCATTGAAAGATCATTGCCATCGACTTTCGCAAGTTGACCGAATATCAATGCCACGTCCCCAGTCCCTGGAGGCACATCGACGACTAAGGCATCCAATCCTCGTCTCGCCAGTCAACGTCGAACAAAAGTCGTTGAGTTGCCTTCTGAACCATAAGTCCCTCCCATACAACGGCAGGTGCATCGCCCGCCGTAGATCTTGGAAGGAACAACCCAATTCGAAGGGTGTGTCCGCGCTGTCATAGCCAACGCCAGTGCAAGATTTGCTATTTAACCATCATGAAAAAAATAGTTTGTCGTACTAAGATGAAGAGATTTGAATATTACTTGCAACTGTGCTTTTTCCTACGCCACCCCCCCCCACTAGCTACAGCTATTACACATCCAGCATTTGGGATCTGCCTCCTTGGTGAGGCCGTACCCCGAGTAGGAATATAGGGATCGTGGGTGGTGGCTGAGACCCAGATCGCGAAAGTCCCTAAGTTGCCAGTGTCCGACAGACACGCACAGATTGGCAGGAGGACAGCAACACACCAACGGATTTTGATGAGAGGAAGTAAAAAAGGATCCGAATTGCCTTATATAAATTTGCACACATGAAGCCTTCTCGTGATAAGCTTCGGCTGCAGTCCGGCGGGCGATGCAGAAGGACATGGATAACAGAGCGTGGGAAAGGAGGTCGGGACTAGTGCACGTGATGGGTGCGTTGTCGCCAGTGTTGCACAAGACCAAGTCAGACTCGTGGTCACGGGGACTCTGAGTCAGATTGGGTCCGGACTGGGTGTCTCGGTCCGTCAGGTCTGAACTAACGGAGTTATAACGGACTAACGGATTTAGCTACAAGCGCTTGACGTGTCACCAGAAACATTCCACCCTGCCACTGTCTCTAAGCTCCCATCCAGGTCTAAGTTCCTCTCTCGTGTTAAGGGGCCTTCCATCTCCGTTTCTAGCACTAAGTTCCGCTCACCCTGGATCCACATTGAATCTCGCGTCAAGTTGAAAATATCTCGTACCCTTTTCCCCTGCAAACTTACACCCTAACGGCAAGCTGTAAATAGATACTTTGGGAGGAATGGAAAATAGAACTTACTTGGGGGATCTTGATGGTAGACTCCGCGCAAAATTCATTTCAGATTGTTCTGCATCGTAGTCACTGGTGAGGTCCTGAAGAAGGTTGGCACGGAAAGGATGGTAGCCATGGTTTATGTCATCAGGAATGCAGGAGGGATGTTCATGCTCGAGCTCCAAACGGCCCCAGAGGGGTCATGGTCGCTAGCGAAAGGAGCAAGTCCAAATGAACGACGGATTCTCTTCCCATGTGAACCATCGACTGCATGTTGGTGGTTGAGGTCTGGTTTGATAGATGAGATTTTCACCATCTTCTCAACAGATAGTCGATTGCGTGCGGGGTTCTTTGTGTCCCCAGTGATAGAGAAGAAGTTATATGGACATGAGGCATCGGACTTGTTGAACGCTGGTCTAACCATGCTTGTCCTTCAGCACACCCCTCTACGGAAGCGTGTGTGCATTTCACAAGATGACGAGCCAGCTTTTCTACTGTTCCTTGAATATCAGATGCGAGTGCAAGAGCTTATGTTTGCCATTTGATGAATACCTCTCAAACCAAATTGATGAGATATATGCATACCAGCTTCATGTAGTTCATCCGCTGAGCGTCGTTGTGTAATGCTTCCAGTTGAGATGCCCTCGGAATCCTTTGCCTCCAGTGTCCTTGTGTGCCAAGCCACGCATCCCTTGCACTTGGCAACGTGGTGGCTTTTATTATTTCCATAAAACCTTTCAAGTTGGTGGAAGTATTCCCACATAGGACTAGAAACGCCCATGGTGAGCTAGAGGAGGATGGGGGGTGGGATTGTGTGAAGTTTTCGGAAATCCTAACATGAAACATGGCAAATCAGGCGGCAAAGTCACAGTTGTGTAACTCAAGCTGTAGTAGAATCATGCTCAGCATCTCTTGCGTGCTAGCAAACAGTCATTACAACATCTAATCCATAACAAACAAAACATATCCTATGAAGAAAGGTTGCGGACGGGTCTGAATATCGGGATCCCCCGATGAAAAGTCCGACTTACACTGACCGTGGGAGAGACTTGTGACCATCTAGTCAGACTCACGGACTTCGGTCTTTGTGACCATTTGTGACCAGGTCTGTACAACACTGGTTGTCGCCGTTGCCCATCGTCCCTTTACTATTACGAAGTCATAGAGGCCTGCCTATCCCTTTACCACTGCCAGGCCAGGTCTCTGCTGTCCTTATTTTTAGTCGACTCTGTTGGGTTTTGGTGATTCAGCTATTCACATCCGAAAGGGGCCCATGACATCTCGGCCTCTGCTTCGCTCCTTTCGTCAACCGATTCGGTGTTATTCAAGTAAGATGGACTCAAATTGCTCACAGAATATCTCGACATCATCGTCTACCCCCCTAAATCAGAACAGACCTCCTTCTCCCCTCATCTCTGGGAAGAAGCCTCCCAATCCATTGACTCACCACCGGCGCCTCCGCCACCAGATGTACCCTCTTCTGACGCGTCGGAGGCCCCACCCCCCATCCCTAGTCTTTCCCTAGCACCTATACAGTTGCCTCACTCCTCCAAGAATCAAGTAAATCCTCGTCTTCTTAACCCATTCCACACCCATGCTTTCTATAAGAAATTGGAGAAAGAGTTTAGTCCTCCTATTGCGCATGTACTGATGCGCGCGACACGCGGTTCGCTGATTGACAAAATATCAAAGGCACGGAGGGTGCATGTAGACGTGTTAGAAGGAGAGAACGTGGGCTTTCTTCCTGTTGGGTACTCATACGCTGTGTGCACCAAATTCCACTCCCTGTAGCAACAATACTTGTACCGAGCCGCACTATCCGAACTCCGGACGGAAGTATCGATGAGGACTAGGAATGAATCGATTGCTCTTCAAACATCCGTGGCGAGTATCAAGAAGGAAGTGGAGTCCTTGGCGTCTAAAATGAAGGGGGACCTTGATAAACTAAAAGACGAGTAAGGTTCTCCTTATGAATACCAATCCTGAATAGCTAAGTCCACAGTCGCTCTTAGTGTCCAAATGGATATGGATAATAGAAAAAATGAAGTGAATATCGAGAAGAAAAAAGCATCGATTGCAATTGAAGTAAGTGCATGACGTAGCGCAGACTTCTTTTGGAGACAGACATTATTGCGCGCATTCAGGAGCTACATCATAAGGCGATAGTACAAGTGTCTGATGTCAGGTGAGCCTCTTGAAAAAGAAAGCTTTCCTCCTCTGCTAATCGTGAATACTAAAGAACGGAGATCGAACAAGCGAAATGGGATAACACAAGACGGGGCGTTCTGATCATTGGATCGTTTGTCTTATTCGCAATGGCATCATGGGAAGTGGCTCCCAAGCCAGAAAAGACAGTCAAGAAATCCAATCCACCTAAGGATGAAGGCGACGCTAATGCGAGTCTCAGCCATGCCGATAAACAATCGAGTGATGTCGGTGCTCAGACTTCTAGTTCTGTTAGATGAACCTAATGATCTCACGATATAATTTAACCACCATGCAAGCTCATCTGTGTTTCGATGTGCCAGCTGCACTTCCGGAACAGGTCGTAAGTATGGCAATCATGCAAACTTGAGAATGATCCACCCTAGTTTGGTCTGTTGAATCGGCTCCTCTAGCTGGGAGTACCTTCCCTGCACATCGTGGGCGTGACTACTGTTCATGCCTGCATGTAAAAAAAAATCCTAAATACACATCGCATCATGCTTGACCCGATACTAACTAAGCGGCATCGACTTACTGATACCCTATTCAATACGGCCGTGCAACTGCAGAGATGCTGTCGTATACTCTCCGAGTAGTTAATCTTAATAGTGTTCAATAGGTGTTTGTTCGAGCGACGTGTACCTCAACCTTCAACCGTACCCCCGCCGTCTCAAGAAGGTTCTGTCCCATGAAATGAACGCCTCGGGTTCTGAGTAGCCGGTATCTGCGTCGCGTCCCACGGGCTTTGTCAACAGCTCCCATGCAATGTGAGGACTGAGTGAGGTACCAATCGGCCTTCAAGACCCCGCTCCTGTCGTTGCGTTACTCCTGTCCAACGCAAGCTCAGTTAAGCCCGATATGGACATAAGTACTTCTATATAGGATCGACTGCATAGAGTTGGGATGCAATTTTTTTCGCTCAACACTCTCGGTCACAAGCCCACCCCCCGCGACATCGCAATGGTCGATCCGGCCTCGTCAGTATCGGATGGAACGACCCGTGGCTAGAGTCACCCTGCAACACCCCAAACTCTGGAACAGCATCGCTCAAAAATTATGTCCTGCCGTTGTGGAAAAGGGATTAAGCTTACGCGACAAACGTTCCTCAACAAAGCCATCTATCTTAGAAAGCATTCACTCCCTCCAGGCTCGATGACCCCCCTTACGGCCATAGTATCAGAGCGGAATGGAACTCACTGGCATACCCGTATGGCCCAAGCATCGTTGACGCGTTGACATATGCGAGCTGCAGCTCATTCGGGGTTGTTCTTGGTGCGTTCTACCGCGGCTGCGCTAACACGTAACAGCCATATCAGAGGTTCTATATGTCACAGCACATCCCTCCCACGTCCCAGCATCATGAAGGCAATCTTCGACGCTCCGCTGCGTCACACATGTGTTCACCAAGTACTCCGTGACGGGATGACAGTGTGCCACTGACAAACGGTCAGCTCTCAGCCGTTCCCACTCAAGGTGAAAGATTGCCCTTTGAGCCTAGTAGCGAAAATGTGCATCTACTTTTTCCCATGATACAAAATTGTAAACGGGTGCCGCAAATCTACAGTGAGCGTTTTCTAGTGCGGGAAAAACAGGGGGGCCGCTTACGTGGCAACTTCGTGGCCGTAGGGCCCAATGTCTGCGCCTCCCCACCATCTGGAGCGGCACCATCTAAGGTGAAAGCTATTTGCGCTATCTACTGAAGTAGAAACCATTTTGTCAGGTCAGAGGGTGCTCTGGGCAGGCCGTGAAATAATTCGTCCCTTCCACACAAGTTGAATGCTGTCGAGAAGTGGCGAGTTATCGCGTGTTTGGATTACACATGTACACATTACATAACCCCAGTTATACATCCCTAGAATCGGTTCACCCAGCTGGGACAACTTCCACACCTCGCCTCCGACTCCCGAGTGTTCATACTTTCCGCTCTCGGACGGATGCTTGAACGTACAACAACTTCGTCGACGATGAGGCTCACAGAGCCGCTGAAAGTCAAAAGGTACCAGTTTGGTCCACACACTGCCAAGCAGGGGGCCGAGGAAATGACGTATTACATAGCAGTCACGTTGGCTCGCACGTGAGTAACTTGATTGGATGACGGGCCGAGAAGGGCCCGCTCTCGTTGAACCGGAATACTTAGCCGAAGTGCATCGGCTACCGACAAAAAATTGGTACGTCCGATTTGTGATCACCGAAAACGACAATTACAGCTGGCGACAAAGAATCTGCCTATCAGATATGATATATCCTGTAATTGCCGATTTGGGAAATTAATGAGCGCTGGTTGCCATGTAAGGCTAAGGCAGCTGCCATATTTGGGTTGTCACAAGACTCACTTGACTGACTGAATCAAATCCGATCCGGCAGATTCCTTGTGCAAGCCGATATATTGTCAACAGAAGCGCCCATGGTCGGTGCAATAACCGTAAAAAAAGCTGTGGATCACAGGATGCCTTTCCCAGTTTAGCGCCCGGTCCCTCGTCCCTAAGATGCTCAATCGTGATAGCTCTACCTTACTGTGCATGACAACCAGAGATGAAAAAAGGGCCCATAGAAACAAGTTCAACCTAGCATCATACCAGCCTCTATAGATAGGAAACAACCGGTGACCTGGGTTGAGTTCAGCACGATCCCGGCGATCTGAGGATCGACATGTATGGATCCTTTGGGGAGAAGAAATAGACACATACATAAGTAGTTACTACAAGTCAATTTACAAAACCCTGGCATGGCTTCAGGGCAAAACGACACCTTGCAACGGACGAACCGTTCACGCCACAAACACATTCCCATAACATTGCCAGCCATATGCATCTGAACTACCCGTTGAGTAAACTTTTCCGGTTCAAATGTTTTGTCGACGATAGTTAGAGCCTGAGTACGTACAGCTCAGGCCAGGCGGGGCGAGTTACGATAACTAGGGTGCCCTTCTGAAGTCGTGATAAGCCTCCTGCTATATGTAAATCGCGAGAGTTGTTCCCGATATATTTCAATCAATTAGATGCACTGAAAATTTTTTTTGTCACTAGATGCCGGAGATTGTGTGGGTGGGGAGAGTGAGGGCTGATCCCCCCGGATCCCTTCGTTTGAACTCGCCAGCAGACACGTTCACGCTTTTAATTTGAGTCGTGACCGGGAATCTGGACAGGTTTAACAGGCTAGTATTACCATGAATATGGGCCGGCGCCCTTATCCCGTATCTCCACAAGGGAAGCCCGTGAAATTACCTTGCAGTCACACTGGTGTGCCATTCAGGCATGCTTGGGAGATCTGGTAAACGGGTGGCATTCGCGTGACCACCAAGCGCCCTCGTAAAGTGCTGTGGGATTGCGTGAGCAATGTTTCCACGTCCCTGTCGTGCTCCTGGCCCTCACGGTTGGCAGAGTGAACCATCCCATGACCTGGGAACCCAAGAACAAGCCTTCAGTCAAATAATTTGTTTTACTGACGCTCAGCTAGTATCGTTCGAGTTCACTGGAGGGAGACACCTGATCATGCCAAACTGTTCTCGCATGCACCCTTCACCTCGCCAGGACAATGCTTCCCGAGACTGTCAGGCTTGCTATTTGATTTCCAATAGCTGCTAATGACCTATGACGACGAGTTATGTTACAATGGATTCGCGTGTGCGTATGGGGGGTGTTAATAATCAATTATGTGGCGCCCCGCTCGGTTCGTGGCTGGAGGCTCGCTTATAGTCCCGGCTCTTGTTAAGAGCATCAAAGATCGCAAAGCTGTGAACGCACTGGGGAAGCCTACCAGCCCACTCGCTTGGGACAACCAAACTTGAGGTCGCAATCTTTGATCATCAGAGTCTTAAGTAATTGGAAGGCCGTGTGGTTTTGAATTTGAAGGTGTTGATGACCCTGAAACGGGTCGCCTTTCCGCGAGCCATGCCCGTTGTGTTTGTTCATTGGAAATCATGAAGGCATGAAGTACCGCAGCAAGCTCTAACGGGAATACTATTGGATGGAGGAGGCGATTACGATATATGCTGTATCCTCATCACGGTGAATGATTGGGGTATCAGTTGTGAGTTGGATATGTGGAAGCGAACGCTTCTTGGGATAGAGTTGGAAGTCAAGCGGAAAATCGTTATCACATAGGTTCCTCCTTAACCGAATAATCACTTTCATGCGTCAAAGTGCCAACGCGTCTTACAAACCAAGCCGAATAGGAACAATCGAAGCTGGAAGAAAGCAAGTCAGAAACACGTTGAACCCGGGTGCGCATCTCAGGCCAGTGAAATGTGCTGGAGCCGAGAAATGAGAGAACGGACGTATACGTACTGGCCACGATAATCGACGGCACCGATGTCAAATCGATAACGCGCAAACGTGTCAAGGACCTCGGAATCATAACTTCCCCCCCGGCGCCTGGGTGCACTACTTGACAACGGGGAGGACGGGGAATTTGAGTTATGCAACCTAGTCCGCTCATTCACTGTGGGGAGGGGCCGCGGATTTTCATCGAGTACGCAATCTCGAAGTAATATAAGCTTTGGGAGTTCGTGCGCCTTGCACAATGCTGGATTGAATGCTTTCCAAACGTCTGAAGGATTGGGCAAGTGAGAAATGTACGTAGACCGAGTCACACGATAAGGATAGATAAAGTTGACGTTGTAGGCGGATGTGGCGAAGCGCAGGATGCGTATTGGGCGTGAACTGTACGGGAGATGCGCATGCGCGCTAGATACGAAGGCAATGTGGACGTGCACAGTCAGACTTAGCAGAAGACTATTTGTAGGGGCGGATGATCAGGACTCGAGGATTGTCTTGGAAGGGATTTATGTTACCTATTTCCACTCTTATACGAGTCTATCATGGACTCGATTCGGGCTTCATTCTCCGGGGAGCTGGGGGATCATCAGGAATGGGCTTCAACTCTATAAATCCGGGGAGGCGTTGACTTACAAGACTATCTCGCGATCCACACCGTCAGATGACCGAGTCGTAACGCTGTGAATGAACGACAGAGGAGGATCCACAATGCCTGGAAAAGGTTTGGAGCCGAATAGGAGGGCGTCTCGGCGCTCGTGCAGAGGATACGCCTGCTCCCAGTACAGTTCAGGCCTTTGTAGATTACGAGCTACACATGAAGATGCCGAAAACGCAGACTTTTAGTTGCTGGGTACACGGATAGAGCGACTGTCAATACACACTCGCAGTACACCACATACACATCTTGGTCGCTTATCGAACAGTGATAATGGCCGTCGAGATCGAACTAGTACTTGAGCCCCAATGTAGAATGCAAGTTCTAACAAGCGCCTGAGGGCTGATCTGCGATGAAAGCGAAGGGTGTATTCACGATTTGCGATGGATTTGCTGAGCCGTTATATGTGAATTTGCGCCGCCCCAATTACACTCACATTGATTTTTGGCATGGTGTCTCATCAGCAGGGGCCCGAGTTGTGGGCCGAATTAACTGTAAAGACCGCGGCATTTCATAAGCAATTCGGCACCGAACACATCCCAACACGCTTTTGGACTTCAACAACACCCATCATGGAATCACAGCACGGTTCTGAAGGATCAGGCGCGTCACTCCGGCGTGCCCGTCTCACATCACGCAAAGATGGAGCTTTTTTGATACAGCATTTGAAATTAACGTTGCTGTGTAGCTATTTTCGCGGAGAGGCAGATTCCGAAGTCGAGGGCAAGAAAGGCTAAATTCCTGTGGGTGGTGAGTATGGAAGTGTCACAATTTTCCCACAAGAGGCCGAACTTTAATGTGAACATTCACGGTCGCCTGTCACCGAGCGCAGATTCTCACATTTATGTACGTGGCTATGGGAACGAGGCAATTTGACAGATCACGCAATTCGCTCCCGAAAGAAAAAAACTCAATCCCTTCACGTCATATGCATAGGTGTGTGTGTGCAGTGGTACAAGTGCTCGCATCTGATAGCAGTCCCGAACTCTGATCAGGAGAGCACTCGCTCCATCGGACCCGAACAAGGTCAGCTTAATTTGGTCACTCGTGGATGCGCCACCGGTCATGAGGACGAATCATAGACACAGGTGCCAGTGGGGGTACAATCCCGCCAACGTGCAACGACTTCGGGAAGTGCCTGGGTCCGAACTAAGAACGTTGTGTGATATCTTCGAAATGGCTTTGTCCATTTCCTTTCCGAGGGGAAGCCGGGAGTTAGGCAGGTGACCAGTCCTCTATTGGAATAGAGCCGACAGATCTCAGTTCAATAAGGATATATGGATAAAGTAACAATTCGAAAGGGCAGGGCAACTACACCGATCTCGGGCAAATGCATGCGTTGGCGTTATTCGGTTCTCTCAGCCTCTCAACAACAAGGGCATGTCCCATTTCAGTGAACACCGTTCCTGACTAACCTGAAGCGAACACCATGCCTCTGAAAGAAAACAAGCAAATTTGGGCAACCTGGTGATAGCTAGAGTGGCGTGCGACATGGGATCAAGCCGAAATTAGATTTTGGGACATCGTGTTCACCCAAAAAAGCTAGAGCATCCGGCCAATTTCACAGGGAGGGGAAACCATTGGGGAGGCGAAACCTTATTCCAATAAGCTTATCAGATTAGCGCCATGTAAGGCGATTTCTCTGAAGGAAAATACTCATTTTCGGCGGGCGCAAAGCAAACTGTAGTCGGAACGGAGCAAACGTTGACAAGTCCACAGTGGCCAGTTCGACATCGTGCCGAAATGAACAGAAAATTTCGCTTCCGCGCCGAGGGCGCCTCCGTAACTTGAAGCTTGTCAAACGCACAGCATCGCCCGGCGTCGTCTGGCGGGTCAGATTGGCTTACCCCGCATACGCGAGAAGGGGGATCTGGTCTTACCAATGCGCGCAAGCACAACATCAACGCATGAAGGGTCCGATGCGCGAGTAAGTATGTGTTGCGGCTGCCGCACGCAGGGTCCGCCTATACTATCGCTGCAGGGCCGGGCTGCCTGACCCTTTTACGCTGGAGATCGCTGTATTCTACCGCTGCTATGAAAGAACACAGAACATTTGTATTGTAGGTGCGTAGCGTACACGTTGGTTCGTGTCCCAATTTGTCGTTTCACGGTCCTCCACTCTGGCCTCGTGCCCGATTGAACGCTGTTGATCAATGGAGCATCTATCCATCCACCCAGCACTCAATACATGCACTGGCACCTCCGGCGGATGCTCTCATCTCGAATCCTGCCACTGGTCGAATTGGGGTGCGTTGCGCAGTGCAAAGGACCCGAGATCCTCAAGCTCATATGGTCCCTTAGCACCTGTGTCGGATACTTACATGTATTTGATGCGCTCAATCTGCTATTGGTGAAAAGCTGGTCCTGTTCCTGTGAAACACCAAGCATTTGTATTAGGATCTCCGGGCCCACTCACTTGGGCCCACTTTGGTTTAAATAAAGCGGGTCGTGCTGTGTTCAGCAGTATCAAATCCATGTTTTTAATCTTCGTGCTCAATGGAAAATCACGACGGCGGGACCCGATTTCTATCCGTTGGATGTGCGCTTTTGGTGCGGGCTCTATAGGTTTGGTTTGGAATGATGAACCATGCCTATCACGGAGGTCTGGAGATACTGAGATCGTTAAGACGTGGCGAGGACGAAAGGGTGCACCTGAGTTTTTACATCCCCCCGCTCAGGTTTCCAATCCAGGTATCTTACTCATCCTGCCGATTAGAAATCGGCTTCGATCCCCTGGTGTGGTAAAGGAGGATGTGGCACCCGAAGAATAGTAAAACCTCTAAGTTACAGACCCATCTTATCCAATTTGTTAGTTACAGTGCTAACACCCTCTTCCTCTTCTGACTTCGGAGCTTTCCCCTTACTAGCATTTTTCTCTGACACCGTGCTAGGGACCTGGGATGCTGTCGTTTCCTTCGCCCCAGACCTTGTTGCGCCCTCGTCTGAATCCCAAGTATCCGGCACTTTCTCAGAAGCGCTAGGTTTTCCATTGTCTTGCTCCTTATTCTCCTTCCGCTTCAGAGTTTTCGACGCAGGTTTCGATGGAGGGGTACTAACGACGTCGGCTTGTTTGGGCTTTGATTTCTTCTTTGGCTCAGGAGGGGGTGCCCAGCCAGGTATGTAACCCTTCGGCAAGGCGTTTTTGTCTGCCTGCTTCTGTCGTGTGCCTCTGAACCGACTAACATCTTCCTGCGGGGTGAACCCAGGTCGGATCTTGATCTCTTTGCGTACGCTACGTCAAAGGACGCCTAATGAGTGGACAATGGGATTGTGTATATTGATAAGAAACATTCTGCTCACCTCCCATCCGTACGTTTCGACTCTGGCACCACTCGCTCGAGTGTTTGAGAATCGACGATGATCCCTGAGGTAGTCTCAGCGGGAGTAAGCGGAGGAAGGGTGTTCCGCGACATCGATTATCAAAAGGAAAGGTTATATGGCAGTCTGAGTCAGTGCTGGTATACTATCTTTATTGATGGATGGAGACCACTTCCCAAGTTGTTGGGAAGCGCGCAACGGCGATTTGGGAACGATTGAAATCACGTGCTCATATCTGCATTGCAAGAAACTGAATGGTCAAAACTCCGCATCAGGCTTCAGCGCAACTTTGACTTAAAAATTACACATAAATGCGTTATGCAGTTTTAGTGTGCGGTGCGTCTCGCATTCGGAGCACAGCGCACGTGTGAGTAGCATTTACTTATCGAACCGTAACATAGGGCCTGCCGGCTCGGGCAAGTCCACATTCTGCTCTTCAATGCTCACCCACCTGCAGACAAAGCGGAGGACATGTCACCTGTTCAACCTTGACCCTGCCGCCGATTCTCAGTCCTTTGAATACGAGCCTTCGATTGACATTCGCGATTTAATAAGCTTGGACGATGTCATGGGCGAGCTGGGGCTTGGACCTAATGGAGGATTGGTATACTGCTTCGAGTAAATAGACGCGCATTCTTGGTTCTTATTTTGATCTTCATCGGTCAATATTCTTCCCTCAGGTATCTCCTCAAAAACATGGACTGGCTTGATGAAGAATTAGGGGACTACGAAAATGATTATCTTATAATGGACTGTCCAGGTAGTCAAGTTTTTCCCGGCGATGTTTGAGATGGCTGACGACTGCGTCCATAGGGCAGATAGAACTTTATACCCATCATCCCATACTACCCAACATAATGGCCCACTTCCTGAGGTCGGGTATGCGGGTGTGTGCTCTATATCTTCTTGAATCACAGTTCATGGAAGACCGGTATAAATACTTCAGGTAGGAGTCTTCATTTGGCTCTTTATTTCCCGCTGCTGCTAAAATATACCTTACAGTGGAGTCCTGTCTGCCATGTCTGCCATGGTTAACATCGAAGTGCCCTGGATAAATTTAATGACCAAGATGGATCTTATTGCTCCCCCGAAGAAGCACGAGGATGATGATACGGACAACTATGGACCAAGGACAGCTATCCGGACCAAACGAGATATTTCCAAGTAAGGGATTCCTGTTCGAAAGAGATTACAGCAGGTTGATTTTTTGTGACCAAAAGATTCCTAGACCCGGATCCTGATATGCTTTTGACTTCAGAATCGGGGGCAACGAATCCTAAATTTCATCGCCTTAATCAAGCCATAGCTCAATTGGTAAGAGTGGCCTCGATGGCATAGCATGAATGCTAATCCGATGACAGATCGAAGAACACCCACTTGTCACCTTCATCCCACTGGATCTCACATCTACAGCATCATTGGAGGCTGCCGTTAGTCACATTGATTACGTGTTACAGTATGGCGAACATGAAGAGCCGGTCGAGGTACGCTGTGGACGGTACTACATGTTCCGAAAAAAAATGACTTCCACCATTGCAGCCGAAGGATATGGATGAGGGGGATTTCGCGGGTATGGAATGATGGTTGCCTCAGCCTTCTATGTACGAGATCGTACACTCCGATCGTTTCGTGTCGCCAATGCTCGGACTGATGTTCATTCTCGATGCTTAGAGTCAATCTGTCACATACACGCGAGATTAGAAAGTGAGCCTTGACGAGAGTTCCTCGTAGTATGGGTTTCACAGTTTTCGTCAGGTGCAAATGAAGTACCTATATTGACTTTTGGGTGTGCTACAATTACACTATCAATCGTCAACCTGGTCACACAAAAACATCGGTATTCGGATCACATCAGCTCTGCCAGTTGATCACTCTCCTGACCTCGATGGTTCTCGGCGTCGGCGCTTTGAGCCTGTGACTCCACGCACCCGCCCATTATTGCGCACAATGCTGAAATGCCGACATCGATGTCGAGAGAGGATTGGGCAAGGTCAAAGAGGAACGAGAGTTTCTATACTACACGCATCAGGGTCGGTACATAGCATGCTGGTGAATTGAGACGAATTCTGTCAAAACCGCAGTAACTTCCCCTTGCGAGTCCTTTCGTGCATCAGAATTTTGACCCGCAGCAACAGCGCATGAGAAAGTATCCCTCGAGCCCATTGACCAACGGCTCTTTCCGCAATGATACAACAAAACCTTTTGTGTTTTAAAGAAGACCCGCGGAATCCCATCGTACCGTTTGTGAGCATGTTTCGTGCGGGCGAGGGTCCAATGTAGGCCCGCCGCCTAGGTCTTCGTCGGGCAACGAACTTTGCGGATCTCCTCCCGGCTAATGGGGTGTGAACTTGAAGCTCTAGTAACTACGAGTAGGAAGGGCGACGAGAGTTAAAAATATCAGGCTGAAACGAGGCAATTTCGGGCCCCTCTTTGGCGGAGTAGAACTCAGGGCCGGTCCATATCTGGAGTTAAAAATCATTTGACGTCGATCTCTAACAGGCTAACTTCTATCTATTTTGACAAGAATACCCCACTCTATGATCTTTTTATTCTCCGCAAACAACTTTAGGCAACGTCCGCCGCTCATCCGGAGTACAAGCTTTGGGTAGCCAAATTGTCACCATTGGTCACTCGTAAGTCGGTGCAGATTGGGCGAACACGCAACACAATTGTGATCATCAATAATCACATTGGGAAGGCTTTATATCCTCACTGGGAACCGCTCTCTGCGACCGCCGATCTGGCGGTGGGGAAGGCCCACAGACTCCCAGATCATCCTGTTGCTCCAATTCATGGATCGCTTTGTCGCCACCGATCGAACGGCGGAAGCGCCGGAGCCTTGCATCAAAACACTCAGGCAGAGGTACCCCTCGAGACATCTGAGAACCATCGCTTCGCGCAGCTATTCACTTGACAATTCCCAGTGCGCCCTTGATTCGCTGCGGCTACTTTAGCCCCACTTCATAACTCGATTAATATTTTGAACGTACCCAAAGGCACAGCTTTCCCCCGAGGCCACCGGTGCGTCATGGACTTCATTATTCCAGGCGAAGAAGTCATTTGGATGGAACTGCTCGGTTACAGTTATCGTTGGCATGGGGCCATGGATGGCGCGTGCTAATGATGAACTGGGAGAGCTGCGCAGGTTGGCATGGGGGATGTCCGGACTTCCACATTTACTAGCCCCTGCACACTTGACTGTTCACAGAGTAAACACATGCATTGACCAGCCACAGAAGACGTACTGCCATGTATTTTCAGACCAGTCTCCTTAAAATGAGTTACAAACGTCTATGATGGTAAGGTTTGTAGGCTGTGTATGCAGTACCTCAGCTTCAATGAGCCGTCTACAATTCTAGCATGCACTAAGTAGCTGCAAGCGCAGGTAGCTGTGGGACCTGGACTTGTATGCGCCCCTGATTCGAGTGAGGGCCATATTCCTTTGCGCCACTGGTGCCGTTGTTTCGTGGGAACCCCCGGGATATATGGGCTGCTTGTTTCCTCAGTTCCTTAGGGCTAGCGGTGGGTGAAATGGCAGGTGAGCCTTTCGCAAAATTAGACTAGCCACCACACGGCATCGTTTAGTTTGGCAAACCCTATCCTCCTGATACCGATGACCATCACGCTCGTGCACAACCTCGTCTGTATAGGATGGGATCTTGGCTGTGAAGAATGCCCAGATCACGGCGGCTGTGGCAAATGCAGGGTCGAATTATCACAGCCGGCCGGACACGTACATGCATTCTCGATTGCCCCTGCAGTGTGCATAAGTATTACAGTCAAGTTATGAGCCGACATTATACCCGGAGCATATGAAGCAGGTTTAGTCAGTGGCCTAGACGGTTTTCGGAACCCACAATAAGTATGTTGTATTCGATCAAGATACAAGACAACCGAGCCCAAAAATAAGAGGAATATTAACGGGTATCCAGCTGATCCCGCCCCATCAGCCTTGAAACTGTATACAAGGGCCGGCCGAACGTGTGAATCATCGTATCAATTGCGGTCGTTTTCTATTCCCCAAAACGAAGGGTTTCCAGTGCTGATGAGTGAGTTGATGCTATAGCATCAGGATTATCGCCAGCAACAGTCATGCTCAGGAAGGACAGTTCTTCCGATCTTTGGGCAGTGGTGCAGTACCGACTTGTCTCGCTAATCTGAATCAAGGCACGAACCCTCTCGGACACTGCGTTAAGTGCGTTCGGGTCGATTAACATGAGGCCGCCCGCAGGAACGGCGTTATCTGCTGTCAGTGGCACCTTGAACTTGTCGTCGGTGATAGACGCCCGGCAAGACAACCAGATAGAACTTCGCAACATCTCGATTGCTTCCCACGTACGACCTAACTTGAAGTAGATCATCCCTATGTCCTCGTATTGCACCGCCAAACGGGATTCATCTCCCTCTGGATCATTAAGGATGCTGGTGAAAGCAAACCGACAACAGGACCGTGCCTCCTCTGGCTGATCGGTCTCCAGCGCCATCAAAGCACGCGTAATGTAGAAGTCGGCGGTGACTTGCTTGAGAGAGCCCATCTGGGGTAGCCATATGCCCGCAAAGTCACGATGAGAGTCAAATACATCCTTCCGGCCATAGACATCGTAGAGAACGTCGAAATATAATTTGACGCAAAGTTGGAGCATATGTTGATCGCTCAGCTTGCATGATAGCTCTAACTTTGACAAGATACCGAACGCTTCCTCACACAACGCTTTGGTTTCGCTAATATTGGAAGAGAACCTGGCGAGGCGGAAAAGGGGGATTAAGAGGTCCTGAGTGTGAAAGGTATCACTGGGAACGGAGGTTGCGAGAAGACGCCCAATTGAAACACATTCCGTTAGGACTGCGGAGATGGTGTCCTTGTCCTTGTCCTTGTCCCCCGCCTCGTCAATCAACGTCTTGCCGTGCAACCACAACGCACCGAACAGTGACCGCTGATGATGGTTCCCCGGGCTTCTGGAAATGCTTCGACAAAGCTCCTCCACTTTAAGGAGCGCCGCCATCATGCCCTCTCCCCCTTTGTAAACACGTGTCCAACGGAAGAGCGTCCATTGAAATTCCATCGCTTGTATCAGCGCTTTGTCGCATAACCAAAGTTCGTTAGACAATATTGTCTGAATGGTCAATATCGCGCTATTTAGGTTCTCGAACGCTTCTTCCAGTCCTCCCGGGAAGCGCTCTGATGTTCGTGCGCATTCATATTCTATTTTTGCCAATAAAAAGTAGTCCGCTGGGTGCGCCACGTGGCGTTGGATGAGCTCCTTGTGCAAGTCGCGGGATGTTTTCAGCATGTCCAGTGCTTCCTCTAACTCGTCAATCTTGCCAAGGCAGCAACCGAGATCGTAGAAACATTGTATCAAATGGCGGGATTGGCCGTAATCTCGGGTGCCATGCCGAACCCGCATAACATCCAAAGCCAATCGACAAGCACAAACTGCATATTCACCCCCATCGATGTAGCTGAGTGCATGAAAGAATGTTGCTAAGGCTTCAGATAACAGGTCACGGCCAAGTACTGGTCGGGCGGTGTAAAGTGTGCATGCACGGATCACCAATTCAGCTGCCGGAGCAAGAACTGAAGTGGGAGGGCTGAGGGATTCCACCTGGAATTCAGTAAGGAGACGCAGTAGCGAGAGGAGCCACATGAGAGTTGGGATAGATTTATCAATTTTGTATTGCGCTTGCATTGTCTCCAAAGCTCTAAGTGCGGTTGTTGTAGCCTTGTCATGATCGCCCAACTCGGAGTAGCACCCAGCCATGCCTGTGAGTATGAAAGAGGAATTGTCTAGGTTAATTCGTGGAGTATCAAGTACCTCTTGGAAGCATTCAAGGGAACTTTGCCAATGGCCGAGGGCATGATGGCACCAAGCAATGACCGTCCGAGTTACAAAGATAGCCTTCTGATATGCTTCAGATGATTCCTCGACGGCCTCTCGAATCAATGCGAGTATATCCTCACAAACCTTCAACCCCTCTTCTCCGTGACCTTCGGCAGCAAGACGACCCGCAAGGTTCTGCAAGCCAACTACCTTAGGTCCAAGGCCGCTCTCTGCTACAAGAGAACCCCCAAATCTCTCGTCACAGAGCGCCGATTGCATGGATGGAGCGGAGCTATCCCAGCGGAAGTTGTGACGACGATGCATTCTTTGCGCATCAGACCAATCTTGCGCATTCTGCACTAACCTTCGAGCGAAGTAGCGACAATTCGCCGACCAAAGCTTGTACATAGGCTGGACGTCAGATGTTGCTGCTATTTGACAGCCAAGCTCAGGAAGATCAAACGGATGGCCGCTGTGGTCGAAATGGATAGAGGCTATCTCTTTAGAATTCCGCGTCAGCTGCTCAGGGTCCCCAGATATAGTCACTGTCTCTCGAAGCTCCACCCCACCAAACAGGGGTCCAAAGCTGTCCCTTTGGAGTCGGATATTTTTAATTCTGGCTGCCCTTTCTACTTTGACCCAGCTTCTTACTCCATTGTCGGATTGAAGACAAATGAGTGCAAACTCATGATAGAGCGGCCATTTCATGACCCGGTAGCAGGCAATACTCCGGACAAACCCGAATTTATTGCTTTCGCCCCGAACTACGAATGCCTCGCTTGCGGCCCAGCGGAGAAATTCGCTCAAAGGGAATGGTCGTGATACATCAATGGTTGATGCGGTGTCCTGAATGGCGTGTGCTAAGGGCGAGCTAAGTAGCTCGTGTTCATGAAAGGAAAGAGTGAAGTCCTGACACTGCACATCAAGTAGTGTATTTGGGCTTGACTATTGACAGATAAATTGCCGAGCCAGTTGCACAGCGGAAAAATGCTCACATGATAGTTGGAAAGCCAGAGGGATGCCTGCGCCTGAAACGCAATGCAAGCGTCGGAGGTGGAAGAGTCTGTTTGAGAGGTTTGAAGCGCACCGAGGAGGTTACCCACAGCCCTGCAGAGGGTAGGAATTCAGCAAGCAGGCACAACCACGCCGGGTGTGGACCCACTCTTGTGCATCTTGGATCTGGTTAATGAGCGTGTTTATCCCTTGGACTTCAGTCTGCGTGACAGCCAGAGAATATAGAGATTGAGTTGCGCATCGCACTTCTTGAAGTAACCGGATGGCCGAAGTCACAGCTTCAATTACGGGAGATTTAGAGCGTATTTGTTTCAAGAAGCGATGCTTGAGAGACTTTGGACCACGCCCAGATACGGCAATAAGGTGAGATATCGTTTTTTTAATTTGTTCTAACGTATCTTGCGCCACTGCTTCCACCTCCCACACGGGTTCCTTTGAAATTTGGGTTTCGAGAGGATCGTCGTCGTTGATCAGATCTTGGATGGCATCGTCATTCATCGTGCTGCTCCCGGTAGCTTGAGTAGGTTCTGCCGAAACTAGATGAGCATCAGCCTGTCGCAATGCTTTAATCATCGGAGACCCCCCAAACGTCCTTTGCGCCAGATCAAGTACGCATTTGACCGTTGCATCGAATTCTGGGTCCGTAGATGGCAGTGTTTCGAGTGGACGAAGGAAATCTGTTATCATCCCACTCAAGTGGTCCCACTCGGAATCATCCATCGCACAATCACTTCTGATGGTGATAAGAAGGCTACTAACTAGCCCCTCCAAGTCCTCAGCTGCGATGACGTTGAGTGCTTAGTTCGAGCAAAAGACCGAATCGTTACTTTTGGCAGATTGAACTCCGTTTGAGACCTCGCCCACACAGTTGTGCAGGGAAATATGAGAGCTTTGCACCACCGTGGACACGGGACTTGACGGTCTAGTGTTATCATCCATACAAGGAGTAAAGGAGGCAGTTTGGAAAGGGGTGTAGTCTCTCGTTGTGTGGTAAATGAACAAGGCGAGCACCTGCTTCCGGGAATGCACCCAAGCCAACCCAACCCCCAACCCCACCCAAAAATGCAAGTCGCTTCAGGCTTTCCAACTTGATTTATGTAAGCGGTATGCTTAAGCACTACTAAACTGCAAACGCGGGCGAGTCATGGCTCCTTTGAAGTGCTTGGGCTCGTTAAAAGTGTACTGAACCTGATGAAGGCGCGAGTCATTCAACAGGAAGGTGTGTGCGAGTGCAAGCTAGTGTTGGATTAACAAGTCGTGACCTGATGTGCAATCGTATATGTTTCCATCGACAATTATAGTGTGCAGCCATCCCAATCGAACCGTCCAGCTGAGCTGGTGCTTCAACACGCAGGCAAGACTCCAGCCCCCACTAAGGCAATGCATTGGGTGTACTGTTGTCATTCTCCGGTCGAATGTATGCAGCGCCAAGCCAACAGGCATGGATATTTATGTTATGAGTTGCCTTTAGCTGCATTTCAGTTTGAACAATGAGGGACTGAGGTAAGAACCAAAGCTGCATTATCAGCGTGATTAACTACTATGTTTTAAAGTACACCGGGGCTGTGCGGCGGGTTGCGTAATGCATAGCTAGGTGTGTTGAAGAAGGCGTTGTCAGATTGGATGTGTGGGCCTTCCCTAGCAAACCCGATGAGTTAATTCCCCACGCAGGTGCGGACGTTTCTAACAGCATACTCAGTCACTGATATGCCGTTTGTAAGGTAGATACCTGGCGTAGAATAGTACTAGGTAGGAAACATGAAAATGGGTAAAGGAATGACTACATAAAGTAGTTGGGGACGAACCTCAGTCTCGCGCGTATAAGCAAAGAGAACTGAGGGCGTAAAAGGAAACTAACGTCGAGCTTTTAAGCATCATACGTTTGAATATAATGAGAGTCATGGGGCGGCGCAGCCGAAACTAATCAAAGATAATGAGCAACAAACAATTGGGAATAAAAGAGAGACAAGGTTAATAATCAACGAAAAAGAGAAAAGAGTGGTCACAGGAACTGAGTAGGACTTGTTGAGTGTCGGCGCTAAATCAGGGATCCTTGTACGGTAGCGACGAGTCAGCAGTTGCTGTCTCACAACAACAGGAATGCACCGAACCATCACGGCCAACTATGCACAGTGCTGTCAAGAGTATGACGTCGGAATCACGCCACGCTGCCCATTCAAGAGTCCATAGCCAACGTCGTGTTCTCACGCCTACTGCCTAGCAATGCCAGAGGGTGATGATTGAAAGGAAGCGGGGGGAGGCCGAAGGTTCCCATGTCTTGCACAAATCTTTAGGCAGGACTCCAGCCTCTATGACTTCGTAACAAACAAATCTTGATGTTTACTGGATTATGATGCGCGCGCTTACATATGTAACTGGTTACTTAAGTCGGATGCAAATCTCGAAATTTTCATTTTCTGCGCAGTGTTCGGGTTGGCTCCCACTACTACGTGAAACGTTGCAATGGGTGGGTTTGTAGCTCCCAATAAAGTTGGAGGAGCGCTGATCCTCCACCTCTTAGGGGATTCCATCTCCAGCGAAGGCAACTCATCTGACATTGTTGATGAAAGTGAGTGCAGTAAGCGAGAGTTGTCACTTGACTGCATTGACTTTGACAGGCGTCTGTCGATGGCTAGAGGATAGTGCATCTGCAGCGTTAACAATAATGGGGCAATGTCCCACCGCCATTCAACATAGGATTGCTGTATACAAGGTGGAAATTGCTCAGGCAGGGGAGGCATTTCAATCGTTGCGCGGAGAAGTCGAGGAGCGATACCAGACACTCCAGTTAACAATATCTGGTAAGTAAATACATCTTCATTTTTCTCCTGCTAAATCAAGATAGAGAGGGACCGTCTGGCGAGAGTTGGTTGGAAGAGTACTTTACGTTCTCGGAAATTCTCTCCACCTCCGGACTGCGCGTGCGTATGTTCCAATGACTGTATTGGGGCACCGTACAGCCCTGAAGAAATGTGGGACTTATTCGACCAACTGGATGAGCTGCACACGGCCTTTCAAGCCTGGAACTTCTGGATTACGCGCAAAACACATCAGTTGTACTGTCTTAGAAGCCTCGCAACCGATCCCAGACGTCGATAGCTGGGAGCGAGTTACGATCGAACGCCTCATTCGCTGGCTTTATCACGGTCTTAGACAGGTTTTGTCGTAATGATGCTACTCCGGAAACAAACCTCTTATTCACGAAGCGGCAGCACTCCAGATCGGACACGACGTGCTTGCATGCCACACTCGGTCGACACACTTCCACAATGATTGCGATGGCGCTGCGCACCTTGAACCGTTCAATGTACAGATACTCAGTGCATTTCTTCTCATTCCGCCTCACTGCACATATGTCTCAACCTAAGTTACGATCCTACATGACAGTACCTCGCTCTCACTTTGAATTACCACTTGTAAGAGACTGCCCCTCTCGCTCTCTCATTGCCTAGCCTCTTGTTTTCTCACGTCCTCTCTCACTATCATGTCAGTAGATCCTTTGCCGATTTCTCCTATATATCAAACGAACACCCTTCGATGTTAGAATAAAAATGAATCGGGTGGCGAATGTGGTAGTGTATCATTACATTGCCTCCATCCCTCATGGAACTAGCTTTGACTCGGCGTACTCCGCGATTGGTGATCGATTCTTCACAGCAGCAACTGGATCCTTTGGTCCTCCTGTGTCTCCATTACCTCGCGCAAGTATTCTTCTGAACGGTATTACAGTAAGGGCTGGATATCTTCATAGCTCACCGACGTCGACATTGCCGAAACACCCACACCCCTCCAACCGCTCGCCACTCTCCATCCTATCCGTTTCAACTTCCTGTGCGAATTTCTGTGCCTTCACCGATACGGAGTCCAGCGGTACTCGCTGAGCCTGACTGTGCCAATGGCAGACCACTCACTGAATACGCGTGCTCTTCCATCCTATCCCTCGAAGCATCTGTTCCGCTTGCCTCTTACCCCAGCACCCTTCGAGACTATCCCCTGACTGAAGTTCTCCTACTTGCACATCCTTTGGTACTACCCAACGTGGTGAAAGTTCCGCCACTGTCAACAAGAACTGTCTCTTTCACGACCTATTGTATCTCAGGGTGGAAATCCAAAGCACCTCAAAATAAGGCTGCTATCGGTGAAACGGGTAGTGTCAGTTCGGTGTCTAAAGCAGGCGGTTTCATGGAATGCAAAGTTTACGCAAAAATGACAACATGTCCTTGCATCCACTTTGACTTATAGAATACCTGGCATTATTGCAGCGACGTATCCAGTTCCACCTCATTAGATATTGTCTTGCGCCGCCACTTCAACCTCGCCTGAATATTGGACGTGCGTCGTTCATCTTCCTCTGCGCCGCTGGTGGCACCTTAGCAGACTTCGTGGGAACCTATGGGTTGCTTGCGTTCTCGGTTTCGTCAAGCGAGGTGGCAGATCAAACATTCCACAAATCCTTCTTAATGGTTTGTCATGCCAAATTCGGGACATAGCGTGGAATTCTGGGTGAGCGTCTCGAGCAAGCGAAATAAATCCTTCAATCATCCTATCCCGTTTAAGCACGCCCACTCCGTGATCAAGGCTCTTGACAGCGACGAGGAGACGTCTGACAACCTCCAGTTGCTTGGCTGCAATCGTGTCCAGTATTTAATTCAGTGATGGTCCATACCTTCACCTTTGGCAGACAGCAATGCATGCCGCCTCAGAGTCTCTGTGGTGTTGTTGTCATGCGCACTATTGGCGCTTGGCACATGAGATCCCGAGATTCACCTGCTGCTGGTATTCATTAACCATGCAGAAGAGGTTCAAGCCTCAAGTTGGGATGGACAGGGAGAGGCGAAAGCAGATGCCATGCCGTGCCATGCCAGCTGATGGACACATGGGGATGTGATACTTGGGACCGTGTTTACTTCTGAATTAGAACTGTGTGTGTTTATCCTCGTCCACAACCTCGTCTGTACCGGAAATAATTCAAAGGGTCTTGGCTGTGAAGAATGTCCTGATCATGGTAGCCGTGGCAAATACACCGAATTATTACAGCCGGCTGGATAGGTACGTGGGGTCATGCACGTTTTCGATTACCTCTGCACATTGCAGTCAAGTTGCTTATGAGCCGACATGATTGGGGACAGCAGGTTTTAGTCAGTGGCCTAAACGATTTTTGGACCATGAATAGTCAGTAAACGGACAGAAGTATATGTTGTATTCGATCGGGTCAGGGTATAATAAATACAAAACAAACGAGGTATTGACGGGTAAGCCAGGCTTCCAGCGGACCTCGGAAGACGCGAGCCTCGTCAGCCTGCCAAAGGTGTGAATCATCGTGACGATTATAGTCATTTACTGTTCATCCAAACGAAGGGCTTCCAGTGCTGATGAGAGAACTGGTGTTATAGCATCAGCATCCTTGCCGTAAATAACTGTGCTCAGGAAGAACAGCTCCTCCAATCTTTGGACATTGGTACAGTACCGGCTTGTTTTGGCAATTTGAATCAAGGCACGAACCCTTTTCGACACTGTGTTGAGTACATTCAGCTCGATTAACATGAGACCACCCGCAGAAACAGTGTTGTCTGCTGCCAGTGTCGCCCTGAAGCTATCATCGGTAATAGACGCCTGGCAAGATAACCAGACAGAACTTCGCAACATTTCGATTGCTTCCCACATACGACCCAACTTGAAGTGGATCATCCCTATCTTCTCGTATTGTACCGCCATATGGGATTCATTTCCTTCTGGATCATTGAGGATACTGGCGAGAGCAAGCCGACAACAAGACTGTGCCTCTACTGGCTGATCTGCCCTAAGCGCCATAAAAGCACGGTTGATGTAGAAGTCAGCGGTGATTTGCTTGAGGGAGACCATCTGGGGTAACCATATACCCGAAAAGTGATGATGAGCGTCTAATAGATCCTTCCGGCCATCGACATCGTAGAGAACATCGAAATATGATCTGACGCATTGTTGGAGCATACGCTGATCGTCCAGCTTGCATGATGGCTCTAATTTTGACAGGATATCGAACGCTTCGTCACATAACGCTTTGGTTTCGCTAACATCGGAGAATTTGGCGAGGTGGAAAAGGGGGATTATGAGGTCCTGAATGTGAAAGGCATCACTGGAAACGGAAGTTGCGAGAAGACGCCCAATTGACACACATTCCGTTAGAACTGCAACGATGGTGTCCTTGTCCCCCGCCTCGTCAATCAACGTTTTGGCGCGCAACGACAACGCACCGAACAGCGACCGCTGATGCTGGTTCCCCGGGCTTCTGGAAATGCTTCGACAAAGCTCCTCCACTTTAAGGAGCGCCGCCATCATGCCCTCTCCCCCTTTGTAAACACGTGTCCAACGGAAGAGCGTCCATTGAAATTCCACCGCTTGTATCAGCGCTTTGTCGCATAACCAAAGTTCGTTAGACAATATTGTCTGAATGGTCAATATCGCGCTGTTTAGGTCCTCGAACGCTGCTTCCAGTCCTCCCGGGAAGCGCTCTGATGTTCGTGCGCATTCATATTCTATTTTTGCCAATAAAAAGTAGTCCGCTGGGTGCGCCACGTAGCGTTGGATGAGCTCTTTACACAAGTCGCGGGATGTTTTCAGCATGTCCAGTGCTTCTTCTAACTGGTCAGTCTTGCCAAGACAACAACCAAGGTTGTAGAAACATTGAACTAAATGGCGGGATTGGCCATAATCTCGAGTGCCATGCCGATCGCGCGTTACATCCAAAGCCAATCGACAGGCACAAACTGCATATTCACTCCCACCGATGTAGCTGAGTGCACGGAAGAATGCTGTCAGGGCTTCAGAAAGCAAGTAACGGCCAAGTACTGGTCGGGCGGTATGGAGTGCGCATGCACGGATCACCAATTCAGCTGCCGGCCCAAGAACCGAAGTGGGAGGGCTGGGGGACTCTACTTGGAGTTCAGTGAGGAGACAGAGCGGTGCAAAGAGCCCCGTGAAAGTTGTGATGGAGTGATCAATTTTGTATTGCGCTTGTATTGTCTCGAAAGCTTTAACTGCGGTTGTTATAGCCTTGTCATGATCGCCCAACTCGGAGTAGCACCCCGCCATGATTGTGAGTATGAAGGAGGAGTTTTTTAGGTTGAGTTCTGGAGTATCAAGCACATCTTGGAAGCATTCAAGGGAGGTTTGCCAATGGCAGAGGGTATAATGGCAGCACGCCATGACCGTTCGAGTTACAAATATGCCCACCCGATATGTTTCAGATGATTCCTCGACGGACTCCTGAATCAGTGCGAGTATATCCTCACAAACCCTCAACCCTTCTTCTCCATGGCCATCGGCAGCAAGACGACCCGCAAGGTTCTGCAAGCTAACTACCTTATGTCCAAGCTCACTTTTTACTACAAGGGAACCCCCAAATCTCTCGCCGCAGAGCGCCAATTGCATGGAGGGAGCGGAGCTATCCCAGCGAAAGTGATGCTGATGCATTTGTTGCGCATCTGACCAATCTTGCGCAGTCTGCACTAGCCTTCGAGCGAAGTAGCGACAATTCGCCGACCAGAGCTTGTATACAGGATAGAGGTCAGATGTTACTTCTATCTGATTGCCAAGCTCAGGAAGATCAAACGGATGAGCACCGTGGTCGAAGTGGATAGAGGCTATCTCTTTAGAGTTTCGTGTCAGTCGCTCAGGGTCCCCAGATATAGTCACTGTCTCTCGAAGGTCCACCCCACCGAACAGAGGTCCGAAGCTGTCCCTTTGGAGTCGGGTATTTTTAATTCTGGCTGCCCTTTCTACTTTGACCCAGCTTCTCCCTCCATCATCGGAGTGGAAACAAACGAGTGCGAACTCATGATAGAGAGGCCATTTCATGACCCGGTAGCATGCAATGCTCCGGATAAAGCCGAATTTATTACTTTCGCCGTGAACTATGAATGCCTCGCTCTTGGCCCAGCGGAGAAATTCGCTCAAAGGAAATCGCCGTGTTACATCAATGGTTGACGTTGTATCCTGAATGGCGCGTGCTAACGGCGAGCTAAGTAGCTCGCATTCATCAGAGGGAAGAGTGAGGTCTTGACATTGACCACGAAGCTGTGTATTTGAGCTTGTCTGCTGACAAAAATTAGATTTCCTAACCAATTGCACAACGAAAAGATGCTTACATGATAGTTGGAGAGCCAGAGGGATGCCAGCGCTTGAAACGCAGCGCAAGCGTCGGAGGTGGAAGGGCTTGCTTGAGAGGCTTGAACCACATCGAAGAGGTTACCCACAGCCCTGCGGAAGATAGATGCTCAGCAAGTAGGCACAATCACAATGGTGTGGACCGACTCTTGTGCGTCTCGAATTTGGCTAATGAATGTGTTTGCCATTTGACCTTCAGTCTGGATAACAGCCAGAGAATATAGAGATTGAATTGCGCATCGCATTTCTCGAAGTAACCGGATGGCCGAAGTCACGGCTTCGATTACGGAGGATTTAGAGCGTATTTGTTTCAGGAAGCGATGCTTGAGAGACTTTGAACCACGCCCAGATACGGCAATGAGATGAGATATTGTTTTTGTAATTTGTTCCAACGCATCTTGCGCCACTGCTTCCACCTCCCACACGGGTTCCTTTGGAATTTGGGTTTCGAGGGGATGGTCGTCATTGATCACCTCTTGGATGGCGTCATCATCCATCGTGCTGCTCCCGGTAGCTTGAGTAGGTTCTGCCGAAACTTTCGGTGCTAGATGAGCATCAGCCTGTTGCGAAGGAGCAAGTGCTTTCATCATCGGAGACCTCTCAAACGTCCTTTGCGCCAGATCAAGTACACATTTGACCGTTGCATCGAATTCGGGGTCCGTAGATGGCAGTGTTTCGAGTGGACGAAGGAAATCTGTTATCATCCCACTCAAGTGGTCCCACTCGGAATCATCTATCATACAATCACTCTTGACGGTGACAAGAAGGCTACTAACTAGCCTCTCCAAGTCCTCGGCTGCGATGACGTTGAGCGCTTAGTCTGAGCAAAGGACCGAATCGTTACCTTTGGCAGACTGAACTCCGTCTGAGACCTCGGCCACACAGTTGTGCGGGGAAATATCAGAGCTTTGCGCCACCGTGGGCACGGAACTTGACGGTCTGTTATCATCCATACACGGAGTAAAGGAGGCGGTTTGGAAGGGGATGTAGTCTCTCGTAGACGAACAAGTCTTGCGCGCCTGCTGCCAGGATTGGCAGTTGATTTAATCAGTATTGTTGGCGCTGCGTTCCAAATATGGCTACTCGCCTCTCAGATATGAAGCGCCCATATTTATACTTGAGTAGAATTCCTGATAAGAAATTCTAGGATTTTCCATCCGTAGCGCTTACGCGGGCGCCTAGTCACCCATAGAACATTCCCGCACTTTCGCGTCGAGTCCGGCTCCTTCCATATATGTATTCCAACAATCACGGCTGCCCGAAGCTTGGCCCGACGCGCTTGGGTTCGATTGGAAGCGCGCTGTACCTGATGAAGGTGCGAGCGTGTGCGAGTGCAGGCAGTGCATTGTCTATCACCGTTGTCATTCTGTGATCGAATGCATGCGCCCGAGCCAACTACAATGAGTACTTGAGAAATGGCCGCGTTTAGGTTGTCCATGACCTCAACGAAACATGTGCGGCCACGTCCAATTAACAGGTGGCAATGATGCTACAAAAGAACCAAGGGGTAAATACAGAGAAACCACAGACCGTGAGTTAAAGATAAATCAAAGTCCAACTATCAGTGAAGTCAGAAAATGTCTACATCAACCGCAGCTCTGGTTCTGCGCTCCCTCTCTGTCCGGTCTCTGTAAACCTTCCCTTCTCTCCCTGCGCCAAACCGCTCCTGAAAGTCGATAAGATCTCTTGTAAGTTGATCTAGGAGTTGCATTGCTGTTGGTTCATTCGGTTTAGGAGTACTAATCTTTAGGGCTGTAGGCACAGGGGTCGGAGTACCTTCAGCTTCAGAGGCAAGGGCCATAGCAGCGGTAACGTTATCGGGTGGTGTTGGTGTGCTAGGTTCATCGCCCCCGATTTTGGTGAAAGCATTGGTGGCACCGGATTTTGTATTATTTCCTTTTGTGGCATCTCCCGCGCTTCGAGCAAGTATGGCGTCATCACTCTTCTCTTTCGGACTTTCGCGACCCACTGGTGATCGGTCCGTCGCTGGAGGGATCGCCCTCCTCTCACTCTGCGAATCCACAGTGGAAGTCGCCAATCCCGGAACCGGAGAGGCCCGAGTGGGTTGACTGTTTGCCAACGCGGCTTTCAGCATCTCAACCCTCCGCTCTCGCTCACCGGCTTCTAGCTGTGCTCTAGCGACGTATTCCATCATGCCGCGAACGCGACGTCTCATCTCCCCGATGGTTGTGCGCTTCGGTGGCCAGCGCACTTTAACGCCCCTTTCGAGTACACGGTTGTCTTCCTCAGGGCCTACGCGAACATTGATGCCTTGGGGGGTTGGGTGTGGAAGGAGTCGAGCAAGGTGGGAAAAATGGTCAGGGATATTGTACGAGACAGGGACAGGAGATGGTGACCATCCCCGAGATTGTTGGGGGAGATTGCGGCGAGTACCATGGTCATGCCTGTCACTCTTCCCATGCTTTGTAGGGGAAGTGACTGCAGTCACTAGCTTCGGGACTCGATATGTGTATTGATTAGGGTGTTTCACTTTACCTAATTGATGAATATTTTGTTAGTTTGCGCGTGGACTAGAACAAGGTGCGCGAGGACGGACCATCCACATCTAAGCTTTGTTCTTTCTCTTTCCTAGAGGATCGACGATTGCGGCCTCCTTGATTGGAATCCGTGGTGTCAACTGGGGTGCTGTTCCCGGTCTTCGCACCTCTTCCGCGCGAGCTATCACCATTGCCATTGGCCTGGTCCGAAGGAGTCGACTCTGGACTGCCAGCAGATCGTTTTCGCCGATTGCTTAGACAGGCGGGTTTGAATCAAGACCATCGCTTCAACACGTCGAGTACAAGCACCCACTTATCAACTGAATCTCCCGCGTCTGCACCGCGCTTACGTTTCCGGCGTCCATCATTAGTGTCGACCTCCACCTCAGGTAGCGCACCAGAGCGCTCCGCTTCCTTGCGCGACATATCAAGGACACGGTTCATCTCAACATCCGTGTCACGGCTGTTCATCGTATTGCGTCTCTTAGGTGACCTGTGCATGGGCAAGCGACGTCCATCAGGTGATATAGACCGAGATGTTCGTGAACTAGACAGGCTCTTAGCCTTTTTTGCGTCACGTCGTGATGCTGCCTTCGCGCGGCGTTCAAGTTCCCTAAGCGAGTGTACGCGGTTCATTAGACACGATATTCGTCAAGCGGAAGAAAGGGATGGGGGTGGGAGGAGGTGGGGCGGGAACCACGCGGCTTTTGTCGATTCAAAACACGTACTCAAGAAGCGCCGTATGAAGATCTGGTCGACATTCCTCACAGTAATATTTCTCCGGACAATCTTCTTCCCGTTCGATACCCATACAAATCCCATGTTGCCAGACGTTGCATTGTTCACACTGGACCATGAATCCCATTTCCTTAGTTTCTGTCTCTGCATGCATTGTGCGATAAGTAAGATGCCAGGGCCATATCAAAGCCTCGAGGTACGAACCAGCTTCGTCGCAGACACATCGAGTCACTCCTGAGTCCTCTTCGTCTTCTTCCCTCGTCGGATCTTCGAGTGGGGAGACCTCGGCGCCTACATATTACAATTATCAATCAAATAAAGGGATTTCCATCAGGTTCACCGACCATTTTTACTTGCCCTTTGAGATGATCTAGTGTCCTCTAAATGACTTGAGTCAGCGCGGGCTTTGTGGCTACCGCTTCTTCGTGATTTGGGAAATTCATCGTCCTTGGACGCTTTGGGCTACATGAGACGGACGAATCAGTCTCAGAGATGTGTAAAGGCATAATCCGGAGGTTTCCAACAAAACTTACCGCACGATTCGAACGCCGGGTGCTGCCCTTGGGGGGCATCGGCTCCTTGGTTGGAAGGACGGGATGGTGATGAAACTAATTAGAAGAGGTTATGACAGGCTAAACAAGCTGGGGGGGATGAAGAGGCGTCTGCAGCGACCCAAGACGTTTGCACAGCAACTGGGGGCTGAATCAGCGATGGGACAAAGCTGAAGAAAGATCAAGATATTCGCCTCTAATCCAGAGCATGTGATCCGCATGAAAAACATCACGTGTGAAGCCCAATCTGTGAAAGCGCGGATCGTGCCGGGCGACCGTCTCTCGCTCTCTGATTGGCTCAAGCCCTCGCACTTTAACACCGAGTTGTGACGGTTCCGACACGGTCACTCTGATTGGCTTTCGCACTTTGGGGTGTTAGCGTTAACGCCGAGTTTGGATGGATCAAGGACTTCAAATTCGATCGAGTTTCATCGGAGTTACGAAGTCATAGAGGTTGCCCAGTTGGAGAGTCTCCTGTGCGTGTTCAGAATAGATCGGCTTCCTTTCGGACTGTCGATTTCTGGGCGCCGATACATCGACAACGGGAATCGGCTGTTGACGTCCGGAATTTTGATTGACGGTCCCCCGCACGCGACCCAAGTTTTTTGCCCTCAATCACTATTGGACTAGTGAAAACCGTGCTCCATTGACGTCCGTTTGCGCTTTGACGGTGTTTTCTCAACGCCGAATCATTTGGTACGTAACCTAACTGCCAAGTTACACCACAACCATAACAACCTCTCTTTTAAAGGTTATACGTTGGACTTCCATATTGTCGCATCCCTCCTCTTATACATGGCTCAAGCTTTGACAACTCGCGCTAATTTAATGTTAATATGTTCCAGGTAAAAAATGGACGACTTTACAGCGAACTCTTATCGGTGAGTATAATTTCAGTTCCAGCACTCACAACACTCACTTTGGGGACCAGGTTCGGATGAGGGGGGAGGCGTTATCGGTCACTTTTGGCCTCTACATTGGCAGTGCAAGTACTGAATCGTCCCAACATGAACGATCTCCTTTCATGCGAGGCAATCTCATTACCCGAGTGATCAATGACGAGCCCTTAGTCTGACATCAGTCTCCAGGTATCCAGTAATGACGACGCCACGAGCTCGTCATTGATCACTCGGGCGCACTATTGTCCGTAACTCGCCCCTCCCATTGGTCGCCTTGCCTCTCTCACTCTCTCATTGGCCTGCCCCACCTTCTCTTTAGGGAGGACTTCGACGGCTTGACGTCGTACTGACATCGCCTGGAAAGCAAATCTCGCCCAGCGACATTCCAATTATCGGTGGCGTCTACCTATATCACGGTCAAGCGCTGCGAGCGACCACTTATACAAGTAGCGCACCCCCTCCCCCCGTAGTAGAGGCTGGGATCCTGCCTACTCCCCCCGTTCTTCGTCTGCCAATCATCCAGTGGCTTTGGAGCGCACCTTTGTCGGCTTGACGTGAGTCAGAAGCAAATCTCGCCAGCGACATTTCCATTGCCTTTCACTCCGCACATTGGTGGCGTTCTTGCCCGGCGACCTAACACCTTGTCTCACTCAGGTGGCACAAATGTACACAACAGCCAAGAATCACTCTCATCTTGAGCACTGCGGACTTTGACCTCTTGACGTCGTTCCGATGTCGTGTTGGAACCATTCTGGCGCTCCAGCAGTGCCCTGTTGGCGCCTCGCCCTCACTGTGAATCACCGCTTGCAGGACACTGTGCAACATTGTCCATTCTGCACCGAGATTGTCTTCAATGTCGTTTGACCCTGGTGTGCGCCTCAACAACGACTCGGACAGCTGCAACAAGATTGAGAAGGCTGGTACATGGTTTCTTTTTTCACACTTGATCCTTGGCTCAGGTTCGGACGACGCAGACGTTCTAGCTGTATCATTCGATCTGTACATTGGCAACGCACTGACCTCTATTCCGCGTATGCATATGGGTGACCTACTTTTATTACATCGCTCGTGTCATGAATTACGACATCGCGACGTCATTCACGCAATCCAATCACCGGTCATCCCGCTGACACAATGCAGCCTTCCATGAATGTGAACTTCGATACCACCGGAGTTGTCTATGCGATCTCAGATCAATTCTTCACAGTAGTGACTCGATGCTTGGATGCATGTTTGCTTATCTCGCACAAGTATTCTTCTCAGCGGTATCACAATCCCGTAAGGTTTAAGCACTGAAAGAGTAAAAAAGTATTGCGATGACTGTCTCTCAAGACTCTCCAGTGTAAACGCCTTCCTGAAATTCCAAAGTACGTCATAATTGTTACTTACGTGTTCACTTTTGACATCACATATGTTGCTATAAACTAATGCTATCAGCCTGTGAGTGGGTATTTATACGACGATCCACGCCCTCCTCCCCACTTCACTACCCAACTCCCTGAGCACGCAAGCTTCATGTCCACAACTGTTGATACAAATAACGTCCCCGCTATTGAACCCATCAATTCGCAGCCATTCACCAAGGGCATGAACATGGGTACATCCCTCGGGTCTCTATCTGCGTGACATCATGGCTGACCACTCGTCTTTTTGACCTCTGACGCCGTAGAGGTGCGCGAACATTCCGTGGAAGAAGCCAACAAGAAGCAATCTATCTGGGGCCGCCCCCTTCGTATGCGAGGCGGAGGCATGGTGAAGGATTGCCTCATCATATTTGCTTGTTACGAATGCTGCAAAAGACGCGACAAATGAATTGCCGATATCATCTGTGGGTATCAAGTTCCTTTCGGATTCCTTTCCCTGGGCTTGGTTCCGCACGAGAACACTGATAACCATTTTTTTAGGCTGCCCTTGTGAAGCCTGCTGTTGATCTGTGTAAATCTCTACTCATGCATGCGCGAACTTACGACATGACAATGACAAATGACTGTACCTAAATTGATATCTCGGTCCCGCCGTGCCGCGGTCGAACTATTTTATGTAGCTCAAGTGCTGGAGCGGAGCAAAGAAAATCCGGCCACTGGTGTAGATGACCTTTGGTTATGGCGGCAATAGCGAATATTTGCATCGATTACGGTGGAAGTCACTGACACCGAAGGGATACAAGGGAGCAAATGGGGATCTGGATAATAATTGACACGGTTCGCGCGTTTAAGGTGTCTGATGGCCGCTGCAGTCATTTGCGCATGATTGACGCCCTCGCATGTCTATGTCACATACCACTACATTTTGGACAACAGTTTCAGGAGTGGAAACAGACTCACTTACACACAGGGGGGGTTGGTCATATCGCGGACCCGAGGCGGCAGCCACACTCAAATGGAGGGAGACGATTCAATTCAGAGGCTGTTCATGAAGAGAGTACATGTCATACTAGCCATTCTAGCCTGTCTCACTATCAACAATTTAAGAGCCATTCTTCGATGAATATCACAAAAGGAAGTAGGTGAAGAAATCGAGGACCTTATCGAGGAATCGACAATAATAGAAGACCCTCTCAGTAATGCATTCAAATTTGCAGGACCCATGTAGTAGTGAATTAATCAAGCGCTGAGGGTCAGGAAATAAATTGATCATGTTAAACGGATAATGACAAACATAACGGCCCATGCTATCGCTACGACGATGATGGAGAAGAACACAATCCACGTCGTACCACCGCTCTTACTACTATACGCACCTAACCGAGATCTCTCTGCCTTCATTCTTGTGAAGTTTCCTTGCAGCTTCATCTCCGCGCCCTCAAGTACAGCCTTGTCTTTCTCCAACGCCTCAGTAAAATGCATCGTATTGAGCTTCAGTCGAGCCGCCATCTGAGCGAGTTGAGCGGAGAGCTCTTCTTGGGTTTGTAGTGATGTGGCGAGGAAGGACGATGATGCGGGCTCGACCTGGGCTTCATTGTCCGTGGGGATGGGCATTTCACTGCCTAAAGTGCGTGGGGCGAATGGGGAATTAGGGACTGATGGTAGTGAAACTGCGTTGTCCGAGGCCAGCAGCAGGTCGAGTTCTAGAGGTTGTGGCACAGGATGTGTAGATTCAGGTTGTGTAAGTCTATTCATTCCCTCAGACGTGGATCTAGTGGTTGGGGCGGCGGTGGCTGGTACGGAGGGACATAATTCTGGCTTCGGTAGCGAGCTAACAAGGCTTTTGCGGATTTGAGGCTTTGGAGCCAATTCCTACCCAACAATTCGTCGGCTCGACTTTACAGGGAGGAGTGCAGCAACTTACATTATAAGCCTTTTGAAGTACAGGCTCTATATCGTCTAAACACTTGACAACGGTAGGAAACGAGCTAATAGCAGTGGTCAGCGAAGCGGAGAAAATGTAAAAAGGGGAGGGTCTCACGACGTAGAAGGCGAGTATGGCACGTCATCTTCGTGTTTTCGGATCTTAGCCAGTAACTTTCGAGCATACTTCACATTCTTTCATCCATAATTCATGAGTCGATGCCTCACGCGGAAGTGTTGCTGCGTCCTTACGGTCTGTGCCCTCGAAACCTGAACCCAGGCAGGCAGGTCGGAACGCTTCTCCCATACGCGCTCGCTCACGTCCCTCTGAAGCCTTGATACTAACCTTACGACGTTAACTCTGTCGTGCAGCAATTGATCCATTCCACGTTCGTGCGGGGCCGCAAAGCAAGCTCGTGACCGGTTTCCTGTTTTGGAGTTCCATGTGTGTTACCATAACTGTATGCTAATGTGAGTGTAACAGTGCATCGATCTGGCCTCAAATGTGCTTAAATGGTTGCTCTACAGATGCTTATTCTTCCGGGCCCATCGGCTCTTACCCCCGTGAGGCGTGATGTCCTTCTGGCAAAAATCCAGAGGCTCGTCACAAGGGTCAAATCGATCGATGCGGTATTTATTCATCTTGTTCAGGCAATATCACCCGAGCAGCAGAATATCCTTGAAGCGACCGAATCTAAGGAGCGTAAAGTCTTGGATGCTTTGCTTTCTTATGGAGACGATTTTTCCCTTCCCAGCACACGGTCGTTGGTACAGAACGGAGATGGCCAAGTGCTCTATATCACTCCGAGGCCAGGATCCATATCACCCTGGAGCAGTAAAGCAACAGACATTTCCCGAATGTGTGCGCTAGGAAATTGCATAACCCGTCTGGAACGTGGCACTGCGTTTGTGGTTGAAACCATTGACGGACACCAGATACCTCCACAATCAATCACTTCTATCGCACCACTTATCCACGACAGAATGACATCCATCATATACCCACACCCTCCTCGGGTGGAGGCCCTTTTCAACGCACAATCACCTCGCCCTCTCCGATCCATCTCCCTGGGCGACTCTGACACTTCCATGGAAGAAGCCCGTTCCCGTCTTTCAGAGGCAAACAAGCTCTATGGAATGGCGCTAGCCCCTGACGAGATAAATTATATTGTGGATGCATTCTTGACGGGACCGAGCCCTATTGGGCGAAATCCGACCGATGCTGAGCTCTTCATGTTTGCGCAAGTAAACTCAGAGCACTGTCGACACAAAATTTTCAATGCAGACTGGACTATTGAGGGCGTCCTACAAGATAACTCGTTGTTTCAAATGATAAAAAACACAGAACGTCTGAGTGGGACATACACGATATCCGCTTACTCCGATAACGCGGCGGTATTTGAAGGTTCTGAAGCGCCCCGTTTCGGTGTAGCTGCTGGTGCCGAAGCAATGGATGGTCTTACATACAGCACGACGTCTGAAAGTATCGCTATTATTGCCAAGGTTGAAACACACAACCACCCGACTGCAGTTTCTCCGTTCCCTGGAGCAGCCACGGGCTCAGGAGGCGAGATTCGCGATGAAGGTTCGGTCGGCAGGGGCTCCAAGCCGAAAGCTGGCCTGACTGGATTCTCGGTGTCCAATCTCCTCATTCCGGGTTTCGAACAACCTTGGGAAAAGGACTTTGGGCGTCCCGAACACATCGCTTCGGCGCTTGACATCATGATTGAAGGCCCACTGGGAGCGAGTGCCTTCAATAATGAATTCGGCCGACCAGCACTTGCTGGCTATTTCCGCACGTTCGCCGAAGAAGTTGCATCGTGCCCAACTATTTCCGATTCAGACACCGAGATTCGGGGATATCACAAGCCGATCATGATTGCAGGAGGCGTCGGAAATGTTAGACCCATGTTTGCTAAGAAGCAGCACATCACCAGCGGCGCGAAATTGATCGTTCTGGGCGGACCAGGCATGCTCATTGGTCTCGGCGGTGGCGCTGCATCCTCTCAAGCAGCAGGCGCAAGCTCCGCAGAGCTTGATTTCGCTTCGGTACAAAGAGAAAATGCGGAGATGCAGCGGAGATGCCAGCAAGTGATTGACGCCTGTGTCGATCTGCGCGATGATAATCCAATCGAATCTATTCATGATGTTGGTGCAGGCGGGCTCTCCAATGCTCTTCCAGAATTAGTACACGACGCTGATTTGGGCGCGGAATTAGAGATTCGTGATATCCTCGTCGATGATGCGTCGATGTCGCCGATGGAGATTTGGTGCAACGAGTCACAGGAACGTTATGTCCTTGCTATCGCACCTGGCCAATTGGAACGTTTTGAGAGCATCGCAGAACGGGAGAGGTGCCCATTTTCGGTAGTCGGCGTTGCCACTAAGAAAAAAGAGCTCGTCGTTACAGATCGGCTTCTGGGGACAGAAGTCATTCACCTTCAAATGTCGACCCTGTTTGGAAAGCCCCCTAAGCTCCACAGGAACGATCAGAAGTATCGGCGCCCCGTCGCGCAGTTCGATTCGTCCCTCTCCGCGTACATTTCCGACAGTCTCACTCTCAATGAGCGCTTCACTTTGGCTGTCAATCGCGTGCTACATTTGCCTTCCGTTGCCAGTAAGTCGTTCCTCATTACAATTGGGGATCGTTCCATTACTGGGCTTGTCACCCGGGACCAAATGGTGGGACCCTGGCAAGTCCCGGTGGCTGACGTTGCTGTCACCCGCGCATCGTATGGATTCGACGTGATCACCGGCGAAGCAATGGCGATGGGTGAGCGGACTCCTCTGGCGTTGCTCAGCCCTGCTGCTTCAGCCCGAATGGCTATTGGGGAAGCCATCACTAACATGGCGGCAGCTTCTGTTGGAAATCTAAGCAGGGTTAAACTCAGTGCGAACTGGATGTGTGCCGCGTCATATCCTGGAGAGGGGGCAGGGTTGTATGAAGCTGTTCGAGCTGTTGGGCTCGAATTGTGCCCTGCTCTGGGCATAGGCATACCAGTGGGTAAGGACTCCATGTCGATGTCAATGAGGTGGAACAGCGGGAAAAAGAGAGAGGTGGTGGCACCGTTGTCTCTCATCGTCACCGCTTTCTCAGCTGTGGACAACATTCGGGATACGTGGACGCCCCAGATTCGAACGGATATATCTACCGCGACAGTTTTGGTGCTCATTGATTTGTCCAAGGGTCATCATCGGCTAGGGGGATCGGCATTGGCTCAAGTCTTCAATAGCATCGGCTCTGATGCCCCAGACGTTGAGGACCCGGAACTGCTTCGAGCATTCTTCGCCGGCTGCCAAGAGGTCAGGCGGAGACGTAACGACATGGTGCTCGCATACCACGACAGATCGGATGGAGGAGTCATAACTGCCATCGCTGAGATGTGCTTTGCGGGCCGTGCAGGTGTGACACTTGGGGTAGGAGACAACACTGCCGACCCGGTGGCATTCCTTTTCAATGAGGAACTAGGCGTTCTCATGCAAGTGCGAGATGCTGATCTTGAGGAATTCGTCAGAATCTATGAGTCGGCTGGCGTGCCTCCCTCTCTGATCCAGGCTATCGGACAAGTGGAAAACGACAGGACAGTTTTGTCTATTCGTCATTGTGGTCAGAAGATATTCTCTCAGCCTATACCTGGCTTACATGCCGCATGGGCAGAAACCTCTTATCAGATGCAAGCGCTACGCGACGATCCTATCGCCGCCAGAGAAGAATTTGCTGCCGTCGAGTCAGGCACGATGCCTGCGATCTTCTACGAACTCCCGTTCAAGGTTACGCCGTCCATTCCTTTGTATCGAACTCGACCAAGGGTGGCAATCTTGCGAGAGCAAGGTGTTAACGGCCACGTCGAGATGGCATGGGCATTTACTGCGGCAGGATTCACTGCCGTAGATGTTCATATGTCAGATGTCATTTCTGGAACTGTAAGTCTTCGAGACTTTCGGGGTGTCGCAGCATGCGGAGGGTTCTCCTATGGAGATGTGCTAGGTGCTGGAAACGGGTGGGCTAAGTCAATACTCATCCATGAAGGCGCTCGTGCACAATTCAAAGCCTTCTTCGCTCAGCCCGGCACATTTGCCCTAGCAGTGTGCAATGGTTGCCAGCTGTTCAGCTATCTTCAGAACATAATCCCGGGAGCATCACATTGGCCACATTTGAAAACCAACCGGAGCCAACGTTTTGAGGCGAGGGTAGTGATGGTGGAGATTGTTCCCAACGATGTTACCAGCAAGTCAGTCTTTTTGCGACATATGGGCGGGGCCAAATTGCCGGTGCCGATTGCACATGGGGAAGGTAGAACTACTTGGGAGAGCGAGTCATCTCAGGAGACGTTCCAGAGCGGGACATTGACTGCAGTCCGATATGTTGACGGGAACGGCAAGCCAACGGAGGTCTACCCTCAAAACCCTAATGGCAGTCCCAAAGGGTTGGCGGGCTTCCATACGGAGGATGGACGTGTACTCGCGTTAATGCCTCATCCGGAGCGTGCAGTCACAAGAGAGAGCAATAGCTGGTATCCGACCTCGTCGAAAGAGTGGGGAGGCGCCGGTCCGTGGTTTAAGATCTTCCAGAGTGCGCGGGAGTGGTGTGAAGAGAAGCAAAATGATCTACGATTAGAATAAATAGACTTGTACTTAATATTAAGCAAAACAATAGTGCAGGGACTCATGAACAACGAGAACGGGTGCCACGTCTGCGGGCAGCAGTGTACGCCCTAACGTCCTCAAAAAGGTCGCGCTCGACTAAACGTTTAGTGATGGCGAGAACATCACTTTCAGCACGATATGACGCCAACATTCCGTCCAAAATGAGACGGAATTCAGTGTATGTGGGATCGTGCGGATCGTGGCCGTCAGCCGTTGCTTCCACCAACCGCTTAAACAGACGAGAAAATGAAAGTTTATTTGAAGATGATTTCTGAACCAAAGAAGAGAAGGTCTCCTGAACCAAGGAAAACATCCGACGAAGGATCAAACTTTCGAGGTCTTGAGCAATGGTTACGGCGAGAGAATCCGACCCCGCAAGCACAATGTTGGAGAGTGCATGTACCACACTCAGCTGACTACGCAATAATCGAAACCACATCTCCTCAGCGGGCACGGAGTTGGCGTGCTCCACGCCAAGTGCTTGGCTACCACACATGTCCACCACTAAACGGCCCATCGATGCAAGATCATTAAGAGCATCATCTACGGGACCTTCAACATCCCCGTCACCCTTGCTGGCTGCGGATGCGACCAAGGTTGACGCCAGCACTGCCGTGAAGTCGTCCAGATGCTCGAACACACCCAAAATATCTCCACTTAAATGTAGGGACCAAAGGACTGCGTCATAAACACCGTTTTCTTCACATATCTCCTTTATTGACCTAAGATCGAAGTAGTCGTGTGGAATTGAGTCTAGAACAGACCGGACTGTTTGCGGATCATGGGCGCACAGAAGCTCTACATATCGATGGCGTAAGGAAGACTGCAGCGAAGAGGGGGGAGAGGTTTCAGGAGATCCCAAATGCGATTCTTCGTGAAAGGGATGAATGAGTGAACGAAGGTAAAACAACGCCTTTTCTTCATCAAGGGCTTGGGCTGCTTGTTCGTGAAGGGTTGGCACCCAGTTGTCGACGAGTTGCGCTGCACGACCCAAATCAACCTCAAGCAGTGAAGGGAGCGCGAACTTCATTGACTCTATGATATCGGAAGAAATGCCACTAGGACCACATGTTGCATGCTCCAGCGAACTCTTGACACCTTCAAATACATCATCAACCCCGCACTCAGGATCTTGTGAGTAATACAAGATGAGGTCCGCCCACTTCGATTCTTGCATGCTCCAGTTGCGAAGAATACGATAAAAGCCGGCTCGCAAGAATTGTCGTAACATTGGATCATCCTGTCCAAGAGGATATATTGACAGCAGGCACTCTGCTGCCAGCTGGCGGTCTTCGCGCGTACTTTGATCGTTATCGCCCGCAAGGCCACTAAGTAAAGATCGACTCTGATTATCGGCAAGCTTGATGAATTGGGGGTACTTGGGCGCATTACGCGCCACAAAGATACGTATGAAGGTGACATCATTCGAGGTCAGCTCATAAGCATCCATAAGTTCGAAGAGCACGTTTAATATTGTCTGTCTATCAATATCGTGGAGATTTTCGTTCAAGTCAGAGTCCTCAAGGGCAAGGTCAAGGGCATGAAGCATTGCCTCAGCATCGAACCGTAGAAGCATGCGGAGGTACGGATATGTCGGCTCTGGACCATCGTCCATGTCAGCCGTCAAGATAAGCCTGCCTTGCCATAGAGTCGACCGTCCAAGAAAAAGGAACTGAAGAATACTGCGTTTCGCGGAAGCTGCTTCATCCTCAGTGAGAAGCTCCCCACTGGGAAATGATTGACCACATAGAGAATTCCCGATATATGGAAAGACCTTGTAAGCATGGGGTACAAGTGACTCGACCGGAGCCTCCTCGAGAGTCGATGTGTCTGGGTCCGAACCTTGAATACGAGTCAGCCTTTCCCTCCTGGTTCGCTGGATGGTGCGGATTAGCGAAATGAGCCTGACGATCGGTGATACGTAGTCACGCAAAGCACGAGTGTATACATGTATCAATGCGTCAAACAGTGAACGTTCCTCGCATATTCGAAGCGCTTGGTGGATGTCGAGACAAGCCGGATCGATGTGCCAAATCAATTGTTCGACGACATCAAAGGCATGTTTCCCTTCGTAATAGGCCACGAGTCCCTGCGCAAGTCTTGGGGGAACCAAACGCACCTCGCTCTGTAGAAGGAATGGCTGGAACTGGACGAGGAAAATGGCCTCGATACCGTGTGATTGGTACATATCATAGAGGTCTTCGAACAAGAAATCGAAATCGTTGAGAGCCATACTGGCCCTGGTGCAAGTCCTTACGAGGCCTTCAAACAGCGAAGTGCGATCCACACCGCGGTTGTCCGGAGCTCGGTGAGTGTCATCGGTGAGGCGATTGTCGGAGAAAACGTAACGGGATGAAGCAATCATCAGATCTCGCAATTTCCCACCAATAGTTTCCCTTCTAAAATCTGAGTCTTCGGGCAGACCTGCTTGATTCCCGGGTGCTTCTCCGACGTAATACAAACGCGCCACCTCAATAGCGCTAAGGAAGTCCCCGGATTGAACGAAAGCCAGAATCCGATCCGCCCAAGTCAACAACGTACCAACTCTCACTTCATTGGCAGCCTACAGCAATTGAAATTAGTAACGAGAAGAGTATCGGCAAAGTTGCTGAATACCAATTCAAAGATTTTCCCCTTGTAAGTGTCAAAGCTTAGCCGAAGAGTGTCGCCTGGCTCATCTGGCTGTGGTATTTGTGGGAATGGACAATTGGGAGCTGATAAAAGGGTTGATGAAATCGATGAAATATCAAGTGGAGTCCTATCGACAAATTGCAACGTTCGAACTCCATATACCTCATAGAATTTCCTGGTAATCACCACAATTTGCTAAACGAGGCTTGTGTTAGCGGCCGTGGGTCTAGTGATATCGTGAATCTATGCTTACATCCAAATTCAACCAATGTAGAGAAAGGATATCATTCTCTACAGTGATCTCACCAGCATCCTCAAACACCAAACGATAAGAAGGATTAGAAGATGCCTTTTTGCCGGAAGTCGTTGACTTTCTTCCGCCTTTAGTTCGCGCATCGGTGGATTCTGAGCGAGGTATGGTCCGTTCCGCCCTGACGCGTAAGAACATCAGACTTCGGCCCCACGAGTAGGCAAGTATAGGAATGGTCAGGACATCGGGCGACACGGCCCGCTTTCCACCTTTCGACGGGGAATCTGACTCCTTGTCCCCATTCAAGGACACGCTGGGGAACCAGGCCATACAGCCCCGCCACATCGACTGTGGCCCTTCACCATCCTGTCCTGCCCTATGTCGTCGGAACCACGTTCTGGGAGACGGCCTTAGCCCAACAATAACTAATTTTACGGGAGTAAGTAGAGCAATGACCTGAAATGCGTCAATTGGATGCGTTGAGGATGATGAGGGTAGCGGTTCCATGTCTAAAATCGTGCCAGCTTTACGATTACGCTCCCTAGTGCCGGTAGCAGGCGGTGATAAGCGGGGGGCTGATGCTTCGATTCGAGGTGGGTCCCGAGATGGAAGTGATGTGGTAGAAAACGAAGGCGAACGATCCAATGGGCTAGTTTCATCTGGATACTTTCCGAGTATCCTGAGTACGTCATTGGCTTCTACGAAGAGGACTTTTCCCAAGCTGTGATAAAACGCCAATCCAGAATCGTCCGCAGAGACGAACGCAGTATGTCGAGTACTAACAAATCCTATCCGGATAACTTTCGACCCTCGTAGATGACCCTCCCTTCTTCCCGAAGCTACTGACACTAAGTCGGTTGGGGCAACAAATCGCGCGGGGCTTTGAGGTCGAGATAAGTCGAACAAGGTGATATCGCCTTGGGAATGCCCAACAGCGAGGAATGTGTGATCAAAGGACAAAGCAAGGGCGGAAACAGGACCTGGAAAGCCAAATGCGAACGCGTGGGTGAGCATGTACCACAGTGTTCGAAAAACTGACATACTCGTGCTTTCGGAGCTGCATATGCACTTTAGCTGTTGCCGAAAGTCGAATACAAATGTCCTCCCTGTCTCCGTCCCAATGCAAATGATTCCCTGAGCTAAAATAACTGTAGGTTTCCCCATGTGTGAGTCCAAAATCGCTGCTGCCTTGGGTGCAGTAGAGAATATTTGAACACTAATAGTTCGCAATGGAGTCCACTTGAATACATCTCTCTTGTCCAACACATTCAACGCAGGAGGGTCAGGAGAGTCCGCTTCGCGGTCGTCCTTATCAGATGAGTCGAAATGCCCAGAGAGAGAGGAAGCACGAGAAATTGCAGAAAAATAAGATGGATCAGGCGAGAAACCGTTCGTACGAAATGTGTTGGCGGTGGATGATGATGGGTTACGGGGTTGGTGCTGGGGTAAGAAGGAACGTAGACGAGACACAGTCGGATGAAGAAAAGGCGGTCGAAGGGGGGACGGGGAATCGTTGAGAGAAGATGATAAAGCCCGTATCGGCGTTTTCGACCCTCCCACCACAATTTCAGGTACTGGCGAGTCCCTCTCGGACAGAACCTCATCCTGACCATGGGTAAGCCGGGACAAACGGACGGAACAATGCGTTAACACACTTGATAATGATTGTACTCGAATCCCTCCTTAAAAACATGATCTCCCATCTTTTCAGAGCCCGTGGAAACATCTAGGTGTGGATGACTTTCCTGAGCGGGTGGCTGCGGTTCATCTAGGACATCGGCGAGTTGAGCATCATAGCCGACCACTACTGGGGCGTCTTTCCCAGTATAAAGGAATTCTTCATTATCATCAACTTCATCCTCCTCGTCATCCCCTAAAAGTCCAATGTCACCCCACGTCATACCTCCTTCCTCGTCATCCCCTGCGAGAATGTCGTTGAGGCGTGCCGCGTAATTGGAAGAGTCCAGTTTTGCATCATCTGTAAGCACTTTTTTGCCAGTGGTAGGCGTGAATCCCCGGCCTCTTTTCTGATGGACGGAGTGAGGCAAGAGGTCATCCACGGTAAAGGACTCATCGCTTTCATCACCAGATGTTAGCATCTGGGCGCCCAACTGCAGAATGGAAGTTGCCGAGGCGCTAAGTCTATTCACGAGAGTTTTCTCCCATTGCATCGACATGGCTTCGTCAGACCACACTCGAGATCCATGGTGAGGGAACACCGAATATGCTGAGATGGTCATGAGCTGACAGAATAATGTGCCTCGCAGCCCATGGGTCATTTTGAACGATTTTGGCGTTGGTTTCGCCATGGGCTCCATCGGTGGTGGGATCTGGCACGGCGTAAAGGGTGCCCGTAATTCTCCGCGAGTATGATATCTAGTGAAACGTCTCTCCTTCTTTCATCTCATAGCAACTCTCTCAGGGTGAACGATTAGTCGGCGCCGTGTCCTCAATCAAAGCACGAGCACCCGTGACGGGGGGCAATTTTGGTGTGTGGGGTGTGTAATGGTGTTCTTAGCTATGTTTTCCTCTTGCACTAATTTGTTCGTAGGCGGGATGTTTTCAACGTTTGACTGCGCCGTGAAGGGGTATCGACAGAAGGAAGATGCATGGAATGGCATTATCTCTGGATTCATGACTGGAGGTTGTCTAGCTGCTCGGAGTAAGCGTCATTTTAATATATCGATCCACAGGCATCCCATTCATGCGTTTTTCATAGGCGGACCAAAAGCTGCATTTGGCTCAGCGGTTGCTTGCGGCATTCTGCTGGGGGTGTTCGAGGGTGTTGGTGTCCTGCTAAATCGTGCGTTCAGCGAAGTGAATCGCCAGACACTGCCGCCACGTAAGTCCATAAGCCTTGAATGACTTCTTATTCCTCGACTCATCTCCGGTCGCCAGTACCTGAACAGCCGCCAGCGCCAGCAATATCATAAGTTGTGTATCATTGTTACCACCCACAATCTCGACGCATCCCACCTCCGATTAATGCTCTATTCAACGAGACACCTGCTACTTACGTTATTATCATCTTGACACTCTATCCGCTGTAAGGGATATGTATAGAGATATTGTGCTCTGTAGGACGCTCCGCATTTAATCGGCGTCGGTTCTCGTGTGAAAGCCTCTTTGGACTTTGTTCCACTGAAAGCTGGGAACGGCTCGTTCTGGTTGTACTTCGCTGCAGCGTCCTCAAACTATGGCCAATTGATGACCGCACCCGACCCGGTGTGACGCCAGTGTGGTGCCCGTACAAGGGTGCACAGGCACCAGGATTCTCCAGCCATCTTACCCAGATTCTGGGTAATATATGTGCCAAAAAGGATTTCAGAAAATAATGCCTTGAGGTTAGTCGCGTAGCTCAGAAACGTGAGGGCGTCAAAAATCCCGGCAAAAATTCGTCATATGCATTTTTTGGTTGCTCTCGGGTCCTTTAGACTTGAAGTTTGAGATGTCTTGGAGGCAGGGATAATAGCCAGTGTCCTACTCAAGTGCGATTCCGTCAATGTAAATAAATTTGCTCGAAAACCACCTCGACACGGGCAACGCGGCTCGTGGTTCGTAGGATAAAATTGTCGGCGCAAACAATGGTGAATACATGCTTTGCGTGCAGTGTCGACACCACGAAAGTTTATTCCTTTGAACCCCTAGGGTGGGCCCTCGATTGTGACCCCACCGCTAGGCAGGATCCCAGCCTCTACTAAAGTTTGCGCCACAATATTTGATTGTTGTTTATGTCGAGCCTCGTATTTAATTATTCCCAAAGTAGAAGTCCTAATCATACATGAATTCAACAGGATTGGGCGCCACCAGCATGCGTCGTGAAGAGACTGCGCTGGAAGCCGAACAAGGGCCTGCGTTGCCTCCAGTGTGTCTTCTTTGCGTTATTCCCTGCTTTCTCGATTACGATATTTGTACTATCAGCCGGCGTATCACCAACCAAACAACCAATCTTACCCCCCGCCTCCAAACGGCGGCGGCGACGACTTCGAATCCATCCCAACGAACCACGGTAGACTCCTTATCATTTAGAGATATCTCTGGTTATTTTATTTGCCATTGTTGTTTACAGTTTCCGTCACTGACGTAAACTCCATTTCCGGGGTATGGACAATTGACACTTCTTGGGTCCCTCCACGGAATGCGTTTGGAGCTGATTTTTCCGTCCCGTTTCATGGAGATGAGAGCCGAAATATCACTCTTCAATCAGAGTCTGGCTCCATTGAAGCAAAGATACGTTTAGTAGGCGATAATCAGGACGCTGCTGTGTTCAATCTAGAGACAAAGAATTCGGACATAAATGTCTCAGTTGTCAGTGTGCTCCTCCGCCTCGGAATTTCCCAAACAACTCCCCTCATATATCTTCGCGATACTTCTCACAGGTCTCCCGATGGAATCAACAACCATTCGTACTCTATGTGACGTCCACTTCTGGAAATCTGGAAATTAGGGTCCCTCGAGACTTCCACGGATCCATCATTCATGAAACGGCTTCGTCGACGTACACGACCTTCTCCCCCGGAGTGAATCCACATCGCACAACTATTTCAATGATCAATGGAAGCGGGAAAACATTTGTCGCCCGTCATAAAGGTGTGTTGTAATGTTTAAGACTATCTACGCTCTGTTCCCGCCAACTCGTCGACCCCTCCCCCATAATTAGAGGGAGATACCAAGCGCCAGAGCGCCAGTGAATGGACTGGTGATCGAATTGTCGCAAAGACCGAGCGAGGATGTATTTACTTTGCCTACGAAGATGAGCCTCAACGCTCCGTCATTGGTGCTTTCTTCAGGAAACTATTCGGTTAGAACATTGGTTTTCTAAGGAACATTACACCTGGATTCTCCCTACCGAAGGGACTTTCTTCCTGGCATCCAAACACTGGTTCGGATTCATATGTGTCATTGTACTTGTAACACACGCTACTCGATTGATGAGATTTCACCGGCACCTGGCGAGTATTCCGGCCACGGAGCGATCGAGTGAGTGAGTGGTACTAAACAACTCTCCGAGACGCCCTCAGGAACATTCCCCACAAGTGGACTAGCAGGGGCACCTAGTACTACATAAATTGGCGGATGCTACCCGAACGGTAGTAGCTGACACATTCGTTGCCAGATGGCTGGGCGAGCCGATTTTTGTTTGAACGATGGATGCTTTATTAAAACAGCGGTTTTGCCTATACTTTTAAAATCCCGAGGCTCCGCGATCGAGTAGGTCCCATCAGTGATCACATCACTTCGGTACCAGATTTAGTCTGTGGTTGACAAACCAACACGGTTGGAGTCCCTTTGGACCAGCTCTTGTGTGCTCACAGAACGATGACTAGCCTCAGGCTGTACTGCCCCAGCGCAGAGCCATGGTATTCCCTCTTGGCAGTTAGTAACGCTATACATTTATAATCGGCATAACGATTGGGCAGGTATCAGTTCTTCGCTAACTTACTACCTCTACGTGCTTCCTCACTGTGGTGTAACCTTCATGCTTAAGGTGTTGCAGCTGCTCTACTTAGCTGCTGTGGTGCAGCAGTTTGAATCCATCCCGAGAATTTTGACCATGTCCCCATGCTGGTGGGGCCATTTTTATCAGGACAAGACAAGCAAAGATTCATCTAATGATGCTTGCACTATGAATTGATACTCTGAAGCTGTTACGCAGGTGTTGAACGAGGTCCACGATAGCGCGAACATCATATACACGCCACCTTGATCGTGGACCGCGGAATGGTTCCAAATGGATCATTTTTTTTCGTCGAAAAATCAAATGACAGGCTGACTTGGTTTCTCACCAAGCGGACTCATTCGAACTGAACCTTACTACAATGTGGTCTCACCGTCGTCCCCTCCTTGGAAATCAACAACCAGTCTAAAGAACTCACGATGGCAGCGCCTAATCAGAACATGGGGCGCGAACATTCACCCGGAGGGGATTGAACGAGCACTCCACTTCTTCGAAGTTCGCGATCTTCCTCATTCCCTTAGTCTGGACATTACATGATTCTAAGTGCCCTTCAGGTGCAAGGATAAATATACAACTGTATTGAAGAACATCAATCTATGTCATGGAGACACCGGTCGTGCATAGGAGATCGTTCCAAGACCCAGCTTAGAGACCTTCACGACAACGGGAAGAGGGATCGTGGATCCGCCAGTAGCCCCTATTCGTTCTCCTTGGCTCCACCTAAAAAGGGAGTTAGCCAGGTGCGAGTATGACTGTTCCATTTGATAACTCACCCCATGCGTTGTAACAGTTGGAATCCAACGTTGGACTCCCCAATGGGTTCTGCCTTTCGTCCGACGATATCACCCTCTTTGGGACGGAGGACAACGTGCTTCCTGGAGTTCTTGGATGCTTCAGGTCCTCCTTCGGCAGGGTGGACATCGGAGCCCTTGCGTTTTGCTTTGTGTCTAGCGGTGTCACTAGCTCGGATGAATCCTTCTTGATGAAATGTACCACGTTGGTACGCCACAAGCACACGGTCAAGCAGGCGAGTCCGAGGTCGGCCAGTTTGAGTTTGAGGAGTCCGTGTAAGCACTACGTGCCGACCTGTCTTTTCCGTTCCGAAGGACTTGGTCGCGAGATGATAGCAAGAATTGGCAAGAAAATGAACCACCTTTCGATCTCCTTTACTCATGGGTGGCAACTCGATGGACTTCTTCTCTGGGCTCTCTATGAAGGCATTGATTTCATTCAGAAGTGACTCGAGGTGCAAGTGTGCCTCTGGTGTTTCGGTAAACTCCCGTTGAACCTCCCGACCATCGCCATATATCCGCTTGCCGAATTTGTCCTTTCGCTTCCCCGTCTTCCGGGAAGGGAGCATGCTGCCCGCTTCGGCAGCCTCGCGCCAGGCCGAATCACCCACTCTTGCCGCCTTTTGGCGTTCTAGCTTGCGATCTCGCCTTGCCGTGAACTGCTCCACCACCAGCCTTAGTTCGTCGAGTTTGTGCTCCGCGAGACCTTGGTTTTGAATCCATGAGATAAGGGATTGGCGGGTAGCATTCCTAGGGATTTTCTTAGGAGTCCGGCCCCCCTTCCGAACTTCCTGATATACACGCTTCGCGAGCCGACCTAGGATCACTATCTCCCTCTGCGCCGGATTTTGGCCTCGAATGGATATGAGATGAGATGGCTCACGATGAGATCAAATAGTAGTCACCTTGAGTTCCTAGATCCTGAACTGTGCGCATGATTGCTGACTCCAAAGCAAAGCCGGCATCCTCTACCTTTCGTTCGGAATTGTCCATCGATAATCCAGGATATGTCATGATGATATCCTATGAACCGAGTGTTACTGCTATCCCTGCCGCTCCTATTGTGTTGCATTACCACCATCGCCTGTTCCCTTCCTTCCTCGCCTTCATCAGGTTCTTTGGCACGCGGGGGCTCCGACTCACTGTCGTCGCCTCCCCGTTGCCGCTCATCGGCTTCGACATCTTCATCCTCCGCAGACAAGCCGAGTCCATCATCGGAATTATCTACACTTTCATCACCGCTCCTGCTGCTTCCAGAGCTGAGGTCTGACTCCTCGTCATCTTGAGGCTTCTCTTGATCAGCGGCGCCAACAGTGGCCGTTTCATTTTCGGGATTCAGGTCTACCAAGAATTGCAACTGATCCATTCCCTCAAAATTTGCGTCGACTATCATCCCATGATCATCAACCCCGAGTTGGTTTGAACTGGATGAAGCGTTGTGTTGAAGAGGACTATCGCTTCCCCAATCAATATCTGAATCACCTTCTCGCAGGTAATTTTCTATATTAGAAACAGATAGGCGGTGCGACGTCTTCCGCCGTTTGAGCGTCCTCCGTAAGAAACCCTCCAATTGGGACATCATGTAATTCTCCGGTGATGAAAGTTCGGACTCAACGAGTGGACCCGAGTCAATTTCGCATGAGCGGTGGTCCGTTGTGTCACCAGAAGTAGAGTGTACTTCCTCACGGTGCTTGAGTGCTTTCTTTCGGAGACTCTCCGACCGACGCTTCACACGGCGCCCTGGAGATGAGGGTTCAGGCCCGGCGGGAGGGCTTAGATGCTTGGGATCAGTTGCGACAACTTCCACGCGTGCGGGCTGGGTGCCAGTAAACACTACGATATCATCGCCAGCATCAGGGATATCGGCAGTAGGACATTGAACATCGCCATTCGATTGGGGAATATGAAGAGCAGCCGATCCTTTGGCATCTGCACTCGGCTGTGCATCGCCAAGAGGGGTGGAGGCAGAGGTTTCCACAACAATATAGGACTTCCCATCCCCTGAAGCCAGCGATGTCTTGGAGAGATCGCTCAAGAGCTTATCCAAACGAGACGTAGGGTTGGTATCAAGTGACTGTGCCCCCAAGGTGTAGAGATCTTCTGCAGAGAAGCCAAATTCCAATGTGGGTATGTCGCCATCATCATCAAGGTTTGCAGCAACAGAGTAGTCAGCAAACCGTGGACGAGACTTGCGGTCCATGGCCTCTGCTCCAGTTTCAGAAGCGGCGATTGGAACCTTCGTAAACAAGGATTCCACCTGGTTAGCGGTTGGCGCATCATCAGCCTCTGAAGAGACGTGGCAGGCTTAGCTATTAAGGCAAAGCAGATAACAGCACAGCGCACCATTCTCCACCATCTCTGGCTGAAAAATCTCCTCTTCATCGTGGAAGAGGGCTCCACTCTTGACAAAAAAAATCGGCTTGCGAAGATCTGGATTTGGTTTAGCGCCAGAAAATTTACGGCTGCCACGAATCTGAGCTTCACATTGACGAAGAGAATGTGTTCAAGGCATATCCAGATGAGAACGACGTTCGGCATACCCTGTGGTTTCATGGGATCATGAAATTGCCGATCGACAACATCCCAAGGGGCCCCTTTCCGCTTTCTTTTCCCTTCTCCCGAAATGGCCTGCTTCCCTTTGGGTCCCATCCCCCAGACGGTGTCGTTGAAGATTGGCGCCCGTTTTCCGAGTCGCACTACCTAATCACGCGGGCTCAACCGAACAGCCACACGGGAGCTCTACAAATCTTCAGGCAAGGGGTAGAAGGCCCCACCAAAAAAAAGAAAAGCTTGAGTGCTGTATATGCGCTAAAGCACGCATCACCCCTCACCCCCCGATACATTTCTCTTTTCCGACCGATGGTGGCGAGCGAGGGTGCACCTGGCCTTGCCGCTGAAGTCTGGACACTCTGTGAATACTCATTCAATGCGCGGTATACCGACCTCCAACTGATTTTGCTGCTTATATTACGGGAACCATTATACACATGCCCTATCATGAGTCAAAGTGGAGGCATCATGAACTGCATCAGGTAGTTGGCTGCCTTTAGCTCTGTTAGAATAGACAGTCAAGCGAATATGAGCGCTGCTGGTGACGCAGTACTGTAAACTATGTTGACTCGTGAATTATTCTCTCATCAGCGGCGAGAACGGCCAATCGAGAGCCTTGGATTTCCATTCAGGCGTACTTGGAAAACGAACTTCATTGTCCTTGAACTCTCCCCCAATAATCATTTCCCCCTCAAGCCGTATGATACAAATACCCTTGTCATGACAATCCCCCCATGTAAAATATAGGAGGGCTCACTGGATTCGTCAAGCTGTGTTGAGGTGAGGTGTTGAATGTCCGGCGCCAACCGTTGCGGGTCTAACCGTGCTCCGTCCATTCCAACCAATCTCCTGCCACTTACCATAACGTGTCCATGAGCTCGCCTTCCCCGTTCGCTAGAAGCACGTTCGATGACTCCACTCGATTATCCCATCGAGCCCAAACGGTATGGCCCTATTGCCTTGATGCTGTGCAGCTTAGACGCCCACCTTTGGTTGGAATTGCGTTACTGCGATGACTAGATTGAAGAAATGTACAGTGTCCCCGAGAGTTTCTTGGAGATAGAAGTGCGGAACCCCCAAACCCATGGTACGGATTTCAGGGCTCAATATTGAACGAATGGGATCTAATTGCTTCGATGACACTCCTCAGGCTACGGACGGAAAATGTTCACTGACTACGAGATCGTCTGCAGAGTCAGTGCGTCTCTTCTAGGGAGGGTGTTTAAGACATACCAATGCTGACCTTTTCGTTGTCGTATGACTCATTCGATAGACCAACATTCCCGCATTCAAACTTCGACACTCCAGCGTTCGTCGCAGGTATAGCGACTTTGAAGCCTTCCGTGATATCCTCGAGCGCGAATCAACCCGTGTCAACATACCCCCACTTCCCGGAAAAGTTTTTACCAACCGCTTCTCCGATGAGGTCATCGAGACACGGCGCGAAGGCCTAGAGAGGTTCTTGAGCATCGTTGCTGGACACCCACTTCTGCAGGTTAATGATTGGATTCAATCCCCCTTTCACGGTTTCTGACTAATGTATATGGATAGACTGGCAGCAAAGTGCTTTGTGCTTTCATACAGGATCCTGCTTGGTGTGTGACCCCTTTCACACCCAAAAACTCGAGCAATTGTAATTAGACTGACTATTACACATAGGTCTGCCAATGAGTGGTCCTAGATTATTCCCGTCTTGCCGTCTATATCTGTTGGATGGTGCCTCCTGTATTCCAGATTCCTCCGTATTTTGGCGACTGTTGATTTTCCTCACCACCCTGACTCTGAAGCTTGACTTTGTAGATATACTCTCCTAAATTTATGGCATTTACTGGACCTCCGCAGCGTCATACCAGGAGTCTAAACAGCAGCGTATCGATCTTGCATCTCTATTCATCCACTAGTGTTGTTTTGCACAACACGAGCAACTCATCCGCCACGCTGCGCACCCAGTTCAATGCATTATATTTAGCTAGACAGGCAATCATCTCCATCTCCAGTCTCAATGTGGTCTATTTCTAGTCACCCACGCCATGACTGTGAGGTAGGCACAAGGACCCCCGCACATTCTATCCCCGTGTGAGAAAATGGTTCTTGACGTGCTGTCTAAAAACCCAGGCCACTTCTGTTACCAGGGCCCCCCTCAAGCCGGTGCACCTTCGATTGGGCCACTTCCCACGGGTGGGATTACCACGGAATAGACAATCTGAATCACGCACAAGAGGGTCTGTGATGTGTGCAAACACAGCAAATTAATGATTTACATAGCGTGAGCAGAAGCACAAGGAGAATGGTATCGACATAATGCAAGCATATAATCTCCAAATTACGCAATATGGTTATGCAATGATCCATTTTGGAATTAGCCACTCACATCCTCAGGTAATGAGTTAGGCAGCCCCGATTCGAATGCGATCCGCCACATTCAACGCGAACCGGGCGTGCCCTCCATTCACTCGTCTCCAGGTCATTTCTAGGGAGAGGCAGCAGACCTGCAGTACCACTTTGGTGCTGAGCCACAGTCAATGGTTTCAGCCTGCAAATTGAATGGTGCCAGATAAGGTCGTGTAAGCTTCGGGATACCGACGAGTGCGGGTAAAGTAAACCCCAAGCAGAGTTGAAGCGAGAAGTCCACAAGACGATCAACGAAAGCCAGTGACCCCAGATTCGAAGGCCTCATGGGACGACATAGAGCCCACACCCACCAATATGTGGGCTGTTTAGATAAGGCCACTTTCATATAGTAATGTCCTAGGTCCTGGCGACCTCTTTCACAGAGCCATCGGACCCGCCACTACTTGGCGAGAATTTTGCTGCTGAAGTTGGACTTGAACCCCAAATCACGAGGCGGAAGAGTACCATCCCACGTACGAAAATATCCATCACACGACGGTGAAATTCAAGCCACTTGGCGGAACTTTGCTTCCGTCCGTCGGGGTTCCAACCTCCACGATCCGCGATGCCCATTTCTTTTCGTGTGCTGAGCCGTGACCGCATGGACACAATGACCTAGCTATCATGAAAATCTCGACCATACAGGGCCACATGGACGGCAACAAGTTTCTGACCTAGGGAGATGCCATTGTAGATGAACATGATGACGTCCGAACTTGTGATGGATAATATTGAGGTTGTATAAGGCGCAAGGTGCTCCTAATGTGGGCGTAGGTTCGAGTCCATCTCTGAAGATGGTTTAGACGATTCTGACTTTGCAGCATCTAATTTCTTCCACTTCAGGATATTCTTAATATAGAATTCTCCAGCCCGAGAGGATAAAGTAAGCTAAAACATATCCGTAATTTAAAGTATTATACCCCAACATACCTTGTAGCTACTTCGTACTAGCGGCCCAGATGCAACATAGAGTTATCGGCAATTCGTTTCCAACGATCAAATTCTGCAGGCTCAACGTAACGGTCTACCTTCATATGACGTTTACGCATGTACTGGCCAAAGGTAACTACATCAACTTCCGACTTCTGCAGTTCTGCGGGATTTGTGATGAGAATAAGTGGATAGCTGGCGGCGTGTAATCAAATATCCGACCTTTCAACGCATCGAGGCCCTGATCCTCATTTTCGCCAACACCAAGCATGATACTTGTCTTCGTGATGTTGACACCTTCCTTCTTCGCGTGTTCCAGTACACGAAGACTCTGGCGGAAGTTAGCGCGCCGGCCACGGACATAGGGTGTAAGAGCTTCTACAGTCTCAATGTTGTGTGCAGACCGGATTCAGCTACAGTCGAGATGCCATCGAGGGAACCTCCGAAATCATCCGTCAGCGCTTCGACCCGAATATGCGGCGCTCTGGAAGGAGAATGAATAAGAAACCCTTTCAAATTCAGGAGATCTTCCTGATGGTCTCGGCAAAGTGAGCGGCCCCCCCATCAGCTAGATCTATATGACGAGTGAGAATAGGGCCCTGTCATCAAAATCAAGCTACGAACCATCACGATCTACACTTGTCAAAACAATGTACCCAAGACCCCCGCAGTGTTCTCGGGCTCATGAATATCTAACAGTGATGGGTTCTTGGAGGTCTTTACCGAACATAATCTGCAGCCACGGGTACATGTATCCCCCAGCTGTAAAGTTGGAAATCACCAAGCCGAAAATTGTTGTCGTCTCCCTAGGGGCATACCATGATGGTGGCCGTGGCCCCACGCTTCTTCTCGGCGTCAACTCCTCCCGACTGCATCACTCCCACCCCAACAATCACCTATATTGGGACACCGTGCCTCTTCGCAAACAGTGTGTAAATTGAGACCACGGAGGTCTTTCTGAATATTATTATACGAGGCGCTCGTTGGGATCTTAGTCTTCAAGTAACTCGGCAGTCTATGCCTAACCACAGTGATGAGGCATAGATGTAATGACTGACTGCGACGTATTTCCGAGAACCACTCGACACAAAGTTATCCAATGTTAGTCCATCAGCAAGTTTTTCGGTGAAGGACTTAGAAGGAGCAGTGCCGAGGCCACGAGAACGTGCGAAGTTAGATGCCAGTAGTCTACGCGCCATGCCTTCCACGTGCTCTCATTCGCCACAAACTTGCCACCCGGGGCAGTCTATAACGACTGCCGACCCGATGAGGTGATCTTCACCAAATAAGCATGATCTGAGACTTCCGACTGCAGGTTGGGGTTGTATCCCTGGTTTCGAGAAGGTGAGAAAGAGCGGCCGGAAGGTGAGAGCATGACAATTTCGCTTAGCTTCGGCAGCATCAATTTCGTCCCCACGACACTAAGTAAAAGAACCTGATATCGGAACCGGACATTATTAGACTCCATAAAAGACGATCAAGACAATCGAATAGCAGTCCTGATGAACAATCATGACCCATAACAACTCGTCTTTATCATTTGCAAAGTTTCGAACTGCACTCGATCTCCTCCGTCCATGTACAAATGGCAACACCCTTCGGATTGCATTCCTTCCCTTTACTTTTCTTCCCGGCTTTATGGCATTTCCCATGATCGCGGCCGCTTGACCACGTCAGCGATTTCTTATGGATCACAACTTTCCCCCCGCAAATCGACGCAGTTGGATTAGGCTCTGCGTTCGATATCGTCTGGTTATATGAGTAGTCCCACGCGTTGTTGCACGTAGAGACTAAATCACAGGGTGTGTTGGGGGAGCGGTTAGCGATTACGAGTGTTATTTCGTTAGAACGAGTGTTTTTGGTCTATTACCTTTACTGGGCATGATGAGACTTGAATTGTAGAAACCTCCACCCTCTACGTCGCATACGAGATTAGAGTAGGTGAAGTCCGCGACAGCGAATCGAACAGCAGAAAAGGTGCCAAGTAGTATTAAAGATGAAGTGAAACGCATGGCGGACGCCCGCTCAAGTAAGGACTTGAGAGATCAAATTCAATGAAGGTGCAGTAAGAGGTCGTCGTCAAAGAGCGAGAACAAGACACTGGGACCAGGATAAGTGATCAAGAAAGCTTGTCCTTTTATATGGTGCAGCGAAAGATCACCCGGAAGTGTGGGCCCGCGCCGAAAGGGTGTGTTACAACAATAATATATATCAACATTACTGTATTGGGCACTTCGGCACGTCAACAGATCATGATCGGGCAACACAAGGTAACAGTTCCACTGTGTTTTGAGATAAAATATCCAAGCTCGGATATTACCAGAATCCTCACGGAATCCTGCAAGTATCTGCGCGACGAGGCTGGATATTGAAGTATTCTTATAACCAGTCACCCCATCATATTGCTCGGATGTAACATGGATACGAGACAGCCCAATTGAAGAAGGGTCACGACCAGGTAGAGGGTTCATACACACTAGTGGCGGCTGCTGCCTAGCTCGGGTCCGCGACATGACCGACACCCTCCCAGTGTCAGTGACTCTGTTCCCGCTCCAGCCACTGTTTTTCAAATTGTAGTGGTATGTGACACAGACATGCGGGAGGCCAATACTGCGCAAATGGACTGCAGCATGGACTGCAGCGGCCATCAGACACCTTAAACGCGCGAACGGTGACGTACGTGCTCACATTCAAGTCAAACATTGCCCGGAAACCTGTCAAACCTCCCATTTGTTCCCCCTCTTGTATCTAACTCTGTATCCCTTCGACGTCGGTGGCTTCCACTGTAATCGACGTGCTCCACTAAGCCTATGCAAATTAATGGCTGCCCATTTGTTCGCTCTAGCTGATCGGCGCTTTCAAGAGCATTACTCTTTTTGGTTTGTGGTGTTCGATATCATGCAGCGCCTGTACAGTTGTATCTATGACAAAAGTAAAGTGGGCCAAACGGGCCGGGCGAGAAGAGTGGCGGGTTCTGTCGTGTCAGGCGGCGTCCACCAGTGCAGTTATCTACAAAGATCGACACACCGAACGAAGTCGACGAGTAACGCGAGGGAGGGGAGGGAGGCAACGGTAAATGCAATGCGAAAGTGGATTGACCAGACAGATACGACCAGGCGAAGATATTATGAAATCCGAGCTTGGCGGAGCGGATAACGAATTGACGGTTCCGTCATCTGGGGGTATTCTTTTTATCTGCATCTTCATCAGCGTGCTCTAGGCAACCGGTGCAGGCCGGGGGTTAGGTACTTTACAAAAACAGGATTAACTGAAGAAACGGAGAAAGGGCCGGGCGGTGGCGCCTTCAGTTGCGTTTGAAGGCTTAAGGGGTACCACAGCGATGGGCAGTTGGCAGGAGTACTGGTTCAGACTAGCAACAGTTTGGACTGTTCGGGTTTTTGGACGGTATAAATTGTAGCGCCATAGTTTTCCATTCCTAGGACGAGTTTGAAGGTTTCAATAACTGACCGAGAGGAACACACTGCGACGTGTTTGTTTAGGGGGGTGTAAGGGATTATGATACAACATCTTTCTTCAGACCTCCCAGGATAGGCCGAAGGTGAGCCACGTTTGGTGAAAGAGGAGGTCCAATTCGCTAGGCAGTGTTCTGAGAAGAGTAAATCCAATACAGCGAAGGGCTAGACTAGATCCAAGCAAAGTCTTTCCGAATTTCTGAAGACTATCTGTAACTTCGTTGTCGAACTGGAAGTTGGTGAAATTTCAATCCACCCGGGAATAGTAGGGAATGCCATTTATGAGAATATCGAATGCGAGGGACATTTTCGGGTGAACTCCCTCAGCCATGGTCTGCCACGCAGAGAACCAATACTTGGACACACGACCGTCAAGGGAAAGCAAAAGGGTTTCGCCTCAGTCTCGAAGTAGAGAGCCGAATCGTGATCTGCCTTCACTAATAACTAATCGAGCCAAACTGACGCATTGTTCCTTCAGCAATGGGCTTCGTGGTGATCTGAGACCTTCCGGCTGCACTTTGGGTCTTGGGGGTTGTGTCCCGCACGCAGGTGGTTTCGGAAAGGTACGGAGAAGCCCTGAAGGTGAGAGCATGACAATTTCGCTTAGCTTCAGCAGCGTCAATTTTGTCCCACGACACTATGAGATTTTAGAGAACCCGATATCGGAATCAGTCATCATTAGACTTCATAAAAGACGATCAAGACAATTGCATAGCAGCAATCATAGCAACTCCTCTTTATATAATCATGCATCATTTGCAAATTTTCGAATTGCACTCGATCTCCTCCGTCCATATACAAGCCGCAACATCCTTCGGATTGCATTTCTGAATCTTCCCTCTACCCTTCTTCCCGACTTTCTGGCATTTCCCATGATTGCGGCCGCTTGACCACGTCAGCCATTTCTTATGGATCGTAACTTTCTTCCCGCAAATCGATGCAGTTGGATCATGGTACGCGTTCGATATTGTCTGGTTATATGAGTAGTCCCATGCATTGTTGCACGTAGAGACTAAATCACAGGGTGTATTGGGGGAGCGGTTAGCGATTCATTTTTGCCAGATCGAGTGTTTTTGGTTCATTACCTTTACTGGGCATGATGAGACTTGAATTGTAGAAACCCCCACGCTCTTCTTCGCATACGAGATTAGAGTAGGTGAAGTTCGCGACAGCGAATCGAACAGCAGAAAAGATGCCAAGTGGTATTAAGGGTGAAGTGGGGCGCATGGCGATAAGGGACTTGAGTGATCAAAGTGTATGTCGTCGAAGGGCGAGAACAAGACACTGGAGCCAGGACAAGTTCTACAGCGTGGTCAAGAAAGCTGGTCCCTTTTTATATGGTGCAACTAAGGATCGGCCAGATGTGTGGGCGCGCCCCGAAAGGGTGTGTTACGGCATTGCATGTATTATTACTGTATTAGGCACTTCGGCCTGCGACGCAAGGTAACAGAAGATTAGGCGCGCAGCGAGGTGGTGATAGACAAGGAAAACACGGAAGTCCGTTGTCGACGATACAGGATTTGTACAGGATGTGGTTAAGTAACCATGATACCGCTCTGCCGCTATATATTCTTTGAGCTTAAGTGTACAGTATATATGTAGTTAAATTTCCCCTACTTAGGGTCTAAATTGACTTATTTCAAAATAAAATATCCCTGCTCCTCACCCACTAGAAGGGCCGCTGCTCGGCCATGACCTTGATTGGGAGAGTTTGCCCAGGTGAATTTTTACTTTCTTTTTACATATATATTATGCTTGGCACCCCATGCAGCCCTGGTCCTGCAGATGGTTGAACCCCAACTGAACTTCACCGTGCAAAGAGGGCCTCCCCCAAAAGCAAATGGCTAACCCAGGGTCCTCCCAAATATCTTAGAACAATTTCGCAACGTATAATTTCCAGACACACACTTCATTAGATCTTCACACAACTTTTCGGACACCGTCCCCACAGCACCCGTGGGATTCGTTGCATGAGGTGGGACGAGTTTCTCAAATCAATGAATGAACGAACTTGGGAGGCAATTCTATCCCAATCCAACCCGTCATGCATTCGTTCAAGATCGGTGGTTGGCAATTAGCGAACTAATTAATTAAGAGCATCTGTAGCACCATTAAATTTTTCGTCAAGTTATGGATACATCCCATTTTCGGGGAAGGGAATATTCATGAACCTACCTTGATCCAAGCTCGCGTCGTACATAGAGTCCCTTCTGAGCTAGGGGTTGCGAGATCGCATCGGCTCTTGCCCAGTTTGTGAACGTAGGCCCTGGTTCAGTATATATTGAAAAAGGATAGGCAAGACGATAGTTAGATATGGCCAGAAGGGCGCGACGACGAAAAGGACACGTCCGTACGCACCGGGAAGGAACCTTGTGTACTCATCGCCGAGGCGCAGCGAACGTTGGGGACCATCTAACCTGTCATAGCACCTTCAGCGTGACAGCACATGGCCGGCCGAGCGAAAACACCACCAGTAAACCGAGGGACAGTTCTATCATCCTTATATGTTAAAAAATGTCTATTTCTCATTCCGGGAAAGCGCTGAGTGTGGATCATGTAACAAGTGGACAGGCTTATCGCCGATGTTAGAAACCGCAACACCGACGGAAAGCTTGACGAGATAATATTCAGACTGAGCTTGAGTGATGGAGCTAGCACCGAGATCGTCAGTGTCAGAAGCCGGCTGAACAGAGCGAGAACACTGCGTGTCTGCATCATCATGCCTGAGGGAGTTGGCACGACTTTATACTAGTTATGTACGATTTGGATATCAAAAGCGTATGGCAAACGGAGGTAAAAAGTTCCGAAAACGGTGCCTGAATAACTGGGATAATCAAGGTCAAGAGGTCATTGGCGAGAGGGAGCCAGGACATATTCTGCAGCATAGCGAGGAAAGCTGGTCCTCTCCATATCATGTAGCCAGATCACCCGGGTGGCCGTACTACGCCAACTTACTAACCATATACTAGACGATGGCATGGCTAGGCAGGTGCTCACTAAAAAAAAATGTGCGTGTCGCCACCAGGAATCGAACCTGGATCGTAACGGGACTACAATCCACAACGTTACGTCTTAACCATTGGACGATAGCGACGTCAATATTGAGTCGGTTGATATGCGCTTAATAATTATATCTTCACAATCCTACAACAGAAGCAAATTCAGGCGGGCACTCACGGTGAACGTCCCATCCCTAAACGTGGTGCTTCGCCATTCCACAGCACAGGAAAAACCCGACGATGGCGCGGATCAGTGAGCTTGCAGCTGGGGAGGCTCGGGAAGTGTGAAAAGAACGCCACCTTAAACGTCTCCACATTTTCCGATGGTGCACACAAGCTGACCATCTCGTGGAGGATATGCGAGGCTTTCAGGTACACCTAGAGAAGCTCCTGATAAGAGCCATACTGGGCATCCGATGCGAAGAATTTAACCATTGCGTTAACCGACCTCCTGGAAACCATACATTTATGCACAAATTCGTGCCCAAGGGGACTATCAGAGTCGAGAGCAGGTCATCAATCCCACTTCCTCTCTAGCATGCTGGAGTCGAGCGGAAAAAATCGCAAATTCAAATAGTACGACATTATTTAAGACGGAACAGCGTACTCGAAGTTTCCAGATTCAGGAAAATTTCCGTGCGCTTGAATAGTAGAATAGTCTTTGATGCGCCCATGACGCGATAGGTCGGTTACCAGAAGAATGCTCCTTTTGAACTAGTACATAGAATTGAGATCACAGTGCCTCGTGGCACTGGCGACTGGGACATGCGCGGCTTCGACGCGTTTAGCATTTGAAACCATGATACAACGTCTATATGCGCATGTTGCATAGGAAAAGCAAAGGTTGCGTCGAGCGCAGCCTCGAGAACTCCTCACCATGTAACCGCGGCACACAACATGTGCCTATTGGCACGGAAACGAGAATGGTGAGGGTCTTCCTGCTGAACGAATGGGAGCATGGTTTAAACTATTAACCACTCATGCCATTCTTTGAGACATAATGTTAAGCCCAACAAATGATCTGTCTATGTTATCTTCGGTTCCGATTGGATAGAGTCTCGGAACATCATCGGTTGCGGCGTGACAACCAGCGAAAGAAGTCATCACGCGCGTCTACGCACAACCACGGCGTGGTTCGCGAACTCTTGAAGGCACGACGCGCTGTTGAGAATACGCCGCTTCCATGAGCGGAAGCGGTGGTTGTGGAAGTCTGGCATTCAATCGGTATTCCGACGCGCCAAGTCACGCCAAAAAGCATCAGGAGGGCACCAGAAGAGTTTATCCGTAAATGGGGCCATCGGTGAATGGACTGAGCTCTTAGCACGGTGCCTAACGCAGCGACAGGCACCAAGCTTTGATGAGTTGAGTCATGTGACTACCAACAGGAACGGAATCGGAATCGGAATCCTAGTCTCGATTGAACGCGCAAAAGCGTGCTCGCAAGACGCGTCCTCGAACGCGGAAATTATTATCGGATGTCCTCGCTCGCGCATGCGCCCAATGGTCATTGCTTTACAGCATAAAAAGGGTTGGGGACACCTCAACGCCTTCGATAACCCTCTAACTAACAGCAATGGCACTCAACATTGTCCAAACTGTAGCCACTGTCGTGAAAGAAGCCAGCAGTTTGGCTCCTTTGCCTGGAATTTTATTGGCAGCTTCATTGTTGAATCAGACCCTCGCCGCGGCACAGCAAGTTGACCTGCAGAAACGCCAAGCCGAGTGCATTACCAAACTCTTGGATCAAATTGTCCCTGTTGTACAGGAGAAGTTCAACAATCTTAATGCGCAAAATATGCAGCCTCCTTCTTCACTGCTGGACAATGTGAGGAGACTGGAGAGGTAGGGTGTCAGACTAGGTATTCAGAAGAGCTGCTCATGAGATTCCCTTTGCAACTCAAAGCACCCTGCTCAGGATTAATACAGAACTCATGGATTTTCTCTGCCATGGATTCTTCTGGCGATTGTGCCACACGGACCGCATGGCACTAGCATTGTCCACGTACTATTCTGAAATCAGCACGGAGTTCCAGTTATTTGGGGTGTGTAGACCTGTTTTTTCGCCTCAAACCTTCCCTGACCCACTATATTAGTTTGAAGTTGACGTTAACGCGTCAATGTATCGGGAGGAAGATCGTCTGGAAAGAGCGGCTGATTCGCAGAAGATACGGGACATTGTCGCGCTCCTCGAAAACTCTCAACTGCCTGAGCTCGTCCGAACTGATAGCAGCGGTGCAATTGACCAAGAAGAGATGCGTGAAATCATGCAAAGGCGTGATGTGCTCCTCGCTACTTCCGTTTCGGACATACATGAGGCTCTTGATGCTGTTTTCGCGAGGCTTGAGGTTATGCTGCCTCCAAGAGGTGTGGGCCCCCCAATCACTAATTGGTCCCAGAGACAGCAGGAGGTATTTTATAGATTTCCGTTAGCTTTACCCCTTATTAACTAGGATTGTCACTAGGGCCCCGATATTGAACCAACTCTTGTTCCATCTCCACTGTCCACGGGCTTTACGGGTTCTCCGATAACTCCTGGCTTGGGTTTTTTACACATCAAAAAAATATACACAGCGTAAGCTCCATAAGAATCAGACAGGAACGTGCAAACTAAGGCTACTGCCAGTTCCATCTCGTCTGTCTCGTTAGACGATGATGGAAATTCTTCGTGCTTCGAAAGGGGAGATTGCTCTGAGGACTCTTGGGTTGTCTCCAGCAGCAATGAGCCCACAGAGATTTCTCCGAGCACAACGCGCAAAAAAGCCACTCATGCGTTATCGATAATACCAGTTCCTCATACCGCCAAGGTGCTGGCATGTCAAGGGTACAGCCTTGCGCCGGAGCCTGGACGTTGTATGCTTCTGTCGACCATGGAACCTTCGTGGGATCCTCTGAATGGCCCGGGTGTTCAATCCCTACGACAGGAAGTGGCTAATCGCGCACACACATCATCCTTTCTGACAGCAAACGAGGGCGGGCATCAAAATCAGCGTCACGTCAAACAAGAACATCCTGGTCATTCCAGGGATCCGCTCCTACCAAATCATCACAATACCCGAACGTAAGTGTCTACCCATCTCTGAGCTTACGGATGCGAGTCTCCTGACCCAAGTCTTACCTTGTACTTGTAGGCTTACCATCACACATCACATCGAGAGGCGACGATCCGGCGCAACAAAAGAAAACAACCCATTCCCGTCGAACGACGTTGGCCTGGTTCGGGATGATGTCGCTGACTGGTTTGATTCGGGCACGCGTTGGACAAAATTGTTTGGTGGAGGCAACCGTGTCCCCATAGACTCCTTTGCCTTTCGTCCAATTGAGCTTGACACGCTTAGGGTTTAGTGTACGGTACACGTCCGAACAGGACTACCCCATTTGCGCGATATATGAGATAGATTAAAGCCCCGAAGTGGGGGGCTGCTTGATACTTCTTGGTGGATGCTTGTTCCTTATATGGAGTCAAGCTTGGTGCAAAAGAAATACAACAGTCGGCTGATTCAGCATACACAACGTTATGAGCAAACATGTATTGTTAGCCCAAGATGAATTTAAGCAACCCGATCTGTCGCTTCCCATTCGACCTACTTTTACTACTACTCGACTCTTTCATCCCTTTATAAGTTTCTTCGTCCCTGCCTGGATGGTTTCAGGCACATTTTCACAAATCAGCTTACGCCGCCTGACAACATTGGTAACTTGGAATATCGTCAAAAGAAATGGAACAGTGCGCAGTCCATAAGGGAACGTAGAGAGTCTTGAAAAATGATAAGAATTCCGAGAAAGAGCGAAGTGGAAGTTAGTGGCGACTTTTTTCATAGGCTTGTGCGACGCGTGAAGTGGAAGTACGTGACCCTATCGATAGGGCGGTAACTAGTTCTGGTTCGACCACGTAAGTCCGACGTAAGTACTCTATTCGCACCAAAAGGTTGTCCATGTTCCTAATATCTGCGGCTCCAGTGTTCTCATGGTTCTCGAGGCTGGGCCCTCAAATCATCATTTAATTTCCAATGGCACTGGTAACTCAGACCAGTATTGGTTGAAATGGAATACGTGCAAGGAGGGGTGGTGCAGTCCCAAAGGCCTTATAATGAGTATGTAATACCCTGGGATGGGTACTTCATTCCGTCCGTAAACCCGATCCCCAACATACTTTTTGTAGCAGATGTTATCAATATCGTGACACCCAGTAGAAGAGTTCTTGACCGCTAGGCGTCTGTCAGCATGCAAGAGTGGCGTGAATAATCATGACGCCAACTTGAACTGGTCGTCAAAAATCGGCACTGCCGCCAAATGCCGCGCCAACTCTTAAATCCTTTAGGACTTGAGTGGAGCCAGAAAAATGTTGCATTGCTCCAGACGCACTCCAGAGCACCCTCTGTACTTGCCAGTCTACGGACATGGTTGCAGCAACCATGGCATCAGCTTACACCGTTCATCGAGGGGATGACTCGTTCTTTCAGCCCCATAGGATCATTACATGGTAACGTTATTGATCATAGGACAGGGGAGGAGCTATGCGAAACACATGCACCCATCCATACTGGCCCCCTCGCGAATCAGTATGGACAAGTCATTGCCCATTCCTTGTCTCAGAAGACTCTCATGAGGTACGACCAGCGTGTTCCAAGATGTCGCTCCACCGGATTACGATAGAAACTGACCCAATGCGACGACGGGAATTAGGACCCTAATCGTATCGCATTTTTCAATAATGTCATTAGCAATCCAACGGCTGGATGATTCTCCTTCATGCAGCCTACTAAGCCCGCATCATCTAGATCGCCATCCAGAACGTTACGAATCGTCTACGGAAAACAGCAATGGAATTGAGCGACGACTGCTCAGCACAGAAGGCGGGAACGTCACAAGTTGAGGAAAAGTGAGGACTGCAGCAGGAGACATCATGCAAAGAGGCGTGGTGCGGTTGGGGGACTGCGGCTGATTTTTTGACGAGATAGTCTGAAGAGGCAAATGAACACGAAGACCGGTGAGTGGTTTTTTTTGACACGAAACCCCGTATCGAGTGTGCCGACTCGTTGCATGCCGCGTCATCGTTATCATCATCGTTAATTTCGCTCATACGAACCCAAAACATTGTTCTTCCATATACAGTAGCGGACGCTCCGTTATCTATGCCGTGCTTTTCTGCAGGAGGCTAATCGGACCGTGAGCAATTAATTTGCCCCAGTATTTGAATCATGAGCGAAGTCAGCTGCCAGGAGGCATCTGACCCAGTACTAGTCTTGGGTGGAAAGTTGAATATTAACCCATTCCAAAGCAAAGCATTTAGTGACGAGTAAGGGTGCATGAGCGGACCAGGAAGTACTCTAGCGCAGTAGATATAGACTCCTGGATTTCTCGGCCTGACAAAGCTTTGTCCTCCAGCAGTATCCAACGGAGAAACTTCTGCCTCCAAACTTACGATAAGCCCATCGTACTCAGACTAAAGGGTGGACAGAATGTTCTGGAGGAGAAAGAAGAAGGAACCGGAGAGACGGGTGGACACCCACGACACCACATCTATTCAACCTCATGTCAGCGAGGAGAGGGCTACAACCCCCCTCGGTCCAGGGATCAGTACGCGGTATGTAGGATGGGCGTTCTAGTATTCTGCTACAGCTTAGAAGCACTAATGCTCATTTCGTTCGCCGGCGAATTTTAACTGGGACTCTAGCATTCCCGACAATGAGAGGGCCATATCAAGCCCCACGGTCCCCCAGCAACACACTGAGTATCCTGCTCCAAGCTCTCGTCCGGAACCACAGAGACCCGCCGGAGACCCGAGTGGGAGTCGTCGTCGTCGACGTGCCGATACGGCTTGCGTTTATCGTAGTGACTGCTGCGACCCCTGTGAGAATATGGAATGGTATCGCGAAAGGAGGAAGAGGAAGGGGCGTCGTAGAACATCTGATTGCAGTGACATTTGCGCAGAAGTTTGCTGAAAGATTGATGGAGAATCGGGTGAGCATCCTTGAGTAGAACTTGGAGGATTTATCAGCATCACTGATAAAGGTCAACAAGCCTAACGGCTAGCACACAGGATCTGACGCTGGCATTTTGGTCGCCAGTGACATCATAACACCCTCTTTTGTTCAACAAGAAGATCCGTCCAAACCAATAATCCTTCAACGGTGCGCACGCCTATGGTTACACATCAGCACTGGTGTCGCATGTTCTTCGAACTCCGAAATATTGATACATGTGATGACACTTGGAACGAAGGTCTCTCCAGACTGGAATACGACGCTTGGTCCTTCTCCAACTCTACGTATGTCCATTCTTAGGATAGGGATGGGAGAAGACTCTACGTTTGAGAGCGTTCCGCTCAGGGATAAATCCATTCGTTTCCCGGCCGCAGTGGAAAGGGAATGCACCATGCACTGAGGGAAAAGGACCAGGTACGTAATCATCAATAGACCGGGGCCCTGTATTCGAAGTCCTTGTCCTTCTGTGCTGCAAGTTTTTAAACGTCAGAAGCTTGTGAGACGGCGTCCATCTTGCTTGCAGTGGTATTTCCCCTAAAGCGCTTCCGCATGTCAAGCTAAAGCATCCAACATAATGGCATGCAGAAAACGACAGCCGATAGAGTAGACATGGTATAAGTTTTGTCAATTTGAGAAGCGTAATTGAGGAAATGTAAGCTCCGAAGGTAGTACTCGCCTTGGCTCGCTTACAATCCCACAAGGCCTTCCTGAGATGCTTGCAGTCATCCGGTAATGAATCGAACAATACCCGATCTTTCATACATTCGCTCGGCAGATGGCCCTCCTTGACAACGCAGTCTGATTTCATTAGGCAGGACTTTAGCTGCCTCACGAGAGGATCGCAAACGCCGGCATGTGGTGGTGTCTGATCTAGTTGGACCGAAGCTGATATTTCTTCTGGCATGATGCTGCCCGCGAGCTTGGAAAGGCGGGGAAGCGAAACTCTTGACGCTGTGAAAAAACGTGAGAAGAACGGATGGTTCCAACCAAGGCTGTGCCATCATGAGAAATTGGCTGACTTGCATAGGCAGGATCTCAGCCTCTACTAAAGTAGATACTCGCAGCACTTCGACGCGAACAAAATGGATTTTTTCAGTGATATTGGAGGGGGAAGTCTGTACAAGCCCTCTCTATTCGAGCTTGTAGCCCAGGAGCAACTTAGGGATATGCTTCAACCGGCGCTCAAGTATGTTCTCTCGGTAAGTGCGGCAGCCAAGACGCGCGCGTAAAACTTGTTCCCACTGATGGGGGCTTATTGGATTTTGGTGGGTGTTGTAGGTGTTTGCTCAGCGATACCCGAGATACCTCCTCCGAGTCGTTAATTGTCATGAGGAGTTCCATGCCTTGATCATGTTTTTTGTGGAGAGGCACTATTTGAGAGAATATGGTGTGACCTATCGGTGTGCGCAACGGACGCTTGAACCATAATTACTAATGATGATGACCAGGCGCTTCCTTCTCCGAACACTTCTATGGGCTGAAACGGCGCCGGAAACCGATTGTCGAGACAGAGCGAGCGAACACAGCTGTTGGCGGTATTCCTGCACAGGAAAAACTGCGCCGGATTGACGTCCTGAGCTCCTTATTCTTTCTCGTGAGTAAATGATGATTGACTCGACGCATTCATTCTGAAACGATCGCTTGGACTTGCCACGTAGGTGGGCATTCCTTACCTCCGCGCGAAGGCGCAAGATTATTACGAACAACTCGGTGGGGGAGTAGACCCAGAACTGATGGAAGAGCCACCAGCCGCGAGAAGGCTGAGAGTTTCCGAACAGGCAAGCTATTGTTTGAGTGGAGTTTTGACGTCGCACTTACATCTCCGTGATGTGGGTAATATGAAACGCCCTTTGGTAGACCCTAGGTAATCGCTTACGAAGACTGTTCAAGGCTGTGTATCCTTGGGCAAATGGCGCATATGAACTTTGGTTACTCGGGTATAATGTTGCGTACTTGTTTGACAAAACAACGTTTTACCGACCATGGCTCTCGTGGATTGGAGTTGATATGAAGCGCATGGGTGCCGATGATTATGTGAGTGTACAAGTGCGACTTGGTGTTTATCGGGCTTATCTGGCTTCTCGGCAGCAATTGATGGAAGGAAAAGCGACTCAAGCGTTACAGGGACAGTCTTCGTCACAAAAGAAGAGAGGCCTTTTGGCTTTCATTGGGCGGCTACTTATCAGCTCCCCACAACTGCTCCTTGATTCGTTGAAGGTTCTTTTGCCGATGTCGATCTTCTTTGTAAAATTTCTCGAATGGTGGTACTCTCCATCGTCTCCCGCCAGATCGTTGGCTGCAGCACCGACGGGCCCCCCCATTCCCCCACCTCGAATGCTCCCTCCGCACCCCCGTGGGATTCCCATTGATGGGACTAAGTATGGAGAATGCCCTTTATGTCGTAAGATGCTCGAAAATGCCACTGCACTGCCAAGTGGGTATGTATTTTGTTATAAATGTGCTCATGAGCATGTGGAGACGCACGGCCGCTGTCCTGTAACGCTTCTTCCAGCACGGATATGGCAACTGCGAAAAGTGCTCATCTAAAAGAGGGATCATACAATTGTTTGCTTTATGTGTACATATGAATTAGTCAATTATCGTTATCTTTTTATCTCTATTGACGATGTCGCGCGGTTGCACGTTCCAAGAGGGCGATGTGGGTGTCTCTGCTGTGGGAGATGAGATGAAATTTGTATCCGTAGTTGAATTGAGCCTCCATTGATCACAACACTTGTCAACAACAATCTCCCCCTTTCTTGGTTTTCCGTTCTCTTTTCTTACTCTTTCTTCTTTTCCTCTTCCTCTTCCCCCCCTCTCTCACCACCGTCGCCGCGCCCGGTTCGTGGTCGACTAGACCGATCCTAAAGCTTTCCCCCCTAATAGTTGCTGGCGAGTCTTCCAATTAACCAGACTTGTTTCTTGCTTCTGCCAACTTTCCCCATTTGAATCCTGCAAAAAAGTGGGCGCAAGTGCATTGGGTGATATCTTCCCAGGCTTCCTTCCTAGTGTTTATCTCCTCCACACCCACATCCAACTGTGTTATAAGGTCGTCATCAGCTTAGGGATTCGTGGAACAACCAAGCCGAATTGAGACTCCTCTTCGGAACGGCGTCTCCCCTATACAACGGCTTTCATCGGGCTCAATTCTATCCTGTACCCCTTAGTGCTGAGACAGCAGAAACGCGGTCCAGACTATAAGATACCCCTCGCGTTCGACATTCGCTTCCCGTTCCTTTCCCTCGCTCTAAATAGCGATGGATTTCGACTCAGACTTGGAAGCCCCCTTCCGTAACAGACAACCATATCCAGGGCTCCGTATACCTCAAGGGGGTTACGCTCGCATGGATGGTCAGAGCCTCGATGCGAAAGTGGTCGTCATGGGCAATTCTGGTAAATATATTATCCATGAAGCGTCGGAAACTGTCAGTCCTCATACCTCTTTTAGCGGTAGGAAAGACATCACTTGTGCAGAGGTACACAGAAGACAGGTTCACACCCGCATCCACTACCTCCACGACGGGCGCCTTTTTCGTGACTAAAAAGCTCTTTGTGGATGGCCTCAAAGTCCGTTTGCAGTTGTGGGACACGGCTGGTCAAGAGCGATTCCGAAGTATGGTGAGATTTTCCCATTCGAGTCACAAATTTAGCTCTAGCATTTACACTTTGACCTAAAGGCTCCCATGTACTATCGCGGCGCGAGCGCGGCGATACTAGTATACGACGTGACAGACTTGAGTTCTTTTGACGATGTTCGTATATGGATTGATGAGCTCAAGCATCATCACAGTACTTCCTCCGCTTTCTCTCGTTCCGGCTCAACTGACAATGAGCGTGAAGAGCCACCGCTCATCATCTATGTTGTTGGGTCAAAGGCGGATCTAGCGGATAAGGGGGAGCGCGCGGTGACACTAGAATATGCTCGAAAGTCCTTGCACACATGGTACCCACCAACCCCTAAACCCGGACCAAACTCTTCCCGCATATCGAATTCGACGCTCAAGGCATCCAGTTATATTCGGCCTCGATTTATATCCCTCACTACTTCCCTCTCTACCCCTGCCATGACTCCTCTGACTTCTCCACCAAAGGATTCACATTCGTCCAATGGTTCGCCAAGCTCAGCACCACCGCTCGGCCGTTCCCGATCCGCTCGTGTTTCCCCTGCCCCTTCTCGTCCACCAGAAGCGTTACCACAGCCCAAGCGGCTACTTGCCGCGACACACAATAGGAGGTGGAGCGATGCAATGATGGGCGACGACGCGATACGCGAACAAAACGAGTCGGATGACCCGTCTACAGGAATTAGTGGCAGCGGCCGTTCATACGATACGGATGTGTTCGACGACAGCACATCATTGGAAGAGATTGAGGAGTTATATCCTCTTGAGAAGGGCATGGAGTTGTTTGAGGTGTCATCGAAGGATGATGAAGGGGTGCAAGCACTTTTTGCACATTTGATCGATAGCATCATTCAGAGAAGGGATATTATCGAGGGGGAACGACTTGCAAGAGGGAGGAACAGCGTTATGTTGGATGGTGGGACAGGCATGCGGGGTGACGGCGAGGATGGCGATGACGCTACCCTCCCGGATCCCCGGAGATCAGGGGGTTGGAGCTGTTGTTCGACATAAGGGCGCAATACGTAGCCGAGCAAGCCATGTCCTCGGTTCGAGCTGTATCCTTCCCGTGGTGAAGGGACTGATCGTTTCGATCGAGGGTCCTGCCTAACCTGGAAATGCAAGCACCTTCAGCCACGAGCTGAAGGCGACCCTCTTCCATCTTTTCTGAGGGACTGTCGCCACACAACCCTCGACTCTATCTCAACCGTATGAATTCGTTACCAACAAAAATCTATGCACAGTTCTGGGATGACTTGGCATTGGAGGCCAGGTGCCCGCCTCTTTACTTCTTTGTATGTCCCTGCCAAGATGCGGTCCGTTTTCAAGCAGCCGAAAACTTCTCCATCTACTCGATGAAACTACTGGCTGATCGATATTGGTGCCAACCCTTCCACAATAAGGACTGCCAGCTCCCCCCCTCCTTTCTGCCACTTTCGTCATTCTGTCGTACTCTACAGCACATCTTCCTACTATGCAACTGATGCATTTCATTATCTTATTTGATTCCTTGTCTCTTCTCTCAATCCTCGGCACTATGCAATTTTCGTGTCTTTCAAGCAACACTCATATCCCTTTGTTCGTCGTCCCCCGGATACCGGCATACAAACACCTGATCCCATCTGGCGCCGCTCCCCTCTCCTCCATGTTTGTACCCAATCGACCAGGTTTGGGTTGTTTCCGCACACCTTTTCTTCCAAGTCACTTCAATTACCGCCAAACCCCATTCATCCAATCTCCCCCCAATCATTGACTCGTATGCCTTGGTTGTGTGACGCCACCTCTTTCATGACTGATCATGTCTTGCGAAGCGGGCAAGCCGCTTACCTCACCCATAATTTTTTGTGTTTTTCTGCGTTTTCCTCCAGCTCCCCCGCCCTCCTTCCTCAAGTACCATGTCAGATCTCCTCTGGTTATTTTTGCTATTCCCACTTCTCAATTCCTCTTGATTTTTTTCGTTTCCACTCTATTTCTGTTGACCATGTACTATACTTTTTTATACCATTTTATGCTTTCGTGGCTCATCTGGACCACAGCAGCACGCAAAAACAATCGCTCCAAGTGTGTAGAATTTGTCCAAACGCGAAGATCATGTGATCAAATGAAATAAAACAAATGATCGTCCAATCACAGTCAATTAGCTGAGTAATCGGGCGCGCCTCTTTTTGAATGCCGCTGTAATCTCACTGCGTTTCGACAGGTCCGGAAGACAATGTCCGGTCAGTTGTCATGTATTACCCACAGACTTTGCCGTATTTACGTAAGGCCGACCAGCACCGAACTCAGTCCCTGGCAAGTCCGAAGTCGCTGAATAAAGTATCATGTTCCAAGAGTCGTTCTTCCATCAACTTGCGAAGCCCGGCCGGCCTGACAGTCGTTTTCCAAAATAATTTAAGATATCGTGACTTTGTAAGTGCTTCGGGTATCTCACTTAGGCAGGATCAGAGGATGTAGATCGAGTAAGAGCAGGGGGGAAGAGAGAGGAAGAAGGAATAGATTTATTAGTATACTCTTCTTCTGTAATGACGATCCCCTCATGTACCCACTAAGTACCGGACGGCCGCACTGCCACGTGACAACGAGGCCGTGGGGTAATAAACCAGAAATATTCTCCTCCTCACTTAGGCAGGACTCTAGCCTCTATGACTTCGTAAACCCGATAGAAGGTTGCGCTCAAAACAGACTTGGGATTCAGTCAGGCATAAGAATGCGTTGGCATTGCCTTACTAGGAAGATCCCCTCCCCTTGATGTGTTTCCTCTGCTTCTGTCGATCTCTCGTGTCTAGTCTGCTAGTCAGTTTGACGGTTGTTGTCCTAGACTTCAATACCAGTTGCCCTCGATTCATACGTAAGGCTACCACACGCTACAGTGTTGCTAAGCCCTTGTCTATTTACAAAGCAGAAAGCCGCCGCCGTTCATCCAAATACGGAGATCCACTCCTGTGGATCAAGCCAACTCTTTTTTAGGGAAATGCCACCCCACCTACTTGTTGCTCGCGCTTCCATGCACTGCTCGAATGCACAACAGTATGTGGACATACTGCTTTTCAGAAGGTCTACAAGTGGGTGTTTTGTGTTATCTTTACAATCTGATTTCATGCCGCGGACTTCCTGATGGCGAGTAACTCGGAGGGCTACGGACACCATACTGAGTTCATACTCTTACCGTACCCATCCAATCGATGGGGCGCGTGTTTTCCGCAGTTTACGGAAACGGATGCTGTATTGACCTTCCTAGAAACAGAAAATGGCAACGTGGGTCACAATTAACGCCTTGCGGCGGGTCTACCGCCACAGGGAAACGAGACAGGTGAAGCTCTGCGTGAGGGATGCGGCGATACTGAGTCTCTGCCCCTGCATTGCGGATCTCCGTCGCCAACGTATCCTGTTTGGAAGTGGCCACCTTCTGTGCTAGACCCGACCTTTTCAGCAGCAGGTCCTGCGGCAAACGTCGTCGCTAGGACTTGAATTTTTCTTGGCGGTGGCTTGGGGTGGGCGATTCCCGTTTAGATGATATCAGAGGGCCAGCGGGGGGTAAGAGCACAACTTAGAGGGGAAAGTAGTGCGATTGCGGAGGTAGGCAAGCCACGGTTTTCGTGCTCGTCCTCGGCTGACTAGGAAGACCCTCTATTGAACAAGCGGCGTGAGGGAGTTGGGGTTGACCCCAGTTATCAGTAATATGGTACGATACATGAGTTCTAGTGTTGTGATAATTCCTGCTTGTATACATGTCGTGTGATGGTTAGGAAGACGAATACACAATCTATTCAGGGATGGTTTTAAGCTGGAATGCCCTTGTGAGCCTCAAGAACTGAAGAATGCCCATTGAATATCGCACCTGTAGACCATGAATGCTTGCGACCTCTTCTTTTAGTTCCTGCGTTACTAGACGATGCTGCTTCACTGTCGGTAACCCCTTGAAGGCAGAAGATGATATGTTAATGGCATAAAATGTTCCGCATCCCCCTACATGATATTTTTGTTGGCAAGCGAGTTGAACCGAAACAACCACGTACCTGATACATCCTGCACCACAAGTCTTGACGGGTGAAATCTTGCCTTAAGTTTATTGATTATTTGCTGTTCCCCTTCTGTGACGGGTGGCAAATTCTGCCCTTGATCCGTTGTGCCATACGTCCGGAAAGAGTTTCTTGATAGAGTGTTTATTGATGTGCGTAAACCAAAAAGCGAGTCATAGAATCTCCGTCCCGGTGTACTGGTTCGTGCAAGAGCAGGAAGACCCGGTCTGAGCATTGTTTGCTGCGGGTGATTGTAAGCAGCTTTCGGAAGCGTCGGTTGCCGTGGGAATCTTCCCTCCCAGGCACTTCCGCGATTACTATGTCTGCATTGTGGACTTCACTACGGTCAGGAGGAGTGGTGAAAGCCTTCAGAGTGATCCAGACTCCATTGAGGTCTTGTATCCAGCCTCCAGTGGCGAATCGTATTCTCAGCCTACAATACAACCGTTTAGTTACGCAGACGACCAGTCAAGGCTTGAACCTCCTGCAGTCCAAGAGGCTGTCCAGTACATTTTCTCGTCCAGCTGGAGATCTTGGGTTCTTCACTTCTCATGCGTTCTCATCGTTGGCACTGGGCTTAAAAAGTTCATCAACAGCACATCATGCAACTGCCGCTGAGACTACTTTGCAACTCCCACCCATTTCCCCTCCATCGGTCTCAAATTGGCTATTTGTATCTGCAGCACTCGTATTTGGTGTCATAGTTGTCGGTGGAATAACGCGTCTTACGGAGTCTGGACTCAGTATCGTTGAATGGAGGCCTATTACCGGGACGTTGCCTCCCCTTTCCGAAACAGAATGGGTGGAAGAGTTTGAGAAGTACAAGTTATCACCAGAATACAGACTGTGGGTATTAGATTACCATCAAACGCCTCCTTGATGTGCCTACGCAAAAGTCCTTCGTTTTTGGTTTAGAACTAATCACAATATTACCTTGGACCAATTCAAGAATATCTTTTTTTGGGAATATGCGCATCGATTGCTCGGCCGTGTTATTGGGGTAGCATTTGTCGCACCCCTCGCCTATTTTTATGCTCGACGTCGCTTGACGCCAGGTCTCCCAATAGTTCTCACATCTTTGGGACTTCTCATCGGTTTCCAAGGTGCATTGGGCTGGTACATGGTCAAGTCGGGGTTGTCAGAGAAGATCATCGAAACAAATAGCGTGCCTCGCGTCAGCCAGTATCGGCTCGCCGCTCATTTGTCGATGGCGTTGCTTTTGTTTGCAGGCATGCTTGGGGTAGGATTGCAAATGAGAACGGACCACAAATGGGCCGAGAGCGGAGTTTGGAATAGTCTTGTGGAGAAGAATGGTGTTAAGCCCTGGGATGCTGTATTCAGCAATCCAGCAGTGAGAAGATTTAGATTAGCAGCTGGCCTACTAACAGGGCTTGTCTTTCTTACAGCCTTCTCAGGTACGTTGGTAAAATTGTGTCCAGATCCTTTTGTTAAGTAATCTTTCCAGGTGCATTTGTCGCAGGGTTGGACGCAGGGCTGATCTATAATGAATTCCCGTACATGGGCGAAAGTTTCATGCCTCCCATCGACGAAATGTACAAGAAATCGTATGCAAAGGAAGCGAACGGGAGCGATTTATGGTGGAGAAATATTTTTGAAAATCCTACCACCACCCAGTTCGATCATCGCTTGTTGGTGCGCTTACACACACCTTACAGGTTTTGGAAATGGTACTGACATCCATTTGGCGTAGGCGACGACCACATATGCTGCCATATCAACGCTCTTCTTCACCACGATATTATCTCCCCTTAAAAAGGGGGGTTTCCTTCCGGCGCTGCCTCTGCGGCTGACGTATCTTACGTATGGACTTGTAAACCTCCAAGTACTTCTGGGAATCTCCACGCTTTTGTATCTGGTCCCCGTGGAGTTAGCAGCAAGTCATCAGGCAGGGAGTGTGGCGCTGCTGGGCAGTCTAGTTGCACTAATTGCCTCATTGAGAAAACCTGGTCGGATGGCGCAATTGTGGAGAGACTCGAGAAGGGGCACTGCAACCAGATAGGTGTACGTTAAGGGGCGAGAAAGAGTATATTCGTAATTCCAGTCGAGTAGACCAAGAATGGAACGCAGGGCGACCAGACATGCTTTACGATAGAATATGATACAGTATACTGGGTTCACTCATCCATTTGGACATCTTCACCAAGCTCAGGAGCCGCAGCCGCTGGGACCTCCTTCGCGGGTAGCCGTTGCAGCCACTGGTTGATGACTTCACCTTCTAGAATCCGGAAAGCACGGGATGTATCGTCGGGAGGTCCCGAACCAATGATGCCGATGCTGGTATTGTGGATTGTGAGTCCTTTATCTTGTTGTAGTGTCTCCCGAAGCGCGTGGAGGCCATGAAGAATTAAATCGTCAAGTGAAGCTGGACGATGTTAGCTCGTTAGCATAAATTTGGTAATTAGTCAGTCTTTGAGTAGCCTTACCCTCAGCGAACTCCTCGTAATGTCTCTCAAGATACGTTTTCGCGCTCTGACTCCGTGCACCGATCGATATGGCAAAATATTCATAGGAGTTACCTGAAGGGGAGAACTCGTAGAGATGCGGGCCTGTACGATCCTCTCCAATGACAAGGAAACCAACCCCATATGGCCTCCGCCCATATTCCTGAGTGTTCACTTGTGCCTCTACAGGTCGTGTGAATGAACAAGGGACGCGTCATCGAGCAAATTAGAGACGCGTACTATCAGCAATGGCTGTAACAAGCTGATTAACGGGTATCGGGCGGTTGAAGGTCATTCTGGATGACATTGCTTGCTGGCGCATGAAGTTACTGTGGGGAATATCGAAGTTGAGCTCTTGTGGACTAACGCAAGAGTTGGACATTTCCTCAACCTCAATACACGCGCGTCAGAAGTCAGTCCGGCAATTGCAATGCCAACATGGTCATCGATGCGGAACATTTTTTGTTGGTACGAGGCGAGCTCTCCAGTTGAGCGCTAGAAAATGGGATGGAGGTCTATCAACGTAATTCCACTAGATAGGATAAAGGCATACCTTTAATGCTAGTAATATTGCATGCTTGTTGGATTTTAAACCAACGGCAGCAGATCCCTGCTTTACAGCCTCCAGAGCATATTCGACTTGGTGCAGTCGTCCTTGCGGAGAGAACACGGTGTTATCGGAGTCATAAGTATTTCTAAACTAGAATCAGGTAGCCCCATGCAATCGTTAGCTTCCTTCGTGTCCGTAAACCCCAACAATGCGTACCATGATGCAAGAATGTCAAGTGAACAGGACGCGTATGTTTCGAGTCCGAGGGCGTGACTGTTACTGGGACCTACCGCACACAGCCACACCGGCATCGACGCCCGGCGCCTTCTGAGGTGCCGTCGTTCAGCCATATCCGGAGGTAGTGGCCTTTGACGTATGTAATGACGGTCACTCATCGAAAGGCTACGGTGGATTCCACCACGCAAGGTAAGTTGGTTATTCAGCGCAGCAGCTTCCCTGAACTGTGTGGCCCCACCCAGTGGCTCCTGCGCCGATTTCTGAACCCGGTGTTGCGTATCAATGCGATTCTTGTGGCTCTGACATTACACATGCCATCCGTATAAAATGCGCTGCCCCCGGATGTGAGGAGGTTGATATCTGTCCATCATGCTTTTGTGCAGGGAAGGAGGTTGGGCAGCACAAGCCATGGCATGATTACAGGGTTATCGTATGTATTTTTCAGTTACTGTCAGTATCATGTGCTCATTTCACTGTATCTTAGGAGAGGCACTCATACCCAATATTTACAGAGGGCTGGGGAGCGGACGAGTGAGACCCATCATTGCACATATGCTAGCTCTAATCTTGGTCGTGTTTAGAGAATTGCTTCTCATTGAGGGACTCATTATTAATGGCTTGGGAAATTGGGCTGCTGCTGCGGAACACATTGGAACTAGAACACCCGAGGAAGTACAACAGCATTACCACGATGTGTACGTGGAAAGTCAAACATGGCCATTACCCGTATGTGCTGCTGAAGGACGTCGATTCTTACCTCATATGATGGATGCAAATTTTTTGTTTCCAGGATTTGACCAAGAGCTTTGATGTCGACCCCGACTTTTTCCACAATAAGAAGAAGGAGCGGATAGCTGCTATGAGACAGCGCGCGTTGGAGATTGCGAAGAGCTCCAGCGATTCAAAACCTCCACTTGTATCTGGTCCTACCAATCACGAGACACAGGGCTATATGCCGGGTCGTTTGGAATTCGAAACTGAGATTGAAAATGAAGCAGAAGAGCTTGTGAAGGATCTTGAATTCGGCCTCGTTATGCAGTATGGGGGCGATCAACAACCCGCCCCGGATCCGCCTCCGGGCATTTCAGACTCTGCCACAGAGGAGAGGAAAAAAGAAGGGGATAAGATGACCGAGGGGAAGGCGACTGAAGATTCGAAAGGTCGGGATGACGAAAAGGCGGTTTGGGTACAAGATCCCGAAGAGACTCCGCAGTCCGCAGCATTAAAGCTCGCACTTCTTGACATCTATTTTGAGAAATTGGACAGACGTGCTGAGGCAAGGACTTTCGTATTTGATCGCGGCATGCTCGATTTTAAGAAGGCGAGCCACCGCCACTACGATAATCCTCACAATGCTAACCACTCCATGTACAGTGGCAAGCCGCTGAGAAAAAGCGACCAAAGGAAGAAAGAGACCTGATTCAAAGGCATAAGTCGTTCTCAAAGTTGCAAACAGGTTCAGACTTTGAAGATTTCATCAATGGTGTCATGCGTACGTACCCGCTTTTTCGATGTTGCAGTGAGCACTGGATAAACGTCGGTAATTCTCGATTACCCGCAGAGGAGAACGCTCTCAAGGCCCGTATTTTGGAGTTGCAGGAATACCGCAACCATGGTATTACAACCTTAGCAGACGCAGAGAAGTACACGAAAGAGAAAGCAACAAGGGTCGGTATCGTTACATCCAACCCTTTATGGTCGCATCTCAGCCATTTCCCTAGTTCAATCGGCCTGCATCTTTCCGAGATCTATCCGGAGACACTGGTTCTCACCATGCTGCAAACGGTCGCTTGTCTTCTATGCCCCCCGCTCACGACTCTTCGTTGCAATCGTTCGAGGCGCGCATGGGGAGCCATCAATCAATGGATCTATCCATTGGGATGGCACCGAAACCTGGACCGGTTGGTAGAAGACCCGGTACGTGCAAAACCAGTGGACAAGCACTATTTCTCAGTTATATTTGACCAATTTGGAGTAGCCGCTCCACTCAATTTGGCAAATGCCGCGTCTCTGCACCTTTTGACTCCGCTGGAACAAGAGCTATGCTCGGAGCTACGCATTCTGCCGAAGCCTTTCCTCATTATCAAGGAGACTCTAGTCTCAGAGTTCATGCGCCGCAATGGGAACCTGAAGAAGCGTGAAGCTCGAGATTTGATTAAGATTGACGTGAATAAGACTGGGAGAATTTGGGAGTTCCTTGAACAACAGGGGCTGTTGGATATCACCAAAAAACCGGGAGCCAGCGTACAGACATGATCATTGGTATGCGATAATATTGTCATCAAATGGTTGGGCACGGGAATGCTGTATGTACAATTGAATATGCTACATTATGTCCTTATACTATCTAGTGATGTCACGACCGTGTATCCAAAGCAATTGCCAGCACGATAGAAACCTATCAGGTTCAATTCTCCGGTAACAGATTAGTGCAATGGCAAGCAAATCACTGCGGGCTAGAGTTAGTGGGCCTCCCTTCCCATTTCTCCCCTCTATTAACTTCTTCCTCCCATCGTTTTAGCCGTTCCTCACTCCAGGTCCTCTCCTTTGTGTAGTCCTCAGCTGTCCTCAAGAACGGGCCATCTACCTGAAGGGTGTGCTTGACCTCTTCTGGTAGATAATTATTAGTGACTGGATGTGCGAAATTAGGATTATACAAATATTCAGCGCCATAACCAAGAGTCTCCATAAATTGGGTAGGGGCATTGCGCACTGCAATGGGCACTGATAACGCGGACGTTCGCTTCGCTTCTGCTTCCGCCTAGAGGCAGAATTCAGTCAGACAACATGGCTGACATGTGTCAGGAAGGTGATTTAAAATATCACTAACTCTGTTGTATGCTTCATACGCACGGATAGACTTCTTCGCCTCGGCCAAGTATGAAACACAATGCGCAAGATTGATTCGGCATTCTGGCAAGCCTGCATCCTTGCATGTGTGTGAGTCAGCATGCCATTAGGGGTGGTACTAACCAATATTCTGACATGCAAAGTACGTGGCCGTGGCCAAGGGCAGTGCATGGGTATCTGCAAGACCCACATCTTCGCTCGCAACAACTATCAACCGTCTTGCGACATAAAGAGGGTCTTCGCCTGCTGTTAGCATCCTCTGCGGGGGAAGGGGCGTCAGCTGATGCAAGAACCCACCACACCATTCACAAGATCACAAACCGCAAGCCAATATAGCGCAGCTGATCCATCACTCCCTCGAATGCTTTTGTGCAGAGCACTGATCATTTCATATCGGTCATCCCCAGTACGGTCATACCTAGTACAGGGATAAGATGTGATGAATGCGAACAGGATTCAACGTAGATTTGCCTCGACAATGTGGTGGTTTTCAATGAATTAAGGATTTGTTCCACAGATACATTTGAAGGAGCCTGGAGAACTAATTCAAGCAGATTGAGGGCTGTTCTTGCATCCCCTATCGATAATCCGACGATGCATTCTAATACTTTCGTATTGGTTGCCAACGTCGCGTGCTCTTGTTTAATGCTGTCACGCATGCGGTTGATAGCGTTAAGGAGAATCTTCATCATGTCCGTATCGAATATTCTCCACAGAACAATCACCCTATGGCGGAACAATTATCGTCCACATTGACTTGCACAGAGTGAGATCAGAACTTACCGGCAACGACTGAGGAGGGCAGCCACCACCTGTGAGCTATGGTTAAAAGCTGCTCAGTGCCTAGACAATCCACTGTCTCACACCTTAAATGACGGATTTTCTGTCGTCGCCGCTATCAGTTGGACCCACCCTTTCTCAACATAGGGTAGAAAGAGATCCTATCTGGATAGGTATAATTTGGGCTAGGCGGATTAACAAAACGGTCACCTGTTGTGCCTTATTGAAACGCTGTATCTCATCTTGAGAAAGGAAGTTTGAATTGGTAATGGGACTAGAAGCCAGAAGCAGCCACCTACCAACGAACATCACAGTCCGTTTCCCAGATAGAGATAACACATTTTTTGCTTCCTCAAAAACGGCTCGTACGTCAGCAGTCCCGGCAGACGTCGCGCTCAGCTCCTTGATAATGGAATGTGTAGACCGTGCAATGATTCTGGCAAGGGTAGTTTTGCCTGGAACATCCAACACGCAGGTTATCTTCAAGAAGGGGAATCCTCAACGTGCACCTTACCAGAGCCTGGAGGACCCCACTGGAGCAATTAAATATGCATCACGCTTAATTGAATCAGGAAGAGTTGATAGAAATGTACCAGGAGCAAACTTCCACAAGTTCCGGAATCAATCAAGCCTCTCAACAACGTACCAGGTCCCACATGCTCCTGGTGGCCAAAAAAATCGTCCAGAGACTGAGGCCTCATGCGTTCTGCTAATGGAGCCACAGAAGATAGGCTAGAAACCCTCGAGGAGATCTTCAATTCGGAACCGAGTTTGATTTTCTTTGCGGGCCGGGACTCTTGACTGAGGATAACAGTGTCGGATGATGCAGGGGAAGAAGGCGGTGGCGGCACGTCGTTTGGCCTAGTCTTCGTTCTGGACTGGGCGGATGTGAATATTGGCGCCAAATTTTTCGATGGACGGTCTTGCGACGTTGCTAAGAATTGGTAGGAAAAACCCGTGATGAGCGGACAATGACTTACCGATATCATGAGAGGGAGGTAGTTGACAACCTGAATCTATATGCTGATTTATCACACGCTCAGGAATTTTGACAGAACAAATTGGACTGTCTCAATATGGCTCAGAAGCAACGCTGGGAAAAGCCCTATCAAACACACCAGACAACTGAGAGGGGTCAGCTGGTCAGCTAGAGCTGAGGGAAGATGACTATTTTAATAACCTGCGTTGCTGCTGCCTTCCATGATGTTGCCAAAACGCGCGCAGCCCAATATAAATTGATTTTGATGAACGAACGTGCTTGGTTCGGATTTAAATAAGTTGACTCTGATCACATGCACGATGTTCCTCGATTCAGATCGAGTCTTAGCTGGAGGATTTTCGTGGATCATCAGACTCTCCCTGTCAGTGACGACGGCCTTGATCGACCCCCTTTGGTCCTAGCATCTCGCCGGTAGCAACCTATTGCATTCTTGCGATGAAGGTGCTTACTCAATATAATCTCGTTGCTTAGCGCATTTAGCTCATACTGTGTTTCAGTTTGGCAAAGAGATCCAGAGGCAGCAGATCCCAGGATGGTCGCCGTATTATTTGGACTACAAGGCTCTTAAGAAAATCATAGCAGCAGCCAATAAGTCACTTGCTGAGTCAAACTCGCTACTTATCGAAGTACTGCGTCCCCTGGATGTTCTTTCCTCGCCTTCGCCTGCAACTAAGAAGGATACATCTATTGCCTCTCCTCCAGAGATTACCTTTGCAGGCTCCGTCTCGTCTGGGGATGCCAACGTTGCACCTGTTTCTGTCCCCACTGTTGGGAGGGATGAAGAGCGTGGCCCTGAATTTCAACGAAGCAAAGCAATGTTCTTCTTCAAGCTGGAGCGCGAACTCGAAAAGGTACGAAACAATATTGAAATTAAGGGCTTATACGCCTCACGGGCTGCCCGCTAGATCAACACGTTTTATCTCCAGAAAGAAGCGGAACTTAAGTTACGCCTTGGTAACCTTCTGTCGAAGAGACGGCTAGCGCTTCAACTCATGAGTTCAGATGAGGAGGGGGCAACTGGAAATGAGGGTGGGATGCAAAGTTCTGAGTGGCGTGCTGTTCAAGAGGGTTTTCGCTTGCTGGAGAAAGATTTAGGCAAACTCCAAGTGAGTTGCTGAACGAATCCAGCACGAACTGGGTTCTCAGTTCCGGTATTTCATGTGCCAGAAATTCATTGACGTCAACGCCACTGGATTTCGGAAAATCCTCAAAAAGTGGGACAAAAGATCCAAGTCAAAAACCAAAGAGTTGTATCTAGCCCGTCAAGTCGAAGTTCAGCCATGTTTTAACCGACAGGTACGGGGAATAAGTTTCAAGATTTTAATTCCACTTACCCTTCGTAATAGCTCCTTGTGCAGCTTTCTGATGCCGTGGCTGCATGTCTCATAGACCCGGTGAATGCTGAGGTTGATCCTAGCCTTGAAGATGCTACTCTAACGCCTAGTTTGCCGAGTGACGCCATCCTCTCTCAACAACTTACCGTGGAGAGCGGTGCTTCGTCAATGAGAGTTTTTCGTGATTTCGAGGCGAATCTGTCAAAGGCTGTTCAGTGGCACGACAACGAGGCGGTGAAGGAGCAGCTTGCTTTGGCTGAATCTTCTCTGCCCTCACAAGCCCAGAACGGTCGCACCCATATCATGCGAATACTTTGGCGTGCCGCCATGCTGGCGAGACCAGACATTGCAGATGCCATTATCAATTCGGCCCCCTTTGATCTGTCCTTCGTTGATGACATCAATGGTCGGACATGCTTGCATGAAGCCTCGATTTCCGGCAAACTTCGCTTGGCAAACATCTGCTTAAGACATGGTACCCATGTAGACAGTGCCGATGCCTACGGCCGGACTGCCTTGCATTATGCCTGTCTTGAAGGGCATTCAAGTGTGGCTGAGAAGCTTCTGGTCGCAGGTGCGACCCCCAATCTGCTTGATATGGATAACTATTCTCCGCTTATTTATGCCGTGGTGAACGGCTGGCTGGATTGCATCCGTGTCCTCGTGAGTCAGCCTGGCGTCACTGTAGGCCCAACTAGTTTGAAGAGTCCCAGCGACTTGATACCGCTTTCTCTTGCTGCACAATACGGGCATGCCGATATTTCGAATTTCTTGATACAACACGGGGCTCAGAGCATAGCCAACACTAATGGAGAATATCCCATCCATCTTGCTGCACGGGAGGGGCATGCCGATGTTTGTCGGTTACTAGTGCGACATTTAGACCCTTCGTCCAAGGGTAGAGTACCCAGTCCAAAACCAACCTACGTTGACACTCCGGATAAATATAATGAGTGGACCCCATTGCTGCACGCAGCGCGAAATGGCCATGTCAAGTGTGTTCAAATTTTGTTAGATGCCGGGGCCAATCCGCTCGCAATGGACGAGAATTCCAGGACCGCGCTGTATCACGCTGCCTGGTTCGGTCATATTGAGTGTGTCAACAAGCTCATTAATGCGGTCACATTGTACAGCATTAATTATGGAGGCAACGCTGCCAAGATCCCCATTCCAAAATCTGCTCCCGGGACCTCGAGCACTGCCTTCACCATGTCCTCTGGCTTTGTGCCTTCGCCTTTCGACCCATCCAGTGTGCCGGGATCCATTGGGCCTGAGTTCAAACTAGATTCGGACACAGACCCGGATGTAGACATGATACCTTCCCTTCTCCTACCGCCCCCTATCATGCCCTTTCGCATATACGGACATAACTACTTGGATAATTCGTATCTTGTTCAGGTTGTTTTGGGCCATCCCTTCTCATCACCAACTGATCCTGTACTTCCTGTCAAACTCGTCCCGGATGTTGCACGACAAACCGATGTTGGACTGAGAAACTCGGCAGCTCGTGCCAAAGCGACCCCTTCACTCAAAGTTGTGATGACATCCCGCCCATCTGAGTCAGGAGGATTGGCGGCGTCACATAGCATCGTGCTTCCTTTAGCAGATGAGAGCGAGGCATTCTCGTTCCAACTCCAACATCTTGACGACCTCACCCTCGAATTCTCTTTTTATCCCGCATTTGGCTCGAAGATCATTGGCAGAGCCGTTGCATCTCCCCGCGGCTTATGCGACCTCCGGCGGGGGAACGCGAAAAGTATACCCATCTTAGATCATCGTTTAAACGTCATTGGAGAGGTGCGTCTCGGAGTTGCACTCTATCGCCTTGCCTCATGTCTTTTCATCCCAAGTTGTTATTCGATATTTACATTGTAACCCCTTTTAAAGAAGTCGCATTGGAGGTTGGCGGTACTGTGGAAACCTATTGGAAGTCTACTTCCGGGCCATCGGCAGATATGCCAATAGCATCTTTGAGCTCAATTGGTTTAAGCTCATCCGTCCATCACGGCCCTTCCCCTTCCTCTCCGTCCATCCGTTCCCCAGCTGTGACGGCGACTGCTGGGAACAAAATCGCTTTATCGTCCCTCTCTGGAGAGTTTGTGCATTTAGTAATCCAGGTTACCCGGGATTTCATTCCAGTCGTCTGCCCTGAGTGGAATGTCCCATTTGTGATGAACGATCAAAAAGAACCGCTAGTCGATGTCGGGGTGGCGGACCTCTCAGCTGATCAATTTCAGCGGCTGGTAGTGGTAGCAGGGAGAACATCTGATGCGAAGCTGCCACTTGCGCAGCTGTCGAGTGCATCTGAATGGCAACGATGTCTTTCTGGGTCGTTCTGCACACTGACGGAGGTGCTCAAGGTCGGTTTTCATTTCCGCCATGTCCCCAAGTCTTCATGTGAATTGACGCTCCCTTCTGCTCTAGGCACTTCCGTTGAAGTATGGCGTAAGCCTAGAACTCCGCTATCCCAACCCAGTGATTCGGCAACGGTACAGTCTAGGCCGCAACCACGAACCGAACGAATTTGTCGACAGCGTGCTCAGAACAGTGTATTCAGCCCTGGCTACCCACTCAGGAGCATTTCCTAGAAGGAAAATAGTCTTCTCTTCCTTCGTGCCTACCATATGTACTGCTATCAATTGGAAGCAGCCGAATTGTCCGTGGACCTAAGTCTAGAACTTACAGTTAATACCAAAACTGACATTAATATCTCTTGCCTAGATGCCGTATTCTTTGCGTCAAAAGGAGGCGTTGCGAGACCGGCCGGAAATGACACTGGTGTATTACTTGCTGATGAAGAGGAGATAGATACTCGCTGCCGCAGTATCAGCGCTGCTGTTAACTTTGCGAGGAATAACAATCTTCTTGGCCTCATTCTGAATGCATCGATTTTGGTCAGTCGCTTTTTCCCGGTCCGGTTATATTGTTCCCTTTCCTGACATCTCGCTATTAGCAACAAGTACCTTCGTTGATTTTGGGCATCAAAGAGCACGGGGTCATGCTTGCTGCATTCGGAAACACAAATTTATTGCCTTTGTCTTCTGCCACAGGGACTTCCACGAAGGTTGATGCAATGCTCACCGAAGGGGTTTTGACATTCGTTGACCGAGCTATCGGCATGCTATGATATTTATTTATTTGGTTAGCTATGTTTCGAGATATAATCTACACGAATACAAAGGTCAAGGGAGTCGCGAAAAGAGGAATTGGAATGATTAGTTGGGCATTTTGAGAAGCTTTGTCAGTTGTATTACGCGTTTGCGGCCGAAAAACACTAAGCAGAATTACAATGATGACAATCTCGAAAGATGTTCGAAGTAAGAAACTTTTTTGGATGGGGTTGGCGGAATTTGAGAATGGTGGAGTAACACAAAGAACAGCTTGGTCACATTAGGGCATCATCGTCCTGGAGTTCAAATACCCTGCGAATGTCCGATATTACTTGTGAGGATGTACCGAATGCAGTAATGGTACCGTTTTCCATGACCGCGACCTTATCAGCCCATTGGAGCGCATCAAGTCTGTGTGTGACGAAAATGATGGTCCCGTGGCCAGGTCGCTTGGTTAGTCCCTGAAAGAGCTGGCGTTGGCCACATACGTCCAGGGCTGAATTTGCTTCGTCAATGAGCATCATGTCACAAGTGTTGGCACGCATTAATGCACGAGAAATTGCAATTCGTTGCCACTACGAGACTAGTGTAAGCCCTCGTGTTGCACGATAAGGTGGGTAGACCTACCTGACCACCTGATAGCTGAGCAACACCATTCCTTTTAGGTGGGCATGGCGGCTCATCCGTGTCAGCAGACAGGTAGGCATGTAATGTCGTCATAGCGTACGGTGGAGGTGGATAATCCTGATAGTGTCGGTAATGCGGGTACATGTGCGTCCGAGGCCGATTATTTTCGCCTTCTAAGAGCGTTTCTATGCCGTATTCCATATCCTGCACAAGGGATAGTGCTCCTGCCGCACTCAAAGCTTCCCATATCGCATGATCTGAGCCGATATTCTCGATGTTTCCCATGCCAACGTTCTCACGAACGCTGGTACGATCGAATTTGCAAAAAGACTGGAAAATGACGGATGTGCGCTTGTGCAGATCGGAGGCATCGAATCGACGCACATCTGCGTCATTTACGCGATATGAACCATGTGAGAAGTCTACCAGACGCGCGAGAACATGCATGAGGGTCGTTTTGCCGGAGCCGTTGAGACCAACGATGGCGACGGTTTCACCCGGATTGATGGTCAAGTTGACTCCACGTAGTGTAGGCGTATGTTGACCGGGAAATGAAAATGTTAGGTCTCTAAGAAGTCCGATGCAGTGATGAAGTGAGTATATGCGGTCACCGGACCGAATCCATGCTTCTGCCACGCACTTCAGCTCAAGTTTCATCCCTCGTTTCGACCCAGGTGCGTGTGAAAGTGGATATGATACCCGATTCTCTTCCGCAGCATTAAGGTAGGGCTGCATTTTCATAGCACAGTGGAATGCCCCAAGATCGAAACAAGAGTCAAAAGACCAACGGACTGAGGTTTGGATTGAACTCAGGGACCTGCAGAGGCGTTCGGTTGCTGTTCGAGTGAGATTAGCGGAACCCATAGAGGAACCAGAATATTGGATGATGAAAGGTACCTGAAATTAGTGTATTAGAGAGACATCCTTGTTAACTCGCGAACACACTTCGAGCAACTTACGTTCCGAAGGATGTCATAAACTTCACTAGAAGTCTCCTTCAAGAACATTCGAATGGTGGCGACCGTTCGACTGGACTGGGAAGAAACAAAAACCCCCCGTGAATTGACCATTTGATCAAGTTTCATGTCCTCCTGTTTTGCAACAAGCCACTGCTCCAAGATCCAGTCTGCAAGACCAAATAACATCACTTCAGCCTTGCATGTAACATTGTATGCCATATTTTCCATCTGTGAGATGCGCTGTTTAATGGATGCGGCGCGGGATTCAAACTGCTCGTCAGGCCAATCGTCCTCCGATGAAATGAACCAGTCCTTGATGGGGCAAAATACACCGGGGAAACGCGGGATTACCACGCATGCTATGGTGACCAATTGACCGGCAGAGGGTGATCGTAATAGTAAGGAACTTAGGATGTACAGTTGAGTCGAAAACTGTGTTAGATCAGCAACTAACCCCATCATGCCGAGGGGCGTCAGAATAGTATTCGTTCCACCTCCAAATGAATTGACGAATTTGTTCGATTCATCAAGGAGATCCTGAACAAGAGGGTCTGCAAGGGCCTGAATATCCAAACGCAGACGGGACTGCAATTGAAGGTACTGAAAGCGTAACCGAACGGATTGCTGGACAAGTGACGAATTATATTCACTGTACGAAGACAACGGGAAGTAAGCGAAAATGTCGTGGTAACCAAAATAGACGTAATGACTGCCGCAAAAACAATAATCGCGGACCAAGACTCACATAAAATGATCAAGAAGTCTCCCAAGGAACATTCGTATAATCTCGGAGAAAAAAAGGCGAATGATTGGCCACAAATTTTCGCGGCCACCCCAAATACTGCCGGACGTGATGGCACACTGAATCTGATGGGGAATACTTCAGTGGACCCGCGAGCAACATGTGTGGGTACCTTACCTGATCCAGTATGACGGCCTGCGCGTAGCCTTGGTATGCAGGTAATGCACCTCTAACGATGTTCAAAATTATCATAAGAGGCATACGAATGGGATGCAAGCTCAGGACGATGCGCAATACGTCTAGCCAACATCGCCACAGCAGGAATAAAGCGATGCCAACGTTTGCAACATTGAACGGCCGTGGAGCACCAGGACGTAATGTGGTCGTGCTCTGTGGCGAGTCAGCGGTAGAAGCCAGACGAGAACGCTTCCATGCATGCAAGGCGTCAGAAGACGGTGCTATAGGGGGGTTGTATGTATTTTTGGGGGAGAAGACGCTTTAGACGTGGAGGACGAAGTGTCGGAAACCCTTTCAGCTAGTTCAGTGCCCTTTTGAACATTGGGTGAAAGTTTCCGACAGCTACGAGCCCTCAGAGGCATGCTCGAGAGGGCTGCGACAGGTTAAATCGGGGAGGGGAAAAAGTGACGATCGAACAGAGAAAGACAGCCATAAGTAGCGTTATAAGGCGCTGATACTCCGCTTGTAAACATACACATACCAAAGGCCCGCTTGAGGGTTCTCCTATTCCATAATTGGCAGGATGAATCCAAAGGGGAATGTGAGTTTTTGGGCGTTGAATGTTAGTTTCATCACATTGCCACGGCTGGGCGAAGGCGTGCGGCTAGCGCGAGTGGCGGATGACATGCAGCGGAAGCCCAGATGCCCATAGGTGCATATTGATAACAGAGTCTAGACGCGAACTGGAGGCGTTGGGGGTACTTGCGGAACGAACGAAGTGTCGTGCCCGAGAAATCAAATGAGTTGGTCGGGAGCTGCCTTTTCATAACATATTCACCTTGAAATTTCTCCTCCCTTTTTTTTTTTTTTTTTTCTCTCTTTTTACCGTCGGCGCTTAAAAACTCGCGCTCCATGGACTATCAAGCGCCCGCCACCCGCGGAATCAACGCCGGCGACCATGGTGAACCCAGCGAAGACGTAAACGTTGTCTATGGAATGACTTCGGCGCTGCTGACCAAGAGATTGTCGAGTCTGCTCCGATCGCCGATGCCCTCCACATCCAATCCTCTTCCCCTGCGTCACCCGACCCCCTAACTTCACCTCCCACATTGCGGTCTCAGTCGCGCGGCCGCGAGGGGTATGGATTCCGTCCTGCTTCAGGAGCATCGACTCCACAAATACCTCATTCGTTTCCCACCGTCTTATCTAGCATACACGTTCAACCGCACTCCGTCGTGGACCAGAATGGCTTAGGTTGGCCAGGCACGTACTAGGATTCTTTCCTTCTTCACCTCTCACTTGTCCGTGCGTTCAGCAGAATTTCGTTTGCCAATCAGCACGCGGAGTTCACAAGAAGCTGATCATTTCATACCAGTTTCCCTCGGCAGTGTTCCCTCATCATATTCCCAGTTTCGAACTAAAAGCTCTTATTAATATATTGTCTCTCCCGCCGTCCGCAAATTTTTCCAGCCAAATCTACCATAAGTAGGCTCAACTCCACGCCAGAAGAACGTGCTGCTAGGGAAGCGAAATTGGCTGGTGCTGTAAGAATTCTCCTCGAAGCTATCGGCGAAGATCCAGATCGGGAGGGACTGATCAGGACTCCGGAACGATACGCACAAGCTCTGCTGTGGATGACGAAGGGTTATGAAGACAAACTCACTGGTTCGCACATTTGGCTAATCTCACCCACGATCTCGGGCTGCTGAGCACACACGTCTCCGAATAGATGTAATAAATGATGCTATTTTCGAGGAGGATCACGACGAAATGGTGATTGTGCGGGATATAGACGTGTTCAGTCTCTGCGAGCACCATATGGTTCCCTTCACGGGGAAGGTACATTCTGCCAGTCCCGAACAGCGTTACGTTCCTGCTTATCACGACTGCTTTTGCTATATTGCCTCAGGTCTCTATAGGGTATATACCCAAAAAATTGGTGCTTGGGATTTCGAAGCTGGCTAGGATAGCAGAGACATTCAGTCGAAGGCTCCAAGTTCAAGAACGTTTGACCAGACAAATAGCTTTGGCTGTTCAAGAAGCCATCCATCCTTATGGAGTGGCCGTGGTCATGGAAGCAACGTAAGTTCACGAACCCTTGATAGACTACGAATTCTTGTCGCTCAAAACTTTAATCCTGCCCAACTCAAAAGGCACATGTGCATGACCATGCGAGGAGTGCAGAAACCAGGAGCCACGACGATTACATCCACAATGCTCGGCGCTTTCCGTGAACGCGCTAAAACACGCGAAGAATTTCTCTCTCTCATTCGAAGCCCATCCAGTGTTGGACGTCATTAACCATTGGTTGCTGGATACAACATGCCCTAACATTATAGCACACCTTGTGGTCATCAAGTATCATCTAAAGCCTTTCAACAAGGTTTAATCGACCCCTAATTAACGGGTATCCATCCTCAATTCGTCACTCAAGTAACCTAATTATGCAAATTAGCCCACAGCATTTAATCATATTCGCGCCTGAGAATATTGGAACTAATGGAGCAGCATTTGTCATTCCCTATCGGCACTTGAGCCTTCTGCTCGCGCTGATAGATGTTGCGCCTTGATCAACATGCAGGATCAATGTCCCAAACCACTGTAACTCCGAGAAGCAAAAGTCCCGCACCAAAGACATGGGTGTAATTGCTAAACTCAAAGTGTTAAGGCCCGACTTTGTCAAAAAAGGCATCCATCTCCTTCTGATCCATCATCTACATATCCAAAGAGCTTAATAACGCGGGTGATGGCCCTGGTCACTTAATCCATACTGCGCAAAATCGGATACTGCAAGCGCAACCTTGGCAAGTCGATGCCCAACATCAGACTGAGCTATACCTTTCAGACCAAGAGACACCATCAGATCAGATATCCGCGTGAATTGCGGTGAGGGGAATGTTCGGCTGTAAGTGACTGGTTTAGAGGGGGAATTAGATAACTTGAGAATTTTTCCCTGTATGTGGCCGAAAGGGTGGATAATCGCCCAGCGATGAGAAAATCATCAGGAGAAAAATATCCAGCGTGTTCCCCCTCAAACCACAAATCTGCATCACATGAGCATGAATTAGGAGAGATTTAAGTCACGAGCCAATGATTGCTTTTTTCAACTTTTACGTGGGAACGCACCGGCAACGGTCCGCCTTGTTCCTCTCAAATGCTGCAGGAATTTTTTTTGGGCAGTGTCGTTTGCGTAAGGCGTTGCTTAGTTCACACGGTGGGAGAAGTGAGGAAGCGGACGAGCGCCAGCAACGCCACCGCCCACAGTACCCTCAAAGACCTTGCCCCGAAGATATGAGCCTGCCCTCGGACAGGAAAAGAACCCCAAAAGCTGGAGACGCTCGTTCCTTTCTCTTCTAGTCCGTCCTTCCCAACATGTCGGCAGGGTACAAATTCATGCTTTTGTTTCAGCGTTATGTAAGTGGAAAGGGAGGGTCACAACACTGTGGTTGCGCCGTAATTGAAAATAAGAGGTGTCAGGGGTAGTCATCGGTTCCCCAGCAGGTGCAAAACTCCTATCTTACGAAAATAAGGGATTCGGCCAGGAATCGGCCAGGATCGTCCGCAAAGCACCCTGAGAACAGTTGTTGCATGAGAATCCGACGAGCTCGGTCGAGGCAGCCTCGAGTACCCTCGGATGCAGCATGTAACAAGAACAATGGCGTTAGTTGGCTAGCAAACGGAGCACGAGGCGTTCAATGAGGTGAGCTGATCGGCCTTGGCTAGGCCAAAAAAAAATCATTGATCTCCTTCAGCATTGGATGCAATGGCGAAGCCATAGGAATAATGATAGCTAGACCCGAACCTTGCTATTGACGTCAAACCTGAGTCACAATACTTCTGGCCGATCTTTAGGGTGTAGATCGACCAGACGGACTCTTGGGTGGAATAGATGCTCGAAGGTCACAAGTCGCGGGGTTGCGGAAGAATGAGAGTGCGTTCGCCACACGCCCGACTCTAGTCCGTTCACAGATAAGTAGCTTTGGGAGGGCTCCAGGGCTGAGAGAGAAACTAGAGCTGCTTCTCATCATGACGACGTGTGGAAAAGCCTTGGAGGAGGGAGTACCCAATCAGGCGTATTATACAAGTATTTATTAAGGCGAGCGTGGAGTCAACGAGGAAACGAAGATGCAATGCAAACACGTGGTGTTGCTTCACAATGATTCACCCATATGGACGTCAAAGTGGGGCACCTGAAGCTGAAAGCGGAGCAGGGTCACCTCATCACGGGGGAAGTGCTGATCGTCAAGCGAGGACGCGGGTTAACTGTATTATCAATTACCCATTGTACAGCGGGGATGAGGAGAATAAGAATAAAAAGGCTCACAGACAACCGTTGTGAAGGGATCAAGGTCACGTTGCAGCATGTGGGACCTCATCTATACCAAGAAACCTTTGTATCGTAGACGCAAGCAATAGAGCACTCCAGCAACGATTCCCCCTACGTGCCCTGCCGAGTCTACGGTACTACCTTGCTATTATAGTCGAATGCTGATTCTCAGAAGCAAATCAATATGTAATAGTCTAGACTCACGCGTCGCACAACGGTGGAATACAAGTCCCAAGCGAATAGCCCAGTGATGCACGCCCATGCGGGAACGGGCACGATCTTTCACATCTTGATCGACTCGCTTCATCATGACGAAAAGTTGAATCGGTTCACTCACGAAAAACACAAGAAACTGGGTCCTTGGAAAGGCACAAGCAAAGAATGCAACCGTAGAGAGAATGGCGCCTGTGGGTGTGTTATCACGCTGAGTCACGACTGGAAAGGCAATCAGAAGAATGGTAACCAACAAAACTTACCACTCGCGCCATGACTTCTGTAATTCGGGTTTCCAGAAGTGAGATGGTTCCACGCCAGGCTAACGGCACTGGCTATCAATCCACCTCCGAGGTACAGTCCTAGAAACCTTGCGTTCCCCAGGAGATCAAGGACTGCCGGAGCCTAAGCCCGGCTGTACTTAGAGCCAAGACAGAAGGCAAAAGAGCCCAACCCCCTCACCATAAAATAAAATGTCAGGCCGTTCATCAATGCATGGGTGGCGGACGACTGCGAAAAACAGGATGTAATAAGAGTCCATCTAGAGCGGCAGGGCATTAGAGGGTCACAGAAAAAGGAAAATTTTTTCGAGCAACATGCATTCTTCCTAGTTAAAGATGCATTAAGCCATCTTCATAAAGCGATAGTGGAATGCGTGCTGATTCACCCTGCTTAAAATTATCCCAAGAGACAGTAAAATGCTTGAGCATGAAGAATACACGGCTAGGATCTCGGAATTGCTCCTGTGTGTGAAATGAGAGAGAGAGGCAAAAAAAAAAAAAGATGATGATGAACAAGATGGATCTGTAAAAGATGGACACCTAAAACATACCCAATACATATCGGAGTATCTCCACGCCCCATAGACAAGGACGTTGATACCAAGTATGCCATAGAATATCCATCGGGACGGTATTGAGGAGAGATATCTCTGAAAGAAGTCCCATCTACCGTTACCGCCGGAATAGCCAAATCCGTCAGTGCGTCGACGGCTTCGACCCGATTGGTAGTAGGTTGACCGGATAGCGTTCCGTAGAGGAGATGCCCTGAACCACGACAATGCTTTGGTAGCAAGTGCCTTCTGATACTCTAAAACTAAGGTGTGCTTGATTGGTGAAGTTTCACTACTAAAGCTGCGCGTGGCCACCGAGGGAATCGCTAGAGAATTTGAACAAGACTCTGTGCTTGATGAATAAGACACATGTCGCGTTCGGCAGAGATGACCAAGTTTTGGGTGAAGTGCCCCAAAGCCCCTGACAACCGAGCAACGCGAAAAGGGAGAAAGCCAACACACAGAACAGAACGACCCGTCATCAGATCCCAAGCGCCCAATAAACTGGCGAAAAAATGAGGCAGTGCAAAATGTCACATGTCATGGGACACTCGTTCACGTGCGAGTCAATTCAATCGGCCGGACATAGCCGCAAGTCGAAAACACCGTCAAGCCAAGCTACAACCCCGTCGTCGAGGTCGACTGACAATAAAAGGTGAATATCTATGACTTGTCCTAGCATCCTAGTCCCTATCAGGATCTCCCTCCTGTGAAATTTGTGGTGCATATATTGGGAGTTACGCATGGATGCATGATCTAAAGTTTGGATGTAACATGACTCTGACGAGATCTTTCTCGGCTAGCCCGCCATGAGTTTCGTTCCCCCAGATCCCCATTTCCAGTTCCAGGTCAGTTTGACTGTTCCTCTCTTGTTCGTTTCTTTGTTTTTGTTTTTGTTTTGTCGTAAGACTCCTTCACAGCTTTGACTCGAATTGACATTATATATAGCACATTTTGCGTCTGTTGAACACTAACGTCGATGGCAAACGTAAAATTCAATATGCCTTGACTGAGATCAAGGGTATCAACCGCCGATTTGCCAACCTCGTTTGCAAAAAGGCTGATATCGACTTGTCAAAACGGTACGTTTCTCACTTTACTACTGAAAATCAGTTTGCACAAGGGCCGATATTTATTTTTTTCCCCTTAGCGCCGGTGAACTTAACTCTGATGAACTCGAGCGGATAGTCAATGTCATGCAACAGCCATTACAATACAAAATTCCAGAATGGTTCCTTAACAGACAGAAAGATATTGTCGACGGGAAAACTACACATCTTTTGTCCGGCTCAGTTGATACCAAACTGCGGGAGGACCTCGAAAGACTGAAGAAGATCCGCGCACATCGTGGTCTTCGTCACTACTGGGGTATTCGTGTTCGTGGGCAGCACACCAAGACGACTGGTGAGTCCAATCATTTTTGTTTGTGCAACTGTGGAACTTGGTCCCTCTGACTGCGTATATTCATTCACGTATAGGTCGGCGTGGTAAGACTGTTGGTGTTGCAAAGAAGCGTGGTTAAACTGTGTGTCCCTTTCCGTTGTCAATACATGGGCATCCTGGATTGTGGCATGTGGAATCCTTTGCTCCATATATTCGTATCCTTCATCAACATCACGACAGCGTCTGGCGACCCATCACCTTCTGCCATTGCATCGTGATTCTTTATTCCCGTTCCTGCTGCACGCGTCCTTGACTTGGTCCTGCATTCTTCCTTGGTATCATCATCATGTGTTCTACGTTGGACTATGCTGTTCAATCCACCTATGCCACCCCCCCCCCTAAACTGCAATACAAATCTCGACTGACACCGATCGCTTGATACATAATGAGACGTAAGCCTGAGAACACCAAGCTGAATGAGAGCTGTAGCGGCTTTGCAATAGTCTTTCCTTGACCTTGACCCGAGAATGTAACTTTGAAATTCTTTCAGACTAGACCTGCGTGCTGTATAGTGGCAGTAGCAGTGGTGTATGCGTATCGAGATCGCATACAGTCAAAGATCGAGACTACACGTTAATGATCGGCGGACATTGATCAGTGCACAAAACGATAACGCATGCAACCACATGTAAAAGCGTATCAACCATCGATACCAGTTCCACATGGTCCGCCGCTGATTGCAGTAAGCTCATGGTCATCGGGGAAACGAAAAAAAAAAGAATACTTACACGACGTTGTTCACACAGTCAGGATTCTCGTCGCGTCGTCATCCAGAAGCAACAAGCATGACGCGCTGTATTGGTACGGTTGCGTATACACGATTTTTTTCGGCCACACATAGATAATACCCCGGGCCCCGCACCCTCTAATGCGCAGATCAGGATCGTGCACGTGAGACGTCGCAACGATTCTCCAACTAATATCCTTATCAAACTATGCACTATGCATGCATATTGCTAGAACCACTTCGCGCTTGGATTCTTGGGTCTTCTGCATGCAGGGACGGAGCTCTCCATATTCAAAGGCCAACTTTTTTACGTCAAAAGACTCGCCGATTATTCATCCAGAACTCGATCAAAAGATGCGCATACATGCATACATGCATTCATGCATTCATGTAGCGGATCCATCGAAGGGGGAGGCTTGATGATCTGGCACCAGAAGCGGGCCCATTTTGGGCACAATGGAACAAGCCAATCCTTTCAAGTAAGACTAGCTCAATTACGTGGGGCCACCTAGGGACGCCTTTGGAACACGAGACCGAACAAAGCGAGGGCGCTGCCACATGAAGTAAGTATGTAATCGGTGGATGATGGGTTCAATCAATGTTCTCAAGCGGACACTCTTGCAATACCAATACCCACAGTGAGTCGGTCGGCTCGGAGTTCATGATCTCGCGTGGATGTACCATATTGATGACAAAACAAGGGAATCATAATCATCACCTCGAATGATGATTATCAGTCCCGTCTTCGTTTCGTCCTGAGACCCGGAACACGATCAGGTCCGTACGTATGTAATTAATGTATATATAATGATCTAGCATACTTTAACAAGTCCGAGCTTTTTGCATATCGATCATCTGATATAACAAATGCTGTTTTATGTTGTTCTGCAATCCTCTGGAAGACGTAATTGGTATATAGGATCACAAACAAGCGAGGGTATGCATGTGAGGCTTGAGATGGTCATTTTTCTCGGGAAAATAGTAAGTATCAGTTTGGAACCGAACAGTTCATTAAGCGGTTACATAGTTCAATACCCTCAGGAGTAACCCATTAGCCCTAGCTTGACACCCCGTATAGCCCCAAGCTGTGATACCCATTGTAAATCGCTCAGAAAGCAAACAAAAAAAGGGTGGCCCCTGGTAAATTTACATCAGGTAGGCAATATGCCCAGCTTGACGTTGGGGATCAAGGGTCATAGTTGTCGACAATATCACACAACTTGGCGATATGCTGCTGGGAATATTCACCACGTTTCACTCCAAAGAGTGAATACGCCGACTTGACTATTGTGAAACGATGCATAAAGTCGGTAACCAACAGTTCATGTCGATGTCTCGTTTCCGAGGACGTGGGAAAGCCTGAGAAATATGTAAACAAATGGCTGAACAATGGAATTCATCATCTTACAATGTATAATTGTTTTGCAATCGTGCATGCACACGTATCGTATCGACGGTACCGGCGGAGGACGAACCATTGACTGGAGACGTGGATGAAAAAAGAAAAGTCCCCCCAGTTATGGGCTCTATACACACGGCTCTCCTGGCCAAATGTGTACTGGTATTGGTAGAACCATATAAGCCGAAGAAAACGGAAGCCTGATCGGCCAGGCTCAACTGGCCATTCAGGTATAGCTTTGTGCCACAGTTGAAAAAGAACGGCTAAAACGGCAGTCTAATTAATTACAACACCCTTACTTACTTAAAAGAACCTGAAAATCAATCGTTACCTGTATTAGCTCTGAGACAAGGGAGGTATTTCACATGCCGATCGTCGCCACGCATACAAGGACATCGAATTCGACTCGCCTTTTTTCGATGGGAATGTGTTGAAACCGGTGTAAAAGGGTTGACAATGGTTGAAACATTCTGCCCCCCCCCCCATGCACCCCCCAGCCTCAGCGACCTTCAGCCGGCGCAGCTGCTGAGTATCGATGGAACTACTTCATCCCTGAGGATACGGGGAATAGGGTAGCCAGGGTAAATCAATATCATCAATTAGGTCGTCCGGACGTGCGAACTAAACGGGCGCCGCTTACTTGGATGGATTCGAGTTTCGAGGGAGACCGAATGTATGTAACTATCAGAATTGCTGCTAATCGACCATTATTCGTGATACTCGTATGGGTGATAAACAAAGAGAACTTGTCAATCTGCCCCGCTCTCTTCGAATTGTTGTACTATGGCCATATAGGAGTAAGTTTTATTTGCCCAAAAAATGCTTACACCCTTTTTCCTTGGACAAATAACTTACGCCTTGTTGCGCCACGCAAATTTCGAAAAGAGCGGGTTTGCGAAAGACTCTTTAAAGTGTACTTCCTTCTTCCGGCCTAGCATAGTATAATAGCATAGGATAACAAGGTCATTCACAGAGAAAGTTGAGCCAACCGAGTAAGTGGCCAGAACCATCCGGCTGAAGAAAGAAACTTTTTTGTGTGGATCCGAGGAAAGATCTGGTTCTGGTCTGTCATTTGTGGACAATTGATTGACTTCGATTTGCGCGCATTGTGACCTGCATTCTAAGTAGAACTTTGGAATGTTATGGAATCACGCGGTAGAGAAGCAAACTTTGGAGTGAGGGGAGGAAAAGGGAAGGGGAGGAAGAGAAGAGAAGGGGGGAGGGGAGGGGAGGGAGAGAGGGAGGGAAGGGAAGCTAGGGGGAGGGGGGACGTTCGTGGGGGTGTTCGTGGGGGTGGGTCGGTGAGAATCCCCATGTCCCCCGATCAGGCCAATGGGATGCATACATTAGTTGGTTCTTCAAGTCTCCATCTCCACAAGGTGCGCAAGATACAAACCCCCCCGTATCCAGGTTGAGAAGAAGGGGGTTGTGACAAGAGGAGTAAAGTTCCTGCGAGGAGGATTAGGAAGTTGGGTAGGTTTGAACTCCGGCACTCGGGGCTCAGACCTGCTATGGGACGCACGATTTTGCACGTCAGGTGCAATCGACGACGATCGTGAAATAGTTTCTCTCCTTTTGGACTCAAATCGGCTTCGCGGAAGCTTTGACCGGTCAAAGGGAAACAAGAGTGCACATAACGAGACATCGTTAAACGGAAGAGCCGGATACGCTAGAATTCAGGGCTGAGGCGAAGCAACCTCATAGCCAAGCACTTATGAATGGACGTTGTGGCGTTACGAGAAATGGATCTGTTCACTTTCTTTGAAATTTCAAATGCCACGTAATGTTAAGAAAGAGATAGCTCAGGCTGCTGAAGCGGGGATTCCATGACTGAGACCAGAGAGGGACCTCAGACGCTTTGAGTTGAGTGAGGGGAGGTTGTTCGACGTATATATAATTGTCTCGAGGCCACGACGACTTGAAGCTAGTCTTGGCCGAGTCTGACACGAGGCAAGGTCTGACACACGACCCTGCGTCTCAACCTCTCCCTAACCCCGTTCACCGAAAGTAATGTGGCTCCGCGGGGGTACCGGTACGTTGACTAATGGAGTGGGGGGGGGCCTCCTGCCATGTCGGTCTTAGTCCAACCCAAAGCCAAATCGAGAGCACTTGTACAACCAACTGTGATCATGAAAGCAAGCAACGTGAAGCTGGCTTCCCCCCCCTGAGACAACTGAGAGGCCACCTCATTCGAATTGGCTCGGGCTTCATCCCGGACGACACGCACACAGAGCTCAGGTTCGCGTACATGTGTGTGAAATGGAAGGGGCGCATCATTCTAAAGCAACGAATACGTTACTAGATGCTACAGCTAGCAACAGCCATACAAAGACATAGGCACATGTGTACACGCGGGAGGCAAGTCCAGATGTAGCAACGGTTTCGAAAGCAAAGGGAATGTTCCTTTCGAACTGAAGGAGAAAAGAATGAAAAGAATGAAAAGAAAGACAGGACAATATTCACGATCGATTATGTTATGGGGCACTCGGAGTACTAGAGAGAAAATCAACAACTGATAGATGGAGGAGAGATGTTGATCGGAGGACTTGTCTAGAAAATGCAGGTATCATGTAGTACATTGTCGAAGACGTAAAAACACATAACCTGGTATCAGAAGTCAGAATAGATGAGTCTTGTGCACTAGATTAATCCTCAAAAGCATATATCCCTGGGTCGGCGAATTGGGGGGGAGAGGAGGGGAACGACCGATGTTCGTCGGGGAGTCTACTCAAACGTGGCCTATCAACAATAATAGAATCTTTTCGCCGATATCAAAGCCAGGAATGATAGTTATTATCTACGATGGGATGGCACGTCCTGACAATCATGCAAAGCATCTAGGAGAGATGTTCAAGCCTTGGGGGGGTTGGGCTTAGGGCCACAAGGACCAGGAGCGTTTGAAATCGCGACGTCGGACCGGATGAGTTTCAGAAAAGAACTGAATGAATTAATTACCATGTCACCAAACGAGCCCAGGATGATGGTATAACCCGGTAGATCGAGCCGGGGAGGGGGAATGGTCAAGGCATCATTCATGGTCACTTAAGTACTGGCTCAGAGGTGCACGGAACTTGTTGTGCGATAAAAGGTTCAAAATAGGATCGCGTTCTGACTCTCGTGACCTGTTTTTGGGATCGGGGAGGGATCAGTAAGCTCGTGCCTGGGTAGGTCAAAAACTGTTGCTGTGCAAGGTCGGAGAGTGGCGGGGAGATGGGGAAGCGTATCCGCGAAATGTCAATGGTGGTGGTGGTGGTGCCTAACAAGATGCAAAATGTCTGTGCACGCTTGCTTTGAGCGGATCTAACTCGGCAAGTCTTTCGACCAAAGTAAGTAAGTAAGTAAAGAGTGTGCACGTGCCTTGGTAAAAGGGAAGCATTGGAAGGTGAAGAAGAAGATTAAAATTATACAGTACACGAAGGGAACACTGAAGATCAAGGACGTACAAATCATCAATTTGGGGTCGCATCAAACTTGTGTGATGATGCTGGTTTGAACCACCAACCCCCTCCTCAACCCTGGACGTAAAACAAGAGGTAATGTTCAGCGTTACAGATTCACTGCGGGTGGCTGTGCAGTATCCCCAAACTGACTCATCACATGCAACCATTCTCGTCGCATTTGCTCGTCGTTTCCGGACTTTTGGGAATCAACTGCTTATGTGGAGGGGAAGTCCGGCTTTGCTTCCGGTTTCAAAAGAGAATAAAATCTCTCGGTACATTATATAATTTATATGTATTACATCAGCGTCATTGAATTATGCAGGGGTGACTTGGTGCAATTCAGTTCAACAAAAATAGGCGATGTTTTTTTATTTTATTTTTATTTTGTATTTTATATTTTTAATTCTAGTTCATGGCTGTGCACGCACATTCACCTCCGATTCCTCCAAGTACAAACACCAATTTTTGTCAATATATATAGATCACCTCTCGCGATCCCTCAGAATGGCCCTCGCTGCACTTGTCCCTCTCTTAGCGCCCTCCTCCTTATTCCCCTTCTCTCCCTCTCTCCCTTCCGGTTCCCCCTATGCGAGGTAGTTCTCATCATGAGTATTCGGTGCTGGATCGTGGTGCCGCTTGTCTGCAGTGCAAGAAAAGGAAGAAGGCAAGCTGATTTTTTCCCTCATCCTTATTTGTCTCAGTTATGCTCATCAATGAAACCCCCACCGTGGCATTTGGTAACCCTTGTTTTTTCGTCTCTTAGCGGTGTGATGGTGTCAAGCCTGTCTGTGGCCCCTGCATACGTATTGGCACCGCAGAACAATGCGAATTTCCACAGCCTCCCCCTCCCAAGGTCAAGAAACCAAAGACCCCACCCCGCTCCAAGAACGAGACCTTGCGCGCCCAGATACGACTCCTTGAGGACAAAATCGCCAGGTTGCAATCTGCTATCAGCTCTACTTCTCATACAGGTTCAACCACCAACTACGTCGATGATTCCTCCTCCCCTTCGGTTCGAGGGTCTTCCGTCGGCCTCCAGGATGAGATGCTGATTGACGAAGACCAAACGCGTCGAATTTCAAAGATTTCGCAGATTCCCGACATTCCGCCGCTTGCTATATCTTTTTCCGCTCCATCTCCATCTTCACCTGATACGGCGTCATCGCCATCGTCAAAACTCTTCCAGGGTGACTTCCCCTTGCCGACATGGACCGAAGAAATGTGAGTGGCTTGGTCCTTTTTGGGTCCTTTTGGCCGGTTGTTCCTTGTACCCATGATTTCATTTCTCCTATTCCGTGCCCTGCTTTCCCTCCTTGAAGAAGGATCGCGACCGCTTTTTTTTTTTTTATCGTTTCCAAACTCTCTCCTGTCGGCTTAATCTGACTTATCGTTGTGTCGCATGACATTGATATTTTTTTTCCTCTTTTGCCCCTTAGTTTCGATGTCTTCATGCGATACAGGCACCGATGCGGTTACGAGATCGACGAGCAGCGCTTTTCCCTGGCGTTTCGGACCTCTCTAAGGGCAAATCGTCATCGCCATGCCCAGGGGCTTCGTCATGGTCACGATACATCTGACAGCGAATCAGATCTTGACGGTCGCCGTCAGGTGAAACCAGAGGAGCTGTTGCCTGCTGAAAAAACACACGCTGGCGTTACCGGCGGGAGGCTACTCCACCCGGCCTTGATGAATGCTGTGTTGCTTCTTGGCTGCCACTTTGCAACGTCCAACGGCAGCGCGAGCGGTAGCGGAGATACCATCCTGGATCCTTCTCGGGTTTCTGCACCGTCTCAGCATTACACTTCTCGGTCCCGGGATCCATCTCAAAGTTATTACTCACCAACATTGGCAGACACTCAACGCTTGCTTCATTACACACGTTTGGCCCTTGAGAACGCGCTCAATTCAGCTGATCGCCTGCATGATTTCCTTCATGCAACATTCCTCCTTGTGTTCTTTTATTTTGCCACTGGACGCGTATCAGAAGCACAGTACCACAGTGCAGGGTTGGCGGGCTTTGTCGGAGCGTGCAAGCTGAATGAGCTGGACGTTTCTGACCAAACCCTTCATGGTAGCGAAGCTAGGATGTTGATTGATTCTCCAAGAGATCAAGTGGATATTGAAGAACGAATTGGATTATTTTGGAATGTGTTCATTTTGGACAAATATGCTGCACTCGTTTATGGTAGCATGAGCACTCTTCGGGATGAGGTGGTATTCTTTTCTTTGCTTCATTTCTATACACACATGGTGATCCCAATTTCGCTTAACCCGTTTTCGCGTTTTACTCCTGTCTAGCGTATCTGGACTCCATGGCCTCGTTCATCTGAAGAATGGAGTATAGTAAGTTCAAATTTTGCACAAGTTAGCTTAGTGAGCTCTCAAGGCTGATGATACCGCATGTTTCTTTTGCGTCTTAGCCGAGGCACTCGGAATTCAGTCCTTCGTCGGCGTGGAACTCCACGTTACCAGCCTTGAACCATCTCACACTTTCCAAGGTTGAGCTTACGTTCAGGTCTATCTCCATTTATTTGTTGGAAGGGGTTATGCGACTGGACAAGTCTTCTTCCGTATCAAGTAGACCATTTGGAGGTCAGTTAAAAAACCCGCCTACTTGGATATGATGATGGAGCTGACTTGGCCGTGTCTTATCCCAGAGTTGAGGACTGAAGCTGACTTAGCCGAGCTCACTCGAAATTATGAGAGTCTTCGAGATACTGCTCAGCGTATCGCTGTTTGGCTTCCTGACCTGGATCTCACCTTTATTCAACGAGATTTGGTGTCTGCAGTGGCATCTGCCCCAGCGCTCCATTCCCGACACTATTATGGCCACCAAAGCCAGTCTTCCTTTTCTGGGTCAATGGGTCGGGCATCAACCATTGGACTTGAGACGAATATGCTAGATCTTCAAACTTCCCACATGCCCTCCCCGCCTTCTTCGGCGTCGGCGTTGTACACTGGGGGGTACTCAACTTCCGGCAGTTCCCCATTGAGTTCCACCTATGCTTTCTTCCCATCATCTTCGGCCTCCTCTCCCGCATTGCCCGCTCCGATCACTGTGTTCGGAAGTGGGCTTTCATCCACTGGATTGACGTCAAACCCGACTCCTTCCCCATGCAGAGGTCTTCGTCTGCTCAACCCTTTGGGAGCCGATCTTCAGTTGGGCCCGGACCCACTCAGCTCCGCACTGAATGCAAACAAGGCAGTGACTCTCCACCTCAGATGACGCGGCAATCTAGACCATCGCCTCCCTCTTCCTCATTTTCAGCGTCGCATCCGACGGGTCAGCAGATCCCATTCTCTACGGTATCGTCGGAGTCTCCACGGAAGATACGTACACACGCAGCGTTGCTATTCGCTCATTGTGTCGTCAAGGCAGCGTGGATCCATTTGAATTCGGCGAATGCAGCTTTGTTTGGAGTTGTTACGGAGAACGATGGGAGTTCATTGGGAGAAGGCACTCAATCGTATCAGCCACCCGTTATGCCCCACGATTACTTGCACCATCAACAAGCCGGAGAGCCTCGGGTGGGTCAACACCACCAGCAGCAGCATGCGGCGGCGTCATCGTTGCTGTTGGGACAACACGGGCACATCCCTCAAGGCGCGTTTCAACAACACGTGGTAACTGAAACTGGAGGACTTGACCAATCACGGTTCCATGCTCAGAGTCATCAATCTCACACGACTAGGGGCGCACATCAGCAATATCATGACCTTGCAGGCGGAGCTGGATCAAATATTCCTGATTATGGGTTTGGTTCTTCCTCTGCTGCGCATGGTGGCGTCGTGCCGCCAGGAGGTTACGCGGCCGCTCCGATCCCGGCCTCTGTTCCATTTGCCCCCTCGCCCGCTCCTTCCTCATCCGACCACTCTTACCATTCGTACTCCTCTCAATCGCCAGCTTCGAACCCCTCGACTTACTACACCGCTCATTCTTCCTCACCTTTGAATCCTCATGCTGCATCTAATGTACCCATGCAAGTGAATCCATCGACGGTGTATCCACTTCCGCCACAGGGAGGATCTTTTTATCATTCTCAGCGTCCTCCGACCCCTGATCCCACCATTGGCCCACTGTGACTTCTCCTCCTTGGTCCCCGCCTCCACCACTTGAAGGGTCAATGGGCAACATTGGTGACGATTCTTGGTCTGGCTATATTCATTCGGCAGCACTTGCCTCCTCCGGTAACGATGATGATCATACATTCTCCGTCCTGCGGGGGACGCCTTTACCATCAGCTAATAACCTCCACTCAACCTTGAGCGCGGCGAAAGCGATATCAGAGTTGGCTGGCGTTGCTTTGTCTCATTCCGAGGTATTCGAGGAGTTGGATATGATGATTGGGGTACGTGGACCGTTTGGTGTGGAGGCCTTCTTGCTGATATGAACGTGTTTGTTTGTTTGTTTTTTTCCTTCTCTGTAGCTTCCTTGGGTCACCGCTTGTCAAGTCCTCAGCCGCGAGATTCAGACTCAATCTGAGAAGTCCATGGGATCCATTCAGTCAACGTTCCTCCCGCAACCTCAGGCTTTCGGTCAACATACCCCATCATTTGCTCAAGACGCATCATTTCATACAACTACAGCCTTCCAGCCACACCCACATATCGAATTACTCCATCAACAACAATACCAGGGTTCAGTACCACTACCACAACCACCACAACCATCATCATCATCATCATCCTTTGTTTCTTCTCCACCTTTACCCACTGTGGATCAAAATTCGCCTGGATACCCAATCTCACCTGAATCGCTCTCGTATACCCAGCATTCGTACTCTACTTCTTTGCTCGAACAAAATGCTTTCTCTGGATTGAAAACCTCTGGACCTGCTTATAGGGAAGCCGAGGTTGAAAAGGTTAACGCCACTCTTAATGCCCTTAAAGAACAGAAAGACGTCCTACTTAGAGCGTTGGACCGCCTTGGAAACACGTACGAGATTGTTCGTGAGTAGATTTTTTTTTTTCACCTATGTGGTCTTTTTTTTCACATTTGTGTATAGGTATGATGCGATCCGCCATGTAAATTGCTACACTTGCTCGACGGACTCATTATCGTTTGGGTTCGAATGACTTTACGGACACCAATAGGAACTGCCTGCCTGACGATCTCAAAAAATATCCTTGTGGTTGTGATGAAATGCCCTTTATACCCTACGATTTCGTCAAGAACTTGATCTCGGTCTCTCTCTCTCTGAATTTTTCTGATTCTTTTCTTTTCTTTTTTTTTTTCCTTCCTTCGTAAAGGAGGTTCATGTTGTCTTGTATTCTGTACGCTCACTGACATCAGGAACCTCCCTCCTACCATGGAGATACTGGAAGGAGATGTATACCCTGTAAACCCCCCCACGACCGACTTCCCCCCTACCCCATAACGTGTCACCATTCGTTTCTTTTCTACCTTATCACCCACCGACAAGAACCTCCCCCCCCCCTTCCCCCCAGGTGATACGCCTATAATTCACGGAATATTTAAGATCTTTGTAGTTCCCTGTTTTGTTTCTATAGATAACAAAATAATAACCGTAACACGAATCTGCGAAAAAGTTGTGAAAGCAAGGAAGAAAGATGTACATTAAACTAGCCGAAGTATTACACACGTCACATGTGTAAGAGGGGGTCGGAGCTAGCTTCGGGGAGTATGTGAGGGCCGGAAATGAATGATGTAGTTAGGAGTAAACTATCATGCGAGCGCGCTAATTTACAATATGTAGCTACATAATGCTGCGCACGCAATATATGAATGTGTACTTCGGGGATGTCATGACCTTTTTTTTTGTTTTCCATTATATCCGGATAATAAACATGTATCCATGCAGGTGAAGCCGGCCAAAGTACTATATACATAGTTATAAAGCGGAACCACAGCTAATGTGTAGGATGTCTCGTGAGTTGGTTCTAGTTATATCCAACAACTTGAAGGCTGGGTCGTTATGTAAAGCGCTCTGATCTCAGCGATCTTTGCATGATTTGTTTTTGCGAAAGTACAAGGGTTGATTGGTGACATTCCCGAATGAGGATAAGGTTGCAACATGCTGCTGATGATGATCAGGATACTACTATGGGCCAAGTATGGGCAGCTTTCGGGCCGGGAGAACTACATGCAAGGGTATCCTCGAGAGTGTTCGGGCTGCTGGAGTCGTGCTCCTGCTGCAGGGCCGGGTTCGTGTGAGTGGAGCATTGGAGTCAAGGTTGCTACGTATAGTAGTACGTTCAGTTAGACGCGAACTGGAGCAGATTCGAAGGCTTCCCGGGGCCCTTCAGCGTATGGCCATTGGAGATACCACACGCAGAGGAGACGTGACATTCGGCAAATGGGAAACACCACAAGAGGAGCCGAGTGAAACGGCGACAAAGGCACGTTGGAATCGGCGTCGGCATCCCGAGCACAGCCATCCGGGAAAGGGCGGGAATTTAACCGGTACCGCCATATACCAAAAATGGGAATTTCACGCTCAACCCCAACTCTCTCGGCATTCTCACCTTCCATTGTTTTGGGGAAAAACTCGGTTCAAACAAAGCACGCTTTGCCCATCGACGAGCTCCGGGTCTTTTTTTTTTTTTTGAAAGGGTGGGGATTGTCCGGCAAGTTGCTTTGGCTTCACATCCTGTGAAGATCCACACCTTTAAAAAGAACTCGCCACTTATATACAAAACATTCTTCGAAAAAGCACCTTGTACTTCGTTCCTCATAAACTATGGCCGCTAGACAGTTGCAGGAGTACACCAAGGAGCAAGTTGCACAGGTTAGCTAACTGTTCAACTTTGGGTCCTCGGAACTAGATCGTGCTCATTCCCACATGTCTGCGTAAGCACAACAAGGAGGGCGATCTTGTGAGTTGTCCAGCTCGCATAGGTCTGTAGGGGCTTCTTCGAGGTTGATTCCTTCTTCAATTGTTTCCCAGTGGATCATCATCGATGCAAAGGTATATGACCTTACCAGATTCGCAAATTTGCACCCTGGTGGGAAGTCCGTACTGCTCGAGAACGATGTTCGTAAGTATACTTTACTACATATCGCCTATCATTGGATTTTTTTGTAAAAAATTCGGACTATAGGGGGGACGGATGCCACGGAAATTTTCTATTCGTTACACAAATCTGAGGTTCTTCAGAGACCCCAATACAAGCGTCTCCAAATAGGAACTGTTAAAGGCGAGAAGGAGTTGTTCAAGCCATTACCACCTGGATCACTTAGTCCTGTGCCTTATGGGGGTGGGTATCCGTCAATTTCACGTTTGCCATTGTACCGGCTTAACGCAGGGGCTTTTCTGTGCCCGCCTGTCTATCTTCAGAGCCACAATGGCTGACTAAAGGGTTTAAGAGCCCTTACTACAATGAGGTAGGTTGAATTTGTTCGCCTTCGTCAGGAGATTCTTAGTGTAAAATTCAACAACTTCTCTCTTTGTCTACAGAGCCATTATCGCCTCCAAAGGGAGTTCCGGAAGTTCTGTGATGAAGTGCTTATTCCAGAGGCTAAGCGATGCGAAACAACTGGCGCTAAGATTTCTCAAGAAGTCGTTGAAGTTATGGGGTGAGCGATTTATTTTTTCTCCTAACCAGTAAATAAATGTTATGAATCCACAGAAAGAGCGGTATAAACGCCATGCGATTCGGTCCAGGCCCGCATTTGAAGGGTCAAAAGCTCATGACCGGACTCACTCCTGAGACCTTCGATCGATTCCACGAGCTTCTTCTTAACCAGGAAGTCTCTCGTTCCGGACAGCGAGCGTTCATCGACGGTTGTTTGGGTGGCGCGTTCATCGGTCTCCCTCCGGTTATCCACTTTTCCCGACCGGAAATAAGGGACAAGGTCGTTCCCGAAATCGTCAGCGGGAAGAAGTACATCTCCTTGGCCATCTCCGAGGCGTTTGCTGGAAGCGATGTCGCTGGGTTGAGATGTACGGCTAAACTTACGCCTGACAAGAAATTCTGGATCGTGAATGGGACGAAGAAGTGGATTACCAATGGTCACTTTTCAGATTACTTCTCTGTGAGTTCGAAGTTTTTTTTTTTTTTCCATTCGCACGCAAATGGTTTGGAATTCACATGAATGAATTCATCATTCTTCTCATTAGACTGCTTGCCGGACCAGCAAGGTATGTTATTAAAGAGAATGCTGTGAATGCGATCCATCATGGCTAATTATGGTTGCCGTGTTTTATTTTATTTTATTTTATTTTATTTTTTCAGCGCGGTCTCACTATGCTTCTCATCGAACGCGGGCCCGGAGTCGAGACCAAGCCGATCAAGACTTCGTACTCCTCTACCGCCGGAACTGCCTACATCACTTTCGATAACGTCAAAGTTCCAGTCGAGAACACCTTGGGAGAGGTCGACCAAGGTCTCAAGGTCGTCCTCAGTAATTTCAACCATGAACGTTGGGGCATGACTGCCAACTCTGTTCAAATGCAGAGGAACATTGTTGACGAGACGTTAAGGTTCGTCAAATTAATTCCCCCCCCCCCCCCCTTGATGTTCGTAATTCTAAAAGATGATGGAATTTGACAGATGGACGAATCAACGCATTGTCTTCGGCAAGCCTTTGATCGAGCAACCTGTCGTACGAGCAAAGTATGTAAAAAAAAAAAAAAATTGGGGCGGGACGTGGCTTAGTGAATCTTCACACTTATCATTGTCACCCGCGCGGAACTTCTTTAGGATTGCGCAGATGATCTCCCGTGTGGAGGCTTGCCAGACTTGGCTTGAGCACATCAGTAAGCTCTCTCTCTCTCTCTCTCTCTCCCTCCGCCCGTACTTCAAAAAGCTGTGTAATTGACTGTCTAACAACGTTCCGCCGTCGGTCATTCATTAGCTCTTCAGATGCAACACATGGTAAAAATTAGCACCGCTTTATTACGCCCTTTGATACAATTCATCGTCCATTTTTTTTTCTGCTAGAATTACGCTCAACAATCTAAATACCTCGCCGGGTAAAGCTTCCGTTTTTACTGGCTCGTTTTTTTTTTTTTTTGACACGATGCGTTTTCGACAGCCCAATTGGCCTTTTGAAGCAATACAGCACCGCTGCAGGTCAAGAGACGGCTCGTGACGCTACTCAGGTATGAACTTTTGTTTAAGAAGAGGCAGGTGGTTTTTCTAACCGATCTATTACTTCTTCTAAGCTGTTCGGTGGTCGTGCCGTGAGTTCCACAAATTTCATCCTCCACAAATTTCCAAACCCTAACTTGGGGGGGCCGGGCGCTGATCACTAATGTCCTTGCTATTATTGTAGATCACTCAATCCGGCCTTGGTTCTTCAATCGAGCTGTACCACAGAACAATCGCGTTCGATGCCATTCTTGGAGGAGGTACGTCGAAGCCGAACGATCTTGTCATATTGGTGTTAATTGGCTTTTTTTTTTCGTTCTAGCCGAGGATGTCCTTGCAGATCTCGGTGTGAGACAAGCGCAGAAGCAGATCCCCAAGAACGTTCGGTTGTAGACATATTACATTGTATTTCACCTAGTCGCACTGTCATTCGTTTCACCTCAAAGTCAATTCGCCCCCCCCCCCGCTAGCGATAGCAACAGATATGCAATTCTTACTTCTAATGCTAAGTACAATTTAACTCCATTGGGTGCTCCATCCGAGAGAGTGAGAAGTCCGTGGAACAAGCGGAAAAGGGAGTTAACTACTGTTGTTCGCGTACAGGCCACCAATCTGGTCTTTGGGGTAGGACCGCCCATACACCAACATCATCATTTGATGAATCCTGCGTTTTCAAAGTGGTCTGGCCCTTCTCTACTGCTTCTAGATGCTCCAGCCGAATCAATGCCAGTCCCATCGAATGCTGTTCTGATGAAGGCGTACGAATCGTGGAAAGAAGAGTGCCTTTTCCACGAGAACGTGGTCTTGAAGATGGTGAAGATGATAATGACGCAGGAGAAGCTGGCACGATACCAAGACCCGAGGGTGGTGGTGAGATGGACCTGCGAAACATTGTATTAAAGAGTGGCGATTTTAGTGTCGTGTGAGGGGGGCAGAGGTTCTTTTTGAGAGAATTCGCTTACTGAGAAGATGCGTACGGTCCGTCTCTGGCTTTGGGATTGAGCCTCACCGGGACCACGCGTTTCCGGATGAGACCGGTATGATACGTTCGGACCGTTAACTCTTGACCACATAACACCCTTTGCGAAAGTCAACTAATTTCAATCGTATCAATAGGAAACGCAGGAAATCACAGGATCGGGGGGAACAATGGTATCGGCGAGAGATAAGGGAAAAAAAAATGATGATCAGGGTGGAGAGAGATAGCGCGCGCGCGGGTCATAACTGACCTCCTCCCATCATATCTGCATTTCTCTCCATTGGAAGGCCACCGGCCATGTCGACCGCACCCTCCGGGACGCCATTAATTATTCGGTGTAATGTGTAATCATCCTCGGAAGCTTCGGGGAGACCTAATACCGAGGCTAATTGACGACAACATAAAATGTCTAGAAAGGAAATCGCCTGAGAATGAAAAGAGAACTCACGTAACGATACGTCTTTTGGTACAAGTAATCTTTGGCCCATCCTTGGAGCACGAAGATCCCAGCTTCTTGTGATACCCTTGGACGCTAACTCTTGGAGTTGCTCGTAAATGATGGGATTCCGCCATACAGGCTCCACGCTGCCGCTGTTACTCCACCTCCACTCTTCTGGCTCTAGAGCCGTGCCCGCCATAAAGTCGTCGTTCCAGCGCGCGTATACCCTGTACTGGTCGCTCACGTCTGCGACACGGGTCTTGGATCGCAGAATGTACCGCTTCAAGAGTTTTGGGAGAGTAGGGAAGCTAGAGGCGGTTTCACCCTCTAGAGACATGGCATTCGGTATTCGAGGGTCATACTCAAGGAGGTATCCTGTTGATTCGTGTGGGTGGGGATGTAAGAAAACGTCATAGAAGATGCGGCCCTACGACAGAGATGGCTAGTAAATGACATTTAAAGTGCCACTTCGAAATAGGTGAAAGCACCTGCGGACTTAGAAATAAAGAGTAGAACCCTTTGCGAAGGTCACTAGTTGGAGGCGAAACAACATGGGTGGAGAGCAAGCCGTTGAGGAATGTGGACAGATTTGGCTCAGGCCCAGCCACAGAAAGGACGGCTCGATTAGGGACAGCTGCAATATGAGATCCTAATTCTTTCTGCAAGGGGTTCCCGCTGTAGCTTCTGGAGATACAGCGAAACCGATTCCAGGCTGAAAAGTGCCTTGTGCAGCCTCGTACATGTCCAAAAGGCAGTGACAAAGATCTCATTAATGAATTCCGTGGAAACGGAGATTGGGCGCACGTGATGGGAACTCTACCTCTTTAGAACCGAACCCTTGCCGCCTTGGCCTTCCATCTTAGTCCAATACTTATAGGGGTTGTCCAACCTCGGGTCTGAGCAACTTAGGTCCGTGCTACACCTATTAGACGTCCAAAATGTTGTCAATTGAGGCTCGAGGTGGTTCCTCGCCTGGCAAGGCCACTCTCTGGACTGTGTTCTCGTTATTTCTCTTTTGAATCAGTCAGCACACGATTAAGAGGCAGAAATCAACGTTCTCGTCGTTGCTCTCGTAATGTAGTTATGCAGATCATTGGCCTACCCACTTGCCTCATCAGCTCGCCCCAGGGAATCATTCTAACCAGTGGGGTTTTGTCTCTTTGCAATGCAGACTGTCCGTATGGATACTTGAACTCTACGTCACCTTGGTGATGGGTTGGAAAGCTTTCAGCCTGGTTCGAGTGGGGCATGCGAGACCTCGAGCCTCCCCCAACTTAAAAATGGGGGGGGGTCTCTTTTCGCGCAAGGCGCAGGGAGGTGGCACTACCATCTTCCCGCTAAAGAAAGGCTGGTCACCTGCCTAGCACAACCATCCACAAGAATTCGAGACTACTCAGACGTCCCCGCCAATAGGGAATGTAGTTTATCGACCAAATGGTCTGTCGTTATTACCCCCGCCAAACAGTGAGATTCATGCTCAAAGTCAGTCCTCATGAAAAGGTGCTTCATGGAGCCGAGTGCATGTGCTTTTTATGGCGGTGCTACGGCAGGCAAAAATCGTGGTTCCTTCCTTGCCGCACCCTTCCAGGGTAATGCTGGCAGCTTGATCAGTTTCAACCTTTTGTCTATGCACACATAATATTACATATACCGGGACGACTACCCGCTATTTCTTACGTGACAGTCTAGCATCAGAAGAGTGACATGCTACTCCTGCCTAGATATCCTTCTGGCGGCTTATTGAGCACAAACGTACTACAGTAATATTGGATGAACAAGAATCGCAACGAATAAGTCATATGAAAAGTATTGCTGCTGCAACATGCTTTAACTACTCTTCACCGGGGTGTTGGTCTTGTTGTCCAACCGTAACAACTCCCTTACCACCTTCTCGTCGACTCCGCTCTCCTCGGCGCGTTCCGAGGCAGGAACACCCTCAATGGGTCCCCGGACCCCGTGCTTGTCAAAGTAGTAAGTGAGCAGGTTCTTCTTGGAGATTTCAATCCCATCAAGCAAACAGAAGAGTTTGACCTCCTTTCTCAGAATGGACTGAGCAGCGACGATTGTGGCATACGCGGATTCTCTGACGATGGTACTGGACGGATCTCCCGAATCCAGGACCTTGATTAACCATACTTATCAATATCAATACGCGACGGAATACAGTCCCAAAGGACCTACCGACAACAATGTACTCTTTAGTAAAGGGAGCTCGTCTTCTAGGACCTCTGCAGGTAGCCGAAGAATAAGTTTCCCTATTCCGATAATTCCAAATGCATGCGAGCTGGTTCGAACACTGGATGCGACCCCGGGTGGCGACCAAGAAGGGAGCGGTTCGGCAAGATATGCCAGAAGGCAACCATGGAAGCTCTTGAGCCCCCATACTGGCTCCTGGCTTGACACCAGAGCATCGCGGATGGTATTTGTGGCTTCCAGTATCTAGGCACACCGAAGTTGGAACAACTAAACGAGGTCGCAAATTCTAACTCACTGGATGAGTGTTCGCATTTCGAACATGAAAGAGTAGCAACACTAGTCTTGATTCATCAATGTACTGAACTTGATTCTCCACCATCTCCAAGAAAACACACAACCCGTATTCGATCAATTCAACGTCCTGTGTAACTGGTGAACGGAAGGAGCGAACAATCGTGGCGCGAACGACGCACTTTGGTGTTAGTAACGAATCGTACAAGTGGCTTGAACACCGCGTCAAACATACGCCCACCGTGCCACAGATCGCTTTCGAGGGTTCGATGCGAGCCCCGGATGACGGTCGGGCTCGAAGGCTCACCGATGAGGTGTCCCTCGTCCGTGCGAGGGCTGGATGGGCATTGCAAAGAAGGGTTAATTTCTGCAATGTTCGGACATTCGCTGTGCTGTCGACCAGAGCTTTAATGTGCGACCTAAGCTCTTGCTCATGGGTGCTCTGGTCAGCTTTCAAAGGTGTTCCATTACCAGCACTACATGCCGGGCTCTGAGTAGGGCAACACGACGACAAAAGACGAACGATGCTCACATGACTTTCGTTTAAGCCACCAGCCAGACTCATGCTTTTTCTCGTAAAGTCGGTCCATGATGGATGGGGGCCCTTTAACTGCGGGACTGTCCTGGAACAGTGACATTAACTTCCCTTTCCCATCCGCTTGACGTGGTGCAGGGGTTACTGGTGGTTTCTGGGTACTGCCTGATTGGGTTCGGCGCAATTCAGGAGAGGCTGGAGGACCTGGAAGTAAGCGAGGTGGCACAAGGGGCATGCTTGGTGCATCATCCATCAGCTCGTTCAGGCGGTCAGCAGAGCTTTCTGCTTGCTCCGCGGTAGCACGTATCGCATCCTCCATCATAACATCGTGGGTTGGAGTGCCAACAGCAGGTGGAAGCGTGATACTCGCCGATTGGCTGACCGAGTCACCGGGATACAGCGTAGGGGAGGTGGACTCAGCGGGCGAGCATGTCAAATCGGTGGCGGTATCCGGACGTGATGGTTCCTCGGGTGAAGTTCGTGGGCGTGTCTCTGTCTCCGTTGCTCTGACATCTTCGGGATCGGAATCCGAGTCTTGAGGCAGGGGATTTTGAATGGCCATCAGTAAGGAATCGTCATTTTCGATGTTGGCCAACATGTCGATCGAGTCACGGGGGACATTGGCTCCCTGCAAACGAGAGAGGGGAGTTGATAGTACTCGGGTCCTGCGGCCGGGAGGCAGTAGATGTTGAATAAAGTTTTGGGGCGTGACGGGTGGAGTAATATGGAGAGATCGGTTTGGGGGAGATCTTGGGGGCGACATGGTGCCCGCAAGCGGTGACACAGCACGCCGGCGCATTGTTAGTTCTGAAGTAGGCGAGGTAGGTGGAGAAGGACTTGTACAGATACGGCGCTGGGAATTGGTGTTTGGAGGGGGTGTAAGTACCACTGGCACGGGACGAGATGATGGCGGGCTCGGTTTCGCGCTTGGAGGGATTGGGGACGCACTTTGTCGCCGCAGAAGAGACGGCGGGCCAGGGGAAGTACGTGTCGGAGTGGCAGCACGGCGCAAGAGCGGGGTTGAGCCAGAGGTGGAAGGCGAAACAGTTTTGTGGGAGGCTGAAGTAGCATTTGATGTGGCTGCATGGCGGAGAGTAGGAGGTGCCGAGGCTATGGCTTTGGCTTTAGCCTTGCTGGCTGCTATTGCAGCGGCGACTGAGGACTTCTTCGGAGGTATAGGTGTGTGTTCAAGAGTGGGAGTCCGTGAATCGGGATTCGGATTAGCTTTTTCTAACTGCTTGCGGCCTTGAGGATCCATGGTACTAAGGATGGACCATGCTTGGGAGTGCCACACAGAGTCAAATGACCAGAATGCTTCCCGTGCAGTCGCTTTGACACTAGGATTAACGTCCTGGAGGCCCTTACGAATCAGGCCGTCTAAGAGCTCCAAACCACCGTGAGACTCGATTGCAGTCTGGGTTGGTTGGCCGTGGACTTCAATGTAGTGTTTGATATGGCCAATCACATACTGTCGGGTCTGAACATTCTTGTCCTGAGCAAAAGAGTGTAACAGTGGCAATACGATACGCGGCTGGGCGGAGGTATGCGCAATGATGGCATTAACTGAAGCTTGGGATTCTTTGGCGATGATCTTCTTCGTAAAGCCGGACATCTTTAAGAGCTGCTTCAGTACAGAATCCACAAATGGGTCAAATAACGGCCCAAAGGCTGCAGAAAGTTCGTTATACAGGTGGCACGTGTTCGATGCTACCGTTGTTCGCAAACTGGCTACCTGTAGTTTGAACTACACTCAGACAGATCATTAAGGCTGCAAGTGTTGGATGCACACACAGTCTTGAACGAGTTTTCTAGCATCCCTCCACGAAGGCACGACAAAAAAGTAGTTTCGTATTTCAGATGAGCATCGCCCTTGATCATGCCTCGTATCCTGTTAATGGAATGATCTCGGGACGCCCAATTGTGCTCTGTCTCTTTACCCTGTGTGGAGTTCAGAAGGCTGGCCTTGCTGATTTAACATGGATTTACCTCAAAATGAGATGCCATCTTCGCGAATTCATCTTCAAGATCTCGGGCGGAGGCGATCTGTGATGTTGATCTACACAGGAGAACGGCAAGACGAAGCCAAAAAGACTCACGAACACGGGAGTGATTACAAAGGTTGTAGGTGGTATCAATTCGTCACCAATGGGAGTCTCGGCGCCGCTTCTGAGTAATTCTCTTGAGCTTACCAGGCGTGAAGGACCACTCACAGACCTTGATACGGGAGTAGGGGCCGGGGGATGGTGGTAACAGAAGAAACAAACGTCGACACCGAAGCTGTGATTGGAGTTCTCTCGGCACCTACTTCGCTCCCAGAAAATTCGCTCTGGCTGCGGCTGCTTCCGGTAGGAGTGAAACTGCCCGGGTTGGTACTGCTCGACAAGAGCCCGAACAGAATACCATCAACAATGGTTTTCCTTACTCCCCTCTTTGTCATTTCCCTTTTCAAGTCTGTACGGGCACCTTCGGAAGCCGCTGAAAATAAGGTGATAGTTGATTGGCGAGCAGAATCTCGCACAGATCCATCGGAATCTTCCAACAGATTGACTATTGAAGTGAGATATGGACGCATAGGGAATTGATGATTATCTTGGCGTAATTGAACCAGAGTCAGGAGGGACTTGGAATTGAAAATCAGAAATCGAGTTGCTGAAATATCACGACAAAGGCACCTGTTGTCTAACTCTAGCAACTTTGCTCCCAAACCCAACCTCTTTGAAGTAAGACTCAAAAATGACGACAGGAGTCTCTGATGGACGCCCTTTCTGGACAGACTTTCTGGGTGCGAGGTCACCGTAGGTGACCGCAGCAAGGCCAAGGGAAACAAGAGCCTGTTTTGCCGCTTTGCGTGACGCTTCTCTAGCCTCTCCAAGACGATCAATGATACCAGGGGTTGGTAGGAAAACTACGAGCGCCTGCCGAAGATTGTTCGTAATGTGGGAGTCAACAGATGCGTCGGAAGCTATGCTACTTCCAGAGGGACTTGAGGGTGGCTGACGAAGGGGGAAAATGCGAAGCACCAATGCGTTGATGGCATTGAGTGTGGCAGTCGTGAGATGCTGATTGGGAGTGCGCAGACTGGTCTTGAGAGTAGAAATTACAGTGTCCACATCATTGATCTGGAGTTGGATGGCGAGTCAGATACATCCTTCGATTCGTCGAGAGCCCCAGATTACCTCTTCATCTGCTTCAAATGCCTGCTGAAGTTTCGTAATCGCGTCAATTTTGGCCTCGTTTTCTGCGCCGAAAGTCACTTGCGATGATGATGCTACAGTTATTGTGTCACTCACCACTAGTCCGCGCTTTCCCGACCAGTTCCCCTATGGCGTTACTGGCGCTCATGGCGCCCACCAGGTGAGCTTGATGGCGATAAGTGGATAGCCAGTCAACGCGACTTGACAATGCAACAATAAAATTCGGACAATTTAGATGTGACAGCACGTGATTTAAGTTTGTCACTTGGGGCCACTGCGATAGGGACTAATTATCATTCTTAGGACACCACCACTGCAGGCTACACTGGGCACGCAGTGTAGCGCATGTCGTCACGCATATTATCAGGTATCTTAGGCGTTGGAGTGGACATCGTCCAGATATCACGCATCCAAGCCGTTGCCATGCGGCGGGGCTACGATAGATTGGCCAATCGCATCTTGAGTGAGACCGAGAAGAACGATTGGAATTCACTGACCGACACCTATCTCAGAAACCGTTTTCTTGCCGTCAGGTAAGTTATTGTTGATCTCTCATTTCGACACTAAATATTACTTTCAGATGGGCAGTCAAAGAAGCTGCGTACAAGGCGTTGTACCCAGCCTTCCGTCCAAGCTGGGGATATCTCACCTTCCGATCTCTATATGGCGCACATTCGAAGCCCTCTTTAGTATTCACGGACCGAAACGCAAATCCACCAATCCTCGCACCGGTAAAATTGCATGCAAGTGTATCGCATGATGCTGGTTTTGTTGTTGCCTACGTTCTGGCCGAGAGTGACTCCAAGCTTTAGCTTACTGTATATCTCAATATATGAGTTTGGGAGCGGATGATTGGCAAGCTTACCTTTTTGAGATCGAGCCGGAAGCAAGCGAGTCACCTGGAATGAGTCAAAATATCAATATTTCATGTGGACGCTTTCTAGCGTTCATAAATCACACAAATACACCTCGATCGCTATCCGCTTGACAAGTAGGGCGATGTCGACACCCACAAACTTTACGCCAAAATGGCCTGCAGCGAAAGTACGCGAGACCTACCTCGAATACTTCAAAAGCAAGGGGCACACATATTGGCCTTCATCTTCAACCATTCCCTATGATGACCCCACACTCCTCTTCGCGAATGCAGGGATGAACCAGTACAAGCCGATTTTTTTGGGGACCGTGGATCCCAACTCCGATCTTGCAAACTAAAACGGGCGACCAACACGCAGAAGTGTATTCGCGCAGGAGGGAAACACAATGGTATGCCTGCATAGGGTCATCGGACTGGTATTTAAATGAGTCTCCCCAGATTTGGATGATGTAGGCAAGGATGGGACGCATCACACATTCTTTGAGATGCTTGGCAACTGGTCCTTCGGCGATTATTTCAAGGTTGTCTTCCACGTTTTTTTTTATCGATTCGATCTCACGCAAGATTGATAATTTCACAAACAGCGTGAAGCCATAACATATTCATGGGAGCTATTAACGGAGGTGTACGGAATCCCCAAGGACCGACTGTATGCATCGTATTTCGAAGGAGACTCTAAAAATGGCCTCGAACCAGACTTAGAAGCAAAGCAGATATGGCTTGATGTTGGTATGGCAGAAGATCATATCGTTCCTGGATCACCGAAGGACAACTTTTGGGGTACGTCAGTGCATGGATAGGTAATTCGGACCTGATGCGATACGTGCCATATAGAAATGGGAGCAACTGGACCATGTGGGCCTTGTAGTGAAATACACTACGATCACGTAGGTGACCGGAATGCTGCGGGCCTCGTGAACAAGGATGATATCACCGTCATCGAAATATGGAATAACGTGTTCATCCAGTACAATCGTGAAAATGATGGTTCTCTAAAGTTACTTCCTGCCAAACATGTCGACACTGGTATGGGGTTCGAGCGTCTCGTCGCGGCTCTAAACGGGACATTATCGAATTATGATACCGATATTTTCACTCCAATTTTCTCGCGAATACAAGAAATCACTGGAGTTCGACCGTACCAGGGGAGTTTGGGGAAAAGGATTTCGATGGAATTGACACCGCCTACCGCGTTATCGCAGACCACACCCGTACACTTACTTTTGCCCTTTCTGACGGTGGTGTTCCCTCAAATATCGGGCGTGGTTATGTCCTTAGACGAATTTTGCGGCGGGGGCCCGGTATGCCCGCAAGAAGCTTGGGGTAGAACTTGGTTCATTCTTTTCTTCCATTGTGCCTGCCGTTATCCAGGAGCAGGCGCAGCTTTCCCAGAGATAACGAAGAAATACGACGATATAAAGGAAATGCTGGACGAGGAAGAGAAATCATTTGCCCGTACGCTCGACCGCGGGGAAAGCTTTTCGAAGGATTTTCGCGGGAAGCTCAGTCCTCAGCAGGAAAGGAGCTCAATGGGAGAGATGTGTGGAGGCTGTACGATACTTTTGGCTTTCCGGTGGATCTCACGAAACTCATGGCGGAGGAACTTGGCTTGAAGATCAACAAGCAACAATACGAAGAGGCGCAGGCATACTCGAAAGAGATTAGCAAGGCTGCTGCCAAGAAGGATGGGAAGGAGGCAATAAAGTTGGACGTTCACGATATTGCCGCGCTTGAAAAGGATGATAGAGTCCCCAAAACCAATGATGGCTACAAGTTCGGTACGTTGGCAATCTTCCTACTCTTCGCCCACTTATACTAAGTCATCTACTTCAGAGCTTGGGGATGTGACTGCAACTATAAAGGCTATTTACCATGAAAGGAAGTTTCTGAAATCGACTGCCGAACTACCTGAGAATGCTCCCTTTGGCGTACTATTAGACAAGACGAGTTTCTATGCAGAAGCTGGTGGTCAGGAATATGACACGGGGAGCATTACAATCGATGGTGTCGCTGAGTTTGCCGTGGAAAATGTCCAGGTTTTCAATGGTTACGTGCTTCATATCGGAAAACTGAAATACGGGAGCCTGAAAATCGGAGATGAGGTCCATGCGGAATATGATGAAGTAGGTCTCAGCACTTAAGCCCCGCGCTATGTATTCGAACAGCATTTTTTTTAGCTCCGGCGTTGGCCTCTTAGAAACAACCATACCGCCACACACATCCTAAACTTCGCACTACGTGAGATCCTTGGGGATCACATTGACCAAAAAGGTTCTCTCGTCGCACCTCTCAAACTTCGTTTCGACTTCTCCCACAAATCCCAAGTCACTCCCGCTGAACTCGAGAAGATAGAAGACGTCTGTAATAAGTGGATTCAAAAGAATGTACCAGTGTATAGCAAGGAGCTTGATCTCCAGACTGCAAGAAAGATCCCTGGCTTACGAGCGGTGTTTGGAGAAGTCTACCCCGATCCTGTGCGTGTGGTCACTCTCGAATTCGACCTGGATGAAATAGTTAAAGACGTCACCAATCCGAAATGGAGGGGGACGAGCGTAGAATTCTGTGGGGGAACGTATGTTCTCAGCCTCTTGTCGATTGATATTCCCAGCTAACGTACTACGTCCAACCCAGTCACGTAAAAACAACTGGTGATATCAAAGATTTGCTCATCACGGAGGAGACTGCTATCGCTAAAGGAATACGGCGAATAATTGCTATAACTGGGACAGAAGCAAGAGAGGCATCTCGTGTTGCGCTCTCGCTAGAATCCGAGTTAGAAACCATCAAAAAGAAGGCCGGGAAAGACAAGGATGCAGCAATGAAAGCATTCTCTGTGGTATGTGTTTCGCACTGTGTTATGTATTCCTCATTGAGACAGCTCTATGTTCTCAGACATTGGCTGCGGCGGATATTTCTCTCTTGAAGAAAGGCCAGCTAAAGGATCGCCTGGCGGCCATACGAAAAGCTTACGACGGCGAGGTCAAGGCAGCAGAAACTGCCATTTCCAAGAAGGTCGGTTTTAGAGGTGCAAGATAAGAAATAAGACTGATGGGTTTCGCCAAGGCGGTGGCTGAGTTGGAGACATTCTTCAGGGAGAATCCCAACGCAAATCTGTACGTCTCGAACATCATTGATGCCAACGCGAATCCCAAGGCAAGATTGCCCCCCCCCCCCCAAATGTGAATGGTGCCGACTTAATTGACGCATGTACTCTCTAGATTCTGCAATCTGTGCTGTTGAAGGCACGGTCACTTGAAAAAAGCGTTTACTTGTTCAGCGCTGATCAAGAATCTTCAAAAGTGGCGCATATTAACTTCGTTCCGAAGAGGAAAATTAGCAAGGAATTCGATGCTAGGATATGGTCTTCCGCAGTCACAAGAATCATCGGCGGCAAGGTACGGTTGAATGTGTGGTTTCAACTACTACATCTAATGTACTCGGTAGGCTGGAGGCAAGGAGGATTCCACACAAGGAATTAGCACCGAGACACCAAAGATAGACGAAGCATTGCAAGTTGCCAAGTCATCGTTCCCAAGTTCTTAGGTGTGGGATTGGAGTTGGACACCAAAAGCTATTTGTGCTTTACATTATGTAATGAATCGTAGTAGAATGACGCCCAAAACGTCCAATATCGACAAAGGCCAGCAACACTTATCCAAAATCCAAGTTAGATGTCTTGAGATAAAAAAATGAGCGCCGCCCACAGAACAACCGGCAAGCGTAGAACTCGCTAAATGAAGTCCATTATCGTCGGTTGTATGGGTCATGGTAATAATCGTCGCGGTCTCGGTCGCGGTTCCAAGAATCATAAGGCCGAGGGGAACCTGAACGTGATCGCCAAGAATCAACGCGACGGTTCTGGAGAGAAGGTGATCGGAAGGCTTGGCGGGGGAGGGGAGAGCGAGAGCGAGACCTTGAACGGCGACGTTCATACGGTGTTCCACGCGAATCTCGAGTTGTTGACACTGGTCCACGCATGAATCCTCTTGTATCCCGACCTACATCTCTTTCGACATCACGACCGCCGAACAAAGAGAGACGATCATCCCCTCTATCATCGTAATAAGGTCGGTATGATCGATCTACTTCTTCAAGGCGAGCACGCTTGGCGGCTCTAGCTGCATCGCTTTCTGGAATTGTTGAACGAGCGCCACTATAGAACGAATCCCTGTCGCGGGGAGGGCTAGGACTACGCGGGTGTACCCGAGGAAGGGCTTCGTCAGGTTGATATCGTCCAACAGCACCAGCAAGAGAATCACGGGGCTCATAGCGATCACCCGTTGAGCGAGGCCAAGAAGGGGCGTATATGAGCTATCTTCTCTGCTCCAAGTACCACGCAGGGGAGAATACCTGCTCCGTCTCTCATCATAGTCGTTAGGTCTCGATTGGGCCGGTGAGGACGTTGTAGCATAGTCACGATCACGGTCACGGTCCTTGAATGCCCGAAGACTTAGGTCTCTACCCCTGGTATGGTCCCGCTCATGGAGTGCATCATATGCGGAAGCACGATTCTTCCCATCGTCAGGCCAAACGCGGCGGTGATAATCTTGGCGATTAGGAGGCGGAGACTTGTTTGAACGGGCCGGAAAGTGCACATCGCGCCCCGCACGAGAATAGGGGCGGTCGTCAACATGGGTACGTCGCTCCGATGAAAAATCGTCCCTGCCACTATCAGAGCGCTGAACAGCCCTTTCAGCAGATACAGCTACATCGAGGCGGCGATCTGTGCTTGCTCGTGTGATGTCAACAGCCTTAGAGGCCACAGAATCTGGACGTGGTGCAGGCAATTTATCCGGCTGGGTGGAAGTGCCGTCAGAACGTTCCCGAAAATCTGAGACAGAATCGCGCCGGGCATCTCGTTTGGGTCTTCTCGCCTCCAATGGGCGCAAGAAGTGTGACATATGGCTCTGAAGCTGGGACTGTTTTGGCTGAGACAGGAGGTCTATAAGGACTCGAGGTAGAAGGTCTTGTGGTTGCCGGCCGCGGTTCGGCTTCACGATTACGCTTCAAGTCTACGGGGGATTTTTCACGAAAGTTGAGTGGAGAGTCCTTTGGAATATATACATCATGATTGGCTGAGTAAGTCCGCAGAGCGTCGGCCAAAGAACGTTTCCCGGTCTCATCCTTGAAGACTTTCTCGCCACTCTCCTCCAATGCTTTCACTTCGGACCGTTTCAAAAATAACGGGTGATCGTCCCGTGAGGCGTCTGTGGGTGTTTTCTGGGTTTGCGAAGGATCCGTTTGAGGCTTATTTGGCAAGACAGGAGGCTGACCAACAGTCGACGATTGGGGTGATGATTCATGATTCAAGACAAGTCTGGTAAGAGCATATTTTGGAGGCAAGGTCGCGCTGGTGCCCTGGGGAACAGGCGTCGGGGTTGAAACACGAAATTCGTCATTTGAAGTCGAGTCCTGATTGTCGAGCCGTTGTTGAAGAGACTCCGGGGAAGAGGTGCCGGGCCGTTCGAGAAGAGATTCTGAAGGCCATTGCTTTTCAGGCTCACGGGACATAGAAGGTGAAGACGAGCGCCTTCCGTTTTGGTGACCGGGCTGAGGATTAGATTGAGGCGTGGGCATTGGGGGCTTATCAGGCTGGGCCACGTTAGGAGTGTGAGATGGACGAAGATGCGAACGCAAGTTGTCGATAGTTGCAACAGCAACTTCTCTAGAATTCGGGGATTGGAGTGGCGGTGTACCAAAGCGAGACACTCTCGGTGAGGATTCCGAAGATCCATTACGAACAGAATGAGAGACAGTGGAGTCACCTGATATGGTGCCCTTCGGAAATGCCTCTGGGCAGAGACTGTACTGGCTGGCTTGGAATCCACGTCGCTCATTTCCACAGCTTTGGCGGCCTCAAAATAGGCCCCTACTGGAGAGGCGGCGGTACGTTGAAGGGAATATGATGCGTCGTTTTCTGCATGAGCAACAGCCTGTGCCATGATGGCATCTTCCTGGGGGAACGGCAGTCCAAGGGGGTGGTGATTTGGACCAAGCTTAACGGCAGACGGATCTTCCTGAATGAGAGGATTATGGGCCAAAGATAGATTTTCAAGCACGTCGGGTCGCGGAACAGGTTCGTAATACGGGTGCTGCCCCTTCAGTAGCTCTTCTTTTAGCCTTTTGAGCCTCTCAAGATCTGACAACGCAGTTTGAGATATCTGCCTGGTCATTGACGCTGTTGGTACCCAAGGGAAGAAAGATTTTTTGAGATGATGCTCGATCGCCCCTGCTTGCACTCAGGCAAAGGGGTATATAAATGCCAGATGACGTCCCCTGGACTTCGTGGAGGTCCTCAGCTGAGAACAAGATGTACTTCTGGATGATATGGTTTTGGTGTACGGTTCTATCTACGAATGTTGGTGGCACCAAGGTGTCAGCAAAAGGAGGACTTCTCTGAGGTCAAAGGCAGGAAATACACAATGTCAACAAGCCGCTAGCTTACATGTATCAGCGTTACACAAGAGCGCGGCAGCGCAACAACAAAGAGCGATGAGCCTAAATGGAAATTGAATGAACTCGGACTTAACTGCTAATTTAAGCCATTATCACCGAAGTGCCACATCAACAAATGCAGTGTTGCCAGTATGCCCCCAAGTGCTATTGCAAGTCCGTAGAATATATGTACATGCATGCAAGTGATACAGTTACTCTGAAGAAAGGCCGTGTCCGTGCAATGCAAAAATAGATAAATAAAGACAACGCCATCCAGGTTCATACCGCAAATTATGACATACATTTTGCGATAAGAGTCCATTCCTCAATAACGCACGCTAATCGGCGGCACATCATGCGAAAACTTGGGACTTAATTGGACCAAAGCCCAGTCCTCTCCACTCGACAAATTAGGGTCCAATGAGGGTGACGATCCAAAGATTGTCCCCTCCGCACTTCTATCCGTCCACGACTGAAGAGGGGTGGGTGATGACCTGGACTGTGCTGTATGTGCAACGGAGCCAAAACCGAAGAAGTCTTCGTCCAACTTCTCCTCGTCATCAAGGATGAAGACGTCGCCATATTTGCAATGTTCGGCGAGAATATTGTGGCCATCAAATGACGGATGGGGAGGGCTGGGGGAGTCTGGAGACTCCGGCGTGGAACGATCAGATGACAGTCCCGGAGACCCTATAAAGGGATGCCCCAATGTCCCGGGAAACGTGATGATTCTACTGGCCGTGAGCCACCAATCTCTCTGTTCATCGGAAACCAAGGTTGGTTCCCAAAGCTTCTGGTTTAACAAAATATTGGGGATCCCAGACCAAATTGTCCCAGAAGGGAATTGGATGCACGTTAACGAAGGATGTCTTGACAGATGCTGCACGAACGAGGACTCCATTTCCGTTGAACGCGGGATAGTTCGGTTGGACTGAAGCGACCGAACTGCTGGCGCATCAAATGCAAGCCGCAAAAGATTAGGCAGTCTTTCTATAACGGGAGGAAGGTCTTTGAAGAAGGTCTACGCATCCTTCCAACGTTAGCAAGGCTACTTTGGAGGCGCAATGATGAGCGACAGAGAACAACGATCTTACAGATTTCATCGTGTATGGGTCAGTAGAAAAGTCGCCACAAACTGAGACACTAGTGACAGAAGTGTTTCCTCTCAGAGGGAGTGTGATCTCTTGTGCCACTCCGAAGTCCACGTTGTCCACATGCAGGACAATATCACAAATCCCGCGGCACGTTTTAAGTGCCATCATAACCGATGAAAGATGGGAGCGTTCGACGGAGTTTACGAAAGATATTGAGGCTTGGGCGGGGGTAGGTGTAGTAAGGGAGGTGAATGATGCGAGGAGTTCAACCAACTGTTCTGACTCTGCAGCACGAAACAATTCATCACTGGAACAGTCTACAATCAAGTGGCGAAGTTGAGGTATAACCGAAGAAATTAATTGAAGGGGAAGATTCGAGGTGATGCCACGCAAGTGCAACGTCGTAGCGTTAGTAGCAGCGCCAATGCCCCTCGCCACAACATCGTACAACGCGGGTAATAACACGAATGACTCGAAATCCGCAACATCCTGAACCTTCTCTTCTACAACTATGGTCCGCACCAGCTTGGCTGCCCGGGGCGAGCGTACGAAAAGCTTCGATAACCGAACGAGCCGCTGGATGGATGTGACGTGGATAGCGTTGAGTAGGCTTCTTTGTGCTACCTTAGAAAATGAACGCGACACGAGCGCAAAAGACGTGAGGTCATGATCATGCAGCCTGTCGGCAATATCGGAGAGCACTTCGAGCGGGAAAATAGGCATGAAAATAATGACTCAGTCGAGGACGACGGCAGTGCAGTGAGAGCGCTTGATCTGGCAAGGAGAAAAAAGACGTGTTGTGCGCGGCAACTGCCGTTTGCTTACCTCAGCCACTGCGGCTTGATCGTAGCCGGATCCCGACGTCCCATAACCTGCACGAAAAATGTCTGAGAAAACTCGTCGGGAAATAACAGTTGAGGAAGTCTCTAAGGTTCGCAGCTTTTACGCCTTAACGTCCTTCACGCTATTTTCACCACGGGAGAATCGCCACAGCATCAGCAAGAGGGAGACTTGGTAAGGCAACTTTGCTCGCTGTCACACTCACATCTAACATCAGAACAGTGGGTTATAATTGATGCCAAAGTCTACGATCTTTCGAAATTTGCTTTACTTCATCCTGGTGGGCGCTCCGTGTTGTTCGCAGATGATGTCCGTGAGTAGGCGCCCATCCTCGAAGCAAGGATGGTAAACGTTCCTCCGTACCCCCCTCAGGCGGGAAAGATGCTACAGATATTTTCTACTCGCTTCACCGATCGGAAGTGCTCCTGCGTCCACAATACGCTCGACTGCAGATTGGAGTGGTGCCTGGACAAAGGGAGAGGTTCAGGCCTCTCCCGCCTGGAAGCTTGAGTCCCGTTCCTTATGGAGGTACGCACGGGATTCCGCAGATCCCTCTCGCAGTCCGTTAACTCCGCTGTGCATCAGAACCGCAATGGCTATCGAAGCCGTTTCGCACTCCTTACTTCAGCGAGGTAACTCAATAAAGTGCATCGCTTCGCCCCTATACTAATGTGCCTCCCTTCAAAGGTCATTACAAATTTCAAAAGGCGTTTCGAAAGCTCATGGATGAGGTAACACCTAGTTGGGTCGTTCATTCTCTACGCATTTAAATTCAAGTGAATGTCACTCCCAGGTCATCATTCCTGAAGCTATCAGGTGCGAGGCTAATGGAAAGAAGTTTGACCAAAAGATTTCCGATCTTGTGGGGTTCGTCCATTCCATGCTTACGTTCCCATGACACACATCAGGATCACAACGTTTGTCCAGTGATCTGAATGTTCTCGCAATGCGCATTGGTCCTGGGAAGCATCTCAAAGGACGCAAACTACTGGGTGGAATATTGGAGCCGGAAGAATTCGACTATTTCCACGAACTGATTATCAACCAGGTATGTTTTCCGGTGGATGTCCTCATGCATCTCTATCTCAATAATCTCTCAACTAGGAAATTGGGAGGTCAGGGCAGCGTGGTTTCATAGATGGCTTTTTCGCCGGCATGGTCATCGCGGTACCCACTCTTCTCAACTATGGTGGACCGGCTGTGCACCACGTCATCGACGAGGTATTATCGGGGAGAAAATACATATCCCTGGCGATCTCAGAGGCGTTCGCTGGCAGCGATGTTGCCGGTCTCAGATGCACTGCGAAGTTGACACAAAACAAGAAGCATTGGATAGTCAACGGGACGAAGAAGTGGATAACCAATGGCCATTTCTCTGATTACTTCTCTGTGAGTCATTGACGTGTCTCATGTCATATGGCCCCCTAATTGGTTCCCGCCCGCCTAGACTGCGTGCAGAACGGACGTTAGTGTGTGGTGAATCCGCAACTGTAAATCCGCTGACAATTTCTGCATCTCACAGAAGGGGTTGACGATGATGTTGATCCCGAGGGGCGAGGGGGTTGAAACGAATTTGATCAAGACATCTTACTCCACTACGGCCAATACAGCATTTGTCACTTTCGACAATGTCAAAGTCCCAGTAGAGTACACTTTGGGTGAAGTCAATAATGGGCTAAAAGTAGTTCTGAGTAATTTCAATCACGAAAGATGGATGATGGCCTGCATTGCGGTTCAAACACAAAGAAATGTTGTGGATGAGACGCTTCGGTATGTAACATTGGTCTTTCCTCTGTGATCGCATGTTCCATCCATCCCCTTAAAGGTGGACCAACCAGAGGATTGTTTTCGGAAAACCGCTAATAGAACAGGCGGTCGTTCGTGCCAAGTGAGCGGGTCTTCTTCGCATCCTTACCCGGTGTATACAAATGAATCATCAGGATCGCTCAGATGATATCTCGAGTGGAGAGTTGCCAGACATGGCTGGAGAACATTAGTGAGTACAGAGGTGCAGCATTGGATCATTAAATTCTGAAGAAGATTTTGCTCGTCAGCCTATCAAATGAACAACATGGCAAGTTTTACATACCCTTGGTAGGAAATGACCCAATCCATAACTCATGATATATCGATAGAACTACTCGGAAATGTCTAAATTCCTGGCAGGGTAAGCGGAAGCCCTGTACTCTTTCAAAGATTGTGAAAAAATTGTGGTTCCATTAGACCTATTGGTCTTCTGAAGGCATTCATCACAAGGGCCAGCCAAGACACTGCTCGTGATGCTACTCAGGCAAGTCTTCCATCTTCGTTGCATTGCCGAGCTAAATTTCTGTCCGTCACAGCTGTTTGGTGGTCGCGCTGTAAGCTCTGATTCCTTATCTTGAGCAACGTGCATGAAGTAGGTTTTTTTCATTGTAGATCACTCAAACCGGAATGGGAAGCTTAGTAGAGCTTTATCACCGAACTGTCCCATTTGACGCCATTCTTGGAGGAGGTGCGTAGAAGGTTCATCTTCATTTCCGCGTACTTACTGGCTGGAATTGTAGCCGAGGACGTCCTAGCAGACTTAGGTGTCAGACAGGCACAGAAGTTTATTCCTAAGCACATCCGACTCTAGCCATCCATCGGGCTGCGTAGTCATATGCGGTGGTCTCCAGATATTCATCAGAAACTGACATTGCACATCCACTATGCCATTGGGAGGGCATGTATTCGCAAATTTATTCTGATACATTCTCACTGAATTAGTTTGCTTCGTGTTTGGCAGAATGAGGGACGGCATGAGGTTATACTATCATCAACAGCCTACTATTCCCCAGTCCTACTCGGCAGCCTGGGGCGGTTCCTCTATTGGCCGAGGCTGCGCCTCTTTGGACCCAATAAGCTTCTCTGTACTACTGATGAAACCCCACATCTGTTCTGTATTAGAGATCGTCGCATCGATAGAGTTTTGGGCTGAGGCTGTTCCACAAACATCTGTGAGCAGGATGCAATCGAATCCTTTGGAATGTGCGTCCGATAATGTACTACAAACGCATCCAGAAGTTTTAGGTGAAGTATGGCTGCCCCTGATGTGCCAGGCACTTACTAGTCTGTATTCACGCCGCAAAGAAGAGCGTAGTTATTCCCCGATTGGTGAGGAACTCCTCCAAGGGTCCACCAGCACCCCATAGGCCTGACATCCTATTCTTGTAAATGATAACTGATCTTCCATGCTGACGATTCTCGTCGAAGCCGTCAGGAATATTATCTGAAGATTGCGGGAATTTCAGATGTTCGGGTTCTAAATTGCCGTAGAGCCTAGTGTTCCAATGATCCCGCATCAGCAAGCGTCCGAGGCGCACCACTCCTGAATGACCTGGAAGTGTCATGGAGCCCATGTCTTGACCAAGGCCGATGTAAAGTGGAATAGTGCCACTACTTCTGTTTAACGATCGTGGAGGCAGTTTATCCTTTAACATACACCGATGCAGGCTGGGAGGAACCGTGTCTAAATCTGTTCAATCAGGCCCCAGTTCAGAAAGATAATGTCGATCCCTATGGGTTAATTTGCCGATCGGAAATATGATGAGCGTCCGAAAACACCAATAACTCACCCAAGCGTCTGCATGCCGGAATCGCCACTCTTATGAGCTGGTCATATGCCTTGAGTCCGTTGGTATGCGAACGAAGAGCAGGATGTAGAAAGAAGTTTTGCATCTGTGAACCCATCATTCACAGATGGTCTCGTCCAAAGGAGGGTGAATGCTAACGTCGATAACCACCAACGCCGACCTATCAGGTGCGAATATCACATCCTGCGTAGTAGTGGTGATCTTGAGATATCGCTTGCTCGGGTGCACAGCAGAGCGAGTTATATCAAACGACGATGTCTCCCCTGGTACGGGATAGTCGGCGTCGAGCAAAATCTTGACTCCAACATGTGCTCACTGTCGTAGATCCAATACTGTGAAGCGAATATGGAGCCGAGCGCGGACAGTGTGTTACAGGGACAGTGCTTACGCTAAGGAAGAGACATTAGGCGTAAGGAATATCCACGGTTGGGAGGGCACGGTACTTTGAACTTTTATTCCCCAGAACATGATCTCGAATTGCCATCATCACCAACTCGACAAGCGCCGCAGAGTGAGATGCGTAGACAACAAAGGTAAACAATCCCCTTCGCTCCCCAGCCGATATTAGCAAGAACTACGACAGGGGGGTGCACCATATGCCGCAATACAAGCGTGTGCCCTTAATCTCAGACAATCTACAATTACCTCAATTCCAACAGCCTTCTATGACATCCAGCGCAATATCATCATTCGTCTCAGAGCAGAAGCGTTATCAGAAACATTATGCCACAGAAGGGGCCGCGGCATTCAAATCCTGGATATCCGTATCCTGTGGAGGAAAAGGCGATGGAACAAATGGCTCTCGTCTGTCTGCATCAGCAAAAGCGATGTGCAATTCCAGTCCATTGCTTCAACCCCGTGTTCCAGAACCTCCGATCTCAGACACTCGTGGTTCGAGTTCCCGGAAAAATTACAGGCAAATAGTTATACCAAAGACTCAGTCGGGAGTGTATGTGCCTCAACCCCGAGGGCCAGAAGAATTGCGTGAGGACGATCATGTGGCAAGTACGTCCTCTATGTAGAAGTCTTCTCATGTTTGAAACTCACAGGATTGTTTTAGGGCTTCAGCAAAGAAGGGAGCGTCGCAGGGCCAAGAGAGCTGTCCTTCACCCAAAACCTCCCCTAAGAGATCATATTCCCGACGACTCAGCTTCTCCAGCCAAAACGACCGAATTTTCTTCCCTATCCAGCGGTGATCAGCAAGGTGCAAGGCGAAGCCGGAAAAAACGGGAATATTCGACAAACCGTGGGAAGGCGAAGGCTTCGAAAAAGAGAATGAAGAAAAGTAGCAGCTCAGGTTCCCGCCCAAGACACTCCCCACTTCCCACACAGAGATCACCACGCAAAAGGAGGAGATCGAAGAACATAGCCCCAGGACTTTCGCTCATGCACAACTTTGATGCCAAAAATATTGCTCGCAGTCGGATTACGGTGGGTTCTGGCTAACCAACAGGCCGATGCATCTTCTGAAATGTTTCTTCACGTTTAGCTCAATAAAATTGGGGTTTTTAACAAAGGAGTAGCTTCCGCTCCTACTAATGTACCCCGAAACGGCATAATTCCACAAGAAAAGGTATGAAACTATGCTGGGCTCAACCTTCATTTGAGCACTCACTCAACCGTGATTTGGGCAAAGTTGCTGGCCATGTTTTCTCGGAGCACGCGTTCCTGAACCGCACTAGGCCACTCAAACACGTAACATCTTCCGAACCTACTAGTAAATCAAACCGATCTGCTGCTGACAGCGCGGAAGAGGACATTCGCCGTTCATCCCCTGCTGCGACCAATGAAAAACGTACTATAAAGTTTGACCAAAAGAAGATTTCCAGGTATTTTCATTCTTCGAGGGCTGACGAAAAGAAGTCTGGGACAGCTCATCAGTCAGCAACTCTGCACACGTCAATGGTTGACCAGGTACCTGGCCAGGACAAACTAATTACCACACTGGGATCGCCGCCTTGGGAAATTGATTGGGCGGCCGAAGGACTCAATCCACCAAGCTCTGAACAATCTGCTCCAGAGGATGGCTATTCCGCAGCACCCCCTCGTGTCAATGAAGATGCAGTTGATGCCAATAGCCATGATTATGCGTTGGACTCTCTCAAAGCTCTGTCAGCTACTTCCGATCGGGGTGACGGCTCTTGTGGCATTGAGCCTTCCCCTCGTATTAGCGCGCCCTATCTACATGCAACTTCTTCAACCAAAGACTTCGATAAACTCATTCCTTTGAGGTATCAATATTCTATTGCCCCGAATGCAGAAGAACCCAAAGACGGAATCGTCTACCCGGAGGCACTTGAGGCTCCTGGGGCAGTCGTCAATGCTCTGGCTGATGGTCTTATGAGTGGATCCTTGCATCCTCGAATCTCCTCCACTAATCCAGCCGTTCACTTCACGATCCCTTTGGAAGGTGATCCGTTGACTGGCCCGGAGCCCTACAGAGGTTCTAACTCCTTGAACGATACTGTATCCCTACCGGCACTGACCCAGTTGAATCGACTCGAACGTATCCCTGATTATGCAGCTCAATGGCAGCATCAAACCGGCGCACAGAGTGGTGCCGATCTTTGGGAGGTCCATGAACCCATTGCTTACGGTATTTCTTCAGCCCAACAACATCTTGTCGACGGGGAAGGCTGGAACATTCCACCCGAAATTCTTGATTACTCAGACGGTGGTATCGCCCATCATCTTGATTCAAGTCATCAATTCACAAACAATGCTGGTTTCACTGATTCTGAGCTGGAACTCGGTGCAGATAGGAACCGTCAAGCGGAAGCAAATAATGGGTTTAGCGATTTTATCCCATGCAATAACATGCAAGATTGCGACTCTGTGCGTCCTTTAGAGGATAAAACTTTCTTCTCTGTCGAACCTGCAGAGATAACCTTGGCTCAATCTCAGTCATTCGCTCAATCCTCTCCTCAGGTACACGATTCCTGGCCTCACCAAGAATGCTGGTCACCATCTTTTCTTCCCGAATCCTCTGAGATGAATCGCAGCTTCTCGCGTGCGAGTACGGATGTATCATCTATGAAGGATTACGGGGTGAGGTTCCAAGAAGGCCGTTCCTTACTCTTAGGTTTTGACCCAACAAGCAACCACTTCCCAATCGCGAGAGCAGTGGGGGAAGAGGAAGAAAGGAAGTTTGTGAAAACTTTGCTTGGGCAGGGGTCCGTGTCTTGGTGGGGGCGAGGGAGAAAAGCGTGATCTCAGGTAAGAGATGGGGTCAGCGATTGTCTTGCGGTTGCAGTTAGATGGGATGTATCGAATGGTGTTGTAGTGGCAAGCGAGAATGAACTGTCTTTTTCACCACTTCGATTTGCGTGTCACACACTTGACCCCGTAATGCCAGCTAAACCACTGGCTAGGTAAGCTCTGAGCAAGACTGAATGGATAACTATAACTAAGCTTAGTATCTCGATGGATCAATTGAAAGGACTTTGGTGCTTTACGATGTGTTCCCGTCAGCGAGGCTGACGTCGGAAATCCAGATGGCTAAATCCCGGACTATGGCGCTCAGCGAACACTTCCATGTTTCACGATTGCGCTTTAGCGAAAGAGATAGGCGAATAAAGAAAGAGTTTGTTGAGACCATGCAGCACCCCACATGCACCCAAAGAGATTGATTACTAGACGATTCAACATAAGTCATGCGAATACGCTGAGTCTGACATGGCAAAACGCCAGGGATGCGGGAGGGGAGGCCGCATCAGTACAGAGGGGAAGCTTGCTGTAATGCATCGCTGGCGGCGCCAACAAAGAAACCCTGGAACGCAATGCTGGCTTGAGCGGGTGCAGGTTACCAGCCTCTATTGGAATAGACTTAATCAGCTGCGTTAATATCCATGCGGTGGTGCGTCCTGCGAATTGTCCCGAACGTGTGCTATACACCATAGAGGCTGGAGTCCTGCCTAAATGAACGTGTGCAATATTCCGGGTGTCATGCAAAATGCGCCACCGATGGAATCCTTACTTCAGAGCATAGGCAGGAACCCAGCCCAACCATAACTTCCGGGACAGAACGCAATCTCTCAGAAGACCGAGTGACCTGCTTTCGCAGGACAAACCCTTTGTGCTTGATGTGAAATCAGTGCCATTTGCTCTTGCAAAGGCATCAGAGGCCGAAATGAAAGTCATTGGATGCGCTCCTTATGAGCTTTGTATGGCTAAATGCTGGAGTGGGGGACTCCGGGAGTGGCAAATGCCAGTCGCAGCTGGTCGTTATGAGAAACTGCCAGTATTGGTTTTGATCACGTCAGCAAGTACTATGTACGGCACTCGTGTGACATTCACGGCCCGTGCACTCAAATGGGAAGCAGCTTCGGACGGTCCAAAAGCTGCTGAAGAGCTAAATGCAAACTTGTTTTCCGAGCACATGTTGATGGATAATCGTTAACATCGAACCGGTTTGCTCCGGTTAATTTCTGCTGGGGAAGTTCGGGTGCTTGATCCTTGTCGCGATCATCTTCGCTTTGCATATCGTCTCCAGAATGAGTGGAAGTGGCTATGAAGTCGTACCTCTGGAAGACTTCCAATCTGTATTTGGAGGAACGTTCACTGGTACGTGGCACCTGGCATGACGTTGTATCATCAGCAATTAAATCGAGGTGGCCGTAGAAATCTCCAGCGAAGCGTTGAATAGGTGCGGGCCAGTTCACTTCTGCAGAGAGTTTCGTTGACCCCTATTTCATTTGGAATTTGTTCACCCGCCCGACTGAAGTCATGTCGTCTCTGTGTCGGACGAGTTCTTCGCTGCTGCTTCGCAGTTGCTTGAGGTTGGGGTGGGTTTTCCTGTCTTCTGGATGAGCTCAGAATCTTCGGGGTTCTCACTTCCCATTTAGCCAGCACTAAGTTTGAAAGGACAGTTCGGTCCCAATGGTGCCCTTTACAGTGGGTGGGAAACAAGAAGGCACAACACTGCGCACGATTGGTGCATCATCAAACTCGGGGTACCTTCCGGCTACATTATAGGGTTTGACATTGATACTAGCAACTTCAATGGAAATGAGGCACCTGCTGCCTCTGTTGGCGGTTTTTTTGCTGGGGCAGGAAGCACACCACCGAAGTGGGATGATCAGGTCAGGGAAATTTCCCGCAGCGAAGATATGGCTATGCTGAACAAGTCATTTTTATCGTGAAAGTGGGATGAACTATTGCCGCGAGTGAAGTTGGGACCGAACTCGCGCCATCTTTTCAAAATTCCCAAAACCAAAAGAGCGTATACTCATGTGAAGCTTAGTATGTACCCGGACGGTGGCATCGTACGTCCCCTGGCTTCATTTATTTTGCAATGCTGGGATGCTAACTTGTAATCATCCCAACAATGCTGTGGCACCAAGGCACGGTTTAGGGTCTACGGAGTTGTGTCTCCAATCTTTCCGGGCGACCGGTCCGCGACGATAGACCTTGCGCATGTATACTCTGGCGGGTGTGTCGTCTCTGTGTCCGACCAACACTTCGGAATTGGTCCCAATTTGCTGCTACCTGGAAGAGGTTCGTGTTACTATGACTCCAGGCAGACAAGTTTAGCCCCATTGTGATCTAAAGGTAAGGATATGAGTGACGGCTGGGAAACTAAGCGCAGTCGCCTTCCGGACCATAATGATTCGGCAATAATAAGATTGTAAGTTCCCCCGTGTCATTCCTTAGCTGGCAGAGTGAATGGGTTATCGTCAGAGGCGCTTCCGGTTTTTTGGAACAAGTTGAAATAGACACTGCCAATTTTGTTGGCAACTTCCCCGAGAGTTGCGAAGTACATGCTTTGAACTCACCAGACGTAAGCATTTTTCCACCCGATCTAGTACTTGTTAAGCACCATTTGCCTCGCCCCGATATAGCCCATTCCTTCTCATGCAGATCCCGCCTGGTCGTTGATTCTTCCTCGTACAAATCTTGGACCCAACCGTCGTCACTTCTTCCAATTAGATGGGCAACTCGATTGTCCTTATACGCATGTGAAGGTTACCATATATCCAGGTTGAGTCATCTTCCTCATTCCGTCAATCCAAATAGCTGAGCCTGGTCTGCTCTGGGTCAGACGGAGGCATTAAGGTTAGACACCTTCTCTATTAAGCGTTCGTTGTGGTATGAATCCTCTGTTACAGCGCGTCCGTGTCATTGGAAGGCGTTCCTTTGATGATTTAGCGAGCGAAAACATACTCGGCTCTGTTGAAGGAGAGGAAATCAAGGCTTTGCCAAAGCTCCCTGTCTTGTCAGAGGACACGGTCGATAGTTCGCGCTTCACTAGACCTTCCATCTTCCCTGCAGTGCCACTCACTCGCGAAGCCTTCGCGCGTTTCGGAGATGTCATTCAAGCTTGGGCGAACCCCAATTCTGCTCCCAAAGGTATACGTGTGACATCAGCCAATCAAGGCACCGCCTTCAAGTTCCACAAATTGTCTGCGGCTCTTTCGTCCTATCCATCCGACGCAAACGCTGGTCCTCCCGGAATTAGTGTATTTCGGTGCACTCCGCCTCATAATTTACCAGAAGGCGCGAGATCCTTCCCTGTGCGGATTCTCGAGCGACACCCACTCACCAATCAGGCTTTCATACCTATGGGGTACGGAACGATCGCAGGTGCAGAGGACGATGTTTTGCCCGAAGCGGGAAAAGCTTATCTGGTCATCGTCGCTTTGAACGGTTCTGGTATGTGCTCCGTCAATCTATTCGAAGACAACGATATGTGATTGCTGAGTTGCAATTCGAGTAGACGATAAACCGGATCTCAAGACTCTCCGAGCTTTTATAGCCAGCACCTCGCAAGGGGTTTCATATGGAGTAGGAATATGGCGTAAGTTATCCTGAAAATGCTGAGGTGGACTTTTTTCCGAATATTCTTCCTATAGATCATCCCATGATTGCTCTTGAGAAACCCATTGATTTCGTATGTTCTATGCATTGCCCGTGATGTAAGTTTCATGATGATTGTCGGTTCTAGGCGTGCGTCGAGACCCAGATTGGAACTCCGGGGAGCAAACTAGACTGTGAAGTCGTGGATGTTCAAGACGGCCCTCTTATCCACATTCCAAATTTTTAGACTCAATATTTGCTTTTGGTTGTGCCTCGCCACATTTCAATAACTTTTGACTCATCCCCCAGTCACGACATGTACAATGTGCGAAAATCAAATGACTGTCAAATGGGGCGACCCACATTTCGTTTCCCTGGAACCTCAAGGGAAGCCCAGACAATGAGATCTTGACCTCATATTAATTCCTACCGAGAAGTTGTTCCTTCTACGGTACCAGATCTTACTGTCTTCCAGTCACAGATGGTCATATGAGAATGGAGACGCCTTAAGCACCAGCCGGGTGGCGATCTCGACAGTTTGTGATGATGATAATTTGGCACCGATCGCTAGGCTGGCTGCACCGCCGGCACGAACTCTAACATTGCTATATGTAGGAGCTACTCTAGCCATAGTAATGACGACTGTGATAATTAATCACCACATCACCTCCCGTTGCGGGGAGACCTATTTCATCTGAGCCCGTTAACCCTCTGTGTCACCGACATTGCTGATAGGAGCCTTAAGCGTGCTACACATTAGTGGTTGCAGCCGCCTAAGCGATGTCTTTCTGGAATCATAGAGGATAAGGGGGACAGTGCCATGCATAATGAGCAAGGATGGAACACACCATAGAGATCTCTGATCCCGGAATGGTGGCGAAGCTGGGATAGAGGCTGGGTTATGCCTAGGATGGGCAGGGACAGGGATTGATCAATCGGGGTGGACGAATACTGTACTCAGTAACAAGGTGGAAAACACCATAGCTGGCGACTGGGCAGAGCGCGGGGTTGGGGGATCAGTGATGCGCAGAATACCCACCAAATTTAAGCCCAGGAGAACAGGGCAGATAGATCTTCAAATTGATCACGTGTTTCTGAAGGACTGCATAAATATATGTCAATAACGAGATGCCGATGGACCTAACCATCACCCCCTCCTTCTCAACCAGTTTTCACAATAGTGTTGAATTAGGCTAACTGAAATCCCATTAGATAAAGGCACCCTTTGTTATGCAGACTACCGATCTTGGTTCGCGCCATCCGACGCCCGTCTCAGTCTCTGCCCTTCACGACGTCATTCAACCATCCACTCGACTTGTACCAAGCATTCACCCGGCTCCTATTGGCGTCAATGATTCCCAGTTCTTCCCCGATCTAAGTACGAATCGTGTTACCCAACATATTCAGACCGTACTTTCCGAACGAAAGAATGTAAACCCACCATCCAGCGATTCGGACCTTACAGAAACCGTGTTCGTAAATGCCCACCAGCCCTCTCTTTCTTCTACTGGAACTTCTAATGACCACGAAACGCGCAAAAACGCGTCTCGTTTTGCAAACTCCCAAAGATTGGCTCCGCGCTTTCCAACCTCCATGCGACAATTTTCTGGCCAAAATTTTGCGCCTCGTCACCTAGGAGATAGCAACAACACCATGGGCCGAGTTCCTGGACGAACTGTGTCGCTTCCATCCTCCCTCAACAGCTCTGTCCCCAACGACGCACGGCAAAACGGATCGTCATATCGTTCGAACCATCGCGTCATTTCTCTGCCTGAGGTCTCAATGATCCCTACTCAGTTCTCCACACCCATGAGGGCTGTTGACTGTAGGACCAGGATGGAAAATGAACTACCTCTCATTGATCTTTCGTCTCCGTTGCAAAATCCTCCTAATTCTGTCAGTCTGAGTCCTACTGGGACTGTTCTCATCCACTCGTCTTTCGGGTCCTCGGGGAACCAAACGATCTCCTCGTTTGATTCTAGTGACTCAGAGGAATCCATCTGCATGGGCCCTGGAAGCCCGATCGTTGGCCGTTCTTCTGCCGTTCTTCGAAACGTCCCCTGCCTTGATACCGTTGAAATCAATAACGACGTACCTTCATCTACAAAAGCTCGGACTGTGAAGCCCGTCTCAGCTCAAGTGGAGCTCCAAGGTATAGATAGCTTCAGGTCGTTGCCTTGCTCTGCCACTAACTCATCGCCGGTAGATGGATGGATTTCTATGTCCCCTCAGCCAATTCCTGCCCTACATGGCCCCCCTTCCCTTCCGTATGCGAGGTGCCCTTCGTGAGTAATGACCGCCCCATATGACGTTCTTCGCTTAATCAGTCGCTCCAGTGGTGCGGAAGGCGTACTTATCTCAGAACAGTCTTCTCTTCCTCGTATGATATGGGGTCTTGATGAACAAGCCCCCAATAGTGCACCTTTGCACGCTCGTCTTCCTCACACTCCTGGTTTCCCCCCGAGCTCCAACTTTCAGCCCGGTCAGCCTCGTGAAGGACAAGCTTCTGACTCCGCGACCTCAGCCTTCCCTACTCCCTCATCCACTGTGGTTGCTACTCCATCTTCGATCATAGACATGCCTTCTGAGACTTCCGATATGCATTCTCCACTTATCAAGCCCGCTGTCCACATGTTTGTGCCACATGCTGGTGGTAAACCAGCTTCTCGCGCCACTTCTGAAAGGCATTCGCGGAAGTCATCTGAATCTGGACAAGTTAAAGTACTTGGCTCTCCTCTGCAACTGGCGACACCTGGGGACTACACTGAACATCGTTACATTGACTCATCCGAATGGGAAGAATTCATTCCTTACTCCGCTACAGAGACCTCGATTCCGAACCCTCAGACAGTACCATCGAGCGAAAATGTGTCTACATCTCGGGCTTCCATCAATACGCATGTGTCTCATTCTCCTCTTGCCTCGACCTTGGCGCCGATCCAAAACAGTTCTCATAATCTTGACCTCCCAGCGGTTACAGAGATGATTTCTAATCCTGCTAACGTAGCAGCTGCTACTCCAGAAATGTGGTCACTCGCACTTCGAAAATTTTGGGCGGAGACATTCGTGCACCTTGAGGCACAGCAGCGCGCTCTCCTTACCCAAGCAGCGCTTGTCCAAAGTGGAATCTTGACCCCAAGCTTCACTATTCCTCCAGGGACGTCTCTGTCTGCCATTACTCCTCTTCTACCTCAGCCTGTTGCATCAGGAAAGCATGAACCATATACCGGAGCGCTCGATAACCCTCGCTCTGTGCCCATGCAGCGGCTGCGCCGTAAGCTAACGACAGTCAAAGAAGAGAAAGAAAATGAGAATGATGCAGTTCGAAATGATCTTCAACCGGCCAAGCCTTCTGCTCGTGAAGCTGACGGGTCAAACTTGCAACAGGTGACCCCGGATCCATTGCCGGAAAAAGGACAACCTGTCAAAACCACTCTTAAAGCTGAATCTGCACCAGTTGAAGATGCCGAAACATCTTCAAGAAGTGCTGGAGGGACATCATCGAGGCAGCCCGTGAAGAGACGTAGTGGTAGTGGTCGTTCCGCTGGTCCACCCCCCTCTGCTGGGCCACGTATCTCCAGTCGAGTCAGCTCTTCCCGATCTTCAAAGGGTCCCTCTCTGGTCCAACGCGTCAAGGAGTCAGCCCGCTCCAGCGGCGCGGTCCCGGTAGCACGTAAACCTGGTGATTCTACCGCCCGCGATGGAGCAAAGCGTAAAATCCGATTCGGGCCTCCTGTGTCCACTTCCTAACGCATCCGGTCTCTTTCTATCGCTTCATGTCAGTACTGAGGAACACCATCGCTCTCTTTCTGTCTCTCGCTCGTCTTTGGTCGATATTTCGCACTCACCTGTTTTCTCTCACTCAGCTCTCAGTCATTTTTAGCCGAGCCATCTCTCCTCCACCTTGTCCTCGGTTTCGCGTTTGCATTACATCCAACCCGAAAATGTAAATCTCACAATCATCATACTTTCTCGGCAGTCCACCTTAAGTTTTTGTTCTTCCGTTATCATTCACCTCTGAGTCTCATTGTTCCACTTTTGTCCTCGACGGTAGCTAACATTCTTGTACGAAAAAGTTTTGTAGCACATTCCACATGTACCATCCGCACAATGGCATCGGTTTCGTCACCTTATACTCCCTTCGATTCCGGTCGGGGAACTAATTTAGATTGAGTGGAGTGGGCAGTGTGACAGCGTCGCTCTGTGGCGTTATGGTTTGACAAAAAGATCCGTGAACTGATCGACAGGTAAGGTCGAAAGGGTCTTGAGATCTGAAATCGTCTCTTTGATCCTAAGTTGATACGAAATGTCTCAGACGATGTATGTAGACGAATTGGCGATGCTCTTACTTCTTGATCCGAACTTCGTCGAAGTGAGGGCTAATGTGGCTGGAAAGAACGGACATCAGCTCAATGAGTGACAATACGGTCAGTGACCAGAAAACGCGTCGTACCGATCAAACTTCGCCAAAAGTAATGGTTTTCCCTCCTCGCGCTAAAAATAGAAGGATCATTCAACCAACCTCGACAGGGTAGAAGTAGAGGAAGGCGCAAAAATACTCACCCTTCGCTTATGGCCAACTGGGTACTCAACCTCGACTTCATCAAAAACTGTACCGTCGTTCAGCTCCACGAGCAGAGCATTCCCAATGCTACGCCTCTCGGGGTCGTGGTACTCAACGCTGAACCTTTTGTCCTCCACACAGTACGTTTTGCCGCGGAGAACATCGATGCGGGGATCGGCGGCAGCGGCGTCCGTGCTTTGAGGGAGACACAAATGTGTATGATTGTTCTGAATGAAGGAGAAATGGATGGACTTACTAGGATTGGGCAGTGAGTTCGCCGAAAATTAGAGGATAGGCAACCATGTAACTGATAGCATGGCTGCAGAGAGTAAAACAATGAGGAACTACAGCACTGTTGGTTCTGCCGAAAAGCGACTTACTCTCGGTCCGCAAAGTTGTCCAGAGGACCGGACTTATCAATAATCCTGTCAAATAAATTCAGCCGCTTTATGGCCAGGGAGGACGAAACATCGGTACCTAATAGCAGCCTCCTGCGTCCGAATCCTGATGCTTTTGATGTCGTCCGAGGTCCTTCCCAAAGACTTCAACTTGGAATGAACTTGAAGCGCAGCTTCAACGGCTGTCTGTGCATGAAACTCGGCGGGATACGAAATCTTAAAGAGCACATTTTCCATGATATACGATCCGAAGGGCTGCTGGAACTTGAACTCTTGGCCCTGGACGGAGCGGGCGACTCCAGTTAGATAATTGAAGGGCATGAGAATATTTCGAATTCGCACCTTGAATAGGACGTCGTAAAAACCCCATGTCTTGGCGGTCAAGACGCCTGGAAGCCCCATCTCTCCTTTTTTGACAAGAAGGGCGAGATTGACGGCACGCGAGCATGCATCGCCAGCTGCCCAAGACTTACGAGAGCCAGTGTTTGGCGCATGGCGGTAGGTTCGGAGGGACTGTCCGTCGACGAAGGCTTGTGAGACCGCGTCAATCGTCTGATCACGATTTAAGCCACTGAGAGTAAGATGCGAGAATTTTCAAGGTTGGTTATTTGTTGGACAGGAGAGAAAACTAACTCACAGAAGCTTGCTGACGACGGCAGTGCTGGCAACCTTGACGAGTACGACATGATCAAGTCCAATACGATTGAATGAGTTGAGGAGAGCAAGACCACCCTGGATTTCGTGTGCTTTGATCATGACTTCCAAAATATCTCGCACGGTGAGGCGTTCACCTTTCCGCGCAAGGTGGTCAGCGACAGCAAGGATTGCCCCGAGGTTATCCGATGGATGCCCCCCTGCGACAAGAGACCTTCATCTAGTTTCAAGAATGGAAGAGTATTAAAAGGTCTGAACTTACATTCGGCAGCGAGGAAACAATCGTTGAAGTCGAGCCACCGGATCATTGTCCCAATGTTGAAGGCACCACGAATGGGGTCAAGTTGGTAATTAGTCCCAGGAACCCTTGTGCCTACAATGAATCCAAGCTAGTCTCAACGTTGACGAACGGCGGCGATCCACCGAGGGAAGTGTACCACCCACCATTCGGCACTATGGTGCCTTCAACAACCGGTCCCAACAATCTAGCGCACTCTTTGAAACGAAGACCTTCCAGACCACAACCGATGGTATCGATCAGGCAAAGACGCGCGGTCTCAAAGGCTAACTCAGAGGTGATCGGTGTGTTGTGTACATAGTTGGCAATATCTTATTTCACACGAAAATTGGCGTGAGCGACATCCTGGCAGGATCACAAACATACCCTGGAGGACTTTATCAGGCTCTGGCCTGATTGTGCTCTCCCCGTGGTAGTGTGCCATTGTCCGTTGTTGGTTAAGGGCAAAAGCTGTGGCAGCGGATTGAGAACCCTGTGCGAACCGGCGACTGAAGCGAGAAAGTCCTCGTGTCAACAAGGAAGCTGTCACTGCTCTTGTTGCTGTCAAGCCTAGACGCTTTGATACGAGCATCACTTTCCCTTAATATCGGGTACAAACTGGTACGTAGTCGAATGGAGTCGGTCGTTCGCAGCTGGAGATTTAACCCTGGATATCGTCGGCCCGTCGGGCGCTTCCGAATAAATTCTTTTTTCACATCTTCCCTTCATAGCTGCTTGCGCCTGTTTTCCGTGTCTGGATATTTGCCGACGAAGCCTTCGACGCAATCGTGGGGGGCACCGGGGCAGTGATGATTACTTTGTGTTCGACGATAGTGCTCTCATCTAGTAGCTACTCATTGGAGCTTCCGTATCCAATTGCATCGTGGAAGCGCACAAGTCAGCGAATACGTAGGCCACAGGGACGGTCCATCTGTCAAATGTCAATTAATGTCTCATTATTCATCGCAGTTACATTCAGGCCAGCACCCCAGCTCGAATTCGTCCCGATATTCCCACGCTCGTGATCTGTGACGCAAGACCAGTCACCACGATGTCCATCACTAATTTTCCCAAGATTATTTACGGGACTGCATGGCAGGTGTTTGGAAATAGTCCAGTCGTATAAGCCTCCAGAACACAATCCTTTTACAGGAAACAGGACGCTACCGCTGATCTCGTTGTGAAAGCCGTCCTTCAAGGGTACAGAGCCGTGGACACTGCATGCCAGCCCAAGCACTATCGGTAGCTACCTTCTTCTTGCGTGGGCGGTATCGGATTATCTACATTGACTAACAGTGAAGATTTGGTTGGCGAGGCATTGGAAACGCTTCAGACGAAGCACGGGATAGCTAGGGATGAGATCTTCCTCCAAACAAAGTCGTAATCATTTCCCATCTTTGTCCCAATGTACATACGCATCCCTTCGTAGATTCACATCCTTGGATGGCCAAGACAGATCCAAGCCTCTACCTTACCAACCTTCAGCCTCCATTACCACTCAAGTCCAGCAGTCCTTCCAAACTTCCCTCCGTAATCTTCGGACAGCCCGCATCAACGCACTTCTCCTCCATGGACCCCTACGTACCGCCCAAAAAACCCTCGAAGCCTGGAACGCCATCGTGGCACTCAAAAAGGAGAATCGCGTAGATCTAGTTGGTGTGAGCAACGTTTACGATCCCAGGCTTTTGACGTACCTCACTGAGGGCGCTGGAGGAGTGAAGCCTGATATCGTACAAAATCGGTGGTATGAGGGTAATGATTGGGACCGGGACGTTGTCGCTTACTGCCTCAAAGAAGGCATTCATTACGAGTTAAGTAGATCTCCACTTGCAGACTCACAATCGTGCCGGCGAACTAAACGGCCGGTATCCATTCATGACAGATCTTTCTGGACACTAACGGGATCTCCAGCCCTGTTTAATCATCCATCCATAGTCAAGATTGCTGAATCCCGTTCATGCACCCCAGCCCAAGCCATTTTCCGCATCGCACAACAAATAGGAATCACTCCGCTCGCGGGCAGCAAAAACGAGAAGCATATGAAAGACGGTCTGCTTGCAGAACATATCGATCTCAATGGTCTGGATGATGGAAACATTACCGAATTCGTGGGACCAACTGCACAGGCTTGAAAATGCTTCAGAAGCAAGGATAGGCTTCATAACCTGCAGATCCATATGTCGAGCAATCGTCGTTTAAATATGATGCTGGTCTTCAGTTTTCCGATCTTAGCCTTCAACAGGGGGCTAAGACCATTTGCGGGCCGTATTATTATAATAGTATAGATGGTATTTACATATCATCGGTTTCGTAACAAATGGGGAAGGCGATGCGTTGATCGAGGAAGTTTCTTGACAATGCTTTCCTAGTAAGGGACTCAGTTTAATAAATACAAGAGAACAGAAAAACTTACTGCCGCATGTGTTGATAGGATTCACAGATATCTTCCCATACCTTGGCAGCGTTCGGCTGAGTTTTAAGCCACTTGTTCAACTCGCGAAGATGAGATTCATAGATGTCACGATAAAACGTTACTGTGAAGTCGTATTGTATCCCAGCATACCCGTTGAGTACATATTCGATCTTGATTCCAGTATCAGCAGTCATCTGGGTGAAAGACGTGCACGCTCACTGCTGTTGCTGCAAATGAAATTAAATGTTGCATAACATTGTCCTGATCTGCATCAATCACTGTCCCCCATGACAATGACCAATCAGCATCCTTGTAAAGATGCTTGATCAGTTTAGTGAAGGGGGGTGATCGGAATCGACCACGTCGTTTCTAATCGTCGTTAGTAGGCACGATGTTTCCATCACGTTCCATTCAGTGTTTCGCGCTTACCTCGGTATCTCTCCATTCATTGAAGTAGAAGTTTGTCCCACTGAGGAGAGCGCGTGCAAGAGCCGAGTTCTCTTCGCAAGGCTGGGGGCTGAATTTATATTCTTCGTCGACGTACTTCTTCGCAAGTGTCTTGATTGTGTTGCGGAAAACTGAAGGCTTGTCCCTCATCATCTTATTACTGTTAGTTACGGGTAATGTAGTTTAGATGAAGGCCTACTTGGTGAATGTGGCCGAATTGTACAAGTTTGTGGTCATATGTAGGAAAACGGTCCTGCGCAGCCTTATTCGCAAGACCGATGAGATCGTATGCTTCCATTTCGTTTGGAAAAGCTTGGGTGGTTGCAAGTAGGAAGCACAAGTGGTGCTTGATGCACGATAGAATCGCCCGGAGATCATTGTTCTGCTGCGTTGTAAGTTCCAGACCCAATTGATCGGGTTCAGGATCCATAGACGTAGCCACAGACGAGCCACGGAGGGAAGTTGAATCGGGGGTACGTAAGGTGGGAGGTGACTTCGATCTGGAAGGCTGGGCTGTTGAGAGCGCCTTATGCGATGTGTGGATGTCCAGGGTTTGCCCTGATGTTGGGGTCGGGGGCGAAGCCAGTTGCGAGGCTACAGGCTCGCGCGAGGGCCTAGAGGCCTTGGCCTCGACCTGAAGGCATGGTTAGCGGGTGGGATGTTTAATAAACTTTAAATTACCTTTGTACGTTTTTGCTTGGCGCGTCCGCTGTCGGAGACTGGGCTGTCATCCTCGACGTCGCTAGATACCGCAGGTTGTTCTCCTTTCCTAAGAGAGCTTCTCCTGCGAGTCTGCGCGGCCTGTAGCTTCTGACTACTCCTTCTTGTTGGAGGCATGACTGGGAATGGAGAAAAAAGAGCGACGGCGTGACCAACAAACCGTCCTCGTGATGTCATTTATGTAATTACTATCAGTATCTCTAGTGTCTAGAGCAATGGTTGGACGAAAAACAAATCCATTGTATTCATAGTCACATCGATATTTTCCAACCTGGTGGCGGACCCGAGCCTCGCATTGAATGAACGACGTTCTCGCCACTGATCATTCAGTTTGATATACCCTCCCCGAGAGCGCACGCGGTTGGTGATTTGTTTCGGCCTTCATGTCAGCTTTCAAGAGATATCAATGATTGCAAAAGTGATAAATTGTATCACCTGTGCCTGAACCAATTCGAACCCCAGATCAACGAGCGATCAAATAGTCAGAAAAAGTTAAGACACGGAAGAACGACTTTCCAGCTTACTGTACTCGTCAATTGCCCGATCTGAGCTCTTCTTACTTACAGGGTCAGAACCATTTGCACGCCGCAACATTCATTATAACCGAATGATTGATATTTGCATATCATCGGTTTCATAACGAACCGAGGCGGTGCGTCGATCGCGAGAGTTTTTTTGATAAGGCTACTTCAAAGAACTCAGTTTAAGAAACAAGAAAACTTACTGCCGCACACATTGATAGAACTCACAAGTATCCTGCCATTGTAAGCCACTCGTCCAATACGAGATTCGCGGCAGAACGTTGCTGTGGAATTGTGCTGCATTACATGCACCCATCAAGTGAAATAAGCCTAACTCCAAACGTAGTATGGATTCACGAGTCCCCGATATCTATTCCAATGGAGGCTGGTAACCTGCCTAGTTTGGAGTCAGGGTTGCCTCCCTTTCGCGAGTGAGCTTCCAACTTCTGCCTACTGTAGTCCTTGTTGGAGGCATGACTGGATGGAAATAGAGGCTGATAAACCTTCCTCGTGATGTCATTTACGTCTGGCTTGTACTAATAGCGCGGGTCCAGCCGGACGACCGTTTCTCGCTCACTGATTGGCTCAAGCCTCGCTCTTTTAAGGTTTTAACCTTAACCCCGAGTTCCGTCGGTTCCGACGCGGTCCTCTCATTGGCTCCCATTTCGCACTCATCTCCGGAATTGGAATTGTGCTCATTTGACATCCATTTGCACTTTGGCTGTATTTTCTTAACACCTAATCGTTTAACACGTCGCCTATCTGCCAGGTTATACCACAGCACTCGGTCGACACACTTCCGCAATGATTGCGATGGCACACACACTACACGCCCTGGAACCGTTCAATGTACAGAGTCTCACCAGTGCAGTAAAGAGCGTTCTCGCTCTCTCCCATTACCTCGCGCATGTACAAGGCATGTTTCCTGGTTGTGTAAGTGAAATGATAACCATGTTGAACGAAACACCGTTCTCTCTCGCTTTGCTCAAAATATCAATCTGGGTTCGAATTCTCCCCTTCACCATCTACCTGGAATAGAAAAAAAAATTAGAAGTCTCCTCTGCATGAATGTGCCAATGCGGGGACGATCACGAGACCCACATATGTAGTAACAAAAAAGCTCAGATTTTGATTTTGCGCGTCCACGGAGCGACAACGAACTGGGTAAGAGTCTGGTCTCAAACACGCTTGTACTAGATTCCCAAGGCCATCCCTCGACGATTCCGAACCGTGGATATCTCTCTCCACTCCATCGATGATTCCAACTCGACTCTATGCGTCATGTCGCTTCTCCACAACAAATTACTCCGATGCGTATGGGTGATCCCTACCTGTGAATCACTGAACCAAACATCGAGCGAGAAGTCTCTGCATAACTAGAGGACGTAAATCATCTTTCGTCTTACAGGACGGTGGATCCCACCATCAAGGACTATTGAAAGTGACCTGAATGGAAACTACGACGCAACTTTATTGGCCACTTGGCGACGCCGCCAAGCTTAATCTCAACCACGGAGCAGTTGAATGAATCAGATGTTGGATCAAGGCTTCGTTATAGTTCATCTAGTGCCTGATATCGCGTCTAACGCGTAGGATCGTTGGTCAAGCATTGGGACTTCTCAACATACATGTAATGTACAGGCGCAGGTCACAACCCCAGGAAGCCATCTATTCCAATAGAGGCTGTAACCCGGCTAAAGAAAGCAGTCCCCCACTCGCGTATGCTCTCTGTTCACTGGAAAGTTGATCCCCGTTTACGGCGAAGCAACACGCTGGAGGACGCACTTGGCATCGGTGACGACACTCGGCTATGCAGATGTATCCAAACAGGAGGTACGGATTAACCATGCGACGCAATCATATCGCAATCGACTGACTCATTTCATATCGCGTTATTGAGATGAATGTCAAGGTACAACCCGAACTCCCTTCCGGAATCACACGTTGCAACTGATCTCCCTTCGCTTCTAAAGGTGACAGCGAAGGAATGAGCTCAATGAGGCGCGCAAGGCCGACGGCGATGACCGAGGCACGTACAAGCCCCAACCACTGTATTGAAGTGTTATACATACATTTGTTTCAAAATCAGGGGAACCCCATGCTGTCGCGCTAATGTCATGCCATCCTAACCGCTCCAAGGTGTCCGTACTCCAGGCCAGGAACTGTCCCAAGAATCAGCTCCCGATCCACCCAACAGAATCCGCATTCCTCGCACCATCGCGCCACTTGAGAGGGATCGCAATGATTATGTACGAAGAGTGCCTCGATGGGATCCATGAGTCCTGAAATCGTACAGACACTTGAACGAAGCCCATATCGTATCCGACGTTTATATTAGAGCATCGGATCATGAGAATGGGCTGCAACAGAGGATGTCCTGCATTGGACGCCAGACCATGAGAGCCTCGACCTGTGTTACAAGAAAGTTGGTTACTTTGACATGGGGGATATGAGAACGGTGCTTGTCGTCGTGAATGGTGGGAGTGGGGTGAAATCTTAATGGACTGGGGTCAGCGACATCGGACAAGAGAAGCGCTTAACGTTGAGGGGAGGTAGTGGTCCGTAGACATAACAAATGGAAGGAGATGTGGTTAGTAATAAGCCTAAACGAGTAGGGTGTGGAAATACTTACCGTCGAGAACAAGTAGCCATAGACCAAGATGTAGTTAGTAATAAAGGAATGCGCATACTTACCGTCGAGAGAAGTGGTCTGTAGACCTAAAAATGGAAGAGGAAGGGTAAGGAGTGCGCATACTTGGTTGGGGTCAAATCCTAATGAACTGGGGTCAGCGGCATCGGATATATAATAAAAGCGCTTATCGTTGAGGGGAGGTAGTGGTCCGTAACGAATGGAAGGAGATGTGGTTAGTAATGAGCCTAAACGAGTAGGGTGTGGAAATACTTATCGTCGAGAACAGGTAGTCCATAGACCAAGAATATGTAGTTAGTAATAAACCTAGAGTAGGGAATGCGCATACTTACCGTCAAGAGAAGTGGTCCGTAGACCTTAAAAAATGGAAGAGGATGTGGTTAGTAATAAACCGAAATGGGTAGGGAATGCGCATACTTACCGCCAAGAGTAAGTGGCCCGTAGGCCTAAAAAACGGAAGGGAATGTGGTTAGTAATAGGTAGGGAGTGCGCATACTTACCGTCAAGAGTAAGTGGCCCGTAGGCCTAAAAATGGAAGAAGATGTGGTTAGTAATAAGCCTAGACGGGTAAGGAGCGCGCATACTTACCACCGAGAGCAGTGGTCTGTAAACCCAGAAAAATTAAAAACGGAAGAAGCTGTGGTTAGTAATACGCCTAAAGGAATAAGAGGCGAAAATACTTACCGTCGAGGTTATTGATTACATGCGGCAGAGGCGCACAAGGAGATGGAAGATCCCTAGAGAACAAAATAACAAAATTAGCAGCAGGCGTGGGTTGCTGTGAAAGGCAAAACTGTCAGTAGTCCCACGGAAGGAAGAAAGGAAACAGAGAAAAGGAAACCACGCACCTTGCGACCGTCCCGGAAGAGCCAGAGCTATGTACCTAGCCGCTCCCCCGACCCGCTTTGGGTTTCGGAAGAGCTCGTATGAAACTAAGCAGAAGCCCCCAGCAGGACCAAGGACGGCCCAAATTTTCAAAAAGCAAAAGAGGAAGAAAGAGGAAGGAAATTTAAAAGGGAACTGCATTCCCCGATCCAATCCCTTCCAGCCTAGTGTTGTTTGAGCAAGACATGACGACGCGCCGGTACGCATATCATGCCCATATCGGCTATCCGATATGATACCCTTTTACCATGTGTTTCGTGTTTCACTGTTGATTGCTTTCCACATGTAGCGCTGTCGCGTATCTCACTTTCTTATTACTTTTGTCTGATATTCGTGTTATTACTTTAACTACTTATACCGCTGTGCGGTTACAATATCAAGTTGGTTGTTCCCCGTTATCCGAGTGTCCCCGCTGAGAGCTACATAACAACAGGTTATGAGCCCAGCCTAGGGCTTAACCACCACAACTCAAAAACACTCGACGCTGCTTACATCTAAACCTCGCGCTCAACTTCTAGTCGACCTAACCCATGGCTGAAGACTTGGTATCCCTCGGCAAACGTCTCCCTATCTTGTCCGGGAAGGAAAACTACACTCAATGGAAAACCAGCATGGAGGATATACTGACTTACTCGGATCTATGGGCTTACGTTCAAACCGGTTACACTTTGCCCACCGATGCGACTCAGAAGGCCACAGCCGAGAAGGCACAGCGCAAGGCGCTTACGTTGATTCGTCTGCAAGTATCACCGTTCGTCCACACGTTTGTCGTTGATTCTCAGACCCCCGAGGCGGCCTGGAAGATCCTCAAAAGGGAATTTGAGGTGACCGGCGCCACATCCCGCATATTCCTCCGCCGGGAGTTATACACAACTCGCATGGCCGAAGATGACAACCTGGACACGCATGTCCAGAAGATGCGCACGATCTATAATAATCTGCGCATAGCCGGTGATAACATTCAAGACTCAGAGTTTGTAATGGCGTTACTTATCTCACTCCCCACCTCCTGGGATAGCTTCACCTCTACCATTGAACTCAAAGATCTCGACTCTACGGACACTGCTGTGAAGAGCGCTGCTGCTGATTACATCCTTAACAGGATTAAAGGCGAAGCCAATCGTCGTCAATCGCGCAATACAGAGCCGTCCAACTCCGCATTCAATTCCAAATCCGACCAACCAAACAAAGACAAACAGAAACCCGATCGATCCAACTCCGAGTGCCGCTACTGCCACAAGCATGGACATTGGGCCAAGGAGTGCCGGAAGCGGATAGCAGACGAGAAGAAGAAGAATTCGGCAAATGTCTCCTCTCAGGAGCAGGAGCCGAGCTTCTCCTTCGTCGCATCTGCCAATCCTGCTGTCCTGGCTGGTAGTCGATGGATTGGGGATACTGGTGCGGATGACCATGTTGTATCTGAGCGAGAAGCCTTCTTTGACTATGCAGAGACCCCTGGCCAGTTTGTGACTGGCGTAGGGGGAGCTAAGGTTCCCATCCGAGGACGCGGGACTGTTGCAACAGTAATGCATGCTGGGGACTCTTCACGGATTGTCACTCTCCACAACTGTCTACACATTCCATCATCCCAACCCAACCTCCTATCCCTTTCCCGTCTCGACGATGTCGGTGGTACCATGCAAACACAGTCCGGCCAGATCAAACTTCTCACGCGTGATCGCACACCACTCTGTGATGGCCGAATCCAAGACCACCTCTACCGTCTCGACATGCAGACTGTCGTGGCCGATGCCCCTTCCATACTAGCTGCGATTTCGGGTGATTCTTCGCCCAAAAGTCGTACCTGGGAGGAGTGGCATCGGGCCCTCGGACATCTTAACCCATCCTCGCTTAGGACGATGAGGGACATGGGAGTTGTTGAAGGCTTGGAGGTTACCCCCAATTCCACTCTGAATTTCACCTGTGAAGCCTGTATCCAAGCTAAGCAGACCTCGAGGCCTTTCCCCAAAGAGTCCAGAACTAAATATAAATCAGTCGGGGACTTAATCGTCACCGATGTCTGGGGTCCGGCTCAGGTTCTAGGCAAAGGCGGGTATCAGTACTTCATTTCATTCACCGATGTTGCCACCCGTTTTAGCGTCGTAGCATTCCTTCGTCAGAAATCCGAATCGGTTACTCAATATCGTCGATTTGCTGCTCGCATCCAGACTCAGTTCAATCGTAAAATCAAAGCCATCCGGTTTGATAGTGGCACCGAGTATCTCAACGATTCGATGAAGTCTTTTCTCGCTGAACAAGGAACTACGTACACGACAACCGCTCCCCATTCCTCCGCCCAAAATGGCATTGCCGAGCGTCTGAACCGCACCGTTCTAGATCACTCGCGTGCCATGTTGTTCGATTCCCAACTCCCTAAGTCCCTCTGGCCCTATGCCGTATCATATGCCACTTTCCTGAAAAACCGTACCCCGACGCGCGCGCTTGATGGCCGAACTCCATACGAGTCCTTCTTTGGAAAGAAGCCAAGTGTCGCAGGCGTTCAAATATTTGGGTGCGATGTTTGGGTCCTAGACCAATCTGGTAAGAATGGGAAGTTAGATCCCCGTTCTAACAAGTTCAGGTTCTTAGGCAACTCAGAGGAGACCACCGCCTACTGGTATTACAAGTCCAGCGGGGAGGTTGCGAAGTCGCGGAACGTCATTTTCCCTAACCCCACCCCTGAGAGTCCACCTTCCCTCCCTCTTCCACTGCCATCGCCTGAGGGGGAGATTGCTGAAAGTGGACAGGCGACGCAGGAAGAGGGGGAGCACGCTACCCACAATCCCATTTCCCTTCCCAAACACTCTGAACCTCCTTCCAATCAGTCCAACCACCCCATCCGCCCATACCACACACGCCGTACTCCTCTGAACGAGCCTTTCCTCAAGGTTGTCTCCGACCGTGGTGCTGTTCAATCAACGGTACAGTACTCCCATTGCGGGGACTGTGACCCTGTTGCTCTTGCAGCTTTCACAGACGAGAAACCCGAGGTCAAGGACGCTCTTCAAGGACCTCATGCTGAGCACTGGCGGGCCGCGATGGATGCCGAAGTCGCACAGTTACTAAACCTGGACACTTTCGAACCCGTACGTGCACCTGCGGATCGGAAAGTTATTGGATGTCGATGGGTTCTAGCTACGAAGAAGGATGCTGAGGGGGAGATTGTGAAGTTTAAGGCCCGGTTGGTTGCGCAGGGTTTCGCGCAGGTTCCGGGGATGGATTATGGTGAGACTTTCTCACCAGTGATGCGGACTGAGTCGTTCAGGCTCCTGCTGGCACTTGCTGTGCAGCTAGACCTGGAGATTCACCAGATGGATGTCGTAGGGGCGTATCTTAATGGGGAATTGGAGGAAGAAATCTATATGAAGCAGATACCATGGTATGAGGATGGGACGGATAAGGTCTTGAGGCTGAAGAAGACGCTCTATGGCCTGAAACAGGCAGGCCGAGTCTGGAATAGACGTTTGCACGCTGCTCTTGTCGATCTGGGCTACACTCGTTTGTTCACGGACTCATGTGTCTACGTTCGGCGCTTAGACGACCAAATCTCTATGATCGCGTTCCACGTTGACGACTCCGCGATTTTCGCCAATGACGCTCACATGGACCAAGTCAAGGATGAACTTAAGTCTAAGTTCGACACACGCGACCTTGGTGAGCTACATCATTTCATTGGGATTAAAGTAACGCAAGATCGTACACGCGAGTCCATCACCATCTCCCAATCATCCTATACCCACGAAGTCCTCGAACGGGCTGGGATGGCCGACTGCAACGTCGAAGACCTACCCATGTCGCCCAAGAGGAAGCTTTCCCCATTCCCTGGCCCCCGTCCAAACTACCCTTACCTCACTATGGTCGGATCACTTATGTGGTTGGCTATTAACACCCGTCCCGACATCGCATTCGCCACTCAACATCTTGCCCAATTCAACACGACATACGGACCCGATCATGTTCATGGTGTCAAGCGTGTCTTACGTTACCTTAAAGGCACTGTCAATCGCGGGATCGTGTATAGGAAATCTGACTCTGGTTTCGCTGCCGAAGGTTTTGCTGATGCTGACTATGCAGAAGACTTCGATCGCCATTCCATTACCGGGGCCGTGTTTGTCATGTCTGGTGGACCGATTGCGTGGACGTCGAAGAAGCAGGGCACTATCGCCCTTTCTACGTTGGAGGCCGAATATGCTGCTATCAGCCACGCTGTTCGGCACATACTTTGGCATAATATGCTTATGGCGGAACTAGGTTTTGAGGCCCCGCGTCCATTCAGACTTAACAGCGATAATCGAGGAGCGATAGCGTTGTCGCGCGACCCTCAGTTCCATGGCCGCAGTAAGCATATCGATATCCGTCATCATTTTATTCGCGACCACGTCGAACGTGGAAATATTTCTATTTTTCACATCCGTTCTGAAGATAACTTGGCTGACATTTTTACTAAGCCGCTTCCAAACCCCGTTTTCACCAAATTTGTTTCTTCACTAACGGACGACGTCATGACTTGAGGGGGAGTGTTGTTTGAGCAAGACATGACGACGCGCCGGTACGCATATCATGCCCATATCGGCTATCCGATATGATACCCTTTTACCATGTGTTTCGTGTTTCACTGTTGATTGCTTTCCACATGTAGCGCTGTCGCGTATCTCACTTTCTTATTACTTTTGTCTGATATTCGTGTTATTACTTTAACTACTTATACCGCTGTGCGGTTACAATATCAAGTTGGTTGTTCCCCGTTATCCGAGTGTCCCCGCTGAGAGCTACATAACAACACCTAGGCTATACTCCTGACGACATACAGCACTCTGATGTGGTGCATATTTCGCCGCAGGGCATGACGTTCGGCATTGGGGATCCAGGAACATGCACATCGCATTATACAGCGCTCTGATGTGACGCATATTTGGCGGGGCATGGCCTGGCACAGAGGCATACGGCATACAGCACTCTGATATGGTGCATATTTAGGCACGGGATGATCTCTGGGGAGGGGGAAAGCAGGAGGAGAAAGAGAAAGAGAAGATACAGCCGGAAACGCATTTCGATTGGCCGGCATATTTAAAAAAAGGGGAACATATGATACAGCCGAAAACGCATTTTTGTCGGTCGGCATATTTGGAAGGCATGAAGGAATAGGGGCATAGGGAGGCATAGGCATAGAGTATACAGCCGAAAATCGGTCGGCATATTTGGGAGACATAGAGGAATGCATAGGGGCATAGGGGCATAGGGGCATAGAGGCATAGAGGCATAGAGGCATGGAGTATACAGCCGAAAACGCATTTTGTCGTTCGGCATATTTGGAAGACATAGAGGAATGCATAGGGTATACAGCCGAAAATGCGTTTCCATCGGTCGGCATATTTTCAAGTAGAGGAGAGAAAGTAGGAGCCAGTGAGGAAGCGGGAGAGAGTGGCCACTGAACGCAGTGGGGCCATCCATTTCGGGAGAGAGATAAGGGAATGGGAACGTGAGAGTAGTCAGGATGCTAGCGGGAGAGATAAATGAGTGACAAGGTCAGTGTAGAACAGAAACTTATAGCGGAAGAGAGTGGCCGCTGAACACAGTGGGGCCATCTATTTCGAGAGAGATATTAGGGAGTGGGAAGGCGAGAATGTCAGGATGCTTATAGCGGGAGAGATAAACGAGTGACAAGGTCAGAGTAAAAAAGAAACTTATAACGGAAGAGAGTGGCCGCTGAACACAGTGGGGCCGTCTATTTCGGGAGAGAGATCAGGGAGTGGCCAAGTGGGGACAGTTAGGCCGGGTATATTCCATAGGAGGGGTATATTCTACATGGAGGGTATCCACGCAGAGGGGTATATTCCATAGGAAGGGTATATTTCGTGCGGAGGGCATCCACACAAAGGGGTATATTCCATGGGAGGGGTATATTCCACGTGGAGGGCATCCATGCAGAGGGGTATATTCCATGGGAGGGCTGTGATTCCCTGGGGGGAAAGAGGAGGTCCCTCTCAAGGACTCCTCAATTTATGCACGAAACCAGGCATATTCTGTTTGTTTTTGTTTGTTGTTTCAGAGCACACGAAAGCTGCCATGAAGTAAACAAAGGACAGGATTTTCATGACAAATGTGACTGAGACACAGATGCCGAGACCAAAAATCCAGTCCAGCTGACTTTGAATGTATTCCTCGGTGAAATCCCACACTTCTCCTTTAGACAGTATGTTTTGCTTTTGAATTTATTTTCCATCCCCACCATTCTGATGATGACAAATGCATAGAAGACAGCATTACAGAGTCTCGAACCGGATGCTGGACGTGCTCATTGTTTTGACAACATGCTATTTAACTCCGCTTCAGATCTTTTACTTCCGCATGAAACAGAAACGGCTCAGTCCAGCAAAATATGCCTGTATTCCAACAGGCGAGTAGTGCGATGTAGCCTGCTGAATTGATTACCTTGATTTTTCGTTGGGCCTAAAGGCGGCCCGAATTCACAAAGAGGAGAGTGGGAAGGAATGTACAAAGTTCATTACTGGGCTCCCATATTAGAGATCGGTCGATTTACATGCACCACCCAACCATGATTACACTCATGATCCATTCAAATTTATGGGTCTCGGTTTTCGATCAGATCATACCATTTGGTTCCCCTGTGCGCGATGTGATGGCTAGAGTTCACTTAGGTGCGCGTCCGGTCACCCATTCACGGGCGCATTGGATGTGTTGGAAGGAATCATAATGCGTAACACAGTCTGGGCGACATTCGTGGGACAGCAAACTAAATCGGGAGTGACAAGTCGGATTCTGATTAGGTAGGCCGGGGACCACGTGAGGTTCTGGTTGCGGGGTCACGATGTCGTTTAGGTGGTATGCGTATGAACGCTCAATCCTTTCTCTGCTCCATTCTTCGTGCGACACTGTTGTCCCCAGGCCTCTGCACACTCTCCTGTTCACACGTGCCAGTCTTTGCACTGAATCTCTCAGTTAGATCCTCATATTGAGAGGCCAGATCAACTTTTCGGTTCTGCCTGTCGCTGCTGAACTGTCGGATATCGACCGCCAACTCTCAATCGCTTGTAAACCACTCTCACGGCTCAGCCTGTGGCCTTTGAGTCTCACGGTGGGATCGGCTTGTCCTTGTGCTTTCATGGTCTCCACAGCGTCACTATTTGCACCCGTGGTCCTTATCAAACTGCCCGTACAAAACTCCCATATCTCATCTCATTTCAAACTCCGAGGGTTCCTTATTCCTCCTCACGATATTCCCGCAATTTTTGCGAGAGCTAGAGACGCGACGAATTCCACCCTTAGGCAACTCAAAGCCCTCAACAAAGCCGCCCCATCGATATTACCTCAGAGATGTCCTTGGTGAACAGAGCATACGTGGGTGGGTCAGACCTTGTAAGAAAATAGAGTCATGGGATAAATAATTGGCCGAATTCGTTAATATTATTTCCAATCGCCACTATTATTGGTGGCGGACCTCAGCCTAGCGTTGCATGAACGACGTTCTCGAAGCCAGCTCAGTTTGATATAGTCATACCCTCGCTGCAAGTGACACGCGATTGGTGATTTGTTTAGCCTCCAAGAGATGTCGGAAGTGGCAAAATAGTAAATTGTACAAATATACGGTGAACCAATTCAAACCCCAGATCATTGAGTGGAAACGTAATTAGAAAGAAACCAAGAACAAGGATCAAACTTTCGAGCTTGCTGTACTCGTCCTGGGGCTCTGCATCGACAATAGGCCAGCACCTTCAAGCGCCTCTCGGATTTTCAGGTCAGGATTGGGGGACCACTTGGAGCGTGCACGAATTTGCGGCCCACTAGTAAAAAACGAGCAGTGAGTATCAGCTACTCGGTGTCCATCGAGATTTGGCGTTAGTTCACATGACTCACTATTTGAGGAAGAGCCACGGAATTGGCGCGAGGAGGAGGGAGAAACAGCCAAGAAGCGTACATGACCACTGAATTCCCATGTGGTGAACCATCTGGGGTGTGAAGAGGGGAAACCTTTTTTCAATACGTGATGTTAATTTTATCCTTCCGATCAAGGGAAAACAACGTACGCAAATGCAGTCATAGCACGGAAAAATGCATTCGCACCCAACGCAGACGCCGCGTAAATGAGGTAGGTATCTGAAAAACCATCTCCCATGAGAAAGACGGGAATTTGATCTCAACTTGAATGGGCACTCGCCAATAATGTAACCCAATAAGCTGACGAAACTCAAGTTGATCGCCATCCCAATAGGGATCGTCGACAGAGCTGGAACATACCACGGGATGGAGGAGTACTCTCCTGTCCATCCCAACCAAAAGATTCCAATAACCAACAAAGGTCCGCCGATAATTGCAGCGTCAAGACGTTCCTCTGGTGGAGGGAAGCCTTGCCATAAGGGCGCGAGATGAACAAATTTCCTTTGCAAAGGTACGTTAATGAAGCCACCGAGACTGGCGAAAGCCAGTGGTTAGCGTGGTCCTTGGCACCGCCCAAAGATTAGAAGCCCTACGTGGTGCCTATCCCTATACCAAGGAAGATAAGTCCTGTGTTCCCGATATCGAACCCGCGACGTTCTCCCCAAATGATTGGGAACAGCTCGAATAACCCAAACAGAATTCCTAGAGTCAAATTGAAATTTGGCGCCCGCGTGTGACATGACGGAGGGAAAGAAACACGTACCATAGATCAAGCTCGAGTAAAGTGTAAGCAGGATCAAGATAGGCTCCAAAGCCATGATGACGAAAGGGCGAATAATTGCCTACGAACCAACCATGTGAGGCATAATATTCAACCAGACACAACAGAGGGCTGTACACGCTGGGCGATACCCCGGAAACTCCAATCAGCCCCTTCATGAGCGGTATACAAGTCCTTATTCTTTACCGGATCCCTAGTTGATGAGAAAGTTTTGTTACGATGATTGAGGTTGAAAGATCGGGTTTGCTCACTCCTTTCGTAATCTTCGAGCCTGAAACAGGATCAGCGTTGCAACACGTAAAGGATTTAGGCAGTTCGACGTACTTTTCGAGTGAGAAGGACAGGTGCGAATGTCTCCGGAAGAAAAGCGGTGCATAAAACCCAGCAGACAAAGGAAAATCCAAACAGGCACCAAAACTGATATCAATCTTCAGCTTTCAAAATTACATTTCAGCCTGAGACATTGCTTACCAACCAACGCCACCCTTGATGCCCGCTCTGGACCAGGTAGCCCCCAATCACAGGACCAAGCACGGACCCAACGAATACAGACGTTGCGTAAATACCTACTCCTTTTCCTCTTTCCACGGGCCCCCACAAGTCACTCACGACACCTCCTCCATTGGACAATGGGGCAGCGGCAAATAGCCCACTCAAAAATCGGGTAATGAAGAGCGTTGCGGTATTGTCAGCCAATGCTTGACCTGTTAGAGCACACCACATCATAAACATACAAATCATGGCCTGTAATTCGCTTACCGATGATGAATAGGGTAAAGCCAGAGAAGGAGATGATGAAAACAATCCGACGTCCATACATCTCTGAAGTCGTTCCCCAAATGATGGGTCCGATGGCAAAGCCAAGAAGAAAGAGGGATGTGATCAACTGACTGGCCACGAGGCTGATTCCAAATCGTCTGGAGAGAGAAAAAACTGAAGCTGCTGGTGCAGACGAGCAGAGCGTCCTGTTGATTGTTTTTCGCATTGAACCGCTGGCTTCAGTTTAGTAACATTCCTTCACTCACACGTTGATAGTAAGTAGGCCAGTGAGTGCCGTCAAGAACTGTTTATATCTCGGGTTCCAATTCTTGGGATTCGCAGGATCTGGATGTAACGAAGGTTATGAAGCACGTCATTTTAAATATCAATGTCCTCCTTGCCATTGGGGCCGTCCCAGTTGACGAGATTGGAGTCCTCTTCATCAATATGTTCATCCATGGTGGTGGCTATTCTTGAAAGTGCCACTGAGACCACCGACCTTGCATTGCTTGTTGTCCTGCTCAGAGTCCTTCCCGTCTCGGAGGAGTATCTCCGTATGACAACGGGCGTCCGCTTTGGGGTCGGATGGCCCCACTTTTCCTGGTAGTCTTCTGGAATGCTGTCAAGGTTCGACATCCTGGGCCAAACGTTCAACAACCGGAAGGAGCAGAAGAACCGTTCGTGGATGAGGGGTGCCTTTGGTGCCTTGGAGGGTAACGCTTATGAACCTCTAGGGGACGCTAGGTCCGGTAGGCCTGCCTTATGGTGGTGTTTAATTCCGATTCTAGAGACCGAGCCATGTAACTACCCCAGGCCATCGAATACGTTGAGACAGTCGGTGGCGGCTTGCGAGAGTATGCAAGATAGTATGTCTTTGGGATGTGAGGTGGCTGTCAGCCGCAAGCCATCGCCAAACTTGGTTCCCACACATGAATTGCGTGGCCAACGGCATGCACAAAATAACAAAAGCTTCCAGTGCCTAGTTCGCCTTTGGGTTTCACTAATACAGCTCTTCCTGTAAGTACACAACTGAGGTCGGTATACAGAGGCACGGTTTCCTCCGCAGCGTGAGCTTAACTCGTATTCGCCGATCTTAACGCAAATCCATTATTGTGTGTGTAAGCCAAGCAGTTCTTCTGGTTTCATCCTAATGAATCAAAGGGACTCCCAGCGAACTGAAATTAAATCAGTGGCGCACAATATTCACGCAGGAAGCGGCTCCCAGAGCTGCGGAGGACAGGTTAGAACCGGTCGGGTCACCGTCTGGACTCCGCAAGCAGCACCCGGAGTGACCACCAATTGCATGACTTGAGCACCGCCACGTTGAGGCTGCAGAGAGCCATCAGGCTGTAATGAAGTAACCCCCGACATGCACAAATGCCCGCTCCCGAATCTACAAACTCAGGGTATCCGGGAACGGGAAATGAACTCAAACGTCGGCGCCTTCAAAGATTTGTTGACATTAAAACCACAAGCCACAAAATATCAGTTGAGATTATTTCCCCACAAGAGATGATATTGCGAAGTGAGTATAACATCATATTAATATTATAGCCACGCGATTCGCAGCTGCCATACGCTTGGCGGAAAAGAGGTGCAAGCATCAAAAGGGACAACCAAATGGATGCGCAAGTTCCCACCCATCTTTCCCATGTCCATTCCCATTTCCCACTTGTGTCAAGGTACACTTTATCGCCTGTCGTGGAATACAATGCTGTATCAGGATTGTCGAGCTTGTGCCCTTTTCGGTGGCCAGAGGTCTACGAGCCGTTGAACGGATAGGAGTCCATGTCAAGAAGTGAGAATTCGGCGGTATGATGGATGATAGTTTAATTGTCCAAGAGGTTTGGGAAATACATTAGGGGCGTAATATCGCATGAGAGGGGCTGGGGATTAGAGACCTAACCAAACAGTAGGAATAGTTGGGAAAGCTCCATACCTAGCCCGTTCGCGTCGGCCTTAATTATTGGAAGTTGTTGCTGTGTCATCCTTTCCTTTCTCCTCACCTAAGCGAGGGGCAATGGTCAGATTTGTATGCAAAGCACGGTTTGGGAAATGATGGTGTGAAGGAGATTCGAGCAGCGGGGGAGAAACCATGAAATCCATTGGGCAGATCGTCACATCAAATCTCAACTGGATGACAAGGCGTCTACATGGATGTCGTCCTGGTCTATTAGCCCAAAAAGAGCGTACGTGTACCAACCTCCGTCCGCATCCATTGGCTCGCCAGCAGGCTCAACCTTCGCCCGCAGCTTGGCAGATAGACGTGCAAGTCGAGCTGCTTCGTGAATTGCGAAGGGGCTGTTTGGCTGGTCGCGCTTCTCCTTGCGGTAGTGACGCTTAGATTTCGAGCGAAGGCTCTTGGCCATTTTGCTTAAGAATAAGAACAACCGGGGAGGTAGCGAGGATAAAATGAAATCTTGCTCTAAGCGGTGCAGACGTGTGGGGTTGTCAAACTGACAAAAGCGAAATCTTGTGGCCCGGAAGCAATCGCCCAGCTGCCCTCCTCCGAGTCATCTGAAGCGCCAGGCGCCAACGCTCGAATTGAGCCTGTTGGGTATTCTGACAAATCTCCAACACAAAGTGAATTATTCTATTCTGTACAAGGTGTGACTCTTTGACGTTCAATCCTCTTGATGCTAAAGGCTTTCACACTAAAGGTTTTGCACATGCATGTGTTTCAGCCGAACTTGTGTAGAATAAACTGGTGATCTGCGAGGAGGTTGGACCCTGACTGGCTGAATCATTCTGGGGACGACGAATCGATGAGAGGCTTGTGTGAATATTTGCTATATTCAGGTCGATCCAAGGAGTTTAGTGCGACTTTGATATCTGTTTGAATATCCTCGATGAGGCTCTCTGGTACGAAAAAGCTATGTCATGAAAGAGGGCGTTATAGTCGTGATCCAATCAGTCATACCGCGAGATGTATAATCCAACTCTGGTCGGATATATCCCAAAACCACAACCGCGAGGTAGTGACCATAAAAATCTGTCGGATATTTATGGATTATGTGGACTTCCTGCTCGTGTTTTCAAGGAGACCTTATCAGCGGGAGTGACATGCTGTCCGCAAGCACGTACTCACGGCGGACGTCTTCTTGTTCCCATAGTACGGGTTCCGTCCCAAACTCATAACCATTGGGAGTACCTTGAGGTCCTCTTCTCCTAACGAGCCTTTCTGCTCTGGTCCCTGATGCTGATTTGATACTTGAGCATATCCATAATATATTCCGGCCTCTGTAGCAGACGTAATAGGCTCTAATGCATCGTCCGGAAGGTTTGCTGGGAATCACACACGAGCTGTGCGGTGACCAACTGCACCTCTAAGCTTCAAATCCAGGCAACGCACCTGTATGACATCCCAAGTCTCTTCCGCCTCTACCGAAGCCGCGTTGTATATATCCTTGGAGACGAATCGGGAAAGGTGGTTTTGGCACGTCAGGGCCAACGATTGGCGGACGTGAAGCTCGAAAGGTAGCTGTGCTAATCATCGCTGGCGGCGACCTAGGGGTGGTTATGTCCCCTGTGGACGCTTCACCAGGATGGTCATCATGTTGTTGACTCATTGTGGATGGCAATCGATTGTGGACTTGTGTGAGCGGATAACAGAGTTAGCGTGGCGACGACCCCGACAAAACGTCGAAGCCTCTTGATTACACGCAAGCCGGTAAATACAACAAGGAGGTGACGGGGCAGGTGGAGGGTAACGATGAAAACAGCCCCGAGGGCTATACCGGACCCCCCCGTTGACGGGGCCGGGAGTCCCACACACGTGGGTAATGCATTTCCTCAGAATAACCTCACGGGAATATCCATTTCCCAATACAAGCCCCAAATATAGAAATGTATCGCGAAAGCTACTTGGGGATTTCACTAAAAAAAAAAGAAAAAGAAAAACAGCACCGAGTAACAACAGACAGGTTACAAACAAAAGGTATAAGCCGAGAAATGAAATATCCAACGCGAACATTCGGGTTCCTACTCGCCGAGGATAACCGAAGACCCTCATCCTAAGCAAAACCGAATATTCAATACCCGACTAGGCTGTCCTAAAACCAAACTGATAGGAAGTTAATGTCAATTAGACCTTAGCAAAAGGGGAAGACAACTCCAGCGTGCGCAGACGCAATTAAGGATCTAAAGCGTACAGCGGACGAGATCAAATAAAAAGAACCAGTACCGATTGAGAAAAGTGAGTAAATAACGAAGAAACTCAAGTGCATACCAGAACTACAAGAAACTGAACATCGTGGATGATCAGTGTAAAGGCACGATGCAATAGATATCGCGTACAGAAAAGGGCTTGGCCTAGCAAAGGGCACGGCGGATGCTCAAGGGAGAACACAGGTGCTGAAGTTGGCGCACACGTTTAATCCATTAAATTCAAAACACTTTCATTCGCATGATATGAGCACAGTAGGATACAACGAGGGTTCTTTCAAGCACTCCTAATTGATAGCAAGTCCGTTTATTTGCATCTCTGCATCACTATTGACGCACCATGTTCCTAAGGAGGTTCCCACGATGGTCAAACGTACTCATTTCCAGCAGCAAGAGTCGTACTCACTTGCCATTCCTCCGCACTGACCCATAGTTGGTGGAAAGTCCCCAAACTTGCAAGAATACTGCCTCCCAGCCATCCGGCATATTTGCGTTCCGTAGGGTTTCCCGGAGCGTGCATTTTTATTTTTTGCTGGGTATGATGGTCAAAGTATCAGTTATTCAGAGCGCTGCGTAATCTGGTTCGAAAGACTCACGGCAGGGAAGAGTTGCTGCAGCTCGTTGAAAATCCTGTCGCTCATCCCCTGCATCATCGAGCCCGCACCGGTCAGGACTACGTGATTGAGAAGCGCGGCGCGCAAGTCGGGTTCGACGCTCTGCATTGTTGTCGTGATCATCTCAGGGATCGTTGGCGCCCGGGGGACATTGGGATTCTATGGAGTTTGTTCTCTCAGCAAGACTCTAGCTGCCTTTGGACATCAGGACACGAACAGTCTGAGCTGGCGGTTTGAAATACATTTCCCCAGGAATAAATCGATCTTGCGCAAACATAGCATTATACCCAGTGGGGAATTCATAATGGCGGGGGGGTCTTGCGTGGGCAGCCCTAATATCGAGGACGTTTGAATGTTACACCAATAGGAAGGACTTTGTGGAACATACACTTCGGTCCACCCACTTTCAATTACAGCATTAGCGGCCGCAATCCACTCCTCAGCCTCGCGGGCTTCAGCCCATTGTCTCCAGCTTTCCGTGGCTTGCGATATCCTATCTTCACGGAAAATGGCTTGATGAGGTCGTCCTATCTCAACTGCCTGGAGATGTCCCATCAGGAGGAAGGAGAATTACAGCCTTTATATGATCCTTACTTTCTTGGAGGCGATGAGTTGATAAGGAAGAAGTTGGATCGGGGGTCGTGGATATATTGGATGATTGCTAGGGGTGGTGAGGATTCTAAATGCTGTTGACTGTACTTGAGGAGGGAGGGCGGAGCATGACATTCCTAACGGACGATAAATAATGAAATGTCCATGAAAATGGAGTGGGAAAGAATGGTACCTTTCCTCAAGACGAAGCCATCAGAAATGGGGGTAACGCTGACCATGCTCTTTCCAACATCAATGACCAAAGACGTCCCCTTTCCTGACGCGAATCTACCATTTATAACTAGGGGGCCCTACATGTCAAGGCAAACGTGGTGGAACTCACGAACTCAGCACTGCATTATTGGCGATGTAGAATGCAGGGACTTTGAATTCTTCGAACAAAATTTCTGCCATCCTCTGGCGATTCTCTGGAGTATTCCAAGGCGCCTCAGTCACCATAACAGGATGCTCGGCCGGGCTACAATCCATTTTGGTTACAAACGCATGCGAGATGATGGAGGGAACCGCAGTGAAATCCTTAACTGAACCATATCAGTAAAAAATAATCCCAAAATATTGCATACAACGTACTTATACCATCCTTCATCGGATTTGCAACCTCCATGTTGGCTCTCCACTCAGTGACATGATCCCCAATGAACAAACGTGCGTTGGACGGTGCACCAGGGTCAGCCAGAGGCTCCGATTCTTTCACGTATCCGTATGTAGTGGAAAACACGGTTCTAGGGGTGTCATCGCCTGCATAACCAGCACGCGTCGTGGAGGTACCAATATCGAGAACAAGCGCGGAAACCTCATCTATCCAACCGCTGGTATCAGCTCATATCATAGACGTAGGGCCGAAGACTTGCCTCCCCCGTAAGTCATGCTATGCCCAAAGTCTTAACTGAGGCTGATGACCGGTCTATGCTCGAGGAATACTAGGAATCGGACGTCGCTATTCAACAAGCTTTTGAAGTTCGGTAGACGCCGCACGTACAAAAACTGAATTGATATGCTCAAATCTGTAGGGTGGTCGACGAGCTCGACTGTCCGATATGTTAGGCAGTTTCGATACTTCCATGTGGAACCCTCGATAGCGCTGGGACACCCTGATGCCATTCAAAACAATGTTGACATCAAAGAACCCGGAACAATGCCCGTGGCATCCACGAGTCGGGAACATGTCGATCTTCTGCGAAGGCTTGTGGAAGTTCTCAACAAATCTAGGGCAGCTGCCCCGCCTGCATTTACATGGAAACTCTTTCTGGATGTTGTCAATTCATGGTCTATTCCAAAGGACTCTATAACACTACCAATATATCAAAGAGCCCTGCGGCGATGTTTACCATACGCTTTTGCCGTCCGTGGGCACGCATGGAAGAAAACGCCAAAATGGAAGAGAGCCTCAGTGCTTTCCGCGTTACACCCCCACTCTGACAAGATACGAGTTATTCTGGAGAGTTCTCGAGCATCTGGGGTGAAATTGCAAGCCGAGGATTACAACTTCATTCTCAGCCATTATGCAGCCGTCGGTAACGCTCAAGGCGCATTAGATGTCATCCAAGAAATGAGGAATAGTGGATTATCACCGAATGAGACCTCATTCGTACGTGTCCTGCAGGCGCTGTCGAGAAAGCTGCACTCAGTTGATACATTGCCACGCGAGGAGAAGGAGGAAATGTATCACCTTGCGGCACAGTCTTGTCGCGGCATTATGAGCACTATGAAACAATGTGGATTCCCATCAGCCCCCGTGCTGGACTTAGTGACGCGTATCTTGGGGACTACGGGATCGCTGGAGACTTACGAAGAATTGTTGAAATCCGTTTATGGCGTCGATTTGGCCCAGCCAGATACTGTTCCCACAGATTTCCTACATCAATTTCAATACTCTGTAGAAGACGCCCGACGGACCAATCATCCCATCCCCTCATTGCCCTCCATATCCACTCAGACCCTTAACACTGTCATCAAACTCACTGGGGAGCATGGCGTAAGGGCCGCCATTCCTGCAGTTCGAAACCAATCCTACACGAAAATGATTGCAGCATTTGAATGCCTCACTGCACCCCTCCCATCGATGCGGAATCCTGACGAAGCCTTTGGCTACGATGTCGGGGATGACGATGAGCCATACGTTCCCACCCTGACCTTCCCAGACGGCACTATTTTCCCCGGACGGCTTTCCACCCCAGCCCCAAATTCCCAGACATTCGACTTTCTCCTCACTTACTTATGCCAGGCAGACTACAAGATACTTGCCAAACATTATCTCAAAGTCACATATGAACAAGAACGAACGCAATCCCGTAGCTTCCGCGAAACTATCGGAAAATTACTACATCCATTCAGAACCGAGAACCCTAAGCCCCTCACAGAATCCGATTTCGCTACGTTAGTTCAACAGCATGTATTATCACCTCGGATCCAAACGAACCGGCACATGTTCAAAGTCATGGTTCATATGGCGAAACGGAAGGGTGACCTCCAGATGCTAATGTGGATTTTAAATCTGGAACGGTCATCGGTGATCCATAAAGAGCAATCGCTCAAAGCGTTGGTCAAGATGGCCACCTGGATTAAGGATAGCGGCAAAATGTTCGGCACGACGAATTCGGGTTTAGGGGTTGCAGGTAATGGCTGTCAAACCGATTGGGGTATTTTATCCTGATGCTTAGCTCTAACAGAACCCGGGAGTTCTCCACTTATTCATGCAGCAGACAAGCACATTCGGTCATTAAGGAGGAACATCGTTGCCCTAACTGAGCATTTGGAGAGCTTAGGGCATTCCATGGTTGTCACAATACCAAGTCCAGCGACTAAAACCGATGGATCAGCGGTTCGAAAAGTGTGGATGATAGAGAGGAGGCGGAAACGTAAAAAAGTTAAGAAACGTAGAAGTCCCGCACCGGCGCCCGCACCCGTTCCACACACTGTTCTCCTTGAAACCAAGTCATCCAAAAATCGATAACGATCGATGTGGATTATTGGCTCTGGTGCTTCACGTCATATAAGATATAGATCATATTATTCACCAGCAACGATTTTATAATAATAATCGGCTCATCTGACAGTCCTTCAAGATGCAGGTTTTGGGCAGTGAATTTGGTTTTGCTCAGACAATACATACCCGATGTACAAACTCGATATCAATGCGGATGCGAGCTTGCGAGGTTTTTGTTGGGGTTCGATTCCTTCCTACCGTGGGAATCCGCATGGCCACCCCGTAGGAAATGACCAGCAAATCTACCTCTCCGTGCGCTGCTTGTTGGGGATAGTTAGTAAATTTATATGAAAATAAGAATTATTAGGTACTGCAAGCTCGGCCATCGATCCAGTTTGAGGGGAACCCTCATAACAGAAGTACGTAGCTTGGCCAGTTCCTAGTTCATGCATAACTAACCAGATCTCGTGGTAGTGATTGGTAGATAAGCTGGACACACGTGGAATATACTATGGGGTGTCTGTACAGCGTTCAACAGTGTTGTTATGTAGCACTCAGCGGGGACACTCGGATAACGGGGGACAACAACCAAATTGTCATTGTAACCGCACGGCGATATAAGTAGCTAAGATAATAACAGATTATCAGACAAAAGTAAAAAAGGAATGAGATACGCGTAAGCGCTACATGTGGAACGCAGTTCAACAGTGAAACACGTAGCACATGGTCAAGGGGTATCATATCATAGCCGATATATATAGGCATGATATGCGTACCGGCGCGTCGTCATGTCTTGCTCAAACAACAACAGTTTGTGTCGGAACCGTGGCGGGATTGGGAGGTCTTGGCAAGAGTCAATGATGTCATGTCAGCGGGAGGCGTGGGATTTTGGCCCGTTCGATGAATTTCATATGTGCAGGTAACTGCCGCGAGTGAGCCATCACAAAGAGTTGGAGTCATTTGGACATCTCCAGGCAACTATGGGCGCGCTCGACACCGACGTGAATGAAGCTCCTACCAATGTCATCCAAATTGACGCGAACCGATATGAGTCTGCACCAATTGTCTCTGTAACAGTGTACGTCGCAGACCGTGCAACGGTCACTAGGCGAATACCAGTGGAATTGAAGGTGAGGATGTGCCCTCCTATTTTTAGTTTCTTCATATTGGGGTGACTTGCGTCGGGCGCGCGTATTTTCCTTTAGGCAGGAAAGAACGAAGTCACTGTCAATAAACTTCCGACTATCCTTGAACCTGAGTCCATCCGCGTAGAAACAGAGTCGACGATTCGCGATCAGGATCTCGTTGTGTTCGACGTGTATCACTCGAACGCTGCCTCCAGGAGTAAAAAGCATGATGGCGATACCCTTTTGTTGGCGCTTCGGGATCGCCAGGCCACTCTCAAGGCAAAACTTACCGCGCTGAACAAGCAGTCTGAGGTTCTGCAGAAGTTTGGTGCGGGCCTTTCTGGCTCCGATACCAGGCCCGAGGACCTGGGAAAATTCCTGGATATGCAGTTTCGCGTCGAGGAGAAACTATTTACTGACGTCCAAAGCACGAATAAAGAACTATCTGCTGTGCAGAAGGACATAGATAAGGCAACGAGGGCATCTCAATCCGCACACGAGGAAAAGAAGGCTATCGGCGTCACAGCCATTATTTTAGCGGGTACGGAAGGGCCCGCGGAGGTGATATTGACGTACAGTGAGCGCTGGTCCTTTTCATGTCAGCTTGCTGTCACAGCTCACATATTCTCAGTGGTATCCAGTGCATCTTGGAAAGCACTGTACGACGTTCGCGCAGATATTGAGGCGTCTCTTGGCCAGTCCAAATCAGTGGATGCATTCAATACGAAGGTCATCCTTGAGTATCGAGCCTCAATTGTTCAGAGTACCGGAGAAGATTGGAAAGGCGTGGCTCTTACCCTCAGCACAGCATCACCGAATGTTGGGAGCGATATTCCTGAATTAAGCCCGTGGAATATTGGTCAACCACATACTTTGAGAACGCGTTCCGTCACGAAGTCCCGGGGACTCTCCCTCCGGGCGTCCTCGGGAATCGTGGCGGATTCCTTCTCGGCTCCAAAGTACAAGGCAAAGATCCAAATGGCGACTGTGACCGAAGGGGCAATCAGCTCGAGCTATGAGATCGCCGGGTTTTCCAATATTCCAAGTGATGAATCGGAGCACAAAGTGTCTGTTACGGTTCGTGCATTAGCCATATACTGGTTTTTGTGCTCATATCTTCCTTCGATCAAAGGCTGTCAATTTGGACGCAAAACTGACCTGGATAACGGCTCCTCGTTCAGTTCCGTCGGTATTCTTGCAATGCCGGATCAAGAACACCAGTAACTTCCTTTTGGTTGCAGGAAAGTACTTATTTACTTTATCGTTCCGTTCAACTCGCCTAACAGACTGACAGGCCAGTCGAGCGTATTCATGGACGGGAATTTCGTCGCTAAATCGAGCATTCCTGACGTCTCCCCTGCTGAATACTTCAACTGCTCCCTAGGTGTTGACCCTGCGGTCCGTATTACGTATCACCCTCGCCGACAACTGACTTCGCATCAAGAAAGTGGCTTCCTGTCCAAGGCGAAAATAGAGGCAACGACGTTCTCTCAACGTATATCAGTTAAAAACACTCGTCCTGGTCCTCTGGAATGTCTTGTTGTGCGGGATCAGATTCCCCTAAGTGCAGACGAGCGCATTAAGGTCAAAATCATCAACCCAAATGAAGAGGCTCTAGGTCCTTTCAATGGAATCGCTTCTACTTCAAAGAGCTTGGCCCCCGAGTCGGTGCCACGTGTGGCATCCATTTCACCTAATGTTACCGCAAGGTGGGCCCAAAAGGACACGGAGGATGATATCCTAGGAGAAGGAAAGGGGCCGAAGGGGGACGGCGTTCTTGAATGGATCTGTCTCAACGCGAAGGATAACCTCGACTTGGAATTAGTTTATGAGGTGTCCAATCCATCTGGCCTCAAATGGGAGTGATATATAGGAGGCTTGTTTGGATGTAAATTAGGTGCGATCGGTATCTCAATATTTAACCTGCCCCACAGAGAAGCCCCTAAAGCTAGTACCATTCAAGCTCAGCTGAACAACCACCAATAATGGACGTGAATAGAGAGTATGACTACTGAGACGACTTGGAATAGCGCACACAATAAACACTAGTTTGCCCAGACAGCCACATTTCCATCTGCTCCTGCGCTTACAAGCCATGGATGATCCCTCAACCATTCGATCTCCAGTACACCCAGGTGATCCGAAATCTTGTGGCCACTTAGGACTCGGAGTGGTACGATCAGCGGGTCGGTTGTGAGATCATTGTACACCCGACCGTGGAAGATTTGAATGGTCCCGTCATCAGAGGAGGATGCGAAGAGAGGGTATGAGGGGTGGAATTTAACGGAACGGATGGCCTTTGAATGAAACCTGCGCCGTAAAATGAATGCGTGTGTGATTCAAATGACATGCATAAAATAATGGAAAAATGTACTTCAGGATTTTATATGGTTTTTCACCCAGCTCAAGGTCAAACCAAGCAAGTTTGGAATCGTAACTACCCACGATTAGATGATCGCCTGAAGGGTGCACATCCATGCTCGATATCCAGCGCATGGTACTTGAGAGTGTTCTGAGAAGCTTCTGGGCCACGAGATCATATAATCGGATGTATCGCTGAGTCTAGATAGGGTTTACGGTAAGATTGGGAGTCAAAACGCTTTTTTTTTGGTCAAACTCACTGCGACGAAGAACTGTGGACGAATGGGGTGAAAGAGAACCTTTTGGACTACGCCTTTCACCCTTCTAAATGGTGCTTGCGAGTGCCGCTTGCTGATCTGGTGGATCCAAACAACGCCGGAAGCACCTGAGAACATACTCAACGCAATGCATTGAAATTTGGGGAGGAGGGACTCACTCGTTGAAGCGACATAGTCGCCCTTCCGGTGAAACGTGAGTTGTTTGACAAGCCCTGAGGCGTGAGGCATCGTAATGGTCATTATGGGTTCATGGACTCCTTGTGAATACCCAGAATCGGACACTGTCCAGTGAAGGGATTCCTGTGCAGGGTGAGGCAGATTGGGAGGAGTAAGAACAGATAAGGTGGCTTGGGCTATTGCTGGAGGTTGATAAGGAGGCATGATGAAGTGGATAGCCTCGTCGCTTCAATAGCCAATCAGACGCGATGACGCGGAAAGCTGCAAAGGTGTACTCACATCCCGACCACCAGGAAACTAATACCATTCTGGGGACACCACGCAATTGATGCCACCCGCGACCCAAACTTGAAGCGAGCACCTTTATGCCCCACAACTGTTTCCCAAATTCTGACCTCGCCACGCTCATCCCCAGAAGCTACCCAGACACCATCAGGACTGATAGAAATACATCGAGCGCGACTCGAGTGGCTCGTCCTAAGCAATTCAAAGGTGGGGAATGGTTTAAGCTCTTGTGGGGATGGTAAATTAGGCAGTAACGATTTGGCCTCGATTTTCTTTTTTCTTCGCTTTCTTTGTACTCGGGGAGCCATGTATAGATCAAGTAAACGAGAAAATCGCTCCTGAAAGAATCTATCATAGCCTGGAACATGTCGAAGAGCGTCATACTTTTGTGGCAGGAAGTTGCGTCCTGAGTTGAGAGTCCCTGTTGCCTCCCATTTTGCCTTCTCCTCTGTAGAAGGCAAATACTCGGCGGGCGGGTTATACGATTCGGCATTGGTTGGAAGTGGCACTTTAGGTGCTGCGAGCGGTGGAGGCTGGTGACGTTTTGAATCGGACCAAATTTGGTAGAATTCTGGTTCCTTCGAGACGGGTTTATTGGGAACAATACGGCCTTCGCGAATGGCGCGAACAATTTTCATGACCTGATCCGACAGAGATCAGATATGATGGTGGCGCATTAGATCTCCAACTCACTTTTTGCTTTTCCCATTTACTTGGGAGCCATCTCCGTTTAGGTTCTGGACGTCTATTGACGGGCAGAACCATCTCTTTGCCCTTCCCAGAGTACCATTCCACCATAGGCTCGTAAGGATTATATCCAGCATCAGGATTTTCTCCCATTTGTAAGCGACGAATGATGTCCAACTCTTCCGTGGTGAGTTGAATGTCATTCTGTGTCGAACGGTCAAACCCAGCGGTCCTTGATACAAGGCATGAGAAAAGTACTTTAACCAGGGTTTTTTCAAAGCACTTACCAGCTAGTTGGATCCTCCACTGTGGACAAGAACTTATCCAGTTCATCTCCCTTGGCAGGCCGAAAGATTTTCTTCCCATCCAAGTCGTACCCAATGTGAGGCAAGTCGTCATACCAATGCATCGGGACGTTTCCTATCCGATTCGGATCCTGTGCAAACTTAGCATCAGCCAAACAAGGATTAGAGATGTCCCCAACTCACATCTTCGGTGGAAGAGTCTGAGTCGTATCCTGCTTCAATGTGAGGGTAGACGCGCTTCGGGCGGCCAGTGATATCTGAGACGATCGTTTTCCCTTTCGACCCCACTTCTACTTCATCCTCAGAATCACTGTCCTCGTCTTTCTCCTCCAATTCATTGGCAGAGTCTTCAATAAGAAAACTGGAAACGTCAGATTCCTCTTCGTCCCGCTTATCTTCATCTTCCTCGACATCCTCTTCACCTTCAGCATCGCTATCACTGTTATCCGAACCTTCAACTATTTGTGGAATCACCAGGTCGTCGTCGTCATCTTCTTTCCCATCATTGTTGAGGTCTCCTTCAACTTCATTGTGGCCCCCATTCCCTTCCTCATCGTCGCTTGGCGGCTTTATGTCAACCTTCTCCAGAGGAAAGGGGTCCTGAGGGGGCTTCGATACGAGAGCATCAGTCGCCCGTTTCCTTTTCGCGCCAGTGGAAGCGACCTTTGGCGCTTCACGCCTGGACATTATTCCAAATGTGCGAAATTTTGGTCCCGTCACACGGTGTGGGTGACGCCGACTCAATTACACCATCGTTGCCTCTATTGAGATAGACGTTGGTGCAGTCCTGGAGGCTCTAACAATCTCCAAACATTTCCAGAAAGGGTTACGGCTGAACAGGTTATCATTCCGTCCTTGCGTGTTCACTTCTGCTCGTCGCCAAATATCCTTTTCAAGTGCCCTTACTCACAATCACTCGATGAGTCGATCCGACAAGCACAGAGCCATTGAGCGCATGAGAGCAGTACTGAATGCCAACTCTGCCGGTGTGAATGACGACCCCACAAAAGCCGCCGTGAGCGCCGGCTGGGAACAGCTCTGGTAGCTCGCCCTCGACTTAGTGGTCATTGCGATGGCTAACGTCGATTGCTACGTTAGGAAAGAAGGCGATACACCTTGGAATGATGCAAGAATAACCAATTCTATCCAGTTAGCACTTGAGAAACTTCAGGTCCCGAGAACGGGTCACGTCCTGGTGCCCGGTTGTGGAAAGGTACCAGTTAACCCTCACATGTGAACATCATTATCGAGTGAGCCTCCAGGGCGATGATGTCATATACTTTGCAACCGAGGGTTTCAAAACTCTTGGGATAGACATATCGCACACTGCAATCGAGAAGGGAAAACGGTGAGTACCTGTGCAAGCTACACCTATCATCTCCGCATTTTTTTCCTAATTTTCCAATCGCCAAGGGAAGTGGAGTCCCGGAGTTTAAATCCGTCGAAGGTCGCGCTTGCCGTGGATAACTTCTTTGATTTAGAGTCCCCCGAAGGTGGCTACGACATAATATATGACTTCACGTACGACTTTCCACGCCCCTTTTTCCCAGTTCCAATGTTATTGACTTTGTTTAGATTTTTCTGCGCCCTCCCTCCAAGCACAAGACCAATGTGGGGGAGTGCAGTGAACCGCCTCATCCAACCAACTGGCGGATTATTGATTGCCACGGTTTGGCCAATCGATCGCGCACGTCCGACAGGTCGGTCTTGCTCCTGATGCCCATGTAGTAGCTTCCTCTCACGAAAATGCTTCCAGGACCTCCATACTCTGTGTCCGTTGATGACTACAGTAAATCACTCGGATCAGGCTGGAAAATTGTTCTGAATGAAGATCCGCCAAACCTGGACAATATCCATGCTGGTAGAACCAGGGTGGTAGTGTGGAAGAGTGAGAGATGATGACGTTCGCCTTTATTCTTTCGTTACACAAATGCGGCCTTGTTTTGGTGCGCTGCGTCCATGTCTCCTGCCATAGATACCCTCCTGGAAAGGAGGTGGATCATGTTGTACATCAGATGTGCCCATTCTTATGCTAGGTCCATCGATTGTGATTCATTCTCGGAACTCGCCTACCAATCACCTCTATCCCACCCTCACGGCGTTCTAGATGCCAACGACTCCGATCCGGAAGGCAACTAGGGGCCCACGATCGGCATCTCGCATCGTAAGTGTGGAAGGAAGGGCATATCATAACCATGATCGAACAAAGGATCACGGTGATTAATTGGGCCCATGCGCAGGTCAAGTATTCTCGCGATTGTCTCACCCTGCAGTCCTACTGTATCGTATCATGTAATATTGCATCAATGCCATGCATATATGGAACACATCCAGTGCCGACGAAAGGGCACATGGTCGTTGCAGGTTGAGCACGATTGGACATCCCCATTAGCGCATAGGGAGTACTCCAGCCCCTATGACTTCGTAATATCCCAACGTAACAGCTCGGATGACAAACCTCCCCCGCGTCCGAGGCAAAGAATTTCGCCAAAGGATCCGCTTCGTTCGCCAGGGGCACCTTCATCCTCTTCCAGCTACGATCCGCTCATGCTTCCCTACGTGCCTACCTTACTCGATGGGTGTCGACTCCTCCAACTGCCCCTCTGTGCGGGGCCTGAACCCGTCGAGCATCATCTCTTCCTGCCTTCGTTTCTCTTGGCACGGGCACCTAGTCCTGAAAAGGGCCATCCTGCTGGACTCTGCCAAGGATAGTTCTACCAAAACCTTCCACCTGACCCAGTTGCTGTCTCACCCAAAAATCATATCGTCCCGCTCACTATCCGCTTCATCCGCGATACCGGGCGCTTCCCCTTGTGTCCACCTCGACCGTGTGCATCTAGCTCCATTACTATCCTATAATACACGCCTCTCACTCTCGGACGACCCACGGTGACCCCACTCCGCGGGTGCCATGCACTCTTATGTGTTATTACTTTGCTTTCTCCATACCACCCAATACTCGATGCTTCAGACAACCAGCTTTTCCACCCCCATTACTTATGGTTGCATTTCTCACCCGTGTCAACATAGTGCGGCGTACGTATGCCGATAGTGCACACACACACGTACTTAAAGATGGAATCATTCATCATCATCCCCAACGCAACCCATCATGAATGGGCCAGAAATGAAATTTGGCCAACTCCGCTAGGATAAAGCTCAAGGCAAGACTGGTGGAACCTCGTTAGAGCCGATCAAATACACACATGACATTGAAAACAAAAATAAAAGGACACTTGGGAAGGGAACTGAACAGGAGGGAAAGACCTTCGGATCTCAATAGTATCCGGCCTTGCCAAAAGCACGTTTTTACCAAACATTGAAAAAAAAAAAACACTCTCTCCCATGAACCGCCCTGGCCTGCGGCTTGTTCTTGTGACGAAGCAGATCGTCAAACATTATGCCTTCTGCATGTGACCAAACCGACATCGCCTCGCACCGGACTGGTGATCCCATGGCCCCAATCAGCTTGATGGAAAAGCTGCACGGCCTATCCCTGAAGGACTCTGCGGGGCTCATCTGCGGACGCCGAGGGCATGATAAGATTGAGCCAATATACCTTATTTTGGCGTTCGGCCCGAGCCGTGTGGCGGTGGCTTGTGCACAGCCGGAAGCGCACTAAGTCGGGCAATCGGCATCATGGTCCCGGTCGTTTTGCGCCGATCCAATCATCAACGAACCATTCTACCCAATTCAGGAGTGTTGGGGGGGATCGCCGATGATCATTTCATTAGTGGTTTTGCCTAATCGACCCTAAGCTTCTGTTATATATATGAGCTGCGTGTCATGCAAGTGAACATTTAATTGTTGCCTCCCTCACTCTCCAAGTGGCTCGCCCCGCCCTTCACCTCGCTTGTCTGTCATGGTTCGCATCATAAAGGGCGCCCTGGAAGATGTCTTTGGCGGCACTTTCGTCGGGAACGTCTGCTCTACATTGTAAGGATGATAAACCCAATATTTGGACCCAGGCATTCACACACTCACACGCTGGTTTCAGCCTCTTTGGGATACTCACAGTACAGGTCGTCCTTTACTACATCCGTTTCCCTCAGGATGGGAAATGGATTCGGCGAATAGTACGTCCTCATCGATTGTTGACTCGAGTTTGATGGGGCTGAAGTTCCTGGTGTGACGATAGGTTGGATTTCTCTGGTTCGTTGTGCATTTTCAAGTGATCGGAAGACCGATTTTGATAACTTTCTGCCCCTCCTAAAGGATTACCATGCTCTTTCAAACGTAAGCCACATCCGTAATTCTAGAATATATCCGTCTCAATGGGCCTGTGGTTTACACTTTCAAGAATCTTTATGACTAAAATGATTTGGTGGTGGCACATCCAAAATTATTTCAACCCCCAAGCACTGGCACGGCCGAAATGGTACGCAATTTTCATGATCGAGCCATGAGATACCTCCTACTCAACGCTTTCCTCAGGGAATTTTCCTCGTATCATCTTGCTACAACGATAGAATCCCTTTTCGTCCAATCTTTCTTTGTGTATCGCATTTGGGCTCGTGAGTCCTTGTTGGAAACAATGAGTTTGACCGTTCGTAAACTTTGTCGCTAGTTTCTTTAAATATTTATGTCGCCGCGCCCCTGGTAGGTTGATTGGTACCTTCTCAAGCTAGCTGCAGCGATACTTACCCATTCCATAACCATAGCAAGCGCTTGTTATCACGCAATTTGGTAAGCTTCCAAACTCAGAACGTCCTCCACATCCCTCACGTCTTGGTTGCTGGCAGCTTTTGCTGCAAGTGAGTTCGAAGCTTATGTCTCTACCTTCAGAGTCCTCATTAGCCGCATAATTCATTCTCAGCACTTTTAACTGAGGCGTACGTACCATCACCGATCGCATGCCGTCAGAATTCTAAATAGACAATAACATACCAGGGACATAGCATTATCTTTCGACACAGTCGCTCATAAGTGGAATTGGTTAGTCAGGGTTTGGTTAGCGATCCAGGTATGTAGGTCCCATCTTTAAATACTTGTGCTTATACGTTCTTTTGCGAAACCGCAAGGCAACATGTGACGCTTTAATAGCAATGTCGATGACGTTCCTGCTCTGGCACCGGAAGACTGGTTTCAGGAAGTGAGTCGATGACCGAAGTGTAGCACGTCAGGACCAACCGGACTTCTTTTTCATAGAACAGACAGGGCCATTAACACGATGGTGTACTGGTCCGTGGCCACGGGCAGCGTGACCTGTCTTCAATCTATTATCGTAATGAGTATCGTAAGCATGAGCTACATTTATTCCTCTTAGTGGAAAGCATTGGGCCGACACCATACATTTAGTTTTCCCACCTCGGCTTCACATTTAGCGCCCTTGTATTTGGAATTGTGAGTCTGTTTACAAGGGTTCTTCCCGCGTCTAGGATATTTATCAACTGTTTCAGACCCTTAGTTCCATGTATCCCATATCAATGCTTACAAGGTGACAATTTATTTCTCGTCTCTGGACACTCATTGATAGAGTTCTTCCCCGCTAGCCTGCATATGCGCTCAAGAGTACGAAAGCAGCTATCTGCACCAAGTGCTAGTGCACCCCTTGGGGCGTTGCCATATGCTCCGAGAAAGGTTGTGATTGCCCATGAACGAGGAGAGCACATAGCACTGGCACCACGCCAACCTGTGAGTTTACCGCGCCGGACTGTGGAAAAAGAACACGGAAACTAACCAGTATTGCCTTCTGGACGGACCCCTCTAAGAGTAATGTTATGGTGAACGTCTATCGTTCCCAGCATGAAGACAGTCCGAGAAGTGTAAGTCTTTTTTTTTCCACTTGCACTGTTCATTACAGCAGAGTTGACGGAATGTTTCGGGTTCTCGTGAGAATAGAACATTGTCGATCAACTTGGTCATGATCAGGTCTGCTTGTCAGATGCAGAGGCCTCGACGCTACGCAATTCCCTTTACTCTGATGTCGAATTTGGCTCCACCAAACAATGTCATCGGTCTCCTACGCCACGATAATTTATGAATGTTAATCTGTATCCACCAAAAGGCACCCACAGAGCTCCTCCATGTTAAAAGTTGCAGTCCAACGCTGCCGTCGGTCGGGTACCGGCAGTTGCTTGGCACAGATGTTGCCAAAGCGAGATCCCCCAGCCGTACATTCATCACTCTTTCAGGCGCTAGCGCTGCAGCATAACCCTCTACGTATTTGCCTTTATGTTGTTTTACCCTTTTTGTCTTTACCCTTTGGCTTTAAGCCTTGTTTCCCACTCACATTTCACATCAGTGGCATAGAACCATGTGTATAAGGACAGGACTTGCTCTGACAAGTTGATACCCCCACTCATAGTGGCATTGTGCTGCTCAGCTTATCGTGGGCCAGCCTTCCCTCGTGCCCGGGAATGAGCAAGTACAATCACGTAATAAATCCAATCAAATGATTGGTGTGATTTAGATCAAGGGGCCCGGTTGAAGTGATTGGAGTTTCGGTGACATGCCAACGATATTTACTTATGTAAGCGTCGCAAAGACTGGAACATGGTTCCATGGTTTGCCGACCCCTATGACATAGATCTGATCGGCCAACGAGGTCTAGCTGTTCAGTCATGACCTTCGCTGTATTGTGGCGGAGTTGTTCGTCATATTGTCATATTTATCATCATCATCATCATCATCCACGAGCTCCTCCGACTGGCTACGAGTCTTGAGTATACTTATATGAACCATCCCCTCTCTCTCCAAGCAGCTTGCCCGCCCTTCGCCTCGCTTGCCTGTCATGGTTCGCATCATAAAGGGCGCCCTGGAAGACCTCTTTGGTGGTACTTTCGTCGGGAATGTCTGCTCTACATTGTAAGGATGATAAAAACCAATATTCGAACCCAGGTATTCACACACTCGCACGCTGGTTTCAGCCTCTTTGGGATACTCACAGTACAGGTCGTCCTTTACTACATCCGTTTCCCTCAGGATGGGAAATGGATTCGGCGAATAGTACGTCCTCATCGATTGTTGACTCGAGTTTGATGGGACTGAAGTTCCTGGTGTGACGATAGGTTGGATTTCTCTGGTTCGTTCATTCTAGTGGTGCATTTTCAAGTGATCGGAAGACCGATTTTGATAACTTTCTGCCCCTCCTAAAGGGTTGCCATTGTCTTTCAAACGTAAGTCGCATCCGTAGTTCTAGAATATATCCGTCTCAACGGACCTGTGGTTCGCACTTTCAAGAGTCTGTATGACTAAAATGATTTGGTGGTGGCACATCCAAAATTATTTCAACCCCCAAGCACTGGCAAAGCCGAAATGGTACATAATATTAAGCCATGGACATACCTCTGCTCAACGCTTTCCTCAGGGAATTTTCCTCGTATCATCTTGCTACAACGATAGAATCCGTTGTCGTCCAGTCTTTCTTTGTGTATCGTATTTGGGGTCGTGAGTCCTTGTAGGAAACAATGAGTTTGACCGTTCGTAACTTTGTCGCTAGTTTCTTCAAATATTTATGTCATCGCGCCCCTGGTAGGTTGATTGGTGCCTTCTCAAGCTAGCTGCAGCGATGCTTACCCATTCCATAACCATAGCAAGCGCTTGTTATCACGCAATTTGGTAAGCTTCCAAACCCATAACGTCCTCCACATCCATATACTAACGTCTTGGTTGCTGGCAGCTTTTGCTACAAGTGAGTTCGAAGCTTATGTCACCACCTTCAGAGTCCTCATAAGTCGCATGATTCATTCTCAGCACTTTTAATTGAGGCGTACGTGCCATCACTCATCGCATACGGTCAGAATTCTAAATAGACAATAATATATATACCAGGGACATAGCATTATCTTTCGACGAAGTCGCTCATAAGTGGAATTGGTTAGTTAGGGTTTGGTTAGCGATCCAGGTGTGTAGGTTCCATCTTTAAATACTTGTGCTTATACGTTCTTTGCGAAACCGCAAGGCAACATGTGACGCTTTAATAGCAATGTTGATGACGTTCCTACTCTGGCACCGGAAGACTGGTTTCAAAAGGTGAGTCAATGACCGAAGTGTAGCACGTCGCGACCAACCGGACTTCTTCATAGAACAGACAGGGCCATCGATACGATGGTATACTGGTCCGTGGCCACGGGAAGCGCGACCTGTTTTCAATCTATTATATTGATGGGTATCGTAAGCATGAGCTACAATTATTCATCTTAGTACAAAGCATTGGGCCGACACCATAGCTTTAGTTTTCCCACTTTGGCTTCACATTTAGCGCCCTCGTATTTGGAATTGTGAGTCCGTTTACAAGGGTTCTTCCTGCGTCTAGGATATTTATCAAATGTTCCAGACCCTTAGTTCCATGTATCCCATATCAATGCTTACAAGGTAAAGCATGGTAAATTTGTCTCTTATCTCTGAACACTCATCGGGAGAGTTCTTCCCCGCTAGCTTACACATGCGCTCAAAAGTACGAAAGCAGCTATCTGCACCAAGTACTAGTGAACCCCTTAAGGCATTGCGAACGAAGGTTGTGATTTCCCGTGAACGAGGAGAGTTCATAGCACTGGCGCCATACCAACCTGTAAGTTTACCGCGCCAGATTGCGGCAGGAGAACATGGAAACTAACCGGTTTTGCCATCTGGACGGGTCCATCTAAGAGTAACCTCGTGGTGAACATCCATCGTTCTCAGCATAAAGACAGTCCGAGAAGTGTAAGTCTTTTCCCACTTGCACTGTCCATTCAGCAGAGTTGACGGAATGTTTCGGGTCTCGTGAGAATAGAACATCGATCAACTTGGTCGTGACCAGGTCTGCTTGTCAGATGCCGAGGCCTCGACGCTACGCAATTCCAATTACTCTGATGTCGAATTTGGCTCCGCCAAATAATGTCATCGGTCTCCCGCGCCACCACGATTCTTGAATGTTAGTCTGTGTCCACCAAAGGGCACCAATAGGGCTCTCCAAGTTAGCCACTCCAGCGTTCCCTTCCAGTGTGCGGCGGATTTTTTTGGGTATGATTGTATATGTATATATATTTTTAGATTCGAGAATATTTGGACCCAACTTGGGCAAATGAGACTACTTTTTGTCTCCCGTACTATCGTGTTTTTTGCTGGTTCGACGAAGCGAAATCGCGCAAGCGCTCGGGCTCCATAACTCTAGTGAGTGTCGGCTCCTTTTTATCCGTAACTTCGGAAACTAGAAGGGCCGCTGCGCTGCCGTAACCTTGCTTGCACGCGGAGACTAGAACGGTGGAATGATATATAGCATGTATAGAAGACTCTTTTTTTAGACATATGTATGTAGGAAAAGAAAGCGACCAACAATGGATATTTGACATTTTTGCTTATTCCGATGCTTCCCCATTTATCCCATGTCAGTGTTGTGATGAAAAACAGGCCGTTGGCCGAGTCCGGATTCTGGGCCAAGGGAAATGGGATCTAGAAGGACACATATAGTTAGTGTAGTTTGGAACATGTCAAGTTTGCATACACACTAACTGTCATCACTGTAAATTTTACCATCATTGCTATCAAGATCTGCGGCCATTTTGCTTCTTTCATCCAGAATTTCAGCGCATATCGAGCATTCAGCTTACCCATAGTGTTCATTAGGTTGTCAACCTGATTTGAGGCAACCACCATGTTCTGCTTACTCCCATCGATTGGGATTACCAGCAACGCGCTAAACGCGACCTGTCAGCATTCTGTCAGCACGTGTGAACTGAAGAATTGAATGGGAGGATGGGAAAGAGAATATCGTGCGGTGAAGATTCCCGACTCGGAGGTGACCTTGCAAGCAAGGTAATTCGGATAGACGATTGGGACTCAGTTTCAGCAATTTGGACTAAACCGACTGGGTAGGAGTCTGGTACATACACAGTTCAAATCAGTTGGGTGAGTAACTCGATCTCCAAGCACTTTTCGGTGACTTCCGCCAGTAAGACATAAAGCGCGATGCTCTCCCACAAGTGCGCTGTTCTCAACAGTTTCTATGTTGGGGGCTCGCATACGAGTCACTATTTCGTTTCAGGCACTCAGCTGTCACGAGGGAGGCTAGCGCACCTCCTCCCCTCTCTCACATGCACAACAGTGGGAGTGTTTTGGTGGCTAATTACATACTTTTGGCACACGAGATACTTCAGGTGCTCTCGTTCTTGTGAGAGAAAGCTAGCGACGTAGTCAAGCGCTAGACAATAATGGACGTTAAGCGAACGGTCTAACACAACCAAGAAAACAAGATCTCACCTCAGTTTACGATAGTATAACTGAGGAGAGAGAAAACCGTCGCGACGAGTGGCTTTTAAGCCTACAACGCCGCCTATCAACAAGAAGGACGGATAGGGAATAATGGGCAATCTTTAGCGGCTGGCAAGTCCGTACGCCACTACTGTGGGACGTCGACTTTCTCTAATAGTTCTAGCGTCTCCTTCTCCGATTCAAATGCAGGAACTGTTGGAAATTCATCTATCGCGGGCTTACATATGAAGGCGGTTTTCGTTAAAATTAGCATCAGGGCCTCGATCCTCCGACCCCGCATTTTCCTTTTCACCTTCATACATTAGGCTAGAAGCTGCAATACCTCTTTTATCTGTATTGTAGGCAGTTCTGTAGTGAAACTATGGCACACGACATGTTCGATGTCCGTTGAGCTCGAATTCCGTGGTAGCGGGTTGGAAATCGCTATACGGATGCGTCCTCGGACTTGTGAGAAACTGGGATTGTAACTCGTTCACTTGTACAGATGCGTACTGCATCTGGAATGGAAACATGACGAGTATAACGAAACAAGAGGGATATCCTCAGACTAACTGAGGGAAAGAAGCTCCGTTCGTGGAACATCAGTGTCAGACAAGCCAACAATAGAAATAACTAGCCTGAGAGATACGAAATGGTTATATTGGAAGAAGTGATGGTGGTGGAAGTAAGGATTGCTCCGTCAGCTGTAACGATGTTCTGAACGGTCGCTCCGCTCAGATCAACCATCGATCCTCCGAGTGCGGTACGAGCCGACGTGTTGTAGAACTCGATACTGCTGAACTTCACAAAAGACTGAGAATTGTCGTCGTTGGATTCATCGATACCCAATATCGCAGGGCGTTTATTGTTGAGACAGACAGGAGATCCAAAGGTAGGGATGTGTCCTGTCGTCCTGAGGCCCGTGGTTAAATTATCAATAATTGTGTTGTATCCGCGGTCGTCCATTTCTATAGTTATCTTAGCTGTATCCCCGACGCTGAAGGACACCTCCGGGGAAACAGTTGGCGCTGGTCGGGAATCCGCCCCGGGCACAGTAACGACGTAATCAACACACTGCACGGAAGCCAGCCTCATTGTGTACTTACCAAAGATTTCAACAGTCCCATTCGGACTAATTTCAAAACTGACAATTGCGGAGACAACACTGAGGCACTGAAGGCCAACGAATGCATTCAAACGCTGGACGCTACTCGCGGTCGAATCGGTCCGGTAAAGTCCCGGAATAACGAAGGCCGTGGTAACAAAATCATAAATGGACTACAAGCACGAGGAAGCGCACGGTTGAACAGTGGGCTGGTTCCCCACCTAAGGCACGACAGCTTACTACATTGAGGATCGCACCAGCGAACTTTGCCTGAGAGCTTTCAGCCAATCCAAGGGAGTCCTTTGGCTCTCGGATGAGATTGGCAGTGGGATGGGCTGTGACAGAGGCAGTGAAGGAAAGGAGGGTCGCGATGAAATTAATTGTTGCCAAGTCCAGAAATGGCATCTTGCAGTAGTTTAGGGTTTCGTTGAGCCATCATCCACCAGACGTTCTCCAGTCTTTATATCCTTTTTGCAGCCCTAGTGCGGTATCACAAGCGGCAGCTCAATAAGTCCATATATGGGGTTTAGTGTTCTCATAAAAATATTGTGTTGACATGAGGAGCATGTCGCAGCGGTCGCTAGTAGCGTGATGCGATATTGACGATACAGCTGCGGATGCTGAGCTCAAGAACATCATGTTTTTCTGGTATTTATTGATTCATTATCATAAGTAGAGAGCTCGCTTCGCTCGTCAGACTCTGCATCGCAATGACATGCGCTTATGCAACATAAAAACAATACTGTAGTTATAACGACCGTTAGTTCATTCCCACGGCTTCCGGGAGTTGCCGGAGGCACCAAATCAATTCAATCCTGTTCATTTTCAATTCAATCCAAAATCTTCGTGTGACATGCGACGAACTTATGGTCGTTATAGTACAGTATACAAGAAAAGCCCCACGCAAGCGAAAAAGATAAGGAAAAGAATATAGTTCTGTATTCACAGAGATAAATTCATTAGTGAAGAATCTTTACACCCATTTACAAAGTATTTTTTTCGAAGGGCAAGATCCTAACAAAGAGATACCCATTACCGGAGGGTCACCCTCAGAAATGATGCTGATTCAAACGAGTTTGGACCCCACTTTGTCTGTCCCCAACTTTTTGATGTGCGAAGATGTGCGGTAGGATGTGTGATAGGGCACGTTAGATGAGACTAATGATGTTGATGACTCATTTGCCATGAGAAGCATGTTGTTTCACTATTGAAGCAATATCGGGTTCAAAGAGGAGAGCTCGGGAGTTGCCGAATGCAACTTGACCGCGACGATGCGCTCCTTTATAACTGTCACAAGCACTGAAGGATTCTATCTGTCATCCATGGACTCCAAACAGTGTGTTGTAGATTAAAACCCCTCGTGTCCATCGAAAGACAACCAAACTTGCTATGGCATCCTGTATGAGATATGTGTGCAACACCCAAATCATGACCTTACTTTCAGACACCAAGTCTCTGCCATTGTACTTGATGCCCTTCCCGCTGTGCTGGAAAGCACACTTTTTTGAACAGGGGGACCCGCTACGAGCTCCAACCCCTGAAAAAAAATTAACAATGACGTTCCCCGTTTGACCAAAGGTTTCTCATTGGTCCGCAACATTTGGCTTCTTTATGCACTGGATCTAGACACATGACATAGATCCACTATGTCATGTCATCATTTTCTCTCGCTCACGTCCTCTAACGCGGATGCGAAAAAGACGCGTGCTAATTACTCGCACCCTTTCCTGTACTTCGACGGCAGAGCGTGCAACCGGGTCCAGCGAATGTAACAAGCTGTCCATTGCTAACGTTGTACACTGTCAACTATTGCCACCACTTTAGCATTGCTTTTCTGTGTGAAAAACACGACTCTCATGACCTAAAAATATTCCATTGCATAAGTTCTTAGCAACCCGTCTTCTTACCTAGTAGTGTTGCTGGTCAAGACGCATATGACTCTGATTTCCATCACCACACAAATACGATCGGGACTCCAGTGGCGAGTGCGAAGCACCTTATGCACCCCGAGATTGGGCAGCTCATGTTGAGGAATTGCAGTATGGGCACCTTCCAATATATGGCCGCTCTGAATGTCACCCGCCAGGCATTACCATCTACCAGTTCCCCTAACTTCATTTCTCGTGCGGAGGCTATGGATGCTCTTGTATTGGGTCTCGAAGCGAAGCTGGCAGAGGGCAGGCTCGGCGGCGGTCAAGCGGTACTCGAGAAGATGCGTTCCAAAGGAAAGAAGCTACGTCCCATGGGAACGGCTTTCGTTACTTCTAGATCCCGATGCTCCATTTTGGAGCTGAACCCTCTAGCGGCACACGAGGAAAATACTGGCCAGAACGTTCCGGAGCAGGCCTCATCACTGGAATTGGGGGCGGGAAATTATGGTTATTGTTAATGACTGTACACCGTCAATGGATGAAGTTACTTGCCACTAACGGTATCTGCTTACACTAACACTCAATTTAATCCCTTCCGAGCTCATATTTCAATGATTCCAGGTCAAGAAGCAACTGAGAGCTCAAGAAATAGCTTGTGAGCATGGTCTCCCTGCATCTACTTGGGTTGGTTTGCAATACTGACTAGTTGACACGGATGGTTGAGAGATATTCCTATTAGTTGAATCTGGAGGTGCTGCCCTTCCTCATCAAGTAGGGCGACTAGCAGTGCTAATATCAGCTTGCCCAACAGGTTTTCCCCGACAGAGAACACTTTGGAAGAATATGGTAAATTCTTTTGTCTATAGTCGCGTTTTTCCGGACTTGGCCCCAACTAGGTGCAAATGTCTGCCCTGAACATTCCTCAAGTTGCCGTCGTCCATGGAATATCCGTTGCAGGTGAGGTGGCATGTGTTTTCCCGTTCGAACAGGCGCTGAAGCCGTGTAGGCGGCGCGTATGTCCCTGCAATGGCTGACGAGAACGTTATCGTGGCCAAAAAGGGGAGGATCCTTCTGGCCGGCTCCCCTCTCGTTGTGTATCACGTCGCCGAATACCGTAAGATATCTATTAAAATATGGTGCGCAGAACTTGGTCCCCGGACTTACCAACCCTCGTCAGGTGAGTTGGTACATCACCATTCCTCAATTACCTCCCAAAACTTAGTAAATGACCGTTTGCCTACGAAAAGTTCATGCCGATGGCAGTGCTGTGGGCCACATAAGCTCATGCTCCCGCAGCTGGATCGTTCGCTCACACTGACAGCTGGATCCTACATGCATCATCATAGACGGTAAGGTGTAGCGAGGACCCCGAATATACCGGTATGGGTTCGGTCGCCAGCCTCCATCGAATCTCGAGCCCCCCCCCCCTTTTGTTTTTTCTGGTCGGACTAAAAACACCGATCTCACCTTCAAATCGCTCAAACATATATACCAGCAGCGCTGTGCGCTGCCATGATGGTACTGGATCGAATGGCCTTGTACAGGAACCCATCAACGATCCGATGGAATGGAAGCTCCGCCCCAAGCGGAAGCGCTTCGCCCGCAAGCCCTACTGCGAAATTCCCACACCTGTTGTGCATCACCCTAATTCGGCTCCGGTCCAGTGCCGTTATCCATGGGGAGCCGCGATACTGTTATTCATTCTGTAGGCACACCTGTGGTGCGAATACGACATCTAACATGTTTGATTTTAGTTGCTAGTGAGTCCCTGAGCAATTGTTCCGCCTAGACTAACGCACCGATAAGCTGAGGTAGCGAAAAACTGAAGTTCGCAAGAGAGTCCCGTCCTCGATGATGGCCTATATATACAACAGTGCGTCCATTACAGATAGGGAATTCAATGGCAGTGAACACATCTTCCAACTTGTGTTTTGTAGTGCTTACTCGTTTTTGGGATAATAGTAACTCGACTTATTTTAGCGTGTTACGCTCAGTATGATATCAAACGTAGTTGAACTGAGGGAGACGTAAGCGAAGTAGTTTCTGCTTTTATAAACAGTCGCCTTAATGGCACACTGCATGACTTAATTTGGTAGCAGGAAGACCAAGGAAGGAAAGATGACGGTACTACGACTCCCAAGACTCCAAGAAATTCAACACGACTCCGGTCCAACGGGGATCATCACATTAGCCTAGCTAGAAGCTGTAATACCTCTTTTATTCCTATTGGGATTTGTAGGTGTTAAGTTACACCCGCGATCTGCCAAGACGTCGCCGGATACCGTGTATTAGTGGGGTATCTGCATCTACAGACTTACGCCGCTTGCATCGTCCGCCAAGGCTACACGCAAGACAAAGGAGAAAGACACATGAAATAGAAACAGAACAAAAGGAACAAAGGCGCATTGCCCCTGCGCCACTGTGTAACTTTTAAGTTACTATGACATCCCGGCACCGCCCCCAAAGCGCGATTGTGCGGGACCGGGTTTTGGCCTGTAACGCTGTTACTTCCAACAGTAGGTATGTAGTTCTGTAGTGCAACTAGGGCACTCAACATGATGTTCGATGTCCTTTCAGCTCGAATTCTGTGGTCCACACATAAAGAGACTATAGCGAGTTGGAAATCGCCATATGGATGCCCGTATTCAAACTTGTGAATGAAAACTGGGATTGTAATTCGTTCGCTTGTACGGACGTGTACTGCATTTGGAATGGAAATGTAATGACTTGTCGAGAAACAAACAAGAGGGATATCGTCAGACTGGTGGGAAAGAAGTTGTAACAAGCTCCGTTCGTGTGCATGTCAGACCAGCCAACAGAAACCCATCAGTCAAAGAGAATAAAGAGGAATGGCATCAGATCGCATCGATACTACGTTTAAGAATCAATCATGACCAGCATAGTTAGCCATGGTAATTTCCAACATTGGCAGTATCAGTATCCCAGTTCTGCTGAAAGATCTGAGTAGCCTGAGCGATACGAAATGGTCACAGTGGAAGGGGTGATGGTAGTGGAAGTAAGGATTGCCCCGTTAGCTGCAGTGATGTTATAAATGGTCGCTCCGCTCGGACCAACCGGCGTTGATCCTCCTGCGGCACGAGCGTGCGTGTCGTAGAACTCGATACTGCTGAACTCCACAAAAGGATTGTCGCCGGATTCATCGATACCCCATATCGCAGCGCGTACATTGTTGAGGCAGGCGGCAGGTTGGCCAGAGCTCGAGGGAGTGCCGCTCGTTTCCGCTTTAGTCTTCTTGGTTAAATTCTCGATAGTTGCGACGTATCCAGTGCCCTTCATTTCTATGGATATCCTAGCTACATCCCCGGCGTTGAAGTATATTTCCGGGGAAATGGGTTCTAGCCAGGAATCCGCCCCTGATACAGTAACGATGACCAAAAAGTAATCAACACACTACACGAAAGCGAAAGCCAGCCTCATTGGGTACTTACCATGGCTTTAACAGTCCCATTGGGAGGAATCTCAAAACTGACAAATACGGAGACAGTACTAAGGCAGTGAAGGCCAACTAATGCCTTCAAGTGCTGGACGCTGTGCGGATCGGTCGAGTGAAGGTCCGGAATAGCGAAGGTCGAGGTAACATATTCATAATCGGACTAAGGGAAGCGCACGGTTAAACGGTGAGATCCCGGGTTGATATGAATACTAAGGCACAACAACTTACATCACTGAGGATCGCACCAGCGAATGCCGGGTTTTCGACCGGCCTGAGGGGCTCGGCTTTGGCGGTGGGATGGGCTGTGACAGAGGCGGTGAACGAAAGGAGGGTCACGATGAGGCTAATTGTTGCGAAGTTCAGGAACATCTCGTAGCTGTTTAGGTGTTTGTTGAGCCATCATCCATCGGACGTCCTTCAGTCTTTATATCCTTTCCGCAACCCTGCTGCGGCATCCCAAGCGGCAGCTCAATTAGTACGTGGTGATATCGGAAGGGTTAATATTCTCACAGAAATTAGTGTGTTGACTGAGGAAGCATGTTACTACAGTGATGCGGTATAAACGATACATTTGTGGGTGATTTAGGTTGAGCATCATGTGGTGTCGGTGGTGGCACAGCTCAGTTCATACCGATGACAATGCTACGGGCAGCATAGGCTTATGCTCCGGCTCTCGCAGCTGGACTGTTAAAGTACGGCGCTCACTGGATCCTACTGTCATGTCCGCCGCAGCGTAAAGCTAATAATTCTGATGTGATGGCCAGGAGTACCCAATCGAATGCTGACAGCAATCACTATGTAGCCCTTTATTGTGCACTGATGGCGAGTCTTCTTCTTCTTGTGATTCAACAAGTCTATCGCCAGAGTCTATCGCAATTTATTATACTCTTGTTTGGTACCGTTGGTGGCACTACGCAATTATAAGGATACGCAGTCCTTAGCTGCCAAAGCATGGGTTGGGGTCATCAGTTGGGTTAGCCATTGATAAGTAATTTTGCATCATGATCGTTGCGCAAATGTTGATTCATGCATGATGCATCTTTTGGATATTTGTTGCCTTATCGCCCATAATCAGTGGCCACTTTGGGCCACTTGAGTAGACGTCGTTGCGGATATGATATGATCTTACTGGCCGAACTGGGTATGGCTTCCTGCAGCGTACTGCATGCAGCCGCCTCATTACTCGGCCGTCGGTGAGGATATCCGCTTGGCCAGTCACGATTGCTGGCATTGGGTAAGATGGTGGTCATCGATTTGTCAATGATTTGGGCAATTAACTCATAGATTCTGAAAATTTCAAGGATGACGATTAGTTTGAGAAGCTCAAGTTGAAATCAAGTGATGATTTATAGGTTCATAGGAAAGCTTCCAGGATCCTGCAGGAATATGACGATTGGCTTTTGCTCGGGGATAATCTCCAGAGGTCGGAGTTATGCTTGGTGCGAAACCATCGTGAATCCTTTCTGCATGCATGTTTACCCATGTACTAAGCCTGATGGCGATTTTGTATTGCTCTTGGTAGCTGAAATGCACGTCGTCCTGGTATGATTGATACTTCTACAACCCCTTACAGCCTGCTGAGGCCATCAGTTCTATGGGGTTGAACTCGGTACTTGTCACTTGTCACTTGTATCGGGGTGGATGGATTAAATGCCTTTTCTCTCATAACCTCCAAAATCATCCACTGAGTGGTCGGTGAACAGGTCATGCCGTTATCGGTTTGGCGTTCTTCTCGCACAACTGGCACGGTGGCCTGGTACTCCCTATCTTCGGATTTGGGCCTATATCGGGCTAGTGACAGGATTGAAGATGCACATACGCGTTGGGAAACAGGGGCTCACGAAAGAACGATCGCGGCTTAGACGTAAGCGATTCAAGGGCCGAATGACGAGATTGTACTAGGATGTGAAAGAAAGAACAACTAAGGTAACACAGTAAGGGAGAAGCGCAGAGACAACTAGGTTGGCTTGGCTTGAGGGGGGGGGAAGCGCGAAGAAAGTAGGTCCCTAGTACTAGACTAGATGATTCAGACCCTGAATTCGAGAAGCTAGCAGCGGACAGCTGCGGCAAGCGAGAGGGTAAACCAAAATGTCAAAGACACGAAGGTCAAAGCAACGGAGGAAGGAAAAAAAAATGGAAGAATGACCGTGACCGCTGGGCTGAAGTCCATAAGTTAGAACCATCACAAATGAATGCTAATTCCCGGGGAACTACTAGAAATTTGGCCCAGCAGACTGGGGTTGAATGTTGTGTTAGCCCTGATTAGGGTAAGTAAGCATTGAAATGTTCAAGTAAAGAGAGATCGCGGTAGTGAGTGAATATGAAAACACAAAAAAGGAGCGTAGACTATATTATGTAGATGTGAGAGAATGGGAAGGAAAGAGATGGAGAGGACGAGAACGGGGGGAGGGGATAGGTCAGATGATGAGCTTAGAAAGGAATGTGCGAGATGAGAGGGAATATAAAGATGAAGCGAGGCGAGGGAAATATACAGAATAGGGGGACGCGATAAAAATTCCTCGAACTTCGAGGAAGGAATGAGAACGGAACGAGGAGCCCGGGGGCGCATGAAGAGTGGATGGCGCAGAAGGACTAAACCGAGGCGGATGTAATAACACAGATGAGGGGAATCGTAGAAATGAAGTGACGAGGGGATGCGAACGAGGTTTCCAAAGTCCGAGGAAGAGGAGAGACAGTTCAACCGATTCTCTCCCCGATCAAGGGGAGGAAGTGAAAGAGAAGAGCAGGTTTTGAAGCCTGGGGGGATATAATGAAACGAAGGTGGCACAAGGAAAAGAAGAAAAAAAGAAAACCGGGCAAGGTCCATAACAGATCCTCGGCGATTAGAGAGATGCGATGCGGCGAGAAGAAAGGCTAATCCTCAGCATCCTGTAGAAAACCTCGTACCGGGGAAAGCTGTTGAAGTGCGAAGGAAAATTTGCAGCCGGAATGTGTGGGCAGGCTAAGAGCCTTCTGATCAAACCGAGGCTAAAGCAACCGATGGGCCCTCATGCAATTGAATCCCCAATGCATTCATCAACCTTTGCTCGTCATGAATTCCATACGGCGTCTCGGTCATCGGAACTCTCTCGTACCCACGCCCCGTGCTACTATGCACACCAGGCGACACACTCCTCATCACCGCCCCTTCATCCATTCCTTCCTCTCCTGTTCCTCCCACGATAACAGAAGAATGGCGACGCAATGGTCCTTCCTCCAAACACTGAGACCGAGACTGAACTTCCGCCTCAAGCTCGTCAACAGCTCTCCTCGCTACGATCCCCAAATAAACAAACAACCCGACACAAAGCAATATCCCAAACAATCCCCATATCTCCTTCCACGTCCACTCTCTACTACCTCCTTCCGAAGATGAGGAAGAATGATAATCCCGAAAACTCCTGATTCCACTCCCTATACTCGTGTGCACCAACACCTTTAACAAACTCACCCCCGTAACCCCCAAATAAACTCGCAATTCCATCCCTCTTCCTTTTCCCCCTTCGCAAAAGCCGCCACCACTACCACTCCCGCTCCCCAACACAGCATTAACAACATTGAAAGGATACGGGGCAACCCTCACTAACAAGAAGACAACCCACCTCTCTTCGATAACTCTCACCACTCTCTTCAAGGACGCCGGCATCATCCTCATCGTCCATCTCACAGGAACCACGTATCTAAATATCAAAAAGACGATCGTGGCTCCTACGAGAGACGATGTGTAAGATATGTAGAAACCTGTTAGAGAGCCGTAGGTGTAGCCCGAGAGCATCATGAATGTTGAGTAAAGGGGAAGGGGGGCTAGATCGTACAGTCATTGTCAGATTGTTGGTAAGCAGGAAAGCGGGTGAGCAGGAAGATCAAGGACTTACGGAACGTGGTTAGTAAAATAAGGAAAAACATGATCATATGTCCATAGTATCCCTCCTCTTTCAGATAGGACGCTAGGTCATCCAATCCTAACGACAAAACAGGAGTAAGAAAAGATTTTTTCCAGGATCCGGTTACAGCGAAAGTGATGTAAAATGGAGATCAGGAGGTCAAGGAGTCAGGGGAGGGCACAGGATGCCAAAACGGGATGACATGTTGCAGCACCGCCACGGCAATCAAACATAAAAAAAAAAGGAAATCAGTGTACCTTGAAAAACCTCCTTTCGCCAAAAGGCGATAGCGATAAACTGGAATCAGAGAAGGAACAACACATAGTCAGTTCACCGGCTCCCCAATGGGGAAAAAAAAATAACGATGACTCACAAATCCGATCGTCGTGGCGAACCAACTACACATAGGTAGCCAAGGTTTGAGCCACTCTGGTACACTCATTCCCCAACCCCATCCCACCGGTTTCACACACCCACATGCGTGGCCACTACATACAGGAGGTGCTGTTCGAGTTGCGTAAGAATGTTGGTCCGGAGATGGGTTGTGCCAATATTGGTCATCATTTTGCTGTGGCAGCAACTGGTAAGGATGGTAATGGGGTCGGGGTTGGGGTTGGGATTGGGAATATTGAGGATATTGGGAAGAAAAGTGTTCCGGTCGCCGAGAACAGGTTGAGGGAAGAGGTGGACGGAAGAATATGGGAGGGGGGTTTGAATGGCCATTTCCTTTGGAATGATGATGGTGGTTCGCAGTCGTACCCTCTATCTCACTGGCCGGGAATACTCCCGATGTTGGACCATATGGATGTCTTTCCGTTGATGAGGGCGTCAGGTTTCTTTCATGGGTGACTTTCGCATCAAGCGGCCAAGATAAGGGTGATGCCGCTGAGGTCGGCGGCAAGAGAGAGGACGAGTGAGATTGTGATTGCGGGGGGTTCGCAGAGGAGAGAGGGGTAACAGTTGGATGGGGGTGGGGATGGGAGTAGGGATGGGAGTAAGAATGCGGGAGCAGGCTTATTGAAGTTGAGCCCGGGGAAGGACTGGATTTTGGGGAAGGAGATCTTGGACGACGTTGGAGTTGGATATGTGAATGATGATGTTGGGGATGGTGGTGTATGTACAAATCTGAGGGTTTCCACTTGAAGTGGGGGCGAGTCTTCACGGCAGTGCTCGTGGTACTAACAGAAGGGGGGACATCGTCGCATTCCTCCCGTGGAGTAACAGCGCTGGTTGTACTGGTCCCGGCAACGGCAGAGGTAGCAGCACTAGCGAGAGGCGCAGAGTCAATCAAGCTCGTGTTGACGGATGAAATGGCCATGGGAGTGACTCGCAGAGGGGACAAATGCCGAGCAGTGAAGGAGAAATTCTGGTATCCTTGATTGTGAGTACCAGTCGACATTGGAGTAGCTGGGGTAGCAGCGATAGTAGTAATGACTAGCACTTGTGAAAGTTTTGGGATACAGAAAGTTGCGGAGATCTAAGCTAGTGGGTAGAATATGGTCAAGACGAGGCTTAAGCGAGAGGAAATGAAGTTGATGAGAAATGCTGATTATAATATCATAATACGAGTGGGGAGGGGGGGCGGGATTGAGCAGACATGCAAGAGCACTTACTTGGCGGTTCCGCGGTAACCCAAGTGGTGCTGCAGTGCAAGTGCGATGTCGGGATAGACAGGAGTTGCAGTGATGAAAAAAAAAAAACGAAAAAAGGGCGAGAGGTGATCTAGCTATTAGTGTGAAGATTTAGCACGACGGTAAGTACTAGTGAGCGCTGGGCCGATGGTGGCGGCAAAGGATGAAAGAGAGTGTGATTTTATCAATAATGTTTGATGATATATGTATGATGTACCTATGTTTGTGTGGGTGAGTACGCGAAATGGATCCGATCCCCATTCATTTCGTCTCCGCAGCACTTCAATTTCATAATCCCCGTCGTAAAATGGCAGCTTTTCTCCTCAAGCTTTCCACCAACGACGCGGACGTACTGTACTAACACAACCAACTACCTGTCACGCGTCACGCTAGCAAAAAGGTCCGGCTCAAATATGCCATTTTGTCACGCATCACGTTGAGAAAAAGGTTGGGGCAAGTCAATGCGGCCCTCATGGCTATGCAAATATATTTCAAATTTCTTTTTTAGGTAATACATACCTTCAAAAATTGGCAATCGCCATTTCTTCCTCCAAGTTGCGTGCCTGTCTGACTCGCCTTCCACGGCCAAGGTCACAGTTTTGAAGACCCGAGGAAGAAGGGATTAAGGTAGTCTCACCTAGGAGGACACCAGACTCAGCCTCCTCAGCATAAGTTGATGCGGCCTGCAGGCCACCGTCAATCACCTCAAGCCCATCCACCGCACACCCAGCTACATGTTCAAAGACCTCTTCCACCATCACATCGGCATCATCCTCCGGAGTATCCGTGAACTCTGTCTCAACTGTGACAGAGCTGGAGCCTGGGAGCCGTTTGCCATCATTACAGGGTTGCTTGCGGGGTGCTGTTATTGCACTTGCAAGATCGGGATTGGTTTGGGGGAGGGAGTCGAGGATCAGGCGTAGTGGGCGACTGGTTAGGCTGGAATGAGATAGGTTGAAATTGCCTGAGCAACAGAGTTCGAAGGCCTGGATATAGTTAGTACAGTGTACACAGAAATGATAAATATTGTCCGATCAACTCACCTTCTGGATTTTATCCTCCTGATTCATGGCGTTGAATGCGTGAATGAGGGTCTCAGGAACACGGTCCCTTAGTGTTCCGAGCTTAGTGTCGAGCCTGACATTGCATGAGTCCACCCCAGTTTGTAACTGCGAGTAGACCTCTTTTATCGCTGCTGTCTGCTGTGATCGTTTCACAGCGTGTTTCAGTGGGCACTGTATACCAACGTCGCAGGGCTGCCAGAGACCTCTGTGCATCCACCAGGGATATAATCAAGAACTATCCAGGGAAAGTTTTCATACAACCAAGCACGAAACTCAAGGGATGTGTGCACTGGCGATGCGTCGAGCTGCCAGATGCACTCCTGCAGTGGATCAAGGGAGAGTTGCTCTTTTTCTGCATTGAAATAAGGCTCTTTACAAATGACTTCATCGTCGCAAGGTTAGCCCAGTACGTGTCATTCCCAGAGAACTCAAAAACAAATCCAAAATCCATTGCTGCAGCATAACCTGGAACACTCCTCGAAGGGTGACTCGCTGAGGTTTTTCCCCGGAAAATGGCCTGGAATGGCAGAAGGGTGCCGCTCGCAGAGATCGCCACATTGGGCGTGAACGCACGCTTCTCATCATGGCCGATCATGGAAACTTGATGCGATCCCTTTGTTTCGCAGGTGGCTATGTCCCGTTTGGGGGGAATGCATGTGGTCGCGTGATATAGGAGTGATGGGGTATGAATGTGGTCAAACGGGGGTGGCACTGCCACCACCCACTACACCTGACCTCCATAGACCTTGCGCAGATTACACTGTTTGGGTTATTGAGGGATGCGGCCTGGGCCCCACTGTCTCTGCCGACACACACGATTCAGATCCAGGGACATTTCGTTCACATGCCGATTATTTACATTGAAACCCTGACCGTACTTACAATACAAATAGCGGCTCCGATCGCGGCCTGCTCGATGTTCCGGAGCGCCACTTAGAGCTCTTGCACACTGTGTTGGACTGGCAAAGGAGTCAAACGGGGTGCAAAAGGGGAAATCTAACGGAATAACCGCTTGCTCTAATGCTAAAGCTCAGTCTCAAGCTAATGCGCGAGAACTATTATATTACCTAGTAGTAAAGCTATAAGGTAATATACAATGAGTTATAAGATATAAGAAAGAAAGAAAGATAACTAACCTCAGTCTCACTATATGCGCGAGAACTGAGGAAAAGGGAAACTAATTCAAAAGATTGAATATAGTTTGTGGACTTCGCGGATAAGTCCGAAGTGACCAAAATAAGTAAGAAGAAAAGGTGTTGTGACCAAGTAGTCACGCTACCGCGGGAATGTGGCTGTCCGGGCGAGTTCCTCGCTCGGGTGTGGGAATGTGGCTGTACGAAAACTCATCCGGCCTCCCATAGCACACGGTTCCTCCAACAAAATCAGCCTGTGGTTGGTTGCAGATGGGTGTAGATGTGTAGCATTGAGGAAAGGGTCAGAATGTCCAATTTTCCGTTTGAATTCTGTGTCTGCTACCTGATACAAGGTTGCAATGTAGAGGATGGGTCGAATGGGGTAAAGGCTGGTGAAATGGCATAGATACAAATTCCTCTCTTCAGGCTTGTTGCTAGATCAAAATTGATAGTTCAGATGCAAATTTGAGGAAAATTTTCCGTTCCCACCAAACCAAAAATCACTGGTAGAACAAGAAATCCCCCGAGAATGCCTTCCCTCCTGCAGAATGCATCTTCAAATGCATTTGACTCATCCATTCTGACCCTTCAGGCCACTTTCTCCAGTGGCATGACCTTGTTGACTATGGCTTCCACTGCCAACAACTTCCTCAGAGCTACAGATGGCCTGTTTGCAGAGTTGAAAGAGCTTATTGCACAACATACTTCCACTGAAGACAGGCCACAATTCCAACCACTTGTCCCCCCCGATCAAATTGTGAAGGGAATTGTGCAGAAAATATGGGGTCATTCATCTATTGAGACAGTCAGAGATATTGGAGATATACTAGAGAAGGGTGTCATATCCGTGCATACCCGACCCCTACCCGACTTCCGGACCTCCACCCTCTTCACCTCCGGAGTCATACCTTACCGCTGCCGTTCCGATACTCACCTCCGGTCCTGGCAACACACCTCCTCTCACCCCCCACGCCACCTCTGCTCCTCCTTCCCTCTCCTCCCCTATCTCCGTCCGCTCCGATACTCACCTCGGACCAAATGCCGCCCCTCTCGCCACCCTCCTACTACTCCTCCTCCTCCTACTCCGCTCCTCCTTCACAACACCTTCACCCTCCTACGCTTCCCCCGTCCGCTCCGATACTTACCTTCGGACCTGACAACTCTCCTTTCTGCCACTCCTTCTTCCTTACCTTTCCCCTCTCTCCTCCCTCTGGTACTCCTCCGCCACCCTCCCACCAAGTTACGACCTTCCACCGCTGTCCCGTACTTCGCACTCGGACACCGCTCATACCTTTGCTCCGAGCCTCCATCATAGTCCCTACCTCGGACTTTGACTCCACCTCGGTCTTAGTCCATTGCATTGGTGACCTCATACTACGTAAACACCATTGCCAATATCCCTTGGACTTTCAACCCCGCCTCCGTGACCTCCGTAAGCTCCGTAACCCCCGAGCTTCGCAGATCGCCTTCGGCACTTTCGCCGCTTGTAATGTATCTCTTGCGTTTTCCCCTCATCCCTATTTGGACTACTGCTTCTTCCTATTCTAGCCAGTTAGTCATCATCCCCACTTCTCCTCATCCTCCTGCCCCTCTGGGCCTCGCCCTCCTTACCTCCTTTCGGACGTATCACAGGTCCTGCCTTATGACCTTCGGTACTGCTCCGCTTCTTCTACCCTTTGTTCCCGTTCGGACGTCTTCATTCCGATTTGGTACCCTTTGTTTTCCTTGTGCTTTTGCCCCCTCCATTATATATATCGGTGCTTGTACATACTCGTTTTGGTTCAGTCCGAAATCGACCTGAAATGCCCCCTAGAGACTTCCTGCTCACCTACTGTGAAATTAAGGACCAAATGGACAAACAGCAATGGCACAGCGCTCCGCTTGAGTCGCTGAGGCCAAGGTCCCTCCACGCTAAGTCTCCGATTCCACTCTGGAGTCGTCTGTTTCTGCCCGGTTCTAACAAAGGGACTCGTTACGGATGATTTGAGCCTTGAAGGTGCATTGGTGTCTCTGTTGCTTACACCATTTAGAAATACTCAAAGACCCCTGTGTTAGAGACTGGAGTGAGATGAAGGAGTTGTCTCCATGGCAGTGCCAGGGATCAGCAACGACCCTGGACCCTATGCTGGCTGCGCATATGTGCGTGGGAAGTATGCCGGTAATTCCCATCTACTCCGCTTACCTAAGCCCCGGTGACCCGGATCATCTCTGGCATTGTTCTGGAACATTCTATGATCACGTGATTCTATCGGCAATCCATTTGGTTTCCTTATTGCCAGACTCTACATGTATATAGCTGACCCTAAGATGGGGACATCCCTTTCCCCCGGCTTTAATCACAACTAGGTTATCAGAGCATCCTGCATGAGCATGTGCATCCCCTGACAGGCAGAGGGCTTCGGCCTCAGCGACTCAGGCCAGGAGCACTGTGCCAAGTTACATGTCTGTGCCCTAATTTACTTACTGGCAGCAAGAACTAAAAAGGGGGATCAACTCTAGTCGATTTTATCACTGGAGTGTAACCTATGTACAAGTTAAGTATACATAGTTACAGCGAGGGCAGGCCTGTGAATAGCAGGACTGAGCAGGGCAGAGCTAACGGGGATAGATGTTAGCCTACTGAATATTACTGACAAGTTGTCAGGGCATGCCCCAGCACGCCCCACCCGACCCCCGCTCCACTTCCCCACTCCACACCGCTTCCTTTCTCCTTTCTGTCTTTCTTCCTTTCTTTCTCTCTTTCGTTCCTTCTCTCTCTCTTACATGGACCACCTTTCCTGCTGTTCGATGTACCACTGGCACGCATGCCCATTTCCCCTCCTGTATCTTACCATCCCTACATCGCCGCTACCGCCGCCGCACTCGCCCCACACCCACAGCGGGCCCTCTTGGGATCTCCTGCGGAGGCACCCGGAGAACCACGGCTGTGTGCGAGGGTGACGTGGCACACCCCACGTGACCAATCCTGCGTGTATATAATAACAGCTGGGGTGGGAACCGAAGAAGTAGCCTTCTTCTCACATTCCCACTTCAAGCAAGTAGTGTAGCCTTCCCTTTTAATGATAACTCACATTCCCACTTCAGACTAAGTGGTCGGGGACGCTCACCCCGCAACGGGATCGCTGCTATGCACAGCTGCTATTTGTCCCACCGAGTCCCGCATGCCGGGACCTCGCTGCTTTCGGAGCTGTCCCTGACAGCAGAAGAAGGCTTCAACCTTATCTCCCCTGCCTCCCCCGCTATGGTGACCGAAGAGCAGTACGATGAACTGCTGTCCCGATTCCAAGAGCTTCAGGCCATTGTAGAGAGCCAAGCTCAAAACCAGCCCCCAGCCACACCTGCACCGGCGCTGCAAGAGGGCTCGCGGCTCTCTATGCCGACTAAGCTCGTGGGGCCAAACTCTCCTAAAATCCTACTTTCTTTACTAAACTCGCTATGCTCTCGATCCTAAAACTCCGTGGTGGGTTCTCCGGGATTTCCGCAAGGTCCGGGCTCAGCGTCCACTACTCACTCGTTGTGAGCTAGACAGCTGCCCTTATTCCTACTGTTGGAATTCCACACACTCACACCCTCTCTAGCGCGTCCTAGCACCTTAGAGAATTTGGGGGAGGAGAGAACTTCTTTTTGAAAATCCGGTATGTACAGGATTATAAGAAATAATTATTTTTAGAAATAATAGATGGTGAATATTGGTACCATATGGCACCTGGGTACCTTATTAGGCGAAATAATAAAAAGGGTAACAGTAACAATAAAAGAATATCAATCAATAACTGAAATGATGGCAAAATATGAAAATAAAAGAAAATAAGCGATATCTCAATGGATTTACGGAATTAAGAGCCTAAATTGGAAGTGTAGCCGGAGATAACTCTCACACAGCCAATGAGCATTTTTACCAATTTATTAGACGCCGTGGGAACGAGTGAGGCTGGAATTCTGGGTTGCCGCTTGAGATTCCCACGCCCGCACATGCTCGTGACCTTCCATGCCTAACCTGTCCAATATAGAACTCCGTCAAATCTCCACCGATTAGGACGTTCTTGGTATCGTCAGAATCGTACGAATTAGGACTATTTTTGGATACCAAATTTGTACCGAGTCGTCGCGTGAATGAAAGTGGTTTCTGAATGTTGGAAGCGGGTATCCGAGCCGGCTCTGCGCGTGGGCGATTATCCCGCCTACAGCGCTGGTCCCCGCACCAACACCTGCACCCGCCCCCAGACCCAAACCACCTAAAGTCGCCCCCCCCACTGCCTTCTCTGGAGCAGCCGAGGACCTTGACCGCTTCAAGGCCAAATGCGGCATATATTTCC